GGATCAAATGCAGCGTATCGGCTAAGTCTGTACAGCAGCCATTTAACACATCTGATCAGTAACACATTCTTATAACACACAATAAGAGAAGAAAAAAGACACTTACACTTCTCGCTCCGTCAACAAGGTAGAATACCTAAACTCCTCTCTGCGGTCGGGAACATTCGTCTTGGCCATGGTATTTCCTTCTCTGCCAGGCTTGTCAAAGCAAGGTCCCAGCCACTGAGCCTTAACAGCCGCCTCGTAGCCGCTCTGCTTGACCGAGTTCTTGGCCAGCTCGCACATATCTGCCGGGCTAAGCTTGTAGATTTGCGCGGCAACAGCGTATTCCTCCATCAGAGGCTCCTTTGTGTATGCAAACTGCAGAGGGTCGTCGGTTGAGAGGGACACGTTGAGACCTCGTTTGAAGTATTGAGGGAACGGATTGCGGTCGTACGATAGGAACAAGGCGTTGTTGCTCAATGGCGACATGGCCACTCCAATCTGTTCGAGGTAAAATACATACTGCAACAAAGGGACCTTTCGGAGCAATACTCCGTGGCTGATACTGTGGCAACAAAGCGTCGCGACAGCCAAATGCTCCGGGTCTCCAGCTTCAGCGCAGTGAGGCCGCAGGATAAGAGTGTTGAAGCCACGCTTCTTACGCCACGAGTTGAGGGAAGCCATGTTTGCGAAGAGATAGTAGATCCAGTAGTTGTACGGCGGGTTTTGCTTCGTGTTCCACTCCTTTGGAACGGGGAACTTCCTGTACAGGCGCCTCTCAATCTTACTCTCGTCGTCGACGCTGTCGAGACCGACGACACGCTGCAGGAAAATGTGCAGCTTAGGGTGGCTGGAGGGGTCCTTTGTGACTTCGAACAGGGGCTGGAAGACGTTGGTGACGACTTGATCAAACGACTCCATTAAGCCATTGTCCTTGTAAACATCATATAGCCGAGGAATCTGGATGAGCCACCGAACATTTTGCGAAAACAGCTTATTATCGACGACCCAGGCTGCAAGTTTGTCCCATTCATCCAGTGATTTACCATAGATGGATAGACGCCATTCGGCCATTTGGTACTTGCTGGCTTCGAGATCGGAAATGACTTCCTTGGTGAGCTCGGCTAGATAGCGGCCCTTGATCAGGTTGTCCGTCTTCAAGAAGATCTCTCGGAGTCGAGATTCTCCAACGGGATTGTACTTCAGGTTGAACTTGTCAAATCGGTGGAAAGAGTCCACGTGGGCCTGTTGTAAGTCAGCCCACAACGTCGTCATTTAACAGGTCGTGGATAACATACGTGCATATCAAGCGTGTCAATACTCAAGTCATATGCCGTAAGATTAATACTAGCAAACACCTCGGCAAGCGTCAAGTGCTTCCCATCACGGAACAAGACAACCTCATCAGGGTTCTTCTTCATCCTACTCTTGATAAAGCGCAGCAAGTGCTTCTGGTTCATGGACGCCGAGTGGTGCACGTGAGTGTCTACTTTTCGGACGTTGTAAAAGTCTCTGTGAGGCACCTTTTTGCTGTCGGCAGTTTCCTGATACTCGTTTAGAAGCGCGTACAGGTTGAATTTGCCTTCGAGGTATTGGAGGCGGCGGAAGGCGAAGCTCTTGCTAGGCCCATCTGACGAGGCGGTAAGGATGCTGTCGAGGTCCATGTAAAACTGCCTGATAGTTGGGATGTGGAAGGCGGGTGTTTCGGAATCGGCACCCTCAAAGACCTCATAGACACCAGCATCGCTCAGCTTGAACGTCATGCCGTCGTCCTTTGAAGGCAATGGCAGGACATGCTCCATGTCGAAGCTATCTCCAGGCTTGTCTCCCGGGGGATAAATCTGCCAGTCGGCGCCATTTCTAGGATCATCGCCATATCGCTGCAGCGACAGGGCCATGTATTTTTGTCTCAGCGCGATAATGTCTTGAATGCTCTTGGAAATGGAGCTCAGCTCTGCCGTCACCTGTGGCTGAGGGTCAAGGAAGTTGATATTGGAGATTCCCCTGCTGGCCTCAGCTGCAAGTCTAGCGCTGTCAAGCCCAGACACAGAAGCCTTGCCGAAAGACTCGGACAGTGCAGCGTCGCCCTCATATTCGAGGCCGCCGCTTGATGCCAGAGCCGCGACGGGGTCATTATACGAGGATGACACAGCGTCCGCGGCACCGGAGCCGTCTAGCTGGCTTCGCTGATAGAACAGCTTGGCATCAGCCTGGGACATTTGCCGCTCAACGACTGAGTCGTAAAAGGTGGTGCGGTGAGGAATATCTCTTGGAAGCACGCCATCTTGAGGAGTCTCGGGCGGCTGAGGGGTATTTTCTCTGTCACTCTCTTGTCTGTGATGAGAACACATTTTGGGAGGAGGGAAATGGCCCAATCACCACAGCCTTTTATTTTACGGCTGAAAAGGTGAGGGATAGTGGTTTTCTTTCTTCCTTCTTTCTAAAGAATTGGCGTCAATCAATGTTTATTTGATACAATTACAACTATGAACGGCTGACGACATTTCTGAGGCATATGGTTGACGTAAGACAACAGCTAAAAACAAGCTTTGGATAAAAGTGCGAAAACTCAACGAAACAAAAAGAGAAAAAAAAAAAAAAAACAAAGAGAAAAAGAGCTCCACGTACCAGAGCAACTAGAGGACGGATTGAAGAGGATTATATGTATATAGAAAAGATATCTGATAAATAGAGGGTAGAACAAATTAACAACGGGCAATAGCAGTAGTAGCACAATGGAGTCGCCAATCTGCGAAACCTTTTTTAAGTTTTGGAAATCTCTCCAAAGAAGAGCGACATCTCCCAGCTCTTTATACTCCAGAAAGGTCCTACTAAAAAGAAAAAAAAAATGAGTCAAAAGCATAAAACTCACTGAACTAATGACACACAAGAGCCGCTCCGGGATCCGCTTCGGCCGGCCGCCACCGAAGCCGCAGGTGAGCCACGGAGGGTGCCTATAAGCGGGGATATGCATCAATCAAGGATCAAACCGTATCAGTCGTATCTGCGTGAATGAGTCTCACGCCGGCGGATGAATTGAGATGTGATGAATTGAATTGAGTTTCATCAAAAACATTCTTTTTTCAACATCAATTGCATCGATTACAGTCAAAATGTCCAGCACCAAAACAGTCACCGTAACCGTAGACCCGCCGCAATCCTCTTCCTCAGCTCCCATCGAGCTAGAAACCATCGTCCACGAAGCTCAGCCCAGACAATCTTCCAATGCCGTCGCAGATCCAGAAACAGGAGGAGAGACATCCGAGTCTCAACCCCCTCTGCCCATCTTCAAGATCCTAGTCTCTGGATACTCATTCTTCTGCGCCGGTCTGGATTCAGCAACTCTCGGCCCATTGGTGCCGCACATTCTCGACGCGTTTTCCATTGGCACAGGTCACATCGCCATCATGTAAGTCCACTCCAATTCCAATCATCTCCCCTTCAACCATCTTTTATACAAACTCGTATCTAAAAACAAATCACCATCAGATACGCCGCCATCTTCGCAGGATGGCTCCTCGCAGCCCTCACAAACCCCTTCCTCGCAGCCCACCTCCACCTCGGCAAGCTCCTCTTCATCGGCGCAATCTTCCAAGTCTTTGCCCAATGCCTCCGTCCATGGGCCCCTTACTCCCTCTTCTTCTCCACCTTCTTCTTCCAGGCCCTGGGCATGGCATTCCAGGACACGCACTCCAACACGTACGTCAGCGCTGTACGGGATTCGCATCGCTGGCTGAGCTTCATCCACGCCATGTATGCGCTTGGGGGCCTCGTCGGGCCGCTCATCTCGACGGCTATTGCTACTGCTGAAGAAGACCGTGTAAATGGATGGAGAACGGTGTATTACGTTACACTCGGGACTTCTGCTTTGAATCTGATTGCGGTTGCCCTGGCCTTTAGGGATACCCTCTTCCTGATGAAATCACAGTCCGCAGAGGCACAGCGTGAAGAGAGACGCAACAAGGAGGCATTGGAGGAAGTAGGACAACTTCTTAAACTGAAGAACGTCTGGCTCATGAGTGCCTTTTACTTTTTCCAGTCGGGTGCCTGGTCCACCTCAGGAGGTATGAGTCTTGCTCCTCTCACTCAACTCAACTCAACTTATCTCTCCTCCCACCATGCCAATCTACACAACACATCAACTAACACAAACACAACCAAAAACAGGCTGGGTAGTCGAATACCTCACCCAACACCGCCACGGCCAACTATCCCAAGTCGGCTACGTCCCCACCGGCTTCTGGGCCGGCGTCGTCCTCGGCCGCACCCTCCTCGCCGAGCCAACATTCCGCTTCGGCGAGCAGCGCATGATCCTCTGCTACAGCATCGCCACCCTCGTCCTCCAGCTGCTCTTCTGGCTGCTCCCCAACCTCGTCGCCAGCGCCACCGCCTACGCCCTCATGGGCTTCTTCTTCGGCCCTTACTTTGCCACGGGCATGCGGGTGTCGGCCAAGATTATCCCGAGAAAGGTTCAGTCTACGGGACTAGGTAGGTTCTCTTCTTCTTTTCTCCTCTTAAGTACCTATATGGACAAGACGTGAGAGTGGCTACTTACAGTTGATGTGAATTAGGCCTCATATTTGTCCTAGCACAAGCTGGTGCCGCCATCTTTCCCTCATTCACCGGCCTCATTGCAACTAGTGCTGGTGTTCAGGTTCTGCAGCCAATTGTTACCGCCTTGATTGTCGGAGGGGGCGTGTGCTGGTGGCTTCTTCCAAACGTCACGTTGAAGGAATGATTGCATTTTGAGCAGCCAGGTATTGCGTAGGTTTATGCTTTAGTTGTTTTATATACTTCGGACGCAGGCATGTACACAGTTGCTCAGACGAGCAGGTTTAGTTTTTATGCAGACAGCACGTCACAACTTATACGATAACATATATCTTCATCAGGGTGTATTAGCAATGGTAAACTGGTATCATATGCTCAAAGACCGGCCAAAATTCTCTTTTTCCCGTTCTCTTTTTATTTCATTTATTTCCATTGCCGTATATCCATTCAAATAGGAGTGAGCCTACCTACTTCGAATATCCATTGGTCTTGACCCAATCTGCCACGTCCTGGCGGTCTCTCTCCAACCAGGAAATCTTGGATCGGATAGCGTCCTTGCTCTGTGCAAGCGACTGGTCGTAGCCGTTGTTGTTTTTGCCGCTAAAGAATTTCTCAACACGGGCCAGCTGCTCTGGCTTGGTGAAGCCGGATGTCAGCAGCGACACCATAGAGCTGAGCATAGGCAGGGTAGGCGGGTGTCGCTTGTAGAGCTCCTCCCAGTTCTCCGTCATCCAAGTAAACAGGGCTTCGATACCCTCGGGGTGGGTGCGCAGGCCGGCAGCAGGCATGTAAATGTCTTGGTCCTTGACCTCGCCGTTCAACAACAGGGCCAGGGTCCTCTTGATAAGCTCGGGGTCCTTGGCTCGGCCCAGAGATCGGAGACAGGTGTTGCGCTCATCGCTGTTGGTCGAGGAATGGTACAGCCCAATGATCTGGTCATACTACGCGCGCACAGTGTCAGCTCCATGTCTATGCAGATCTCCTTACTACTCGGGGAGGGTGAGATCAAAAACTTACTTCTTCCTTGCCGCCAAACTTGAGGGCAATTGCAAAGACGCTCTTGCGAATGTTGGGGTGAATCGCCGACTTATCGCCAGCCATGAACTTGGCAAACATTTCCTTGGAGGCTGAAATAATTTTCTCGTCGCCGCTCAAGCCAGCGCTGCCAAAGAGTGTAGCCTTGAACTGCTGCTCAACATGACCGTCCGAGTCGGAAAACTCCCATCCAAGCTCATGGGCCTTTGAGCTGACAATCTCTCTCAAGAATGCCCGGACACCGTCTCGAACAGCTTGGTCTTCAAATAACCAGGCAGCTTGAATCGATCCAATTCGAGAAATGATCTCGTTCCACACGACAAACTCCGTCTCAGCGTCAAATCCCTTGAGAAGGTTAAGGACGCCAGACGTCTTTCCGTAACCGGAGCTGGAGAGCGCGGCAGCATCTGCAATCATGCCGGTCCTGTCCTCCGTGGACAAAAGACCTTCCTTTGCGGCCTTGCCCAGCTTCTCCAAGCGGCTAGGCGAGTAGAGTGTTCGGTAGATTCCAGTGTGGTTGGCATTGAGCTTGAAAAAGTCGGTGCTGGGCAGCTTGAATTCTTGCTCTCGCTCCTTCAAAGCAATGGTCTCATCAACACCATCCTTGGTCTTGAGGCCCAAAAAGACAGGGTAGAGGGTGGTGTCTTCCTCAGGCTTCACGTCGCCGGTACGGAGGAAGCGGTTCTGCTTAACATGAATAGAGCTCTCGCCTTCCTTCTCGGTGACAGTGAGGACTGGGTATCCGACCTTCTTGGTCCAAGCAGTCATGACTTCGTGGACAGGCTTGCCGCTAACCTCAGCCAACGAGTCCCATAGGTCGCTGGTCTGAGTGTTTCCATAGGCGTACTTGTTCAAGTACTTGCGGACACCCTCCAAGAACTTGTCCTCTCCAAGGTATGTGGAGATCATACGGAGCACACAGGATCCCTTGGAGTAGGAAATGGCATCGAAAATTTGGTTGATCTCGTCAGCACGCTTGACAGGCACCTCAATCGGGTGGCTGCTTCGGAGGGAGTCGAGCGACAGGGCAGACTGCAAATCGTCTGTGACATATGTTTGCCAAACGCGCCACTCCGGGTAAAAGATGTTGCAGGAATACCACGAAGCCCAGGTAGCGAAGCCTTCGTTGAGCCAGAGGCCCTCCCACCAGTCCATGGTGACCAAGTTACCGAACCACTGGTGTGCCAGCTCGTGCTGAACAACCTCAGCCACGCGCTGCTTGGTGGCGGCGCCGCTCGCCTTCTCGTCCAGCATTAAATCGACAACTCGATAAGTGACCAGACCCCAGTTCTCCATGGCTCCCTGAGCAAAGTCGGGAATGGCGACTTGATCCATCTTGGGCAGGGGGAAGTCGACACCGAAGGCCTTTTCGTAGAAAGCAAGAGTCTTGGCGGCGAGGTCGACGGAGAAGCGTCCGTGCTCGATATCCTGGCCGGGAGGAGCATAGACTCGGACGGGGACTCGGAAGTCTCGCGACTCAATGTAGTTGAGCTCGCCGACAACGAAGGCGACGAGATAGGTGGACATGAGAGGTGAGGGGTTGAAGTGAACAGCCTTTCTGGTTCCACCGGTAATCTTGGACTGGAATTCAGTTTCGGAGGCAACGTCCATGTTGCTCAAGCAGGTCAAGTTCTTGTCAGCAACGAGCGTGACGGTGAACTTGGCCTTGAGAGCCGGCTCGTCAAAGCAGGGGAATGCTCTGCGGGCGTCGGTGGGCTCCATCTGGGTGCTGGCCAAGATACCCTCGGTACCATCTGGCCTCTTGTATGTAGAGCGGTAGAAGCCCGCCATCTTGTCGTTGAGCTGGCCGGTGAATTCGATTTCCAGCTGCACCTTGGTGTCCTTGGTGAGGGTGTGGGAGCCGCCAAGGTCGAACTTGGTCACTTGGGTAGCTTCATCGTAGGTGATGGCAGGCGTGGCACTGTTGAGACGGCACGCGTAACTGTTAGCACGTCCGATTGTCTTTGTAACGAATGGAGTTGCGCAATGGCAAAAGGACAGATTTCTCACCTAACAGCCTGGCCACCAGAAGAGAGCTTAGCGCCATGGATGTCCAACTCGAGAGTGTGGAGGGAGATGGAGTTGGAGGTCTCGGCCACGTCAAGGTCGATGACGACAGAGCCGTTGTACGTCAGCTTCTCAAAGTCGGGCTCGACAGTCAGGTGGTAGTGACGAGGGATCACGTTAGCGGGCAGCAGCTCGCGGCCCTGGACGGCGGCCGAGGCCGAACCCTCGAGACCAGCTCTGGATCGACACATGGCGGAGCAGAAGCGAGCAGACGATGGAGTCGGAGCAACAGGAGGGCGTCGAGCAAGACGAAGGCGTAGGAACGACGACAACGACGACGGTGAGAGAGGAGAAGAGAGGAGAGAAGAAGAAACGGATGCTGAGGGAGGGGAAATGAAGGAATGGGGAGAAGAAGAAAGTGAGGAGAATGAAGAAGAGCTGGAGAATGAAAGAGAAGTAGAGAGTGGCCTTTTGCGAAGAGAAGGCGGTGACGGCGTATAAGAAGAATGAGGAGAGGAGGAAGATGAAGCAGCAGAAGCAGAAGCACGGCAGGCGACACACCAGCCCGAGGAGCTCCTGGACCTGGACCTGTTGAGCCCCTCCAGGTTGAATGGCGGGGTCGGCCGCAGCATCAGTGAGTGGCGGGGGGACCTTTGGGCGGCCCGGAGAGGCTGCAGCCACCCCATGCTGTTGCTGTAGGTGCTGCTGTCGGGTGTCTATAGAGGGGGGGTTGTTTCAGTTGTATACTGGAACTTGGAATGGGAATGATGGACGCTATGATGTGCTCCGGCGGTGGTTTTTGCGTTTCTGTCCGTGCTTTTGCTTTCTTATTGACACCCAACTCAACCTTGATAAGCTGTGCTCCAAGCTCCAATTGTCACTGGACCTCTGCAGACGGCGGTTGCGCACGGCTATGCAATGCAAAGAGCAGCTCACACATGAAATTGTCCCGAAATTTTCACTCCGGGCCGGCTAGGATTGCCAGCTCCGAGGATTAACCATGAAGATCACAAAAGATCCATGGATTTGGTGGGGCAGAGAGGCAAACAGGCCACTTTCGCTCAGTGCTGTTTCGCAGAACAGGGACTTTTGCCCTTGCTCCTTAACACGATACGCAAAGGGAAAGATGCTCCGGTTTGACGCGGGGAGATTGAGGCTGACGGCGTTTACTTCAGTTTCAATTACACAGGACGGGGTGGAAGTGGGTTCAAGTATGTGCTGGACATATGAAGCACAGGACTCATATTGGAGGGAGACACGTGTATGTCATTGGCATTCTATATGCTATTGCTAGGTAAGGTATGTATGTATGCAGTCAGATCATCTGGGTTATTAAGGCAGTGTACAAAAAGCATCCAATTTCCTCCCAGGCCCAGCCGAGCTCACTATGACAAAAGAAATGTACATATCCAGACTTGTATCTGTCAATCTCAAGATGTCGCCCAAAAACAATGCAGAAAAACGATCTAAAATGGTGATATAAACGATGATATAACGCCAATGTAGCCCGTGTCAGGATAAATCGACCCGTAGGGCATGCTTATGTGTCCCGTCAATATGTACAAGTTCAAAGAGGCTGGACATCGGGAGATTTAGAGTTACTTTCAGGTGTGGCAGAAGATGGTGCAGTGTGATAAGACTCTGGAGTCTCATATACCGTGGAAACCGTATGGACATTATAATCCTCCTCCGAGTAAAGTAGAGCGGTTCCAGCGACGGTTGAACTGGTAATATCTCCTGGCGCACCGTGATCCTCCGGAGACGCATAGCCCTCCGAAGGTGATGTGTAAATATCAGAAGTGGTATTAGTGGTATTAAAGATAACAGAGGAAGGCGTGTCGTATCCTGCCGGAGGATTCAAACTGTGTTCAGTGCTTGCATGGCCTTCCGGAGAGCTGTATGGGGCGGGAGTAACATAATTTGAGGGCGTATTAAATGGCGCGGCAATGTCATACCCTATAGAAGCTTCATGAGACTTTGGTGTGGTATAAGGTCCTGCATCACTATAATCAGGCCAAGGAAGGTGTGGCGTGGAAGTGTCGTAAGTGGTGGTATTCGGAATCATTGAGGAAAAAGATGGAGGTGTTAATCCGGTGATGGGCCCGATATGGGACATAGAGGCAGCCACGATGTACTCAGAAGCTGCAGATGGGCTAAGTGTCGAGAGGAATGCAGGGTCAACATAGGCTGGCATGGAAGCATCATAAGCCGGAGACGCGCCTGCAGCATAGAATGTAGAATAATCTAGGGCACCGTTCAAAGGCGCACCAGCCATGTTGGTCAACGGCAGAGACGCATTAACAGTATTATTCCACGGCAAAGACCCATGAACAGTATTGCCCAAGGGCAAAGAAGCATCGGCAATATTGCTCAGCGGCGCATCCAAGACTTGACCAGCTGGAACAGGCCCAAAGTAAACGGGCGTCGTCGCAATATAGTTCGGAGACGCAGATGTAATGGGCCCTAAAGACGGGGCCGCAACGACATTTGGAGATGCGGCGGAAATATAGTCTGACGGTGAAACGGGGGTGTGCCCGGATAACCTAGATTCAACAGGAGTGGCTGTACTTGTATTACTTTCGGGGGTCAAAGCCGTAACATAGCTGGGAGATGCAGATGACACCGAAGGTAGAGATGCCGATGATGGGTAATCCACGGGTACAGGCTGGGTATCAGTAGTAGATGCCGTGGGTTCAGCAGAGCCAAATGTCGCGGGTATAGCTAAAGTATCTTGGGAAGACGTATTTGCCTGGTCTTTGGAGATCAAATGTGGATTCATGTAACCCGTATGTCCGTCAGGCACCGCGGCCGCATCACTATTGTGACTAGATGTTCCATAATCAGCATAAGTAGCAAGTTGTGATCCAGTTCCAGCGTCGGATGCCGAGGCAGGGACCTCAGTGACCGATAGATCCCACAATCCAGGGCTCACAGGAGCTTCGGGATCAATGTATTGAACATTCATCAGCGCACCACTAGAGGCTTGATCTGGTGCGGCGGATATAGTCGGCTGCGCGTTGTCATTATTTGTATCATCATGACCACCATTCTCCAGTAATTCCAAGTATTCCGTCGGTGTCGAGCGAAAAAGGTGCCGAACGATTCTCTGAACAATTCTGAACCCTAGTTTGGCAGAGCCAGACAAGAAGTAGAGCTTCCTCTGGAGCACCAGAGTAGTCTTGATAGCACGGTAAACATCGTCTCGGCGAGGAAGCGTCTGGGCTTTGTCGTTGAGCACCATGTTGCTCATCACAGTCGCGGCGTCAACAAGAGAAAAGATGATGAAATGAAACCGTCCGTCCCGAAAAGTGAGAAATTTTAGCCAGTTGTCCAGGACTTGCACTATCAGCAGGGTCAAATCAACCGCAGTCCTACGGAGCTCGAGCTCTTCCGCAGAAGACTCGTCGGTGTATGGCAGCGCCATGTGCGGCCGAAATGGATTCAGGACCATCATGTATCCCATGGTGTAGTTGTAGTGGCGATGGTACTCGATCCAGGCCTGCTTCTTGTCGTTTGACGTGTCTGGGTTTGTCAATGCAAAGATTGGAGGGAAATTTCTCATCCACTCATCAATCATGCCTTTGTATTCCATGACCTCGCTGCGTGTCTTGATTTGGGCCGGGCAAGGGAAGCGGCCGGCCAGTCTGTGGATTAGATCTGACTGCATGTTCATGTGCATCAAAGGAGAGAACTCTCCGTCCGGTTCCAATGTTAATGATGGGCGTTTCGCATTACACATGCTGTGATCAACCATAGTATCTCGAGATAATCCGGACGCTATCTGCCTGGGAAATACGTCAGTTACAACGTCTCAATTGCACGTACTACGCTTCTAAAGCGAGAGAGACGTCTGCGAACAACTCACCAGTCCCACGAGTCGATTACGCACCAAGCTCTCCGCCGTATTTCGAGCTCGAAGTTGGGTACGTCATTTGCATCTCGTTCCGTATCGAATCCTATTATGAGTCGAAGACAAAGACAAGGTCAGCGGCTATCAGCACGGTGGAATACTTCAGCTATGGAAACAGCATACCGAGTTCTTGGGCTTCACGAACGGCTGTATAGAACATGTGACAGGCCTCAACGAACATGGCCTCGGCTTTGTACCAGTACGTCGAATGCAAGAGCCACAATACATTGTTCTTATGGTAATGACCGGTAGGCATGGCGCTGTAGAGATAGCGCGCTGCATAATGAAAAGACTCGGTACACTCCTGGCAATCATTACCGAGCATTTTCTCGAGTTTCTTCTGTATGTCAACAGGTAAATGCTGACAGGCGCACGCGCACATCATCAGTAACAAACATGTCCATGGAACTGGCAGTGGTTTATTTTTGGACCTTTTTTTCCACCAACGATTGTACTCTCTGCCAAAATCGGTTTTATGAATCATGCCATAGTGCGGGTTTACGTTTTGGAAAAAGCTCAGTATGAGGGCATCTATGAATGAGCAATCGCAGCGTCTGGTCAGTCGAAAGAAAACCTTGTAGCATAAGTCCGAGATGGAAAGAGAAAATCAGTCAAACCTGAGAGCAGACATACCTACGTGATTCCGGTCTTCTGGGATAATGGCGAGTGCAGAGCGCAGTTCGGTACAGGCCGCGGCTGAAAGGTGGTACTGCTTGTTGCGTCGAGGTCGGGGTTGTCTCGTCTGGAAAGGAGAATTTACGCATAAGTATGGATTTCCTTCCACTAGTATATCTGATGATTCGACAAGGGGTCCTACCTGTGTACCGGAAGAAAGCTGCGTAAGTTGGCCACTGGATTGCTCAAATACGAGGGGACCTGGGTTGTCCGAGTCCACAGGGACGCCATTCTGTACGACGGAATCGAGTCCTCCATTACCAGTGTCTGCGTCAGAGTCATTGTCGGAACTGGAGTCTTCGCTGCTGCCGCGATACCGTTTCTTGGAAGCTCCGACTCCAGCGGTTGTCTTGCTGGTAGTAGCACCACTCGCTTGTGGTGGTGGATTAGCTGGTTTTGATGGCTTTTCTTTGAAGATGCAATTGCGTTGGACTCCTCGAGACTTGCAGTGTACACAAGGGAAGATTTTGTTGCACTAGATGGCAGAAGAGGTCAATACATGTATACATTGTATCCAAAACTGCTGGGCGTCTTGACTCGTGGCCTACTTTTTGTTTCCTCCTTTGGCATTCGGTGCACGCATATTTGAACCGCTGGGGAGAGACGGACTGGTCCATATTCGTAATTTCCCCCCTTTTAGCTCTTTGGGACTCTCTCTCCAACTGTCTTTTTCGGGGTAGTTATGGGAAATCAAGGAGGAAAGATGGAGAGAACGACAGAGAGATGGTAGCGAAGGTCATATATACGTAAACCCGGTGTCGAACCAGAAGAGAGAGAGAATAAATAGGGGAAGAAATAATGATAAAGAAGAGGATAAAGAAAAGGGGAAAAGCAGCGAAAACTGACGATGGAAAAAGGCACTTTTGGTGCTCCCAGCTGCCAAGGCGACGATCCAACGGTGCAGAAGGCCGAGCTGCTGTCCATCTCGAAACGGTAGAGAGAGACAGCGGCCCTCGGTGGGGCTGAGAGCACTGAGCAAGACCAAGTTTGAGCAGGCACGGCGGGAGCTGTCCGAAAGGGAATGGCGCAATCACGTGGTGCATTAGCGGCGATTTCGCAGTGGATGCATGGGTGCTGTGATTGGCTGCGGAAGACTCAGGCATCTCTGAAGATGGTTTAGTGACCGTTAGGTACCCCATGTTGGTGGGGCGTGGATGCGCAGATGGATTTTAGCGCATGTGCGCAGGAGATAAGAGACACTGTGTACGAGATCCGGGAACCGGGAATGCCTGACAATGAGTGAGAGGGCATCTCAATCTTATCACACGCCGGATTAGCCATCGTGGAGATGGTTCGGGATCTGTCCGTCGCTCGGGGGGAAGGAAGTGGCTCGAGTCATGAGCTGAGATCCGCCGAGGCAATCCTATTGCATGCAGTGCAAACCAGATTAAGTTAAGGTACATGTAGAGCACTCGTATCTTGATATACTGGCAGCCCTAGAATGATTTGAGCTCCAGGGTTCTCTCTCAGCGTTTCACGTATACTAATGCACGAGATACTGCTACTAGCTTAGCTGAAAACACCCAAACAAGACAAGGGGTCTGAATGAACCGTTTAGCACATCTCAAGGCGTCCAGAAAGAGGCGCCCAAGACAAACTCGATCAGAACCTCTAGCTACATACGAGCATGTACCCTCAGTCTCAGTCCTAGCCTAGATCCTCCCGTCCGTCCAGACAAAGAATACAAAAGCCTGAAGCCAGATCCCGACCCTTGTCCTTGTATACAGTGGAAATGCCACCCCTGCCCTCAGCCGCAGCCACTCCGGCACCATCGGTTTGTATGTTTCTTTGCATTGTTGGCCATGCCCACGCTAAAATCTCGTACCCGGCGGGAGGGTCGCAACGGTTAGATTGAGATTGGCGATGCTTTGCCGTTGTGGTATCGTGAACCGCGGCATCCCGTAGCGCGGCACCTGCTTTTCTGTGTACCAGTTACCTACATCTACAGAAGGGGATGAATTGGCACATGCACATTTGGAGTCTGTAAGAGCCTCCACTCCCGATACGTACCTATATTTGAACGCTACATCATCAGCATCATGCTCCTTTTTTTTATGCGGTTGGCTGGCCAGGGATTACTATAGCCTCCTCTGCCGCATTCTCCTGAATCCAAAAACTCCAAGTACATGTACAGTACAGCACGGATCATACGCCATGGCCGCGTCGGTTTAATCTGCGGTGCTGGTGACACAAGACAGACCGGCAGTTGTGGCTGCCCTTTTTTTTTTTTTTTTTTTTTTTTTTTCAATCCGGGGTGTCGTGCAAGGCCGGTGAGAAGAGCGTCAACCATTTGAAAGAGGAGCACCAAATCAAACAACAAGAACCTAGGTTGGCCAATAACGAGCCCCCGCGTGACATCTTCCTTTGCCTTCCTTTTTTCCAGCCTCACTTCAAAGAGCAGCATCCTTGTCTGCGCTGCATTAGTCTGTTTGCCGGGTTTCACTTTGTGACCGGGGAACTAACTCTTCAAGACCACATCGTCACCGTTTAAAACGACAGGAGAATGGGTGAACATGGAAACGAAATGATGGACAGGGTCTGATTCGTCGGCTAACAAAATCTGTCTCATTACTTCGTAACCACTTATCCAAGCGCTTCCACGGTTGACCACCCTATTCCCCATCAAAACATCACTGCATACTGCGTGCATATTCCCATCTCGCATGTACAGCAGTTGCATGGATCAACCAGATCGACACACTCACCGTCACTCTGACAATAACCAGCCCGGGTCAATTACCGAATCTGGAGCCGTCATGGCTTCTAATTCTGGTGCTAAAAGCACATCTCCCAGCGTAACGCTGAACCCATCATTGGCAAACCTCGGCGGCCACTCTAGTGTTGTATCCGATCGCACATCATCCCAGTCCCGGTCTTGCTCCCGTTCTTGGCCCTGGCTCTGGACCTGGACCTGCTCCGCAGATGGCGCCTGGATGTTGCCCAGGTCAATAACTAAGATTACGTCCAGGTCATTGGCCATCCGACGTGGCGCCTTGGCTGGTCCCTGCTGCTTTTCTTGGCCAACAAGTTCCGGCTGCTGCACCCGGTGCGGTTTCTTGTGACTCTTCATATCTCCGAGAGAGAGCAAGACATTGGCCAGCGCGTTGAGTGCCATTTTTGGAATGCCGAATCCCTCTGTTCCCGTTGCCTGCTTAAAGAACTCTTCCGTCTGCCTGGCGTAGAACGAGAGTGCCAGCACCTCCTCGTTCACAAACTCGGACAGATACCCCCGTTGATGGTATACTGACTTCCATACTGTGATAATCTCCTGCAGTGCATAAAGTGCCCGGATGCTTGTGACGGTGGGACAGCGGCGATACGTTGCAATGTCAAAAAGTACCAGGGTATCCAGAGCTGAATGACTAGACTGTATGAGAGACATGATGGCTCGGATGCAGGCCATATCCCGAGCAGCTGCCAAGGCCGGTGGCTGCGTCCCTGTGTGTGTTGTTGACCGTGTTGGACTGCATGTGACGGCTAGCTCGTAAAACTTGACGCGGCAGTAAAAGAAATGCATCCGGAGTGAGCCTATCATGTGTGTACTCGTTAGCTAAAAGAAACCAGCCACTCCAGGCAGTGAAACTGGGTATGAACCCAAGACGAAGCCCCTTACCGTTCAGTACAGGTTGAGCAGTATCTCTCCATCTAGCAAAACGGCTCTCTAGTGACGAGATAGTATGCTGATCGACAGGACTTGCAGCATCAGCTCCAGGCTGTGCCAATGATACCTTGATTCTCAATGCTTCAACGCCCCCTGCTATCATCTGCAGCCTCACCCACGCAACCAATCGTTTGTCATTGCCGTGCACACTATTCTTGTCAAAGGCATCCAAACCCTTTCGCATACTTTCAGTCCAAACCATTGACATGGGTCGACGGAGGCTGACAGCGGCACTATCCGTCGGATCAGCAATCTTTCCATAATGTCTCCGTTGAGGCAAACAAACATCTCAAAGGAGAAAGAAAATAAAGGGATGCAACAGGTCGCTTACATCGATATGGTTAGATAGGCAGCAAATGACGTGCGCCACTCAACGGCGGTATGCTCCACGGGTGAAATATCCTCGCTCCACGGCCAGAGGCCCAGCTCACGCACCATCAGGCCTGCAATCTGGATCCATGTGTAAAAGTTCAATTGCACCATGTCGTCGGGTGTGTCGTACCACTCAACCATTACCAGAATGGCTTGGACCAGCTCAACAGACTTGTGCCCACGGACCATGACCTGCTCTGATAGGTCACCTCGTAAATGGAGATGAAGTTTTCGAAAGATGACTGGTTCAGATGCTCTGCATGCTGCGGTGATGGCGGCGAGGAGTAACGTGGGCTGGCGTCTCCTCAGCCAGTCAAAGGTTTCGTGACTGGAAAATGCCACGATTGGATACTGAGTGATGACATTGCTGGCAAAGTCGTTGAATAAAGCTATGGCTTTGCTTGTTGATAGTATATTCGAGGCGAATACCGTCTCCAGCGACGACTGCAAGTGACAATTTTCCACCAGTTTGTCCTCTTGTTCTTGAGGCAGCCACTTTCTGTCTTCAACTAGAGTTGCAGTCCCACTAGCATATGTACCATTAATCGGCTGAGATATCGGTGCCTGGAGAAGATTCCTGCTGGGAGTTGTGTGCACTACGCCACTGTCGTTCTGTCTCAATCTTTGAGAGTCTATTGAGGCCTGCAGCTCTGCGAGACGTCGCTCTAAAGCCGTGACGCGCGTGTCGGTGCGCTTCCTCCTTTGCCTTGGCGCAACGGTCTTGAAAATGCATTCGTTGTTGTTGGTGAAGCAGCGCTTACACTTGTTATGCTCGGCAAATGTCTCCAACGAGCAACGAAGCTTGGAAGTACGGCATGAGAGGCAAGCATTCTTTTGCATCTTGAAATTATGAGTCCTTGAGCTCTCAAGGAGAATTCAGCGTCCGCGAACTGGTTCTCCGGGTTGTGTTAGAAGACAAGTTGGTTCATCCGCCGCAGTCTCTTGGGAGTCGCCGGGGTGGAGTGCCAATCATCTCCAGTGTCCACAGTCCGCCCAGAACTCTGGATCCGACCCGACCGGATGCTGGTATACGTGTAGAGAGATTTTCCTAAATTATGAGTGCCTCAATGGTTAACGGAAGCTAAATTTCGTGCGACTAACTGAGTTTGGTAAATGATCCATATCAGGGTCGTCGTGGTGTACGGGATTCCGCAGTCTATGGTGGACTCTGACTTGGTGTCAATGCCACTTGGTTTTCTGCTGGTCCATTCGGCTCCCGCATGATTCAACGTCTTCCTAATGATGATAATCATGAAATATATGATGCTACGGGAAGGATTGAGAAAATAATTTTTGTCTGGTATATCCGACTGGTATCGGATATAGATATTCAAGGTAACGAAAGCTCAGCTTAGCAACAAGATATGGCGTGAGGGCGGACATCTCGCGTTTCCGCGAGGAATTTCTTGGCCAATGGGAGAGATCCGTAATGAATCCTTTCGACGCTAATCGGCCTGACAGGAATCTTTCGGTATCCGCCTGTAAGCACCGTAAACTTGGCCCTGCATTGGTTTCAATGAGTGCTCCTACCTTGACGACGTTTTATAACCTAACTCTAATCGAAGTCTTGGTACCTCCTGGAAAACATAAATGCATTCATATCGCTTGTTCATTGTGACCCTTGCATGTACCTAAATTATATGACCACGATACATATTTGTTCTTCTATATGCCCCTATGTTGCGAGGAGACACTGAATGGATATCTGCTCAACGTAAAAGTTTTGACTGAATGGATCTGAACTTTGGATGGTGCCGTGCTAAAGGCCGTGGCGACCGCTTAGTCCAAGTCATTTTCCCGCTTAGTAAGGCGTTATGTTAGGATCTTACTCATGTTGATGGGATATTGAAGCTCATGATGCTGCGATGTGATTCTTCATACCCTAGACCTCCAACACCTCAAAAAAAAAAATTCAGGATTCGGGGTTTATTCTGTAGTATAGCTACGATAGATTTGTATCTTACAACTCGCGGAAATGAATTGGATCTCATGTTGTCGATATTCGGAGCATTATCTCTACCTAGGAGACTATGATTTGCTCCCTAATGTCCATGGCTTACAACATTGGTCAAACTCACTTGGAGGGAAACGTTATCAGCGCTTGAGCAATAACAATTCAAACAGCATGTAATACTCAAAACACCAAACTTCTATTCATCTCCATGATCAGCAGCTTCAAATTCGTCGGAATCTCCATGACTGCGAGTGATGACACAGAAATCCACCTTGTCCGCCCTTTGGTTGACATTTGACATGTTGGGCGAGCTTAGCGTCGGCACATCCACCATCCCTCGCTAGAGTCAGAACGATATGTATACTCGTGCCTGTATCTTGATCTTGTAGGTGGATTGTATTCGATACTTTGCTCTTTTTGCTACTCACGGTCCCTACCGGTCTCTTCAACATGACGATACGTGTGCGCGAGTCTACAGAGGACGATATCCCCGCCATTGCTCGCATAGCTTCGGCGGCCTTCCACCCGGAAACAGATGCCATTGCAGCCCGGCTATTTCCTGCTCGGCTCGCTGGAGAGGGCGAGGCCTATTCCTGGCGATATGCCAAAAAGACGGCAAGCCTGAGTTCCACAGACACCATCATGGTCGTGGCTGTCGACGACTCCCTAAACGACCAGGTGGTGGGCTTTGCTCTGTGGGATGTATACAGACAGTCGCAGCCAGAAAAGGCGGCCAATCAACCCCCGTCTGCCGCTCAACAACTGCCACCACCCTCGTTCGACCAGGAGGCGTATGCAGAGCTCCGCGCTATCGTTTCAGCCGACCACCAGGAGATGTTCGGAGAAAGAGGCATCAAGGACGTCTGGCGTAAGTTTTTCCTGCCCTCCCCTGGGGAAATTCTCCGTGGCCCTTATCCGAAATTGCCCAAAACGGGTAGCTAACAGGAGCTTTTCCCGGCTCACAAGATCTTGATTACCTCGGGGTGGACCCGCAGCAGCAGCGGAAGGGGATCGGGAAGATCCTTTTGGACTGGGGCATCAGCCGGGCGGCGAGCGAAGGAAAGGATTGCTATTTGCTGGCGACGCCTGCCGGGAAGACGCTGTACGACAAGACGGGCTTTGAGGAGGTGAGGACGGTGCCAATATTTGGGGTTTTGCACACCTCCATGATACTTAGACACGGCAAATGATGATCTGCACACGACAAGTACTGTACGAGTATGAGCACACGACAAGCAGCTACGAGCACAAATATTCCACCCGACCTCTCACAAGACATGGTGCAAAGGAAACACGGAAATTATTCCCCTAGTAAAATTCACACTTTAGATCGCAGTCGGCACTGGGCGGCGCTAAGAGACATCATTAAAATCTGTCGGCCGAGAGCTTGTGGCTGTCCTCGGCATATTCATACACCCATGTCCGAGTTGGCCGAGCCTCGCTTTTTCAAATCTCAATACTCCCTTCCCCCTTACATCGCCGTGTCTCAAAGTCCCTTGCATTACTCCATCCAAGTGCTGTATCCCTTGATGTGACTCCAGCCCACCACCCAATATTTGCTTTTTGCGATACCGCCGAGACAACTCCCAAGCCATGAACCAACAGCAACACGAACCTTACCGCCGCCGGAGACCCGCGCTCTCATGTCTTGAATGTCGGCGGCGCAAGCTCAAGTGTGACCGAAGTAACCCTTGCGGCCGCTGCGTCTCGACCGAGACACAGTGCAACTATAGGATCCATCAGGAGAAGCCCGGAGGCAGGCATCGGCAAACTCGCCGAATATCCAGCTCGTCGGTGCCAAGCCCGCCAGCTGTCCATCCAGCCTCGCCTTTGTCACATGTCGACCTAATCAGGCATACTACGAGTACTACTTGTAACGTCACTACGAGTACGAGTAATAGGACGGCATCAGATCATGGCGGCCGAGAAAATGAGACACTCAATGCTGCGGCATCGACGCTCGGGCCAAATGACTTGTCGAATACACCAGGTGCAAATGAGATCCAAAATCCGACTCGCCCCCGGTTCGTGGATCCCGAGCTCCATCATCTCAGGGAGCGGGTACGGAGACTTGAGCGGTCCCTTGTACATGTTCCCGTACACGATATATCCCAGGCCGGCAGAGATGTCCTCGCTGGTGAGTCGGGTATGCCGGACGCCCAAATCATCTTGAATAAAACAAGAATTATGAGATGGAGCCACTGGGTTGGCATAGCTAAAGAGGTACAGTCTACAGCTTCAGCTTGCACATTGTACATTTTCGGGATGCTCACATGTTGCTGTGTAGTTTGAACCCATCATCTCCTGCTACGGAGCAATCTGCGGTTTTGGAGACATTAACTCGTTCAAGAGCGCTGAAACCAGAGCTCTGATCGTCGAGACCAGCGGCTTGCTCCAAAAGTGCAAAAGCGTAGCTAGAACCCTCAAGATTGGACGGCCTAGTAGATGCCTTTCATCGCTGAATTTTGATCTGACGCCCCCTTCCCGTGAAGTGGCAGACAAGATGGCAGTCTTGTATTTCCAATCATTTGAGTCAACACACCGGATTTTGCACGGGCCCACCTTTTGGAGAGTATACGAGAGGTTCTGGAGTAACCCCGAGAGTGCTTCAGGCATACTACGCCTTCAGGTGCTTCTCGTGATTGCCATAGGGTCCAGTTTGGCTCCGCATGTGGAATCCGATTCCGGACTTCGCCAACAGGTGCATCAATGGATATACGCAGCTGAAACCTGGCTCTCTGGGCCACTGGAAAAGGATCGTCTCAACATCTCCGGGCTCCAGATACATTGTTTGGTGATGCTTGCTCGGCAAGTCTTTTCCATCGGAGGGGAGTTCATTTGGGTTTCGTCGGGGTCGCTCATCCACCGGGCGATGCAGATTGGTTTGCATCGGGACCCCAAACATCTCCCTCCTATGTCCGTATTGCAGGCGCAGCTGCGTAGAAGATTATGGGCCACAATCCTGGAACTAGTGGTTCAATCGTCTCTCGATTCGGCATTGCCTTCAAGGATCTCTTTCGATGAATTTGATACTGAGCCGCCGGCTAATAGTAATGACAACGAGATAGGAGAATCAGCCACTGAACTGAAGCCTCACCCCAAGGAAACCTTTACCGGGACATCTATGCAGATCATCCTCCTTGACTCGCTCCCAACACGCCTTCGAATACTCAGTCTCCTGAACGGTCTAAACTCCGAGCTGTCTTATCTAGATGTGCTTGACTTGAGCGCGGATATTCTCCAAACTTGTCGTCAATGGAATACCTTTGCAAGAGAAAACAAAGCATCTGGCGTCACCCCCTTTCATCAGAATTTACTCGACTATCTTTTACGCCGTTTCTTGATTCCGCTCCATTGTCCCTTTGCTAATAAAGCGCGGGTGAACCCGTTATTCCATTATTCACTCAAGGTTAGCATAGACACCGCCATGACCATAGCATCTCCTGAGCCAGATGAAGGATTCTTCAATCTTATGGCGATTGGAGGGGGATTGTTCAAAGAGGGCATCCGATATGCCACAAGCATAATTAGTCTCGAGCTTCTCGCCCAAGTCGAAACTCAGTATCTCGACGGAGCATTACACCGCAACTCACATTACATAAATCCGCTTAAGAAGGCTATAGCAGAAATGACTTCCCAATCATTAGAGCGGATCCGGCAAGGAGAGACAAATGTCAAGAGCCACATGTTCTTATGCATGATCACGGCTCAAGCGGAAGCCACGGAAGAAGGCATATCTGGCGAAGGGCGTGTTGCGAAGGGTGCGAGGGATAGTATTTCGTTGTGTCTGGAACTGTTGCAGAATCGTCTGGGTACCACTTCTCTGTCAATACCTACGCCGGATGTCGAATCTATCATTGGTGAAAGAGATGACTACACATATGGATTGGATTTTGACATGGACTTCTTCTTGGCGGAAACAGGCTTTTCTTGAACTTCTGAAATCTCCAGAGAGCCAAGGACTTATTAGGATCAACTTGGCATGTTACAAACATGCCAATGATGTATATTTGCACCTAAAAATTGTACAACTACTCTCCTCTTTGTACAAGAGAAATGGTCGCGTGATGTCACGATGGTTACGCAGATATACCGCAGCGGTTATAATTACTATTTCGAGAGGCTAGATGTAACACATTTCATGCACAGCTTAACCCACTTGCATGAGTGGTGGAATCACAAGCCATTTTATAGAAAACATTTAAAAGGGGCCGTTAATTGAACTATTATGCGATGCCCCATTTACACGGTGATCGCCCCCTCGGCCGAAACGGTAGCGGGCGGATATATCGCGCGGCAGAGATTTACGGCTTCAATATACCGAGACCAGCAGTTCGACATATACTAGTAAGACATATATATATCCCTTACATGTCGCCCTCATCTAAGCTCAACAAGTTTGTTAGCATCATCACCTCAAGACCTCAGTCTCACCGGTACAACTCTTACACTTCAACAATCCAACAAGAACGCCGAAACCGAACGTATAAAACTCCAGTATCAAATATCAGTCTATAAACACCAATGGCACAAATGAAAGTGTTAATCAGCGGTGCTGGCATCACTGGAAATGCCCTCGCCTACTGGCTCTCCAAGTTAGGCCACGATGTGACCGTCATTGAACGTTATCCTGAACTTCGAACCACTGGCCTTCAAGTCGATCTCCGAGGTCCTGGAGTCGAAGTCCTGAAGTTGATGGGACTCGACCAAGCTTTTCGCGCCAAGGCCGTGCCAGAACAAGGATTTGCCGTCGTCGATAGCTCCAACAGACGACGAGCCTACTTCGGAGTGAACAATTCAGGCAAGGGGGTGCAGAGCTTCACTACTGAATATGAGATCATGAGAGGTGACCTGTGTCGTATTATGTACGACGTGATAAAAGACAAGGTCGCTTTCCTATTTGGAATCTCCATTGACAGCTTCAAGCAAAAGAACGATGGTGTTGAAGTTCATTTCACCGATGGCAACACAGATCACTTTGACTTCTTGGTTGGTGCTGACGGCATGGGCTCAAACACCCGCAAGCTCATGTTGGGACCTGGTGTACAAGACGCATTACGTCCAGTGAAGGGTGCATACACGGCATACTTTACGATTCCTCGTCCAATTCAGGAGGGAGAAGAGTACAACTCAACATTCTACCTGGCGACTAAAAGGCGAGCCATCATGACGCGAAGGCATAATCCAGAGGAGATCCAGATATACCTCCCTTGCAACACGACCTCTGATCGGATGAAGAAGGCCCACCGAGACGGCGTAGAAGAACAGAAGAAGGCTCTGGCGGAGATTTTCACCGACGCCGGCTGGCAGTCGAAAGATATCATTCGAGACATGTTTGACTCGGAGAACTTCTACTGCGAGCGCCTGGGTCTTGTCAAACTCGATTCTTGGTTCAACGGCAATGTTGCCCTTTGTGGTGATGCTGCATACTGTCCTTCGCCACTCACCGGCATGGGAACAACCTCCGGTCTTGTAGGAGCTTATGTCCTCGCTGGAGAGATTAGCCGTCATTGCGGAAAGCCAAAGGAGGGAGGCAAGCCTACTGATGGTCTTGACGTGGCGTTCAAGAGTTATGATGACAAGTTCAGGCCATTTATTGATCAGGTAACGCACGGAGTGGGTGACGACACCATCTTTTGGAACAAGATGCCATCGTCGCCGTTTGCTATTGCGCTCGTCAACTTGCTTCTGGGTATAGCTGCCTTCTTGAGGCTGAATGTTGTTGGAGAGTGGATTCTGAAGGAGAATGTGAAGTGGACGCTTCCCAACTACGACGGACTGATGAGAAGTTGATTGATCAAGTTGTTTTCTTATGAGCCTATGATACTGGCTATGTAGATTGTACAGTGAAGGTCTTGACAAAGACATCACTCTAGTATCACGGGTGTGTCTAGCATTTAATATCTCTATTTTAATTTAATCTATTCTTCTTATACTAATTGTTCATATATACTTTTACCGGCTACAAATGCTTCTCACAACTGCCTTCTTCTCATATTGTGTCGCGGCCATGCGCATCTGTGAGATCATTCAGCAGCATCAGGTTCATCTCCAATGATGAGAAGATGCATATACCAAAAACAGGCCTTCTGTATCTCATTCAAGCGTAATTGGTTTAGTGGTAAAATTCTCCGTTGCCATCCGCAACGTCGGGGAGCCCTGGGTTCGATTCCCAGATTACGCATACGAATTCATTTTTTGCACTAGGTGATGATTTTTTGTTGGTTCAACTTATCGTGGAGTCGTGATGGACTTTGGTGGGGTTACTCGGCCTTGGTGATGGTGTTATCAATGTTATATAACTACCCCCGTTATGCTCCTCAATGTTCTTATAATGTATGGAGAAGTGAGAGTTGAGACGTTGTATAAGTATATCGGAATTATCTGATCATGGCAGATGACAACATAGCTTGCCAGATTGTAGATGCGAACCCTATCTCTAAGTAGCGATGCTCGGCATATTAATCCCGCCTTGAGCAACATAATCGATGAGCCCTACTGAACTTGTTTCTTCGTCGAGAAGAAGCCCCATGTCATACGCCAATTTCTCAAATAGATGCTTCAGTAGGCCATTCATGCCAAGGGTTTGCGCCCCTCCAGAGGAGTGGACTATTTCTGCAAGCCCACGTACATGCTGCCTTGATGCAGCTATATTGCCAGCTTGTATCTATAGATATGGCATCAGTCTGGTCATGCCAGTTTGTATCATTATGAGGTAAGTCTAATGTTATATGAGTAGCACTTACCTCGTCTAATGTCAAAGATATAATCGTGGCAATTATCGAGTCTCTCGCCGAGCAATTCCCAGCATCAATGGCATCTCTAATAGCGCGAATGCAGAGGATTCTATACTGCATCGCCAAAGTAATGTATTCTTCATTCTGGTAGGCTTCATGTAAATGGCGACAGGTGGACAAGAACGTTGTGCTCAACATGCCCACGTTGGATATGGCCAGCTGGATCCAGCTTATCCGTAGCTGGTGGTGGTGAATGCTTGTATCTTTGAGTATCATGCACTTGGAACCATATTGGGTAGTGACTATTGTGACATCTGGAGTTATGAATCAGAAAAATGAGAGAATATCTCCGCTGAAACACCAATGGCAAACTTACAATGATCAAAGAGGTAGTGCTCCAGTGGCGAAACCGGCCTAGCAAAGCATCCAAAGGGATCCCGCCGACTGGATGTGAGCTGATCAACAGGATCGGGGAACACAGCAGGGTGACTCTCGGGTACAATTTCGACCAAACAGTTGTCTCTCCGCTCTGTAGCTTCACCGGCTTGACTTTTCTTCATAGGCGGAATACTCGGCTCCACATTGTCGGCCTGATTCGCGGCTTTGCGAGCATGCTTCGCTCTAGCATGAGATACTCGAGCGGCATGTGAGTACGCGCGGCGTTGTAGCTTGGAGGAAGACCCTTGCGAAGGATGTGACAGATTTATAAACTCAAGCTTGCTCTCCATTGGTAGTAGTAACACTCCGGAGTTGAGCCTCGTTCAGCTACAGGCGAGAGACCATCATGCAGGGCTAGCTGTGCTCAAGCGGCTCACGTACCAACGTGGGGTTCGAGATCGGGATAGTTGGATGAGAATATATGACGGAGTAAGATACAGAGCACGGCCGAGGAATTGCTTGTCCTCAATCTCTGTTGTGCGAGTGTTCGTGTGGTGCCATCACTGGAATTCCGACGTTTACAAAACATTTTGCCGCCTTAATCAATGTACCTTTGTACTCTTTCCTAATTGGGATAGACCCCGCTTACTAGGATTCTTTCGGGGTTTTATGATAGAATCCTCATCATCAAGATCACGAGAGTTCAGCATAAGAAACTTTACTTTTCGTACAAACACTTGCAATTATGAAGAGCCCTAAGTCGTTAATCTCTAAATTTTATGTATAAAATACTTAGATAATGTTGGATGCAGAGGACCCCCCACGTGTACTCATGTACTCTTTCTAGAATGGGAATAACGCTATCTTGAATACATCGCTTACCACCCTAGAGGATTAGAAGACTGTAGCATATGGCACGGAATTATAACGTGTCTTCATTCAACTCTACCATATTGATTCAAAGTGTTTATAATCATCAAGTCGAAGGCGGAGAATGGTTCTCCGCTTCATTGTTGCGGACATGAATCCGAGGAAGCGGACTTGAAACTGGCTGGAGAAATAAGAAGCTTAGAAGGTGTCCATCCAGTGATCGCTATCATCATTTTATCACCCTTGATACATTCTCGCAATTATAGCAACATCAATAAGATCTCTGAGTCTCCATCAAAATGACTACATCTAAGCAGGCCAACGTGGCCATCATCATCACTAGCACCAGACTTGTTAGAGTTGGACCGGCAATTGCCAACATTGTCAAAGACATTCTTGAAAAGGAAGATGGAAACGAGACAAAGCTCTCCTTGGTAGATCTTGCAGACTTTAAGCTGCCAATCTACAACGAGAGTGTTGTTCCGTACCAAGTTCCCTCTCAGGCAACCTATGCCAACGAACACAGCCGCCGCTGGAGTGCCGAAATCTCCAAATACGACGCCTATATCCTGGTCATTCCAGAATACAACTACGGTGTGGCAGGAAGCACAAAGAATGCGATTGACTACCTGAGGAATGAGTGGATCGGGAAGCCAGCAGCCATCGTAAGCTACGGCATGACGGGCGGCAGGAATGCTTCGGAACAAGTCAAGGTCTCGCTCGAGGGAACAGAGCTTCGTGTGAGCCCTACACGACCTCAACTCATATTTGCAAAGAATGGTGAAACACCAGACATATTTGCTGCTATGCATAAGGGCGAGCTTGGCGAGAAATCCCGTGAAGTTTGGACCACTGAGAACAAGAAGGATATTGTGAAGGCTTTCGAGGAGTTGAAAGAGGCAATCAAGAATCCCCCGGCAATCAAAGAAAAATAAGAATAGATAGCTGACATATACAATACTCCTATCTCTTAAAGTCAAAGAGTCTTCTATTCTACACCCATCTAAGCTCAATATTATCACCCACTTGCTTACTATTGAACCACTCTACAATCTCAATCTTCTCTACCACTGGTCTTGCGCCATCTAACACACGGCTTCTAACCAAAGCCTCAGAAGCCCACCACACAATTGCAGATGCAAAATTGCGGGCAATGCATTGCCGCGGGCCTTTGCCAAAGTGAAAACTATCTCGCAACATTTCCGGCGTACACTCCAGCCAGCGCTCTGGCACGAACTCATATGGCTTTGGAAACACTTGGGAATTGAAATGCAGCGAGTAGGCTCCAATTCCAACGCTTGTACCAGCTGGAATGGTTGGCAACCCCGGGACATTCAGCCCTCCCGGTGGGACAACCCGGGGAAGACGAGTGGGATTGGCCAGTGCTAGACGGCAAGCTTCTTTAACCGCTCCCGATAGATAAGGGAGAGATCGAGCGTCGACTCCAGGGTTCTGCATGATCTCTTTATAAATACGCTCGAGCCTGGAAAATAAGTAAGAAAAGTGTCTATGCGTAGTTGGGGATCACTCACGTATCGGGTGCCTGGGCAAGATGCCAACAGAAAACAGCCAGAATCCTAGCAACCCCATCTGTGCCTGCAAACATGATATCCATGACCTGTGATATAGCTTCCTCCCGTGAGAGATTTGCATTAAGAAGGCGTCCTTGGTATGTTTCTTTCTCTCCTTGGGCGATACTGCCATCCACAACCTTGGCTGCAAACTCCTGAACAATATCTGTACTCGTGGTTATTAACTGCTTATTCTTGTCAAATTTCGCAGCCCAACTATCAACAAAGCTAAATAACCAACTCGGAAGATAAAAGAAGCGACCGCCCGCAGCAAAATTATCGACGAAAGCAGTCGCGCTAAGTCTTTCAGTGCCAACACTGTTGAAGCACTCTCCAATCAGATATTCCGTCAAGGCATCCATCGCCATGGAGCGAAAGAGGTTTAATAAATCAACTGGTCTGCCTGCTACCAGAGATCTTCGGCGCTGTAACTCGACCAGTGTTGCATCGATAATTTTCTGCATAGCTGGTTTGCTGTTTGTAATTGCTTGCTGCGCAAACAAGGGCGACACAGCCTTGGCTCGAACTGCTCTGTGGGTATGATCTGTCACTGAGAATATGGTAGGAAAACCGTTGATATCGAAATTTCTGTATCCAGCAATCTTTCTAAAACCGCCATTGTCGACATAAATAGGATTGACAGCTGCTCCGTCGGAAATGTCGACTTCATTCGGGGCAATGCGGACCGCAGGTCCGTATTTCTTGTGCAAAGCAGTAATAACTGTACATTCAATACCTTTCCAAGTAAGATACCAGTACCAGATTGGAGTAAGGCGAGCGATGAAGGGGCCGGGGATGTGTCCTAGGCGGTCGGTGCTCAGTCCGTAAAGGAATTTCAGTAGCAAGATCGAAATCACAGCCACCCCAATGGATACAGGACTCAGGGTTGTCACAATCAAGGTTGAATTGGTAGCAGCAGTCGCCATTATGGCTAATGTCGATGAAGCAGCTCTGTGACCAATTTTGATGTTGAAGATTGTTGAGCGATACAAATTGAGGGGTTTGCGAAACCAGGCTTTAGTTATGTGGTCATGCCGCTTGAATCCTACGCACAATTGTGGAAATCCATGCATGCCAATACTTATAGTCTCCCTTGCATACGTGCCACAGAGACACCGGTTTTCGATGCCATCTACGCAGTATTATTATTCTCAGCCTACCATATAAATGCTTTAATTCTACAATTAAGCAGTAGAACGATAAAAGATTCATGACCTCAACGGATTACTCCCGGGGTAACAATTCCCGCTTAACATATGTTTTGATGAGGACAATGTTACTGTGAATTCTCTCAAAGAAGTTGTCGACACTAGGGACCTTGGGAAGATCTTGTCTCTGTCGATGTCGCTGCTAAGAATTTTGGATCAATCTTCTTCAAGTTTTGTATATGCACCCACCCAGTGAAAAGCTGCAATAATAAGAGCAACTGTTGTAGGGGACTGTAAAGCTCAAATACTCGACCGCGCATACTTGTTTACGTTAATTAGATACTCCTTTGACATTTTCATCCTCGAAGCTGCCCAGGGTCTATCCTCGTAACGTAGAACGATTTCAACAAGCTTCTTGGAGGCGACCTTTGTTTCTTATACGAGAATAATCATGTGTGAGCCGACAGCTCAGATCAACCTGTGGTCTGCGATCTGAATCTGCGCTAGGAGCAGAGGAACTCACTCTTTCAAAGGCCAGCCAACAGACATCTTCTACCATATTCCTATTTAGGTAAAAATATCCCAAACGGGGCCGAACACCAAATACCGGGCCGGAAGACGGCTACTCATACCGGAAGAGCTAAACTCTTGATCGGTTAGAGGTCTCCATAGCTGAGGCGGCCCCATACAGTACTACCTAGCTATTATTTCTCGACGTGGTGTTGTATTCTATCGATCATGCTAGTGAAATTTAAAGATACGTAGTAGGTGTGTATTGGTCCAGGTATTCTTTCAAACTGTAGATCAAAGTACAGAATGGACACCAACGACGATTGATCTTACGTGGTCGACATAGAGTTCTATGACGCTTCCTAAGATATCTTAGTGGCGGCTCAAAGGAGCTTCAGTATTTCATTACTGGACCAGACGCTGGGGGAAAAAAATCATAGCTTTATACGTGAAACCCTTCCTTCCATATGTCGCAAAAGCTCTTCTTGTTTTCCATCGAGCTCATGGATACCGGTCAAAAATTGATAAATTAGAGCGCTAGAGAGGTTCGGAATTTTCGGTAAAGGGACGATTTGGGTATAAATACATTGCTCGATATGGATCGGCGTGGCATTATTGGATCTGCAACCCTTTTCACAACTTATCCTCATTGGCTACAGGTGGTTAGGATAAACGTGTTGCATCCATGGATGTTTAAACAGATCCATGGATTCCTCGGCACTTCGGAGCATCCCGAGTGGCCGCTCCGTAGTTCCCACTTTGCCCAGATCCGTTACTGATCACAGCCGGGAACGAACTGCCATGTGAAAGTTCTTTGCAAATTTGACTCATATTTCAATCAATCGCGACATAAGTTATCTGGAAAACCCCTTAGAATTTTCCGTGTCGGTTTTGCAGTAGTTTTTGCTCTCCTCAGCTTCGAATTCTTGAGATTACTCATCTTGAATTGTCATCATTCCCGTGACAGGGAGGCTTCATTCTAATCATATAACTGGGTCGGATGCCATACATTCAGCCAATCACAAGCCCGACCTCGGCTGACGTGGGATTCAAGTCCGAGGTTTAATATTCCGAGGTTTCCATGCGTCGAAGCTCCTCGTTTCTATTTCCCAACAGGCAAAGATCCCTTCAATGGTCCAGTAGCTCTGTGTCAAGGCAAAGAAATAACTGCGTCAAGATGTCGACTCGCCGCTATCGTTCGGCTATTGCGTGTCAAACCTGCCGGGTGCGCAAGGTGCGATGTAGCGTGTCCATGACGGGAGTGCCGTGTATTAGTTGCGAGCAGGACCAAACGGAATGCATCCTGAAGCCACGACAAGGCAAACGGTAAGCCATTCGTCCGTGTATTCGTATCATGGGAAACGATGTTGTTTATATCATCAAACCGGGTTACTGATTGATACCAAGCCACTCGTCCCACAGCCATCGGCAGAGCACTACTGTGTTCCCGGCTCCCCGTCACTATGTTGAAAGCTCGGCAATGCGGGATACCGCTAACCAAAGCAATGCCAATCCTTCGTCACCGGACTCTAGTCCGGGGGGTGAAGTTGTACCATTGCAAGACTCACAAGCGCCGTTGGACACGCCTGAGACCAAAGTTTCAGCTGCGTCCAGCGAGCCAAGTGCTGCTGATGAGGAACAGCTCGGCGTTGAGATGGTAGAAGTGGCCCTGGGACATCCACGAAGAGAGTGCCAAGTCCCGTACTACATCGGTATGTTAATCGGAAGGATCATCGAGGTGCATAGTCTCATGCAGCAGCGTGTTATTAACTCTAAACCCATGCAGGTGAGCAGACTGGGGGGCCTACATCAACCATGCATATATGCACAACCGATCACCTCATACCAAAGCATCTCCTCATGCCGGCAGCAAAGCCAACCACCTTAACCGAAGATGAAAAAACCTTTCTCCGCCGTAAAGGCGTCTATTCATTTTTATCAGACACAGCAAGTGATAGTTTGATCCGGGCATATTTTCACAATGTCCACCCGATCATGCCCATCCTGGAAGCGGACAAGCTCCTGGAATACCATCGCTCTAAAAGATTGAAAGAGTATAACCTTATACTGCTGTGGGGTCTTTATACCATTTCTTCCAATGTAATTCCTCCTTTCTATCCAGATCGTCTGTGGTGGATGTAATTGCTAATTAACGGACCACAGTACGTACCTGCAGAGATATACGAGAATGAAGGGTTCACATCTCGAAAAGCGTTTAAAGCTGAGATGTTTGCTCGTGCGGTCGTACGTCAACTCTGTATTATTCTATTGTCTCTCTGTTTCCGATAAAGCTAACCCTTCATTTAGTGCGTATATAACAACGGCGGGGAAAAGAACAACCTCATCCTTCTACAGGGGGCGCTGCTATTAGGCTTCTGGAACTCAGACATAGAGGACCACATGCAGCCATGGCAGTGGAGTGGCCGAGCTATTAACTTGTGTCATGTCCTCGGTCTCCACCGCGATATTGATGCCATCGGATACAACCCATCCATAACCGAACGACAGCGTTCACTATTTCGGAGACTATGGTGGACGTGCTTCTGGCGAGATCGTTGGCTTTCCGTGTCGCTGGGCAGGCCTTTGCGGATCAACCTTGACGAATCTGACACTCCAGATCCGCTGGTTTCAGACATTGCCGTAGACCTGGAGGGCATACCAGAGTCTGTGACATCGGCGTTCTTCCCCAGAGACCTGCCACGATTGGCAGAATATTGGATCCAGTTGATACAAATGACGAAATTGCTGGGCAAGACGCTCATGACATGCTACCAGCTGCGACGGCCTAAACCCACTATTAATCAGATTGATACTCTCGAGGCAGAGTTGATGCGCTTTAATATGCCAGAACACCCAGATCCGATTCTATCTCGATTGGCGACATTTTACTATTACCATTTGCAGCTACACTATCAGTTAGTACCTCCTCAACGTTCTCCTTTTCTCGCTTACGATTCACTAACCGACAGATGAAGGGCCATATTAATCACATTTTACCGACCTTGTAGTGTAGAGGCTCCTTCAGATCTGCCTTCTTACCGCCAGAGAGAATGGCAACAGGAAATGCAGGGGAAAGCAATGTCTGCTGCCTCAAAGACGTGCAACATTGTCTATGCACTCGCTCAGGGCAACTTCTTTTCCTTTGCCGGACCAATGACGTGAGTTGTTCCTGCGTTCAATAGTGCTTTGACTTCTATTGTCCAACAGTTTGTGTTTGACCGAGATATATACTAATATTACCGCTTAGGCCTACGCTTCTGGTCCCGGCAATGCAAGTCTACCTTCTCAATTGCAAATTCGGCGACGCCCTCTCAAGGCGACTCGGCTTAAATATGCTAAACATGTGCATGATGATCTTGGAAGAGCTGCAAAAGACGTATTCAGTCGCTTCCGTGTGCCGAGGTATTTTCGGCAAGGCCATCCAGCAGCTTTTCCCCGACGATGCTGCTAGTATTTCTTTAACCCACTCTCTTCCCGAGCAAGACATAACGCCCGTAGCGGAGCTGATGCCCCCTCCGAGCTCTATTCCAGATACTGCTCTTCAGTTGGAGCTCTTTGGTGCCAATGTCACCAAGGCGGATTTTATTGATGCCCTTACAGCTGAGGCATCCATTTTCAGTTTTGTCGATATGCTGAACTTTTCATCATGATCATAATATAATACCTAATGCGCTTGATACTTTGTATGTACATGTATGTAGCCTATGTTGGGCTTTATGTACTGTTCCTGTTAAACTACTTTTTAATGATCAAAAACATGTTACTTCTATATGCACCCCATGAAGCCTAAACCGAATTCATGAATGTATTTTTTTTTACCAAATAACTACCCATGGTGTGGCTGACCACAAACGGCACGGTCAGCGTGCCAAGGCATGCCTTGAGTTAGATCTCGGGATAAATGGGATGATAATGCTCTAGATTCCTCGGCTGCTTGGCAGACCTGAATCTACCCAAGCCAAAGCCTTGGCGATCTCGGGCCGATGCCGAGCCTGGATCCCACACGGGCCGTCATCTGAAAAGGGCAATATGGATGGATGCAGTTGAATCGCTACCGAGGGTAGGGTATTGAACTGATGATGGAGTATATATTAAGTTATGACCGAGTACAACAACTAACTAAAGCTTCGCCTACTCCTAGCCATGCTCATCTTTGTCGTATGCTGGGTCATTCACGTGAAAGCCTTAGTTATAGCTTAAAGAAAACTCTATTTTGGCATTCTCTACTCAATAAGAAACCATTGAAGAACACTCAAGCTAAACAGTAATGCAATTATAAACATATCACTGGTATGTAGCAGTGGTATGGAATTTTTTTAGAGTAATTTTCCCTTTAATCACTGCTTATCCTCCTATTATCCATCAAATACAACGTCGATAAGTCCTACGCTAGCACCTGGGATCATCTTTATGGCATTCACCCGGAACCGATCATCTGCCATCTTGAATACGATAGTCCAATCTTCAGCTGTACGTTCCTTAGCATTGAAAAGAGCCAACATCTGCATGTCAAAAGCACCCTGCATCTTCCTCACCGGTAAAGGCGGTCGCTGTCGATTTTCATCGTAATCTGGAAGCATAATGATGTCGAATAACGCAATTCGAGCCCCTGGTGTTAAAGCTGGGACTAGTTGCTGGAGAATCTTCACAACGTATTTGTCTGGCCAATCGTGGAAGATATTGCGAAAGATGTATGCGCTTGCGGAAACAGGCTGTGGCGTAAAGAAGTCGTGAACTTGGAATGATATGCGGTCGGCAAGCTTAGGAGCTGATGCCATGGCTTCGTCAAAGGCTGGCTGTAGTTCCGGGAGGTCCTGAACTATGAAATGGAGTTGTGGGTGGGATTTTGCGACCATTGCGCTGATATGGCCGCTTGAACCGCCAACCTGTGAGATTAATTAGCGATGGGAGCTCTCTCGTATTAGATCTGTCAGAGACATACATCAACAACAATAGCCTCGCCAAGGCTCTCCCAGTCAAACGTTTCCACATAAGTTTCGGTATTAATCATGCCACCGAGAGCTTGCAGTCCTTCAGCGAATCTAGTTGCACGATAGCCTTTTGGCTCGCCCTCCTTCTCATCCGCATTGAGAAATTCCCACATTGGACGAGACACCACCTTGCCGTCAAAACTCGCTAGATAGAAGGCAGCATGTTCCAACTCTTCGCTCGGTGTCGGGTGTCCAGCAGACCACTTTTGCAATGCATCTGCCATTACTATAGTCGCAGGGCGGACGTCTTCAAGGAGATGACTCGTGAAGGACTGCATATGGTGGTTACGAGCCATATATGCAGAGGCAGCGGTGTGGACAATCCGGTTGGACTCAGGAGACTCTTCTCGAAACAGGTACATGCTCATGCCGAAGCGAAGGAATCGATGAGCCATTTGTTCAGGTAGTTTCGTAGCGGCTGCAATCTCGGCGTAACTGGCAGAGCCTCCCATTGGAACCGCGCCCCAGAAGTTGAAGCGGTTGAGGACGTCTAGTGCCATGGCCTCATTGCCTAGCTAAGATTCATACCCTCAGTACGACGAAACTTAACAGGATATGTATGGCTTTGTGGTACTTATCCACATGTTTTGTGTGATAAAATACTCGTTGGGGCCCATTGCTAGATGCAGCATATCCATCAGAGCTCCGACAAGTTTGGTACGGGGGCCTTGGATATCTTGATCAGGTGGTAGGGATCCTGGTGCATCTTCGTTGAATGATGGCTCAGGCAGGTTCCTTGCCCGAAGAGTGGCCGTGAGCGTTGTGGTGAGCTCTGTAATGGCGGCGAGCAAGCTCTCGAGCGTTTCACTGGTTTGTGCCATTTTGAGTTGACGAGGAGATTTTCAAGGAGACTTTTCCTCTGTATGTTGGGGCTCAACTGCAGAGGGAACAGCCTTCTATATCTTGTGCTGGCAGTTTCTAACAGCGGTCAGCGTATTGCATCTTACATTTATTCTAGGAATGTTAACAGGGTATATATAAGTAATCATCACGGACTCCAACGAATGAACTGCCATTGATAAATATTGTACAGCAGGTTCGAGACATGTACACGACTGATGAGGCTCAAATCGGAAAAATTACTCGAATTGAAGAGCTCCATGTAAGCACTATCGCAGAAGAAGGCAAGAAAACCATCCGGTCGGTTTACCCGTGCATTAGCTCATTGTTTCTTTTACAATTGATTAGTTGTGTTCTATTTTCTCGGTCCATATTATTGCTTTAACGGCAGACTCAATTACATGGAATTGGTGGAGTTGTGTTGCCAGATATAGCAACCTCCATCTGAATTGATCATCCTGACTTTACTCAACTGTGTTAGTGACTAGTGGTCATAGTTGTCTACCATTTCCTTTGACAAAAGACGAAGTAAGTTATCACCAAATTGAATCTGTGTTGGTCACAAGTACAAGTGGTAGATCATATTAAAGATGTTGACATTAAGACTATTAAGACTCTAATTGGCTGAACGTTGAAAGCGAGAACAACTGGCAAATCTATTTATTAAAATATCCTCGACTCATTAAACTATCCTCGACTCACTGGAGGCGGCATTAAATCTATCTATTTAGCACGGCACATTCTTCCGTTGTTATCAACAGTCCAGGCCTCACTGCCCACGAGGCGGAGACCATAAAAGAGAGAGTTAGGGTCATACTTCTTCTTGATAGAAAGAAGAGTGTTGTAGTTGGAGCCAAAAAAGGTCTGCTGGAAGTTGGGCTGCTGGAAGTCGCCCTCGTTCATGTACGCACCGCTACCAGGGGTCACAGCAGTAAGCTGCGGCACATACTCGTTGGTAATGGTCTTCTGGTCGGCGAGCATCTGCGACCATGGTGCGGTGTTGTTCCAGACGGTACCGATCTGCAGATGCACCGTGGTGGTTCGCCAGATGGGGAACACTGCGTTGCTGGCCGCGCCGGCCGGCTTGGCGTAGTTTGCGGAGCTGCCTACCATGACGACACCGTGAGCAGTCAGGTTCTGCAGGACAGCCTGGAGAGCATTGTTGTTGTTCTCGAGGACGCTGCGGGGGATCAGTCGGCTGCCGTAGTTGAAGTCGCCAACATCGAGGTTTCCGTTGGGGAGCGGGCCCATGTAGGTGTTGTAGTGGTCATAGTATGAGAGCGTGGTGTATTGGGTGGAGATGGGAGTAATGCCAAGCTCGCTCATCAGGGCGTTGAAATCCGCAAGAACAACGTTCTGGACGTAATCGGACGTGGAGTTATAGACGGTAACGGGCTCGAGCACGAAGACGGTGTTGGTGAGAAGGTAAATGACCATGGCGCCCTTGTCAATCATGGCGGGTAGCATGGCATGGAACCCGGCAACAAACTTGTTGAAGTTGTCCTGAGTGGTGGTGGCGGCAGCGATGGTGATCTTCGCACCACCAATGGTAGCATCAGGGTGAAGCTTGACGGTCATGGACGTAACGACTCCGTATCCAGAGCCGCCTCCGCTCAGAGCCCAGTACAGGTCGCTGTTCTTGGAGGGAGAGGCAGTCAGGATCTGGCCAGCCGCAGTGACAACCTCGAACTCCAGAGTCTGATCAGCACCGAGACCGAAGGAGGTGCTCAGAGCAGAGTGGCCACCACCTTGGGTGTAACCTCCAGCGACGCCGACGGTTGGGCACTCGCCAGACACGGCGACAAAGCCCTTGCTGTGGGCAGCCTCCAGCATTTCAAAGCCTTGGACGCCCGCGCCCACCTTCATCGAGGGACCAGTGTAGCCGGCGCTTTTGTAAGTCGAGATGCTGATGCTCTTCAAGTTGTGAGTCCAGATACCCAGGGCGCCAGCGCCGGTAGAACGACCAAAGAAGCTATTGAGAGAAACGCGATCAGCCTACATTAATACCTTTAAAGAGAAATTAGTTGCAAATTAGTCGACATACTCATGGCCGGTGTTGCGCACAACCACGCGGATGTTGTAATTGGTTGCGAATGCCAGGGCGGCCTGGACATCGGCGTCACACGAGACGTTGACGGCATAGCTGATGTAGTTGCCCAGAACGCACGGCTTAGACTCGGGGGTGAAGGGATCGCAGCTCTGGTTGGCGAAGAAGGGCTGCATCACCGAGGAGGATGTCGTGTAGCTACATATCGCATTCTGTCAGACATGCGCCGGCGAAGAGGGTTGAAACAACGAACTGGGTTTGCGGCAGCTCCCAATTGGCCTGCAGTTGCGAGCAAACGGCCTTGTTATACTTGGGATCATGGCATGGCGTTCCAATGGGGACGGTCGCAACAAGTCGACCTCCGACTGACGAGTTCAGTGACTTCCATGCGGCAGCATTGGGCCACTGAGGATCGCTGGGGAGGTAACGGCACGGAGGAGGAGGAGGAGGGCGAGCAACAGCTTCTGTGGTCAAGTTGGACGCGTGCGCAGAAGCCAGCAGCGTGGCCGTGGCCGCCAATTGAAGGGAGAACTTCATCTTGCTATTATCCGAGGCAGATGAAGGTCCGGTAAAGGTAGAGTCTTGACATTGAAAAGAGAAACACCAACAACATGTCGCGATGGACAGTATACATATTCCTGCGACAGATCCATTTTTATCGCATGAGGACAGCGTCGTATTACCAATTATGGGGACGTTGGAGACACGGAGATTGGAGACGGTCACTGATCGCACAACAAGCGAATGTGACGTCGCTGCCGCCGAAGACTTGAGCAGCGTTTAGGGCATAAATCGGCTCCATTACGTTGGATCCAGCAGGTGAACTATTGAATATATTTCCTATGTTTAGAGATGTCAAGAGCGTTGAACCGAGGAGGCAAAGTGCCAAGAGGGGATGTTGCTCCGTCCTCTTCTTCACAGAGGCAAAACCAAGTCGCCCTCACCGTGGATTGCAGCCGAGCCAAACCCCCTAGATGGGGGCTGCATTCTGCATTCCATATATCGTAGATCGGGCTTGGCCCAAGATGGACTAAACACGGATCCGGTCTCAGGTCAGGTTTACTATGATTAGGAACATGTCCGAAGCCCCCCGGCAAGCCACAGCGTCCCAAGTGTCGGTGAATCCCAGGCGAGCTTCCATTCCATGTATTCCATGTCTCACAACTCCACACAGCCGAGGCACGAACCTCGACAAACCGTTCGACTTTTGGCCTGTTCAAACTGAGCCCGCCGCCGAGAGAACGACATGCCCGTATCTGTGCTTCTGTGTGGGGTAGGCTTCGTGCATTTTGCAATCTCAAGCGGTTCATCCCATCCCAACAGACTGGATTTTCTCCCAGCGGAGATTGCAAATTCTCCATACATCCAAGCAGAAACCCACTCGCTAATCGTGGCGACAGGGATCGTTTGCTGGCTGGGAAAGGCGGAAAAGTTGCTGTATACAGCATTGGACAGGCCAGACAGGGGGGCATTTTCGCCTGCGAAGAGAGCCCGTCTATTTTATGCAGATCCACATCGCTGGGATTAACAGCAATCTTCTCGAATGACTCGACGACACCACGTGGTTATCAACCCTCAAAAACGTGGCACAGGGACAATTACAGCCGGATCAGCGCTTCTAACGCAATTATTCCACGGGGAAGTCCAGAAGTTGCTGCTTTCGTATTCAAATCTCTTTTAATAAACGTAAGCAAGGTTGAATCTTTGGTCAGCAGAAGCGACGACATCAAAAAGTATATAAAGGGCATGTTCTCCCGACTGAATGGTCGAGGAGAGATGGCTCGGTTTAGGTTTTGTGACCTGTGTCGAGCAACAGCTTGCTTCGAGCAGGTTTAGCCAAATACTCGGCTGAGTTGCGGCAGCATGTCCATTCTTGTTAGTTAGTCTACGGAAGAGGGTTGAAGAAAAGTATGGTTCATCAACTTGTGTGGTTAGTCTACTTTGATATCATCCCGAGTTCTGTATGCCTCCTTGGAAATGGGCGAGTTGCAGATTATCGAAGAGCTGCAGCTCAGTTCACATTTGATAAGCTTGTAATGAGCAAAATTCACTTCCACTTGGCTGGTTTCTCTCGCTTTCAAGATTCAATCTCGGCCACGGCGATGGTCTCGGACTCTCACGCGAGATACGGTTATCTCCATAGAGCCGTGGCAGACCTCATGAACCGAGAGCAGCCGCTGTGAGAGAGCTCTGGTGTTAGGTGGGGGTTTTATGACCTATAACAAGCACAGGAGAAAGCAAGAGCGTTAGTCATTGCTATCATTTGGCTCGCTCGAGGCAAATGGGCGTAGAGTGGAAGCGTGGAGGAGAATGCCCTCAGGTCCACATCGATTGTCAACGGATCCAGAGCCGACAATCAAATTTTTCTCTCCCGAGAGTGGGAAGGGCTTGACCGACGATCGGAAAGGGATTCACCGCGCGCGACGGGAGGGAAGAGCGCGAGAAGATCATGGACCGTGTTACCATAGCGCCAATCTTTTGCGGATACCTTTTCTCAGCGTACGAAGATCCGGGGTCAGTAGGGAGACTTTTAGTAGCAGCAGTTGAGAGCTTTTTCAGTCTGCTTCGTCCGTCAAAGCGACTCGGAGGCGAAAATCCGGATTTACGGCGCACACTTGGCCGTGACAGCTATCAATAGCGGCCCGGTTAGCAGGTGGCTTTTTTTGGTGTGCTTTGGTGGCGGTTGATAGCAAGCCTTTCCGACGGACGTAAGATGGAAGCTTCAAAAACCAGCGGAGATGGTCTGATTCTTGAGCTGTGGCTGAAGCCACTCCCCTCTGGTCGAATGTAGGGGGACTCGTTGGAGAGGATCGAAAGGAGGAGAGAAGAGTTGGGATGGAGTTGAGGATGTGTTGTGTAGTTTGTAATGCTCGGCTAATAATTAAGCATTGGCAACGAAAAGCCAAGACTTTTTAGAACGAGATGAAATGGCCCTTTTCGCCGAAATTGGACATCAGATAACCCAAAATCCCTACATCGTTGACGGTCCAGACCGGTCACTACCCTTATACGATGCATGAACTCGCCTAACTCAGCCGTTCTAACGAGATCACAAAGGGGCGGGGGAGAGAAGAAGAAGAAGAAGACACTCGGTCTTTGAGGCACAGATATTCGTAAAGTCACCAATGATGGCCTTGGTGACATGGCTAGGGTTATTTATTTACACAGGCCCTCCCCCTTACAGCCATATGGTCGTGGTTTACTAGATTCAATCCCCTCGACTGAACCTCCACAACGAATGGAGTCTCATGCGGGTAATAATACCGTACCATACTGGTGAAGTGGAAGAAAGTGCCGGCTGTTGAATCCGCCGTCCTGAGATAATTACCTAATTCTTACGGTGGTTGGCGTAGGTGTAAACTGAGGTGATTGAAGTGGATTCAAGCCAAACTGTGGAACCGCCACTAATAATAATCTTCAGCGCAGCCCAAAGTTCAAGATGCATTCCAGTCAGATTCCATCTCTTTTTTGTCTTCTCTTCCCCGTAAAGTGCGCCATACAGTACAGCCGTTACAGTACGCTCTGAATCTCCTTGCACTCAGGCGCCCTGTCATGCTGCAACTACCGGGAGGAAATTGCTCTAGCCATGCAGCCAAGCAATAGCCAAACCCCGGACTATAACACCATATTTGTACTTAGCCGGTGTCCCAGGGGGGGATGCATGTGTGGTGCTGAACCGTCCCTTTGGTGCTTCACGTTGTGTTCCACGTAACTGCATCCGGCAACTCCTTACAGCGTCTTCGCGTAGCTATCCGAAGTTGACCTAAACAACACCCCAGGCCTTCAAGGGGTTCAGCTCATGCAGTCTGCAGTCTGGTGTATTTCTGCTCTCCCCGCTGCAGATTGCGAGTCTCCACCAGCCGGTTTCACGGGGAGAGTCTTCCTGAGTCTTACTACGAGTTTAGTATCTCTTTAGCCCAGCGTAGAGGCAGCCGAAGCTCTCTAGGTCTACAGCCCGTTCTAAGCGGAACGCCAGCATAGGCTTAGAGAGGCGGTTTAGTGCCTCCCAGTTCCATGGTTTTTTCCCTTGGTGTTTTTTCTGTTTTGTCTTTTCGTCAGGGGTCCCTGCTTCTTGTGGAGATTTCTCATCCAGCTTTTCTTCCCGATGAACCAAACGCCCGCCCGTCGCATCCTCCAGAGCCGATTCAGCACGCAGGGCTAATGCAATGCAACGTCAGCAAGTCTGTCCGGCTTCAACAGCCATGGTTTTCTAGCAATGTTCACGAGTCAGTGAACTCTTTAGCTCACAAAATACAGCACTTGATGCCTCCCAGACAGCCCATATTCTAGAACCAAAGGGCCGCAGGAGATGGCTGCTAGTGCAAAGCGGCTACGCAAAGTGCGAATTAGACCCGTCCCTTAACTCATCAACGCCACAGCTTCGTATTAATTATACTAGGTTCTTTTGCCCTTTGCTACAGTATACTGTATTTCAAATGCCCGCAATAAACATGCTAGTACAGTGTAGCTGGCTTGTTCCCCGTCTTGAAATAAAGGGGCGTGCCCATAACCTCAATGTAAAGGATGCATAGTAAAAGCAGGTACATGGACTGCCCGTCTTGACGTCCACCTCGAGTGCAGATCAACCTTAAAAGTGATGATTTGACATCTCATTTTCTTGCCGGCCCCGAAAAAAAAAGAAGATTTCTTTGTTCCCCCGGACATCGATCTCGGAAGACCAGGAAAAAAGAAAATGAGGTTGCTTCTTCATCTCTTGCTTGCGTTCCTGGCAACGTTTGCGTTGGCTGCAGACAGCTCGGCCGCTGACAACCCGCTTTCGGTGTTGCCGGCATGTGCGGTATGCTATGCCTTTTTTCCTTTTTTTCCTTCCCCTTCTCCAGATATGTGATCCGAGCTCGAAACTAATGACGATCAGCAAAAATGCCTTGCATCGGCCATCGCGAATTCCACATGCAGTCCGACTGATGTGAAGTGTACCTGCGAAAGCTCGACCATTCAAGAAACTTCGGCCATCTGCATTGCGACCACCTGTACGGTTCGAGAGTCCCTTAGTATGTTGCCTACCAACCGCTCATTCTCTGTAATACTCCAAAAGCGATATCTTGTCTAACTCTTCACGTTAGCCACCAGAAATGCGACAGATACACTCTGCGGTGTCCCTGTCCGGAACAGGACCCCCGACTTCGCCAATGTCACCATCGTGCTTGGTGTTGTATCCGGCGTGGTTGTCCTCCTGCGTATCGGCTCTAAGCTTATCATGAGGATGGACTTTCAACTGGACGACTACGCCATCATCGTGACGCTCTTTTGCGGTATCCCTTCGTCAGTGATGAACGTCCGAGGCACTGGCGGAAATGGAGAAGGCAAGGATATCTGGACGCTGCCGTTCGACATGATCACCCGGTTTGGAGTATATTTTTACGTCCTCGAGATTCTATACTTCGCCCAGGTCATGCTTCTGAAGATGACGCTCTTGTTCTTCTATCTCAACATCTTCCCAGGCAAAGCCAGGACACTGCTGTGGGGCACTGTTATCCTCAATGGCGTGTTTGGAGTTACCTTTATGCTTCTTGCGGTCTTCCAATGCCACCCAATCAGCTTTTTCTGGACAGGTTGGGACGGCCAACACTCGGGTAAATGGTAAGTAGAAGCTTTCAGCCTCCGCCTTCTCCCACTAGCTCAGTATAAAGCTAACAGCCACACAGTCTCAACAGTAATGCCATCGGATGGGCAAACGCAGCCATCAGTATCGCCTTGGATTTATGGATGATTGCAATTCCCATGTGGCAGATCCGAAATCTCAACCTCCACTGGAAGAAGAAGGTCGGCGTCGCCGTGATGCTCCTCGTCGGTACTTTGTAAGACATCCCTCCCCACTGCGGCAACAAGCTCTTTGTCTAACATGACCCTAGTGTCACGGTGGTCAGCATCGTTCGACTCCAGTTCCTTGTGAACCTTGGTAGCTCCGCGAATCCCACGTACGACCAGGTTGACGTCTCTATCTGGTCCACTATTGAGATTAACACCGGTATTGTCTGCACGTGTCTGCCATCTCTCCGTCTGTTTTTGGTCCGCCTGTTCCCTAGCCTGGGTGGCTCTTCACATAAGAACAGCGGCTATCAGAATTACCCGGACAACTATGTCAACAAGTCAGATCATGCAGGTAGTCGGGCACAGACATTGGTTTCGGCTGTGAAGTCGCAGAATCGCCCGGAGCACAGCGGGATTGAACTCAACACAATGTACGAGGTACGGTATAGTGATGAGGACGAGTCCAGATTGGTTAAAATGCAAGAGGAACATGCAAAGGGGGGAGTGCATGTCGGTAGTTCACGGAGCATGGGTAGCAACAGCGAGGTGTCACTGTAAATTTTATACTTAATATTAGCTAGGTCTTTCAGGATATTAGCCAAGTTCCCCGTCTTATTACAAAAGGGAATTAAAAGTCATCAATAATTTGCTTCTTTTCATGGATACAACATATCAGCGCGGACAGTTAGTTTGGGCCATTCTTGCAAAAGTCTCATAATATTTTATTTTCGTGCTCATCCTTGTGCCTGGTATGCCCACTTGTAGCCCAAGATGGCTTCATATCTTGAACTATGTAAACATACACTTATATCATACATTGATTGACCTATCCCAGCAAATTCTCTTAATTGGCAGAAACTCCCAGAGCCTTGTTGAAAGCATCGGCTGCAGCCTGGCCCGTCAGTTGGGACGCAGCAGCCGAAGCACTTTGGCATGTAGAAACCACTGCAGCACTAGCCTTGCAGCTGGAATTGAGTCGGTCACAGATGAAGTCGGAAATGACCTTGATAGCTAGAGCCGAGCCATGGTTAAAGTCAGCTTCGTTGACAGGGGCAAAGGCAGGTTCAGTGCGGCCATCAAGTCCGTTGGCGAACTTGATGCTAGGGTCAGAGCACGAGCCGAAATCGCCCGTAGCAGCACTGCTTCCTGCATTTCCATTGCCGGCGTTACCGCTATCGGCGTTGTTACCACTAGCAGCATTGTTCGCTCCACCGTTGCTGGCGTTATCGCTGGTGTTGTTGGCGTTGGAAGCATTGGAGTTGGAAGCACCAGATGCGGCGGCCTTGCACTGGGTGTTCTGGTCATCACATTGGCCTACTCCTCCGGACAGCTGACCAGAGTTGGCAGCATCGGCACAGGCGTTGTGCTGAATGTCGCAAGACCGTCCAAGAGCGGCTCCAATGTTGACAAAGGTATTTCCATTAACGGAAAATGGTCGGTTTCCGGTGCCAGAAACAACAGGCGGGGGAGGGCCGCCAAGAGAGCCGGTGAAGGTCTGAACGTTGTTTCCACTAGCTGTAGAAGGGGCACTGCCGCTAGAAGCGGCTTGGGTTTGAGTAGCAGCAGCAGCTTGGGTGGAAGATGCTTCAACAACCGGCGGGGGAGTTGCTTGAGCAGCGGCCTGAGAGGTTGTCGCGGCATTGCTGTTGTCTGTTGGAGCAGCGGCGCCTCCTTGAACATTGGCTACGGAGAACTTGCTCAAGTCAACCAAGTCTGTGGCCTGAATACCGCCAGTGCCGGTAAATGTCTGAGACACAGCGGAAACAGCTGATGCGACTTCGTCTTGGCTAGCGTCGAGAACAAGCTTGCCCGTTGTGAAGATACATCCAAGCTGGGGATCGGTATCGTCACAGGTGTTGCCCTTGGCTGTGGCATCGTTAAGCTAAGCAATTGTTAATAATCAGGGTTTCAGAATATGTAGCTAAGGGAACATAAAACGTACATCGCCTGGGGCAAAAGTGCCACTCAAGAGGGCAAGATTGGGATCTGCTCCGATGGCCTTGAGCTGCTTCGCCAACTCAAGAGTAATACCCTTGTTTATGGAAGCAGCATTGGCTGATGCCGGGTCTTGATGGGGTTTTACGGCTTCGATTTCGGGGTTCACAGCTTGTTCAGTGCAGGTAACACTCGCGAGTCCGACTTTGCCGGTATTTCTCTCTAGGGCCTGGTACACCAACGCACCAGCCATGAGTCGAATATCTTTAGCAGCCTTGCCATTGGTGAAAGCCTGATCAGCAGTCTCTTGCTTGAGGCAGTCCAAGTTGGTTACACTTCCAGCACCGCCGGCAGCCGCTGCATTACCAAGCAGACCAAAGACGGCATCTGTAATGCCCTTGGGGTTGTTCTTGGCCAGAGCTTCGTTCGTAATGGAGAGGAAAAGATCGTGGGAATGCTCCTGAGGAACCTCTCGGCGGAGCAAGTTGGAAGAAGGCAGAGGATAGCCGAAGGCCTGGCCCAGCAGCAAAGCTGCAGCCGCAGAGGTGCTTTGGAACTTCATGATGAATGGGCGAGGAGAATGATTGGAATTTTCAAAACACGAGAGCCTTTTGAGAAAAGAACAAATAAATATTGAATACAAGAATAAAAGAGTGTCAAACTCGAAAAGAATGGACCAGCCTGCTGGACAAGAAGAGAGAAACGAACAAAAAAAAATAGAGACAAGAACTGACGACGGTGCTAGACAATTCTCAAGACTCAGTATCAATCGGCTACTGGGACAATATATACAAAATATCTCGGCCCCGGCCTCCCCAAGCCCGCCGAGTATCGACCCCAATACACGGTTAAGCGACGTTTCTGTAGCCGCTATATCGCTCGTTTCATAAACAAGGCAGGGCGGTTAAAACACTCTGCCCAGAACCCTAACCCATACAAAAAGATAAAATACAAGGGCAAAATGTGGTCAGATGTCTGATATACAGTAATTCTCCTGGATTCTCAGGTTTCTGTAGCAGGTTTGACCAGGATAGCTGAAACGATTACCGTTTCTGGTGGGGCGAGGCAAGGTATGGGCAGGCGTTTCATACGCAGGACGCGATGATATTGGCAAGAGTACTTATAGCCTCGGTTCACTTTATTATGCTTAGAAAAGAGAAAATGATGGCCAATGTTTTGTCTCATCGGATGTCTATTATGACGACGTCGCGAGACTACAGGCCCAAACTGGAAGAGATTTGTTCAATTTGCAAGTGAGAGGAATGAGTGGGTCTATAGATTCTGTCTGTTAACTCCATCCGTGTTACACGTTTACATATGTACAGGGCCTCAATCATTCAGGCATATGTATAGGCTTCTGGATGATGATCTGGTCGAAGCGCAGTCTAGGTATATCAAAAGAAAACGAACATGCGAGCCTTCACGATAATAAGCCTCCGTGCCCAAGTTGGACTTGGTCCTTCCAAGACCTAGGTAGTTGCCAGGGTTGCTGTCGCAGGTATGGGACGCAGCGCTAAGCGAGCCAAAAAAGCGGCTCTATCATATTCAAACCAGCCCATGGAACAGACTGGAACATGACCATATACCAGGGGGGCCCTCAAAGAGAACCAAATCCCCGCCTACGCTCCACATAGCACGGGGGCTCACGCCGACTAAGAATAACGCTGTTGCTGTAATATCCGGCCTCGACGGAATATCGAGCTCTACACAGCCCCGGGTCGCCCGTTTGCTCGTACATGCAGCACTCTCTGGTCCAGACCGTTAAAGGGCCTGTTGCGGGAACGCTCCACGTGCTTACACGAACCCCCGGCCGGCTCACTAGACCAAGGTTCTGACCGGATCACCAGTTAAGCCGCCACCAGGGGTGCTTGGCCAATGGGTTTCGGAACGGGCCTGCTTCGCCATGTTCAATGAGAACGGTGGCTACAGTACGTTAGAGTTCGGGCTTTGATTTCCCGGTTTGACTTGCGCTTGGCAAGTTTGGGCGAATATAGACACAGTTCTTGGCAAACTCTAGACGCACCAATCGGAGACACTAGCCTGCCCTTCGCTGTGGTAATGCTTCGTCAAACAGAGTGTCGTGGCAAAACTAGCAAAGGGATTAACGTAGTGAAAAAGAAAAGCTCCAAAGATGTCATTCTCCGGTCGAACCAACAATGGCATTTGATACGTGCGGGGGAGCAACCTATAGCACCTGGTTTGCTGAACAAATAATATCGTATTCGTTTCTAGGGTAGCAAGACATGGATGCTAGAAAGCTGTATCAACAACACCTTTGGTGTAATTAGCAGACCAAGAAGAGAGTCAAGGTTTGATAAGCGCCTAGGGAAGGATACAGGAGCAAGGCATGTTATTCGTCGTTCTTCTGGTAGAAGGTTTAAAACATGTTCTTCGGCCAGCCAACTCTGTTACAACTTGGAAATGTGCACAAAGTTGAGACACTCACTTCAAATAGCATACATATATTAATCACTGCGTAATAGCTGCCTAGTTGGCCGTGTAATACCTGAGACTTGCATCCCAACTGTCAAAAGCTTCACCTATGGAACAATTTCGTCACTCAAGTCTTCTTCAACATCCAATTTCTCACTACAACCCAGAGCCCCCCCAAGACGGTGTGGGGAGATTCCCATAGTGGCAGAGTCCCCCATGGACTAGCCTGCCATTGTGCCATTGTGGTTGACAGCAATTGACTCTTCGAATTCTTCCACAATCCACCACGCCGGAAATGGCTGCGATTTTGAAAGAGGCTGAGATTCGCCTCCATCCGAGATGGACATACCAATAGTACCAGCTACAGCTGTGCAGAATCGTTGCACGCCCGCTTCAAAGTCGAGTATTGTTATAGGGATTAGGGCCAGACTACTCGGAATGTCCTTTGGATGGAGAACTGGATAAAACACCTCGTCCAGCTTAAGCCGTTTGCCGGAGTAATCTTTCGCGACGTTTCCGTCATCTTTAAAATACGCAAATGCCGTGATCCAACCCGAGATTTTGCAGGGGTCACCACTCATGTCCGTATCGTCACCACTCATGTCCGTATCGTCACCACTCATGTCCGTATCGTCACCACTCATGTCCGTATCGTCACCACTCATGCCCGTATCTCCCGTCTCACACTCAACGCGGAGCCAGAAGTCTTTAACCTCTTGCGAGTCTGGCTCGTCAAAGGTTTTTCTCATATAACGCATAATGGGCAGCAGCAGACGGACCCAGTCTTTGCACCTCTCATATTTCTTCAGCTTGTTGACCTGAGCGTTAAGTAACTTCCAGTCATTTGGGGTTCCCTGCAGCGTCACGCTGGGAAAGCTGCCTCCAATCATCGCACCGTATTCCGAGTGTTTTTGCATTGTCCCCATCGTACTGAACGCTGCCACCGCCTCGTCATGGTATGTTGTCCTGGAAAACAACTGCAGCATCCGCGCATGCAGCATTGGATCAGCAACTTCGGCCCGGATGCGGGAGGCAAACCCACGGGCCACCATGTTAGAATTGAGTTTGGAGTGGCTCTTCATTGTCGAACCTCGCGAGGTCCAGCGTCACTTTTTCTTTAGAGGGGTAGAAAGTGTTATGTAGGAGTTCGGCATTCTCAGCACCATGGATGAAAAGGCTAAGCTGTGAAATGATAGCCTGCCACACATCTTCAGGTCGGATAACTAGGTCGAGATTCTGGTTGAAGGCGCGGATGATGCCCTCCACAAATCCATTTCCGTATATGGACACAGTCTCGTTGATGGATAAGGAATCCGTTGCATTCTTAGGACCGATGGAGGACGCAATGATTGGGGACTCACGGAAGCCTTCACTATCCCCGTTTTTTCGTTGTGTGTCATACTTATAAGGGCTGATACACTTGGAGGTGATAGTGTCGAAAACAGACCTATCATTTGCATCGATGGTTATCGCTTTGTCCCGATTTGTCCCCGACTTGAGAGGGGAGGGCCTCGTCGTGGCAGGCATTTTTTGAAGAATTTTGCGAGAGTGATTTTTACTTTCTTTCTGAATCAACCCGGAATTTAAATGTAAAGAAGATGAAGAGTTTGGTACTCAAAACTTGGACAAATGAGGGGATTTTATAGTCTTGAGATTCTGCCAGGTTGCAGGCTCTTGCTTGAACATGTGCATGCAGCACAAACATGTAAAACAAGTAACATCCAATACTTCATGTGACATAAAACGCCGGCTCGTTCCCAAAGACAAAGACTACAAAGAGAGCCGCCCGAGGGGTCAAAGGAAATTGGCCAAATCTTCCATTCCAATGGCAGAGCCAATAAAGACCAATTTTAAACGCGTCGCAATCCTCGGTCAGACGTCATAGGTTGGGCAAGGTATCCAGCTCATGGTACGAGGGCGAGGAGAGAAGAGAGATTCGTTGGCCAAGTCCCTTTGTTCAGCGTGCACTTTCTGTTGGGATCTCTTTCTGGTGCAGAGCTCTTTGTTTCGTGATTACAGACATAACAAAGAAGAGATAGAATGTCAGATGATTCGAGTCAGTGACATTTGTAATAAATATTATTAGTCAGTGGATCACTGAAAGGACTTTGTGAAAGGACGTGGAATATCGAGACGATTCGAGTGAGTGAGTGACGCCTCTAACATATATCATTGGTTAATGGACCACTGAAAGAATTGCTGTTCATTCTAGTGTGTATGGGAGTTATGTAACTCGATGTGTTGAAGCTTGTGGTATTCGCGCTTAACATACAAACTGTATTCATTTGCAACTAATAATCTATCCGCAATAATCAAGGGTTTATTCTGAATCTACTTTGTTCACCTTCCGTTTATACAGCCGTATCCATAACTAAGAGGATTTATTTCTAGTGATGCTTAGAAGGTGAAGAGTTGGAGGGGATTAAATGCTTTCGAGACCCAATTAGGCCGACGATGGTTGCGTAGAGATAACACGGGGCATGCGAGACACAAAGAGATGGAAGAACTAGTCTAACGTACGTCACTTCGAGTAATACAGGCAGCTGGCTCATTGGAAGACAAGACCAGAGCTTCATACAAACCAAAGACGACGTGATCAAATCCTTCAGGTAAGTAGCCAAGCCAGTATGGATATAATTCAAAGGGGCAGCAATTTTAAGTCCAGACGTCATGGACTTGGAGGAGATATTCAGTTCATTGTACAAGAGCGAGGGGAGATTAATAAACAAGAAGTCTTCCACTAAAGAATACATCTACTACTCTAAAATGCATTACATATTTAAAATTGCCAGCATACTACAATACCTTTATAAGCCTATCATATGTATGTTTTTATAAATTACAGAATCTACCTGATTCAATAATAAGAGCACTTAACTAGTGACTGTGCATAAACACTTAAACCAAACCCAAGAAAGCAAAGCTGAAGAGAATGCTCGGTCTTGACACATTCCACCCGGTCCCATTTCGCGCAGTTTAAATAGCCGATCAGCTGTCCCACGTCGTAATCTTCGTACTTTGTGTAACCGTCCACGTTAACGTAGTTACATGTGTCTCCAAAAACATCCTTGATGCCGGTGGTATATTGATCATCCACAATATCCGTATCGGCGCTGTCGGCAGTGATTGACCAAGTGGCGTCACTATCGCAGACATTGATACTCTCGGCATACGACGGGACGCCGTAGTAGTTGACGATTATCGTTGGAAAAGGGGTATGGTCAGGGTCTTGGGTTTGTCTATCCAGGACAAGCCACCAATCCGCGAGGCCAGTGTCAGTAGAGGGTTTGCTGACGGGAACGGGGGGTTTGGGTAATCCGGGATCGATAGGCTCGGGGTAGTCGTCACCTCCTGAGCACTCGTTGAACCAGGTATTGGCGAGGGCGGTCCCTGGATAAACATCATGATAATCGGCGCGGCCAAGCTCGCCGAGCGTTGGGAAATGGATATTCTGACCGCGACCGTGTCCTTCAAAGCGGGTTCCTAGGTCGATCCAGGTCATGCTGCTCCCTCCTGCGGGGATGAAGCCGCCATTTCTCCAAACTCGGGCCCCTGCCTTAAACTTATCAACCCAAATAAGATCCACCTTACCATCGCCATTGACCTGGAATCGTGTTAGTAGTACCATTGAAGCTAGGCCACGAATGTCAACTTACGTCGGCCCATTTGAAGTTTGCTCTGTCGAGCCTTTCTGCTGGCGCGAACTTGATCTGGCCCTTGTCCTCTAGGCCACCGGCTTTATTGAGGTGCCCAACAGTTCGAGCATCTTTCTCCATGCAGAGGTAGTCGACGCGGCCATCGCCGTCCAAGTCTCCGAACCTCAGACCTTGGTCATATAGACCCCTGCCCCAGCCCTCCTTACACAGCGCGTCATTCACTACCCAGGTTGGGCCGGAAAACGTGGGAGACTGGGCTCCGTCTTTGTAAGTGTTGCGCCACATCTCGGCCCGCCCCGTATGCCTTTCGACTGCAAGGATATCACAGAGACCGTCCCCGTCCCAATCGCCAAAGTGGATGCTCTTCCTTTCACGGCCGATAGAGATGATCTTTCCATGTTGTCCCCAGTTAGGCGGGGACTTGATATTCTCGAACAAGGTGATTTCACCCTCTGCGCTCACCCAAAGATAATCTTGCATCTAAGTTAGTATCTCGCTAATAAAACAGTTATCAAAAAGTAGGCATATAGCCACATACCATCGTGGCCTCGGCCGAACATATCACAATAATGGACTCCATCTCCTTTTCTCTGAGTCCCGCCAGAGCCTTTATTCGTATAGGCATAAGATTGAACGTATTTCTCGTCAGCTATGCGATTCCAGATGAGGTCAGCGCGCCCAGAGCCTGATATTCGTCCAAAGACGAGCTCCGTTCTATCTGTCAACTCGGGGATTGCAGGATGGGCCGCTGTAGCCTCTACCCAATGAGGTCGTAGGCCTTTGCCGTCGGCATCAAAATCTCCTCGCTGGTTGATCCAGATTTCAGAGGAGCCGTCCTTGTGCAGGTAGACCCAGTCTGATCTGCCATCGCCGTTGACATCGACGAGGTTGACACCGCCGATCCCTTCAGCTTCACCTCTAGCGGCAAATGTTTCCTCGCCAACAACCTAAGCCAGTCAGTCTGTCTGTTGGTAAAATTGAGAAAGCAGCCAGTTTGGATAACATACGAAGCTTTGCCAGTACCCCCCATACGTCTCTGTCGGTGCATCGCCCACGCCGCCGTTGCGCCAGCAATAGATATCGCCCTTGTCATCAATAGCGCAATAGTCCAGCCGCCCATCCCCGTCAATGTCGCCGAGACGGACCCTATCTTGAGGACCCCATGCATATCCCTCCTTGATAAGGCCACCGTTCTCCAGAGGCTCGAATTTCGGAGGGTTGCCGCCCCTGTTGATCGACACATACATGTTGCCATCCAGGTTGATGCAGATGAAGTCGTCAAGGCCGTCGCCGTTGACGTCGCCCCAATGGTGTCCTCGAATCAGACACTTCAATCCCACATCGATAGCAACGCCTGTTACAGCGATATTGCCACCATCGTTAAGATACATACGACAAGTTCCCGGCGTCGGATCATCGCTTGTGCCCTTGTCAACGCAGTTGATCAGCTCGTCAAATTCTCCTCCCGGGTCTGCGCCTCCCAAGTTCACCAGCTGGGCAAAGGATACTCGGCTGCCGGCATTGAACGCTCCGCTCTCAGTGATATAACCCCGAACTGTCTGAAAGTGCTTGTAGGGCCCATCATCCTCGCCCCATCCTTGCTGCGTTTTAACAGGGCCGCGTCCAGCCCCCTTTTCTGGGTCACAGTCGACTGTGGTATCGTCGTCGACTCCAGTATCAATCGGTTTCGTCAGAAAGCCCGCCTTCTCGACCTCGGCAATAGCTTGATCCCAAACAGCAGCCAACTTGGCTGCGCCCTTTTCGTTGGGATGCATAGTGTCGTGATAGTCGGTCGAAGTATCTAGAAACCCATTATTCAACTCAGCCAACCCAATCTTCTTTCCTGCATCCCTGAACCTCTTATATAAATCCCGATAAGTAGGATTGATCTTGTTGACATTGTTGTTTGCCTCATTCTCAAGGTATGGTATCAGAGTTGATAGAATAATTGTGACACCCTCGACCTCCTCGTATAGATAATTAAGTAACAGCTCCATTCGAGCTGCGGTACCATCCACATCCTGGCCAGTTTTTGGATTGGCATCATTTGTCCCGCAGTTTATGAGGATTAGATTTGGCTTCGTATCGATCCCCATACCAGCGTTTTTAATCATGTCTGACACCACCGCACCAGGATGTCCCTCGTGCTGCCGATCCTTAAACTTCTCAGGATCGCCATTCGACTGGCTACCGACCATATTGACTGGCCAGCCTTCCCATCTTAACTGGTCTCGAAGGGGTTTCCGGTATCCGTTCTGCGGGTCTGTGCCGACTCCTGCGGTAATAGAGGCGCCGAGAGGCATAATTCGTAGGTAGAAAGGCTTGTCTGCTGCCGCCCTGGCGGCCTTGGGCCGATAGTGCTGACTCCATGGCTCTGCCAGAGCATCGTCATCCGAAAGAGTACGGTTATGCGTTAAAGGAGTGGCTAAGACTGAGGAGAAAAGAAGGAGCAAGTGAGCCAAGAGACAAAGCGCCGACCTTGGAGACGATGCCATGTTAAGTGTCCACAGTGTGTAGTGGCGATGCGTGATGAATCGAATGAAGTGAGTGAGAGACTGTTGTAGTTTGAATCTGCCTCTGGTTGGGGATCAAGAGGCTTATATATCTAGCCAAATGATATCCATACCTGGGACTGTATTTTAGAATCTATGGTAGAAGGCAAGAAGGCTTCCTTTCCCGTAATACATGGACGTATGACAAATTACAGTGTGCTTCGGGTTTTTCCAATTCTGGAAATCCCATGGGATGGAAATCCTGCCTGTGCAACCTTGACTATGTTGGCGCTAATCGAGACTGACTTGCTTGCCAACCTGCCCTTAAAAGGCTTTGTGCATGAGATAAAGCGTATTGGGACAGGGGTAAGGTAGTCAAATACGCGTGTTTGAATACGCTTGTTGAATACGCTTAAAAACGCTGCCCAAGCCACAATTCTAGTCTGCAAAATCCACGGCTGCATATCATAACTTCGTGGATAATTAAGTCAAGCTGGCCTATCAAGTTAAGATTATGCCCATGAACTAACTACAATAGTATTATATATTACTTGGCGGGCGGTGGTAGGATTCTTCCAATCCTATAAATTCCGCCAGTAAAAAGCCTGCAGCTCTGCTAGCATAGAGCGTATTAACTTATGGGATTATACGACAAGCAACTAAACCGCAAAAAAGAAGAAATATGACAGCAGGAGCATTATACTGCCAGCCCCGGCAGGCATTAAGCGTATTTATAAGATTATACTACAGTATTAGGCTACTGCTTACAATTTTGACGGCAAGCTAGCATCCATGTGATCCTTAATCACATGTATTTAACCGACCTGACGGGATTTCTAGTGCTAAGCCTTGTCCAAGGTTTTAGTGATAGTACTCGCTATTCCTGTCAGCCATCTCATTATGGAAGCTTTGCAAATGCGAATGGCGATAATCTCCTGGTTTTGTGTGGCTGCATGTTAGCGATTGTAGTTTTCTGGGGCGCGGTTTCAGCTGCGTTAATTACATGTAGATAGCTGTATACAATAGATGGAAACTCGGCACTTCCACTATTTACACAGGAGAGCGATGGCGACGAGCGTTTGTGCTCCAGAAAATATTTCTGCACGTGATGATTATTGAGACTCTAAGATACATGTAAACATAACTACTAACTGCAGCACTAGATACAGCTGCGAATAATTCGGTATCTGCAATCCATTGCGCCGAGATCCAGAATTTCCAGCTCAGTTAGAGAAAAGCTGCACCCGCAGCTAACACAGCAACAAAGCCGAATAAAGTAGGGGCAGAAGTCTGAGCAAGACCTGTAGAAGTCGAGCTCTGTACCTCGGTTGTCCGAGTTGGACTGGGGAAGACGAATGTGCTGCTGGTGGTGTTTGATCTCGAGGGAGCCGAAGTTGTGGCAGGAGCCGAAGTCTCTGTGTGGCTGGAGGGTGGCCTAGTTGTCGAATTGCCCATGGTAGTCGAATCTAGAGCACTAGTAGTTGTTTTATCATCCCCGGTATCTATATTACCATCTCCGTCCACCCTGAAGTGATCCCAGGCAATGTTGTCCAAAGCTACCTTCGGGGAATCGAAAGCGAGCGAGGTGGAAATGAGGTTCACGGCGATGGAGAAAGCGGTATATCTTCCCTCATCCGGGTTCCATTTGATTGAAAATGGACCGGTACCATCCTTTGTCGGAAATTTTTCGATTTCCTGATTCTGCACGACATCGCCTTGGTTCATAAGCAGCAGCTGCACGCTGATCTCTGTCTTGTCGTCGTCGAGCTCTCCATCAGCCAGGTGCGAGTAGTCAACTGCAAGGTCGAACGCCAAGTTACCAGAGATGTAGTACCCGGCATCAAAGGTGAGATAATCGAATAAGATACCATTGTCTCCCCACAGGACATTATTTTCCAGTTTGTGAGATAAATCAACATTGGCAATTGGGGTCTTGCAAGCCCCAGTTCCGACAGAGTTGACTACGGTTGCACCCATGATTACCGCGCCCTTTGTTGGGTTAGAAGTAGTTCTCTAGGTGATTCGGCATAACGGAGAAACATGGCATACCGCATATCGGTGTTCGGATTTGGAGAAGTCAATGCTTCCACAGTTATCATCGTTTGAGATATCGAGATCATCAAACTTCTCATCGTTAGTATAATGATGCGTTCCTTGATAACCCAAGCATACTTACGTTGAGGGTCACTCTATCGCCGTAGACCAAAGGAAGAAAGGCAACTGCCGCAACTAGGCTATTGTATGTCTTCATGATGTTTTTTATTAGATATGCGGATTCTGTTGAGTGGAGAACGTCTGTAAGTGTTGAGTCGAGTTTCGAGATGGAAGAGGCTGAATTGGAATTGTATTGTCACTTGATGGATTATCGCTATTGACTCACCCTTTATATATCTGAATTGCTTGTTGTTTACGTCTAGCTATTTAATTGGCACCATGAGATGTGATACACATTAGTGCTGCTCGATTACTTGATTCTGCACTCGGTTACGCTGTTAGGATAGGGCTTTGAAGGTGGCAATGCGGCTCAGCTGACCAGGTCCACAGCGGGTGCTACTTTAGGTCGATCAGTAGTACTTGATCTTTCTAAACTTAGAACCTTGTAGAGTAGAATCAAGATGCCCTGGAGGATATGCCCCTGGCAGATTGCCCAATTATAACGTGCTTCAACAACAGGCAGAATTCGCATAGACTGAAACCCCCGTCTAGACTGAGAAAACTGCCTATGCCAAGAATTTGCTACGGGTTTTCCACCTATGAGTACAGAGGTATCTATGGAGTAGAAAAAGAAAGATCTCACCATAAAGACTAGGCTGAGCCTAATGAGGGTCGATCATAAGCTTAAGGCTACCTATATCCCTACAGATCCTTAAGCTATAGCATGGCTATGCTGTGTTGTGATTGGTTAATAGGCACGAGAACTTGTCGTCTTACATTGTTGCTGTGTAATTCTTTAGCTTTGCTGATGCTTCTATGCGGAGCACTACGCATCCAAAACAGCGTAATAAGCTGAGTTGGCCTAGTGTGCCCCTTCCTCAGAAAATAGAAGAGCGTGATGCCAGTTCTGAAGCGCCCCCATCTGCAAAGTGGCTGAATCCGGACTTTATTACAACACCGATCCCAGCACTCTGCTTCAAAAAGCATCATAGTTCAAATATCTTCCCAAGAACTAGTACTTCTTCTAGGGTAGTTACTAATTTTGTCTTGCTCGGTGGCCAAAAAGCGGTCCATCCCACCCTCATTCAAAAAGGGGGAGGAGCTTGTTCACTTTTAGCTCATCATCGTCAAACCGCTGCTACTGATTCGCCCATTCCTATTTTTCGCGGAAACTTTGCGCATATATTGCGGATGTGTTGTTATCCGCTGTCCAACGGGTTCTTTTCCGTAGTGGCACTTGTAAGAGTTGACTTGTAACTTCCAACGTATAAGCTCATAATAGGGTATAAAAGTATTTTATCAAGTATTTACTATAAGAGTAAATCGTTTTCAATCAGATACGTAATACTCTAGCCTGTCTTCAAGAGATACTGTTATGTATCTAAGGGAAATTTAGTTATAATAATAATCCAGAAGGTTAATAGAGAGCTAGCTATATATAGGAAAGATATTTATCTCTAGCTAGAGATAGTTTTTAAATTATATTAATGCAGCAATCTCCCCGTTTGATGTACCAGCTTCCATGCAACGATGAACCTCCACAATTTGGCTGAGGCGGAATACCTTTCCCAACGGGAGATGAAGTATTCTCGATTCAGCCTGCTTTAGTAGCTGGTTCAGAGGTGTCAAAAGGACGTCCTCTACCCCTTGGCATAAATCATCAGATTCGCAGTACTGGAGATGATTGTCATAGGTGAGAACGGCCTGTCAAAATCTCATTTGTCATTGACATCACCTACCAAGCAGGCACTCCCGCCTCTCGGCACGCACTTTAGAGAACTTGGACGGCACTAGGCTACTAATCTCCCTTGGTAGTAACTCGTAGAATTGGGACTCGTATTTTATGAATTCGTGGAGAATGCTTGTATTAGTCTACCACGCTCATTTACGGGTATTCTGCACGAGTGATGCGTCGTATTGGCAACTTCAGCCGCGTCATCAAGATCCCCGCGTCATAGCCACGGGTACATCCCATAGTTTCTCTTTCGTTACTGGATTCATCCTATTGTCGAATTTTTGTGCTTCTTGAAACTCTCCATTCACGATATTGAAAAAATTGGTAAAGCGAGATATATGAACGTAAGCTAAAAAAAAAAAAATAGTATTGTGATTTTGAGAGAAAACCACAAGTATCGCATGATTTGTATGGTGTATCTTCCCCGCTGCCGGGTCCGGACAATCGCTATGGCAATTCCATGGAGCGGAGATAAGATGAACTCATGATCCGGAGACTCCTAACTACATGTAGGTCCGGATGGAAGGCTACTATTGTCGGGCCCGACACTTTTTGGACAATCTCCATGACAAATGCCGGAGATGGGCGGGACCTGTATACCGAATAATCCTGAATAGATTCAGGCGGAGCAAGCTATACCAGCAAGGCCGAGATGTTTGGCCGAGTTGTGAAGATATGGTTGGACTTATTACGTGACTATTCGGATGTCTCTACTCCATACTTGCATGTACTATAATAGCTATTCTATCCCAGGAGGTCCAAGACTGGTATAACTCTGCAAAATTCACTACTCAGCTGGCTAATATTGCCATAATCCTTCGATTAAAGAGTACAATTCCCACGTACACCCATCTCCGTGTTACCTTACTCAGAATGTTGGCATTTGGAAGTTTTGCCGTTCCTTTCGTCACAGTATTCATTGGAATAGCCCTAGGACACCGTACATATATCCCCTCTTTTTGTAAATCCTTTCCATACTAATCAATCTCTCATCCTACAGAAACACCTGAACATGGAACACTGATTGATCCTCGTACCCGATATCCTGCAAACTATACGCTGCCAGTGCAAGGCTTCCCGGGACTTCAGAGCAATTGGCATCCGCGACCCGATTGCGGCGAGCGCTCTTATGTCGGACATGGGCGCTTACGCGGCCGACGAGCACTGATTACAGGCGGCGATTCAGGCATGGGACGGGCGATTGCAATTGCTTTCGCGCGCGAAGGAGCTGATGTCGCCTTCAATTACCTAGAAGTCGAAGAGTCGGATGCACAAGAAACAGTCTCGTTCATCTGAGCTGCGGGACAGAAAGCTTTTACGATCCCTGGTGATCTGCGAAATGAATCGTTTTGCGCTGACTTGGTGCATCGTGCTGCCGCTAGCCTAGGTGGGCTTGACATTGTTGTCAGCCACGCTGGCTATGCCCTTGAACAGGCCTACATTGGCAATCACAGCACGGAAAGCTTTGAACAGACCTTGTGAACGAACGTGTATGCACCGTTCTTCATAGCTAGAGCTGCAGCTCCGCTGTTACCTCCGGGGTCTTCCCTCATCTTCACTGCATCGGATGTAGCTGTTGGGGGTAATGCAAGGCTTGTCGACTATGCTGCCACCAAAGCCATGCTTGTTTCGTTCACCAGGTCACTTGCGCTGCAACTCTGGCCTTTTGGCATCCGTGTGAATGCAGTAGCGCCAGGTGGTACGCTCACAAACTTTCTCACAACTCAAGGCGAGACGACGGAAAGCATCAATGGAGCCGTCTCTCTGACCCCAGGCGGTCGTTTGGCGCAGCCGGTGGAAGTAGCCCCTACCTATGTCGATTTGGCTGAAGGAATTAATAGTTTCGCAAGCGGAAGTGTATATGGTGCGAATGGTCCCACGGGGGGATTCTGAAGTGTAGACTGAGGTGGCTTTACTTTCAGGCTACATGTAACTGTTAAGTCTTTGCATTACAGGTAGGGCTGGAAGTTTAGAACATGCTTGGAAGATTGAGATACCTTTTTTCATAAGAAGAAAAAGTATTGCAATTTTCTTTTACTTTCTGTATTCTAATTTACTACTACCTGTAACTTCAATCTTTTAAAGTAGACTTGACTTATACTATTATACTATGTAAAAGAGCTATTCGTGCATCATGACAACCCGCAACAGAATAAAGCTATGCAGTCTCAATGTATCGCTTCAAATTTCGAATCTTTTTAAGGTTCAATGATTACGAAGGGAAAAATCATGGCCTTGAAACCCATTTCTCGTGCCTGCTTTGGCGCCAAAAGATGGAGTAGCTCCAGCCTCGACCATGTTAAGCAGAACAAGCATAGGCGCAAGATCTTTAATTAACCGGGAGGCCTGCTCCTTAGGCACCAGTCTCTCAAAAAAGCTACGCTAGCACACAGCCTCGTGTGCCTCATTCACGCGTTGAATGGTCTCATTATAGCCGTCCGTCTGGAAAGCATTTGTCCGAGCAATAATTTTATGTCGCTTTTAATCCGGCTTCGTGCCTTGACAACTGCTAATCTTTGACTGCGGATGACCTCACGACTAACAACATCTTTGCCAGCCAGAGAGATGCCCGCATCTCTTGGTTGTACCTGATCTTCTCTATACAACCCAGCAACTCCAGACTCCACGCGGGCATTTTCGTATTCAGGAAGCGCCGCCAAGACAGAAATCCTTTTAGCATTTGCTCGCGTCTGGCCATGGGAGAGTAGCCCGAGATCTTCTTGTTCTAGGATAGAGGCGCTACTCCCGACTACGGTCTTTCAACTCGAATTTAAGCAAGGCTATCAGCAGTTCGGATGCCCAGTAACACTTACCATGTATAGGTCCTCGAGCTAACCTCTAGGCAAACGAGAGCGGAAAAGCCATCGTGCACACCAGGCAGGGGTAGGAATGGCTCTGAATCTTGAATGATTTGTCGAACCTCCTTTGCTGCAGAGAGTGTCGTAGACTACGATTCCAAGGTAAAATACGCGTAACCTTGTTATTTTATTTTCGATAAACAAAACGAAAATTCCGTTCTGAATGTAATGATCAAGAAATACCCTACAAGCGAGGTTGAGCAACCACTTTCGATCATCCTGCAAGCCTAGGAAATAGCTTTATGGCAGTTTCCCAATACACATCGTCCCTTTTTGCTTCATCCATGTTGTAATCGTTTAGCTCATTTGAGAGTTTGATGGCTACGTCCTCAGATACAGCGGGAAAGTCCGTTCCAAATAGAATATGATCCGAGGGAAAGTTCTTCAGGAGCGTGTCGAGCGTGTGAGGACTGGATGATAGCGCAAGCTCATAATAAAAGAGCTTGGCATCACCAAGTATATCTTCAGATGACATGACAGAGCTGTCCGTGGCAGTACTCTTGAGGACTTGTGGGACTAAGCTGGCGGCCCGATGAACCAGATATGGCAGCGTTCCGCCGGCATGAGCGAGAATGATTTTGCAATTGGGGTACTTTCGAACTGTATGGTTTAGTATCATGTCCATAGCTGTCTTAGTCGTCTCGTGCGGATAGTCTAAGATGGGAGGCAGGAGTGCCGGATGCGCGAGCCCACAATCGACGCATGCTCCGTGAGGATGAACAAAGACTACTGCATTGTGCTTGTCCAGCTCCTCCCATATGGGGTTGAATATCTCGTTTCCCAAGTAAGCACCGTCGTAGCTCGTAAGAAGAGTGATTCCATTGGCATGAAGCTCTTCATATGCATATCTGATCTCGGCAATAACGGCCGTTATGTTTTGCAAGGAAGGAACAATGGCAAAGAAGCCAAACTGTTGCGGGTTTGCCGAGCAAAGTGAGGCAGCGTATTTGTTCACTTCACGTGTCACCCCTTGGTCTTCTTGTTGCTTGGTTATAAGTACCGGTGGGTAGGATAGGATTGTGAATGTGCTGCCGATGGCACTCATGAATTTTTGACTAGCTGAGGCATTCCAAGGTTTGACGAAGGCTTTCGTCCATTGAGGCATAGACTCCTGCAAACCCTTTCAATTTTTATGCGGTGAGATTCTTGACGGCTTCCTATACATACGGATAATGCTTCCTCGAGGAAAAAGTGATGATGAACGTCTAGTTTTTTCTGAGCGGCCATCTTGTGTATACTTGATAAATGCGAGGAAGAATTAGCGGTTGTGGCAGACAGAGCAAAATTCGTTTAAGATGAGCGGGAAAAAAAATTGGTTAAAAGAGAGAGGATAGATGCCTCAAGATAGCTGCTCTCTCTTAAGAAAGTTACATTTGTAACTTCAACGCGGACCGTATAACACACTATCTCCCAATCGAGCTACGTTTAAGCAGCATCAGCTGACGGTAGTTCAAATACATCCGGTCGCAAAAGGGCCAATGACTCGTGGAATCGTTCCAGAACAGTGAAATAGCAGACGGATGCCCACTCGGAGATATTAGCTCCGCCTCCGCGGCACGCCAAATCGGGACGAAATGTCACTGCCACCTTGCTCGGAGGGAGGAGATAACCATGGTCCGAACAAATGGGTTGATAACTATTCAGCCATTAAAACTATAACCTTTGTCATTAATTTTCCGATCAGCACATCTAACCATCTCCGTTGAGGATACGTTTTCATAGACATGTCTCACCCAACGTTGATGAGAAGCGAGAGAATCGATATTGTTGTGTCTATTGCAGAAATTCGTTAGTTATCCTCAACATCATTTTGACTTATAGCTGACGTTAATACATCTGAAGTCTTGAGCGGCATTTTCGGACTATTCACAGCTTTATTTCAAGGCTCCGCAGGGGCGCCTGGCTACTCGACACGCGTTATTCATCATCTTTTACGAAAGACAGCCCGCTTGTCAGTGGCACAGTTCCAGTAGGTGCAAGAGAGATACCCGGACAATACGTAGTACATGTCTGCTAATTGTTCTTAAAACGAAGATATCTGGATCGAAACACCAGCACCGATCTAGTCTATTCTCAATTCGCCCAAAGAACGGGAATTTCCGAGAATAGCATTTTGCTGTCCGATGGAACACGTTGCCATTGGATTGGTTCCCAAGAATGCAAAAGGGTCTTGCTTTACTTCCCCGGTATGGTGAAACAACGACCATCTCCATCTTGCTCTAGTAACGCTTTACATAGGAAGCTTTGTTCTCCCTTCTAGCAGATTTCATCTGCAATTCGCAGCCAATTGTGCAAAAACACTTGAGCGCGAGGGACGTGAGGCAGCGGTTCTAGTAGTATCCACAGGTAAGAGCAATTTACTAGACACAGTCGTTCATTTGTGTCGCATACTAATGCGTATGTATAGATCTCGCACCAGGCTCTCAGTATCCGCGCCAATTGAGCCAAGGAGCGACAGCCCTAAAGTACTTGCTTGAAAAGACAGGACGGAACCCATCAGATGTATGACAAACGATTCCATATACCATAACGATGAGACTTGCTGAGTGATAGAAGATTACACTAGTCGGAGATTCGGCAGCAGGGAATCTGGCTCTTGCCCTCCTGTCACATATCAAGCATCCGGCCCCAGATGTTCCGCTTCTTGAACTGAGAGAAGACCTCCAAGGCGTTATTCTCGCATCACCGATCACAGACTTTGATGCCACGACACCGTCGGCAGTAGAAAACGCGAAGAAAGACTGGCTCGACCAGGGTGCTATAAAAACCTGGGGTGACAACTATGCGGGGCACAGCGTTCGAGATATATATATTAACCCAGGCTTGGCATCAGAAGAGTGGTGGAAAGATATAAGGGTAAAGAAGGCAATCGTTCTCTTTGGGGAGTACGAACTCGCAAGAGACAGCATCGAGACATGGGTTACAAAGTTCAAGGTAAGGCCGACTCGTCATAACAGTACTTCAAGTTCCGCACATGGAGCCAGACTAAGACGATTAACAGAAACACAATCCGGAGACAACAGTGATACTTGGGAAGGGTGAATTCCACGCACAACCGGTCATGGACCTTATGCGGGGCTCGAAAGTACCGAGCAGGCAAGCGGAGGCGTTGAAACTGTGGTTGACACAATCTTTGTGGTTATAAGCGTTTTATAAACATTGATATTACTAAATATGTAATAATAATTGATCTAACATTAATTTTCTTGAATAGTTTATGATCTTTGCCCCGCAGATGTGTTATTAAAACATTAAGAACATGTACCATTTTATTAATATAACTTAACAAGTTAATAATTACTGCAATCGTCTCTTTGTTACCAGACGCAGATCCGATGAAGCCCGGCGGACATCTCGGCCTTGACAGCATCCCTAAACGGCCAGGCATACACCTCGTGCATGTTGCGATCGTCAATTTAGAACGAGAGAGCATTTGGTAGCACCCATTCCAAGGCCTGGTAAAAATGCTTCTGCTCGTTGGCAATGAAATTCTTGATGGTAGCCATGACGCCCCGGTCCTGAATGCCCTTGATGGTCTCATAGCATCCGAACATAAATTCGGGACTCCGCGGCCCGGACATAAAGCCTTCGACTTCTCCGGTAGTTCTACTCCGTAGGGATACGCAATGTCTATGATTTGGCTTCATGCTTTTAAATAAGCTACTGCTAGCTCTTTACTCCAATGTTCCAAATCATATCACATTGCTGCATCAGACTCTTATACTACAACTCACCACCATGTCATTTGATCCAGCCAACCTTGATCCCATTGCGGATGAGTCTGTTCTTATCACTGGTGGTTCATCTGGGTTGGGCCTTGCCACAGCCCGTGCTTTTGTGGCCTCGGGCGCATATGTGACCATTGCAGATATTCAGCCGCCTCCCGAAAATGCATTTGGCGATGGACAGCACCGCGTCAACTTTTCTCTTTGCGGTGTGACAGACTCTGCGTCGCAGACTGAAGCTTTCAAAGCGGCGATAAAGTTTGCTCCAAGCCATATTCTTGATGTTGTTGCCCTTTTTGCTGCCGTGGACGATTCACCCAACCTGGTCGATCTCGTCAAGGCCTCTGACTCTCAGGCAATCAATGTGCCGCATCAACTCATCGCCGATAAAAAAACTGCTAGCGTTACTGAGGGTTCGTCTAATGGCAATGGGCCAAATCTAGACAGCCTGAGCATAAAGTGTCTGGATGTGAACTTGAAGGGAATCTATTACTCAACCTATCTCGCCTTGCATTACTTGCAGCAGCCCGAATTGGCGCCCTCTTCTCAAACGTCCGGCTCGGGCAATCGCTCGACGAAGTCACTGATTTTGCTCTCTTCATTGGGTGGCTACCTCGATGACAGTCACGACAGTATCTATTCCGCCACCAAGTACGGCATTCGAGGCCTCTTCCGCAGCATTCGACTGCGATCATACAATGAACTGCATGTGCGCTGCAATTTGATAGCACCATGGGTCATTAGAACACCGTTGACTGTGCCTCTCCAAGACTTCATGGACAAGAGCGGAATGCCTGAAGGAAAGGGATTGACCTTTGCAACAGTGGATGCTGTTGTTGATGCTGTGGGTCGGTGTGCCGTAGATGAGAATGTTGTTGGTCGCTCAATTGCTGTTATGCCTGAAGGCAACTTTGACCTCGGTGATGATGAAGAAGGACTCTGGGCAGGTGCAGCATTGAAGAAAATTGTCCAGGCAAGAAAGGATGCTGGAAATGTGATTGTTTGATGAGTACATCTTCTCAGTAGGACATATAGCGACCTGAATAAATTTGTCTTCAATCTTACAGCACCAAAAGCTTTAGAGAGACGCAGCTTTGTCTTATTCTTTAAGTCTGCAGTAAGAAACTCATACCGAGTATTCTGGCAAGGCTGGGTATAAACTAGTGGTCTTTAATGTTATCACGACATGGTGCATATCTCTGTAATCTACCGCTTTCCAAACAATGCCCCAGACATTGATCCTTTGCGACTCCAGATCTAGGAGCCGTCTTATGAGCCTCTGGAATCGTCCATGCGGCACTACTAATGGGGTACTTTCATCCTTTCAGTAAGGGCCTCGAGAAGACATTAACAAACGTAATTCGCGGCCTTACTGCTTAACAAGCTTTAGGGTATCAAGTCCATAGGGATACGTCTATGCTGCTTAAATGCTAGCTGGTAAGTAGTGAAGAGATATATACTTTAATTGTTGGTAGAAGAAGCAGTGCATTTCTCGCAAACTATTTGCCCACGCTTGGTACATCTTTCCAGGCTTCATCAAAACCCGCCCCGCGAATCCAGCACTCATCCATATCGGGACCCGATCGCCCACCATCCCCAGTAAGTGAATCAGCAACAATCGTAGCCGCCTTGACAAAATCATCACCGGCCATACAAAAGCCATCCAGGCCCTCGTAGGGTTTGCATGTCTGCTCCGCCCAAGCCAGGGAACGCACCATCTTGCAAGCATGGCCATCATCCATAAACGCGCAGCTGCGTCGGATGGCATCGTCCCACCCATCCGGACTCTGAACTGTCGTCATTTCGCGAAGAATCGTTAGATCAAGCTGTGGCGCGCCGTGAACGAGATACGCAATCACTGAAAAGCGACCAAACCACGAAAGGAGGCGCGCCTTATCCACGGGCGAAACCCAAGACTTCTGCACCAATGCACTGACAAAAACGGCGCAGTTCGTGCCATGCATGGTGAAGAAGTCCATCCGGGGCGCTTTGCCTCTGCGCTGTGCACCAGCGAGCATGAATGCTGCCTAGATCTCAGAACCCTTGAACGTCGATAGTGATGTTGCTTGACTTACCAGTTGCATTCTGAAGTTCTGCCATTCGGAGATCGATCTCGTCGGGCTCCACCCTCCACCGACCGGCCATGGCAATGGTGCTCTGCCGCGCTCGCAATAACAACCCATTTTTCAATTTATCAAAATCGTCATACTTGACGCTGCTTTTCAAGTCTTTGCTGGCACGGCAAGCTGCGAATATATCGACCAAAGTCCATCGTTCACAGTGAGCGGCGGAAACCTTCTCGATCTCGAACATGATGGGTATCAGATATTCATCCCTGTGAACGCACGCCTGAGCGAGGCCTTCCGCCACGATAGCAGGTTGACCAAATTCAAGGCCCGCCAACGTATGAATCAGTGGATGTACAAATCCTAATAATTAGTGTGGTTGTTTAGCAATTACCCGACATGGGCAACGATCCGGGACATACCTAGAAACTGGCGTGCAAACACTTGCTCTGCAAACTGGTCGCCATGGAACAGAAAACGATTCACCAGCTCCTCAATGCCATGCTTCGCAGCATATTTCTCGAAATAATGGAGAAAGTTGGCGTAGTTATGCTCATTAGCCAGGGAAAGCTCGAACACGGCCCAATCGCCAAGCTGGTCGGAAACTGCTTCAACCAGTGGTGGCTGGATCCGCTGAAAGCCTGAGTTTGTAGTATAGGCCTTTTCTATGAGCTTAGGAGAGGCCCCCAGAGCGAAAAGGGTCAATGCATGGTGCGCATGGTGATTCTAAAGCTGTCAATGATGGAAAATTTCGGCCGACTTGAAGAGGGGAAGCATACGTGTTGGAAAATCCCATGTGTGATCTCGTGATAATTGAAAAACGCATGAAACTTTGTGTGGTTTTCCTGCAAAAGCTTGTTGACTTTATCCGCAGATGCCGGTAGTGGGTTCCTGGTATATGTATGTCCTGGATGGTCGACAGTAGTGCAAATTACATGTAAATTAGAGTCTGTAGTATTGTTCGCCATGATTGCCAATGTTGGTCTACGTAATCGACGGTATACAATAACTTCTCTTGAACAGATTCAAGTTTGAGAGAAGGCGGAGTCCTCATGGATGATAAAAGCACAAATGGTTCTAAGCGGCCATCTCCCTTTATTTGACTGCGTCTATCTCTGGTATGACCTCCCAGGCCTTCTGCCGACCACAGGGCACGCATACATCAACCATGTGCTTCGGGTTCGGAATGACACTGGAATAGATATCCTGGAGATCCAAACCATTATATCCAACAAGACTGTACGGAGTAGCTCATCTTATCCGACCTCCTACCCCTGGCTTAATTTGATCAAGTTACCTTGTAGGTATATGACATGTTATTTAATTTAGGCCTAGTTAGCCTATGCTTCACTTCAATGGCAATATATTCCAACTAATCACGAAGCAAGTAGCATATATGAATGCCAAGTTATATACTAGGCCGGAATCAGCTTTTCCATGTACTGTAGATGGGTTATAGATACAGTCAGGGGGGGGGGGTGTCGGATGAGCTACAGTACGAGTACGGGCTTGTGTCGGACGCCCGCGGAATCCCGCGGAGGTGTGGAGTCGCTGAATGCCTCATGCTCCCATGGCTAGCCGGGGGTTGAGCTGCAGTGACAACTCGATATCTTTTTAGCTACTTTAGAGTTGGTCGAAAATCCGGAGATAATTACGTACTTGGAAACAGGCTAAGCCCCGGATCAGGAGATAATAACTCCGGGTCCATGCTGCAACTCTGCCGGACGGGGCCAGGTAAAAGGGGGGCGGGTCTGCGTCACATCCCCGGACCTCCGGGCGTTACTCCGGACTCGGATGGCTTGGGCCGGAGCCACTCACGGCACTCCAACACTCTTGCAGGGCTCTGCGCGCGGCATCTGGGACGCGATGAAAGGAAGCTGTTCCTTCTATTTAGGTAAATGACTATATTGTGTTGAGTTCGTCAGATCATGTTTTGTTTTGTTCCAAAGACAATTGACTTCTCTCCTGCAGACTAATAAGCACCCACAATGCATTCGAAAGAACCCGAATTCTCAGAGAATGACATACCAGATCTGAGTGGCTACGTTGCCATTGTTACTGGAGGTAAGCTTTATCGTTACGCAGCAGTGAGAGAGGCTTTCAGTCTTAGTAGCTTGCTAATTGTATATGCGGGTAGGCAATTCCGGTATTGGATATGAGACAGCCAACCAACTCGCGCTTCACAATGCGCGTGTCTATATCGCCAGCCGATCTCAAGAGCGAGTGAATCAAGCCATCGGCCAAATGTCACAGGCGGCCATGGGAAAGACGCTTGACCTGCATTTTCTTCAAATAGATCTACAAGATCTAAAGTCGGTCAAGGCAGCTGCCAAGCATTTCTTGACACTGGAAACCCGCCTGGATATCTTGATCAACAATGCCGGTGTACGCTCTGTTCACTCTCCCTATTTTTTCCAGCGAGTACATACATCTAACTGAGCCATCGATCAGGTCATGACTGTCCCTTTTAAACTCACCGCCGATGGGCTCGAGACGCAGTGGCAAGTCAACTACGTTTCGCCTCACGTTTTTACCAGCAGTCTCATGCCTCTTTTGTTATCGACCGCGTCAACTCTGAATACTAAAGATCGAGTTCGAGTCGTTCATGTATCCAGCGATGCAGCCTTTTTCGGCCCCGACACAGTGCAGTGGAACGACGTCAATATGACTTCAACTAAGGGAGTGATGGAGCTGTGGTAAGTGGACTGTGATAGTATTGGGGAAATTACAAGTATCATCGCTCACCAAAGTAATCAATCGAACCAGGAAGAGATACGGACATTCAAAACAAGCTATCATACGTGATGCGAAAGAGCTGAATGATCGCTATAGTTCGCAAGGTACGTTGCCCAAGATCTACTGGATAATTACATCTCATACTAAAGCGCCACAACGCCGCAGGTATTACTGCGTACTCTGTTCATCCAGGCATCGTCAAATCGAATTTGCAAGGACACGACCCGACCCTTATGGGAAAGGTCGTCCGGGTGGCGATGAAACTCGGAGCTGGTGACACGCCTCTCCACGGAGCACTCAATTCACTGTATTGTGCCACGAGCCCCAGTGCACCGGTACAAGGGCAGGGAAGGTTCTTTGTTCCGGTTGGCAAGCCGGATTCACGTGCGGACAAATGGATCAAGGACAGAGAAGGAAATTCACGATTGTGGGAGCTGGGAGAGAGTCAATTGAAACGCCTACAGTAAATCAGACTGTACTATAAGGTGTTCTGCTCTTATTTGGCTGCTTTATTACAATAGTTATAGAAACGTTCACATGGTGGATTGCAATTAATTCTTTTCATTAATAAATCTCTTATTTAGAAATATTCCAATCTTAATGAATGTCAATAACATCCATTCTCGGCGGAGCTCGGATAGTAGTCTAAATCCGCGGAGCGACTAACTCCGCAGCCTACATGTAGATTGCTATTTGCTTTCATCTCGACACAAGACGTGAATGCACGGCTTCTATGTTATATATCAGGCACTATTCAACACTTCCTCACTATAATGGTGAAGCAATCGTTGCTCTCCAACATAAGCGAATCGAATGGCAACCTCATCGGAGAGGAGGGACCCTTCTATGAACCCACCATCTTACGATGAAGGGAGGCGGTTCAGACCTCAATTGTCCTGCACATACTGCAGACAAAAGAAGTAAGTATACCTACAAGCCTCATTCTTACGTATATCCAATTTGTCTTATTCAGTTACTTCAAGGCTCAAGTGCGACCGAGGGCATCCCTGCGACAACTGCGCAAAACGCAACCAGTCTCAATCATGCCAGTATGCCAATCCTGCGGTGCGTAACAGAACTGCCCAAGCTCGCCGGGTGACCTACTCTGGCGACATCGCTGAGAGGGTACGTCACTTGGAAAATCTCGTCCTTTCCTTGGGAGCTCGAACTTCCGGTCTACAGAACCAAAGCGCCGACTCGGCAGCGATTCGTGTAGGAGTTCCCGACAATGATGGTAGGCAAGAAGATTTAAGCGCTAGGACGTTGTTGCAAGAAATTGGCACTCCAGGGACGATGCATGGAGATCAGATGGGCACGAGATGGTTTGATGATACGCATTGGCAAGCCATCATGGACGATGTAGGTGCTTGCGGTGGTCTCTTTTCTGCAGCAAAGCTAATACAAAGCCGTTACTAACTTTGCTAGAATGCTTGGGATAACCAAATCCAACACAACAGTTGGGAATCCACAGATGAGACGTGGATAGCAAGTTTGGCGCCCTCAGATTCGCAGTTCTCAATGTTCTCGCCTACAGACTAGGCGCGCGTGGCCGTGGTGTGCAATATATAAATTACTGGCTTATCAGAATGTATCAAGATCTCAGAGACTCCCACTCAAACTGAGGCTGGACAGACGTAGAGATCGATTAATAATGGCTCTGTATATCGTAGAGTGGAGTGATTTGCTATAGACTTCCCGTAATCTCCTCAGATATTAAGTCTACTTGTCTAGAAAAAGGAGATAAGTGTCAAGCTGATGTCCGCCCAATTCTCAACATTCATGTTTATCGAATAATCTTCCTCATACGGCGACGTCACCCACTGTTAAAACCACTTTGCCCTGAGTCCTGCCCTCGTGTACTGATTTGAAGGCTTCGAAACCCTCAGACAACGGTAAAACTTTTCCGACACAAGGCTTAATCTTTCTCGCTGACACGAACGAGATAAGATCTCTAAACTCGTCCAGCGTGCCTGCATAGACTCCATGGATGCTAAGCTGATCAACCAATAGACGGAACGCATCCGTAGGCAGTTCAAAGCCGCTGTGACCACCGCAAACCACAATTGTACCTCCCGTCTTGACTGAGGCGACTGAATGCTTCCAAGTCACAGTGCCGCTGGTATCGAACACGGCGTCGACTTGCGTAGGAAGCGTCTCCCCAGAGTCAAACGTTCTCTCGACGCCTAGAGACTCTGCAAGCTTTCTTTTCTCAGCAGTGCGACCAGTAGCCCATACACGCATTCCTGCAGCGACACCAAGTTGGATAAGAGCCGTGGTAACGCCGCCTGAACTGCCTTGCACAAGCATAGTCTGACCAGGTCGCAGTCCGGACTTGGTGAAGAGCATACGATAAGCAGTAAGCCAAGCAATTCCAAGCACAGCACCCGATACCGAGTCGATTTCCTTAGGTAGAGGCAAAAGGTTGGCCGGTGGGACAGCAACATATTCCGCCAAGGTACCATCTCGAATTTCTGACAAGACATTGCGCTTTTCATCCTTTGTCTCATCGCCAATATATCCGGGTGAGATCATGACGGGGTAAATCACGACTCGTGATCCATCTTCAAGAGTTCCAACACCCTCACAGCCCAAGATAATCGGAAAGGTGATTTTGTGCATGCCAACGCCCTTTAGGGTGAAAACGTCGTGCCAGTTGACGGTAGCGGCTTCAATTTTAACGCGTTGCCAACCCTCTGGAACCTTAGGCAAGGGCACTTGGCCAACTGTGAGACCTGCCAGAGGGTTTTCATTATCACCTTTGGCTGCATATACTGCTAGCATAGTCTGTGCCTCGGATGATACCATGGTGTATAAAATGAGATTTATGAGAGTATGTGTTGTAGGTATTGGATTTGAGAGCAAGAGATGAGAGGCTATGTGTATGGAATGAAGATGAGCTAGAAGATGATATGACCGAAGTAGACTGATAGAGCCATACCTATATATAACAGGGTGTTGAAGGCTTGAATGCTATCCGCGGAGAGGCGGAGAAGCTTGGCTATCAAGCAACCCCATAAAACTCCAAGTTACATGTCTGAAAAGCATGCTGTTTGTGAATAAGCAGCTATATTGATCATTAGGTCCCCTCACTGACAACATGGTAGGACCCTGGAAAGATTCATCGAGTGTTACCTTTTGGGTGCGGAATTCCGCAAGTTCGAGTCTTATCCGCCCCAGAGCAAGTAGAAGTCCACAAATCTGATTCATAGTGCTGGAAATCTCCCATACACTAAATTTGTCAGATAGTCTAATCATATCTCTTATTATGTGGGATAATGTCCGATTTCCCCTTCCACTTCGCTCCGATTTGTTAATGCCTATGACATGGAGACTCCGCTCCGCACTAATACGGAGATTTTAATACAACTTCTTTTAAGACCACCAATGACATTCAGTAGACTATATAAGAGGTATGAAGATACCTCAAGAGACATTTTGATGGGTGAATGCATACTTATTTATTGTAATCAAGAAAAGGGGACTGCCGTTCATTTTGCTGCTATCTCATAGGTTATATCGAGAAGAATAATGAAATTACTCACAACGTATATCAAAATTTGCCTAAGCTGCTCTACAGTCTGAAGTCGAGAAGGCAGGATGATAAGAGAAACGTCTCTTTGAGGGTGCGATTCACTAATGCAACAATCATTAGGAACCTCACTGCCGACAACACTATGTTACTAAATATGATGCGCATCAGAATTCACCATTTCACTTAGTGCAGCTGATAATATGTATTCACTCTGACAGGTGAATGTAACAGACATGGTGAATTGATCATGCAATATGCCTAGATGAAATCTCATTCACCTGTCTATTTCGTTTGCTTCTCAAGCTTCCCAGTGAATTTTTGGTCTCTAGATTATAATTGCCTTGGTCTGGGCAACATTTTAAGTATGGCGTCTCAGACTCTGCCCTATGATCTAAGACACCTCAGCGACAGTTTCGTATTGCTGTGAGCATTAACGGATTGCGAGTCATGATGCTTCCGCTGTCATCTTTAACTCGGCGTTTAGCCATAAGGGCAGAGCCATCATCACTCTCCATTAAACTGCCGGTATGTAACAGAAGTTATCAAGATTGGGTAGTACTAACACCGTCATTGACAACACATCAGCCCCAAACCCCGGATATCCGTAACCCTCGCTTCTTGACATCGAGCCACGGCCTATTTCGACAACGCACTAAAGGGCCCTCGTTAATTTTATCCCCCGAGCAAGGAAATGTCGTGAAACTCTGTGCTGAGCAAAATGTTGTCGTATCAGCACGACCAGGTTCAGGCAAAACGGCTATGGCAGAAGCCATTGTAGCCCATTACCCAAACCAGCACACAGCCCTTTCCGTCTATCTGAAGATACTTCAGCTTGAAAACGAACGCCGACTCAAAAGTTACCCCAATGCGAGAGTTTTCACCATACATAAAATGGCAAGGTTGCTTTTCGGGACCGTTATACCGGACGACGCCAAACTATTGGAGCTGATTAAAGGAGCTGTAAACAAAAATGAGCTCCCCGAAGGAGACTTTAAACCTTTCGACATCATTGTGCTGGACGAATTCCAGGACTGCACAGAACTCCTATATTGGTTGGTCATCTGTTTTATTCGAGTAAACACGCGGAAGAGGGGCGGTCGACCAGCCCGCCTCGTCATTCTCGGAGATGAACGACAGTCCATTTACCGATTTCGTGGCGCCGATCACAGATACCTTACTCAAGCCCCAGAGTTGCTGGGCCCTGTCAGCTCCCATCCCTTTGTTGAACTTCCTTTGAGTGAAAGCTTCCGATTGTCAAATGAAACGGTTCAGTTCATCAACAAAACTTTTCTAGGGGAAGACTCATATATAACCAGCTCAAAGTCCGGCCCAAAGCCTATAGTCTTTAGATACATTCCTCCCCGCATTAATGCTTTGGCCAAGGAACTATCAACTTTGATCAAGCAATACGGCGCCGAAAACAGCGCCATTGTTGCACCCTCAGTGCGGAAAAATGGACCTCTGATCAAATTGGTCAACATCCTGAGCAAGGAATATGGCATACCAATTGCTCCGCCCATCGATTATGACAGCCCTATAGATGAAAGGGTCTGGGACGGAAAGTTGTCCATATCTACTATTCACGGGTTCAAGGGTAGAGAGCGTGGCTTGGTCATTCTCTTGGGGATAGACGCATCCTTTTTCAGATATCTTGGTCGAGATCTTCCTGATAACACCTGTCCAAACGAAGTGTTTGTCGCCTTGACCCGTGTAGTGGAACAGCTTGTCTTGGTCCATGACGAGAGAGAGAAGTTGATGCCGTTTGTGTCTGTGGATAACTTGTACGAAACAGCGGAGGTCATCAATTTGACATCCAATAAGGCCAAAATCGCATCTCCCAACGCACCAGGACGGGCTTTGCAGTTTGGGCTTGACCTACCCCCCAAAGTCAATGTCACAGACATGGCACGATATGTCCGGGGTGAACGCCTGGACGCGATTATTCAGCGTGATCTGTGTATCCAAGAGCTCTCAGAATCTCTGCCCGAGAAAGAACATATTCGTATACGAGATGTTGTCTGCTCGGATCCAGTAAATGGATTCTACGAGGCGGTGGGTGATATAAATGCTCTCGTGGTTCTAGCAGCATTTCAGCATGCTATTACAGGGGCAGCAACATTATTCGGCTCCAACAACCAGGTCACCGATGACAGAACCTCGATTTGTACATACGAACAAATTTCTCGACTTTGTAGAAACGCTTGTGCATATCAAGCTCTCATTTCGGGCTACCAACCGCGCTACCTCCAGATGAAAAATCACGATTTCAACTGGATGAACCTTAGGGATCTTGTTCTTGCTCAGAGCCGGCTTCAAAGTGAGCTTGGAGACTCAGCTTCTAATCTCAAGTTTGAGGTTGACGTCAAACGATACCTTGTTGTCGACAAGAGGGAAACCCTCCTTTATGGTCGAGCCGATGTCGTCACCGCTCCCACCATTTCAGAAGATGGCGAGATTGAAAGCGTAGAATCTGTATGGGAGATCAAGTTTGTCTCACGACTTTCCAACGAGCATATCGTACAGGCATGTACTTATGCGTACTTGTTGGCCGCTCGGTCCGGTCAGGTACCCCGTATCATACTCTACAACGTACGAGATGGGAAGAAGCTGGAAATTACCCCACGGGATGGATTGGAAGGGCTGCGACGTATGATTGAAAGCGTTCTTCGACTAAAGTATACGGCAGAAAAGGGGATGGAAGATGATGAATTCACTGAAATGTGTACGAGGACGACACGACAAGTTCTGGACTTGGATGATCCAAGAGAATGAGTGAGGTTTTAACGGCAGGGCTCATTAGATTATACAGCTGAGAGAGAGCTGATTTGCTCTCACTACATGCCGCTCATTGTAGCTTTCAGAAAATTAGGCAGTGGAATGAGGGAAGCTTTTGTTTAGTCTCGGAGATATCAGAAACAATCTTGTCTTGGGCATATCCTCAGCAGGGAATCTCATGTTAGATAGTAATAATTGCATCTGTTTAATCTAAATTGCCATTATCTATTGATCCTATAAGAAACAGACTAATAGTACATTAATCTACCTTATTCATGGAACACTTCAGTCAATGACTTGAGAACCACCTTTCCGTTCTGTTCAGCGCAAGTAATAATCGTCAGAGTGGACTCTTGCTTCTCGACGCCAGTTTCTTTGTCAGTAACCGAAAACACAGTGCGGTGAGCCACTGATCCTCCTTTTGCCTTGTCTGCATCATGACTAGCAAGAATCTCTTCAACCTTGACGACCTTGAAGATCGATTTGGCACGGGAGGAGATGATGGCTGCCTTGTAAGCATCGCCCGGAATGGGACCGCCGTTGATACTATCATCGTTAGAGATGGAAAATAAGACTTAGGTCGTGAAAGAGAACCTACTTAGCCTCGAAATCAGAAGCAAAATACTCCTCAACAGTCCTCAGGGATAGCTCATCGTCGGGCTGGAAGAAGGCTTTGACGAGTATTTGATCAACATAATCGCCAAACTCTGTCGTCTTATATGCCATGGTTGGAGATTTATTGGAATGAACTTTGTATGGAATTTAGTAGGCCAATTGCTGAGGGGAACTGAAATGGATCTGTTTCTATTGAGCCAATCTATTTGACTACATATATACCCATCAAGCGAGCGCATGACGGGTCTCCGACGTGGCATAACTCGACAATAGTATTTGTTTGTCTTCTTGTGCGGGCCGCGACTATCAGCATGTGCATTCACTTCTTGATCCATAATACATAATCGGAATTCCGCCGCAACGTTTCGGCGATACAGTGCTGACAAAACGATGTCATCACAGACCTGCGCCGCCTGCGGAACTCCGCGCGTGAATTTTCTCACGACATAACGGCCGTGGGATAACGGCCATGGCTTAGATTCACGTTATGCAGTACCACTCAATAGCCATTCCGCTCATTCATCCACCAGTGGAGGGAAAGCGGAGATGTCATTGTGGAACAAAAATCGCGAGATTCACGTCCGCAGATTAACATAACGCATCAACCCGTTATGCTTGGATCAGCCTCCTCCCATGCACGTTATGCCATATCAGAATCCACTCACTTCAATGCAACAATAACGAAGCACGTAGAGCTCTATTCTCTTGAGCTTTGCCTCCATGCGCAATGGTTTGACAGGAAGGAGCGTAGGTGAGAAAAATAAGCTCTTACTGACCACATCTCCACACCGCAATCGCGACAATCGTCAAACCATGAGACAGCAAATACAACTTTACTTTCGACTATATACTAGAGCTAACAATTCCATATAAAGCGTCAGAAATATTCCTAGGATACAAAGCAGCCATATTCGGATCCAAAGTTGAAGTCGTATCCGTATGATACAAGCATCCACGGCTGGCCTCTTTCCCATCAAGCCGATCCTGCAACCACGACACCGCTCCCGGAACCCCGAGAATACCATACTTGACGTGACTCAAGTTTGGCGAGTTAGCTCTCTCGTAATGTACGTTGAAACCCTGATTGCAATAGTCGCGCACCAAAGCGTCTATACCTTGAATAGAGGAGAGGTGATCAACGACACTCTGGTACACGTATAGCGGAGCTTTAATCTTGGATGCCCCGTCTTGACTCTCTTCGTTCCACGCCTTTATAAGCTCTGCCGTCAATCCTGGTATCGACTCATTGCGAAACATGCCCAGAATATCTTGGTACGAAAACAGCATCGTGCTCGCCTGCAGACACTGGTGCAGTGGGGTGTAGAAATACTCTCGAAACTCGGGTTTCAGAGACTGATCAATCGATTTCTGCAGCTCTGGATGCTGACTGGCCAGCCCAAGCAGCGCCGCTGGTATGAGTGCCGCACTCGGCCCCTTGTTGATGCTGAAGATGCCACTCGCATTCCTCAAGCTCGAGAGTCCTCCCATGGCGGCACCGGCAATCTCCAATTCAGGTGCATAATGCTCTTGCATCTCCACTGCTATTTGAGTGGCAGCTCCTCCTCCAGAGTATCCCCAAAGCCCTATCTTCGGATTTGATCCAATTCCCGTAATGTGGTTTGACTGCAACGTAGCTCGAATGCCGTCGAGAATTGCATGGCCTGTCATTTTGCTTGCCGTAAATGACCCTTTTGGTCCCTCGTGATCCGGTACAATGACGATCCAATTCTTAGCGAGCGCCGCCTCTGCGACTAACAACTGAAGCTGAGTGATATTGGAAATGAGCAGTGGATTTTGTTGCGCTGAAAGGAGCATCGTATACGATGGACCGCAATCAATTGTAGCAGAATCCTCGGCCATTTGTAAGGATACCACCTTGTTGTAGTCTGCGTCGGGAGGTATGAGGGCCGTCAAAACAGCCGCAGTAGGATTCTTCCGGCTATCTGTCGTCCGATATAGAATCTGATAGGCTTTCTGCACATGGGTCGGGGTCCATCCATAAGCAGAAATCCGCGAAGGCGGTTCCCTATGCTTTATTATGTCGCCAGGAGCAAATGCGTCTATATTTCCAGGCACGGCATAGAACGGATCCTTACTTGGAGGCGGGATGGATTGGAGGCGATGTCTATTGATGGAATGTAGATTTGAGGCCGACACGGCGAGAGAGGCTGCCAGCCAGTAGTAAAGATGAACCATGGCGAATATGATGGCTCTGTCTCTGGTTGGCGCATGGAGTAACGACAGAGAACAAGCAGCGGGAGAGAGCCTCTTAAGCGACTCAAACCACTGCCAAGTTTGGGTTGTACAACCTTATCATATTGAACCGATTGACTGGCACGGCGAGTTCCTCTTATATCATTCATGCAGACAATAGGAGCGAGCGATGTGAGACAAGGTGAGACATGTTCAAATTTCTGCCCACGTTCGTAAGCATGGCCGCGGACACGGGTGGTATGTAACATTGTCATACACGACATATAATTATGATGGTAAATTGAGCAGTTAATATTGAACAGTTACACAATATGACTTAGCCAACTTGTAACTCATTGTGTCCCCAGCTTCATAAAGTTACAGACCATCCACACTATGCCACGCTTGATGCAGTATCAAGCATGAGATTTGGAAGAAAATACAGTCACACAAGGCACCAATTCCGACGAGTGTCCGCATGCCAACGCCTCATTCACTCAATGTCTCACAACTCGGATCCTTTCAAACGCGTAAAGTGGCTACGTCCACTTCAAGTCTTGGATTAGCTGCACCAAGGTCCTTGTACGCGGCGGCTTTTAGGTTACTGCGATTACAAGAAACGAATCAAATGCCACATTTCCCCAAGGTGTTGTGGTGATGCGTGTCGATTCCTCGTCACTAGAGTCAATTCGGAACGCCCGTTGTAAGGCAGGATGCTGTTGTTTTATTACATGTAACTATTTTTGCAGGGACAGCGACCCAAAGAACGCTCATTGACGCGATTATTGAAGCCCGTGTCCCAAAGTTTATACCCTCAGAGTTTGGTCTAAATAATTGCATCTTGGAGAAAGTCAGGAACTCGGATTATTTGATCGAGCTGTCCGATTGACACAAGCGGTTCATGTTCTCTTGGACCGGTTTATCCACTGAGGTTTGCAGCTGCGCGCCACTAACTGCCCCTGGATGACTGCACTGTGCTAAGGAAATCACATGCACGTGAGCATCCAGCACCATTTGATCCCTAGCGTAAAAGCACCCCCCCCGCACCTTTGGGAACATCAATGCTCCTATCCGTACCATTTGATGTTTTCAAACCACTATCGTCTGTGGTGTCTTCTGGCATTTATTCGTAGCAAAATACATATACACGAGGGCGATATCTGTATTTGTGGGGTTACCTATTACAGCAACTTGAAGATATCAGTTCCAACTCTTCAATGAACCCAACCCTTCACGGATGAAATCGCAAGTCCAGGTTGAAGCTGTTCCGCAGCACTACACCTACATACCTTACACACCAATCACGAGAAGCGACCATGAGTGCCGCCACCGCTGAAACCAGTCGCCGAGAGAACATGAATGCTGAGCAGAAAAGGCACCGATGCCCAGTCTGCCAACAAACGTTTGGACGAGTTGAACATTTGACTCGCCATTCAAGGAGCCACTCGGATAAACGTTCTCTCAAGTGCGATTACTGCCAGAAAGGCTTTTACAGGGGGTCTGTACTATGTAGATGGCATGATTTTCTGTCTTGACTTCTCCCACTCTCTTCATCCGAACCAGGCCCATGCTTCTGGAAACACATCGGCTGACTTCAATTCTCGGACAGCGATGCTTTACGGCGCCATGAACGGCTTCACAAAGAACCAAAGAGGAGCGCATTCCGTAGGGGTGCCCGGGCTTGCCTTGCCTGTGCAAAAGCGCGTAGAAGGTGCAGTGGCGATAATCCGTGTGCTGCTTGTGAAAAGAGGTCAATCAATTGCAATTATCCAGCCATCACCAACTCTAAAGAATCGTCAGAATCATGGCCTCACATGTCCCATTCACCTACGAATGCGGGTGGAAGCCATGAGGAGCTCAACCCATTTGTTTCCCAGCGCAGTTTCGACTCCAATCGAACTGTCATGACTGCGACCATCATGGAGACGACAGGTTTTCAATCCGTGGGGCGCAGTCCACAGAGTGTAGCACAACCTCGAACATCTCTTTGCTCTCATGATAATATACTGGGTCAATCACCTGATATGCCCGCTAATCTACCTCCCCGGCCCTTTCTGAGAGATTCGTTGCTGGAATTTCAGCAAGGGGCAGGCTCTGAAGCTCAACAAACCTGGTCCTCAGGGGAGCCAGCTTCGCAACCAAGCATGGCGAATAATACCACACAAGTTTCAAGGCGATCAGAACCCAGATTTTGGCGTCATAACCGTCTGTCGTCTATCAATTGGCTTCCTGACAACTGGATTCCGGATTTCGATTTCAACTCTGGGCAATCACCGCCGCAAGCTACAGGTAGCTACGCTGGCCCTGCGCAAATATCCCAAGACCGATCAATGAGCGGCCCTGATATTGGTAGCGCGGCGTTAAATGTGAATGAAAATACATCTCCTTTCAGTAATGACCAAGGGATCATCGCCCCGGAGAATTCCAATAGCAAAGGGGTCGGTTACTACTATGTCGACGGAGATGGCGCACGACTGCCTCGTATACGCAAAGCATTACATCAATCTGCTCATCAATCCCCAGTTACCTATGCCCAGCTCACCGACGCTGATGGACCGGAAACTATCTATAACAAATACGGATTCCCCGGCTGTGAATACGGAGCTCACGACGGTGCCAATATCTCATCATCGGGGAATCAGCAGATTCCTATAGAGATCTACAGGGATATATTACATGCTTTTAATCAAACGTGTATAATATCATCGTACTTTCCTCCTTTTCAATCTGCTGACTTTCCATCACTAGAGTCAGTGGGTTTATTTGTTCGCCTCTATACCGAACATTTCCAGCCTACTCTGCCATTTATCCATCCAGCGACTTTCAATCCCTTGAGCTCTCACTGGCTACTCGTACTGGCAATGGCTGCAATTGGAAGTCACTATGCTAAAATTGAACATGTCCAAGTTCTTGTCGTGGCCATGCATGAGTTTCTGCGACGTGCTATAAACATGGTTGTGAGTTTGCTTGTAACATTCCCCGATCATCAGACTCTGACAGCAATAAATCCTTTAGTTGGAAACAGGCCATGATGCAAGTATTGAGAGACTTGTCTTTACGCAAGTGAGATTGCTAAGCTGTATCGGAATGATGTACTGCGGAGCTCAGCAGTTGATTGAGCGGGCCAAGGCCTCCAGGATCGACTTGGTTGCATTCTGTGAGACAGAATGGGTCAACTATACAGAGCAAGAAGACCAATTACTGAGAAGCCATACAGTCGACCAAGCAACCTCCGACTGGAAGGCGTGGTGTTGTGCGGAGAGCCGCCGAAGAACTGGCTACACCATATGGGTATGTTTCAGCATCCCTTTTTCGATTTTTCTTGGACTAAATATAAATATCTCAGCTGCTAGATTGTATGTGGGCATTTCAATTCCAGGTGCGCCCTCTTCTATCTTTGGAAGATGCCAGAGTTCCTGTACCATGTCAAGAGGTTCTGTGGGAAGCAGGCACGGCTCTCGATTGGCGGCAGCTCTACAGCGTCTCAACAAGTGAGTCCCCCCCGCCCCAAGTTGAAGTTGAATCAAATATAACTTTGAAAACTCAGAGAATCCATCATTGCATGAAGTCATTCAGATCTTGTACGTCGAGAAACGACTCCAGTCTTCAACGGGCGAATTCAGTCGAATTCTTTGCATCCACGCTCTTTTTCGGCGAACTTGGGAAGTAGAAGCCTACTTCAAACAGCCACTTACCCTTTGGAGTCCTGCCGCGGAACAGCAAGCCATCAAGTCCAAAGAGATGTCGAGTCCTGTCTGGCTTCCGGAAATTCAGACATATTCCCGATGGAGGAATTCCGCTTGTGACTGCCTCGATGTTCTCCACTGGCACGCAAACAGTGTCATTGGTGCCGCAGGTGGGATGGAACATCCAACGGTCCTTCATCTTCACCTTGCTCGAGTAGTTTTACTCACACCATTCCGACATATAGTACAATTGGCTCTTTTAATGACCAGGGAACGGGAACCAGAGAGTGATGAACAAATTACTGAAGCAAGAACCCATATACGACGATGGGCCATGGAAGATCAATATAAGGCGAGGCTCGCTATGATCCATGCTGGAGTCTCGTTTTGGCATGTTCGTCGTTATTCAGTAGATGGCTTCTACGAACCGTCAGCTGTGTTTCTTGCTACCCTTGCAATGTGGGCTTACGGCACATTTGCTCCCCACACATCTAGGCCAATAGAGGATTCCCATTCTCCCCAGAGTGATGAAGATGCCGGATCTCCATTTCCCACCTCCATGCAATTGGATAGGCCTGCTGATGATGAGCTTGTGCAGTTATTTGTGAAAAGAGGAGGGTCTATTCGTGCAAATGTCACGGGCGTTGGAGATCTATGCAGCCCAAAGGGTCCTAGTCGTGTGCTACTGGAGGGCAGAAAGCTGCTTATGGATTTAAAATGTTGGGGATATAGTCATTGGATTGTCCGGACTTTGACACTTCTTATAGAGATCTGCTAACAGAACATATCATTGGAAGTTTAGAAATGCATGCTACATTGACTGGAGCATACACACACCCCTCATCATTGATTGAAGTTAATCGACGATGTAAGAATTGTATTCTCTCACTGGTCCTTCCAGAGTATAGTAGCAAAACACGAGTTCTGTAGACTGTGACTCAATTTACGTATTTCTAATTTGATAAACAGATCATAATGATACGGATAAACAACAATAATTACCCCGATATCGCAATCTGAAATTGAATCCCTTTCTCACACCTGCTACGATGAGTTCTAAGTTCGAACTCGAAACTCTACTCGGTAACTAGGGGACAAGGACCCTCCTCCACCTCAATGTGCTCAGCATCACTAATAATATCTGCCTTTTCGCGATACTCGCTTTGGTGGGCAAATTCTGTAGTTTCTACGTTAGGACTCGGGATCTTTCTCATAAGAAGTGATGCCATGGGTGGAAAAAAAGGCTTACGATTAACTTTGGTATACTTGAACTTCCTCGCGGGAACGTGGTTGTCGAACAGCAGATCAATCTCACCAAATGTGCGGTCCTTGGTCTCGGGAAGGCGGAACCAGCACCAGATGTTGCAGAGAAGATTTGTGCCTGCATAGAAAAGACCAGCTTTGGCTCCCCAGTTCCAGGCTATCATCAAGGTGTGTTAGCCAAAGTGAAACAATGTTTTACACAGAATTTACCGGGATGGAAGAAAATGACAAGTCTTACAGGTCGCAGCAATCATGCGGGGGGTCACGGAATTGTTGAAAATACCCGTTAGGTTATACACGAAACGGCCAATGACAATAGTCTTGTACCTCAGGCGTCCAGATGGCGTTTCTGCCACAATGGGATAGCAAGCAGGACCGACTGTGATCATGTTGATCAGCGTCGAAAAGACCAACAAGATACCAATGGCCATCTCAGCGCCCTTGCCTGAGGTGAAACCGAGGCCACCGATGGCGATGAGGCAGCAGAACATCAGCGCCAAACCGCCCATGTAGATAGTTGCTCGGCCCACGTGCGGGAACATGAACCAGCAGATGATGCCACCAACGATGTAACAAGCAGACAGCGAGATGTTGAGGTCGAATGCTTGAAGTTCGGAAAAGCCTGCGGCTTCGAGGAAGACAACGGAGTAGCCCAGGATAGCGTTACCACAGAGGATTTGTGCCGCCCAAACAACGCAGTTCTACGTGTAAGACGTCAGCTTTATGTTGCAAAACATGAGGGCGTGATGGCTTACAATTTCAGTACGGCGAAGATTCGTTCCTTGAAAACACTCGATGAAGCTTGCCGAGGCAGTCTCTGCCTTTTCGATGGCTGTGGTGTGCTGGATGTAGGCCAGTGTGGCTTCGACCTCGAAGTCGCTTTCTGGGGATGGGGTACGGAGACGCTTGAGTGCTTTTCTTGCTTCTTCGACTTTATCTCTTCGAACGGCATTCCATGGAGATTCGGGAGCAAGGTAGGCGCCTATAAAGAGCGGGATTGGCCAGACCCATTGAAGGGCGAAAGGCAGTCGCCAGGCGATGTTGCCACTGAGACCTGCCACGGCTCGGACGACACCTGAGGAGAGCAGAATACCTGCTCCCCAGCACATACAGACGTATGCAGTAACGTATGGTCTCAGTACGGTGGGAACGACTTCGGAAGCATATGTTGTGGAAAGAGTCTGGCAACGGTTGCATCAGCTAGGATACACCTTTCTAGAGGCAAAATTGAGACATACTTGGAAAACACCCCATGAAACACCACACATCGCCTCTCCCCAAGCCAGAACGGGCAAGGAGGGTGCAAACACAGGAATGAAAATCATCACTGCCATCCATGCCATGAAAGCCATCATGGTCGCTCGGCATCCGAAGCGATCTTGAGCGTATGCGTTGACTATTAGACCGGCCAGCTGACCGACAAGCGACGAGTTGGACAGGCCAGACTGCCAGGGGGCGGAGATGTACTTTTTCCCCGTAGAAGCATCAACCTGACCAAACCGGTCCTGAAACTGAGTCTGGCCGTAGAAAGAGGTAATCTAGGTTCTGGATGTCAGCGGAACCTTTCCTAAGCTTGAACGGTAAGACAAGCGATTCGAAAATGCTACTCACAATAACTAAGTCGTATCCTTCCATGATCAAGCTGGTAGACAGAAACATGGCCCAGAACACGGCTCGTTTGTACTTGCTCAGAGCCTCACGAATCGTCAACAGACGATCCGCGGCGTCGCTCTGCTGTGCGTGATGGATGAGCTGGACAATCTCGGGGTTGTTGAGGTCAAAGCCTTTGAGCTCCTCCTCGGTGGGAACGACCGACTCCATCTTCAGATCGTTTCCCGATGCCATACTTTTTTCAGTGCACGTAGCTGGAACTGGGACTCAACCGCTCTGTTCTCTCTTAATGAAGAGGCGATTGGAACGTGGGGAAGATGGTAATATTCTCCATAATATACATATACTTCTCGAATCCCTGTAATACTATCTCTGAGGTCAACGCGAATTTGGAATGCACCATGTGGAAGGGTCGCATATGCAGAGTCCCGGTGGGGGAGATCTGGGGAAAAGCTGGGGAAAGGCTTGGGGCACCCGGCATGTGTGGGGGCAGGCCACCGGTGGGCTGTTGTCCAGCGGTCCTCTGAAAATATTCTGTCCAGCTGCAGGCTACAAGGACTGTAAGATTCAGCTGCCTGACAAGCCCGCCCACTCTCTCGCTCTCTGTTCTCTTAGCAAGCCAGCCATCAACGAACGATTACGATTGATGTATGCTCGAAGCTGGCAATCAAAGCCTCGAATGAAGAGAACCAGAACAGGGTGTTGCGGGACACGGTACATGGCATAATGCCGCCGATGCGATGTTCCGTGGAGGCTCCTCTCATGCCTGTCCAAGTACAATGGTCCCTAGCAACTCGATAGCACATAATAACAATATAGCCATATCTGTAAAAGTCGACTTCGGTTCTGCCCTCAACCGGCGCCTCAGCATCTTCCTTGAGCGTAGATTCTGATTGGAAGCCCTCACAGCACACCCCTCACGGCAGCCAGGAATGGAGAGGGTCGCTTGCCACACCGGTGGGGTGGACAAATGCCCACCATGCTGGTATTATGTGTCCCTTGCAGAAGAAAGCTGTCGGGTTAAATAGATACGAGGTCGTGCTTTTTGAGCGACTGGATGTCCTGGCGGAACATCGTTTGACGGTCAGAGCATGATTCGCTGAACAAATCACACAATTAATTGAGACATGGCGTATCCACAGAAAGCGTTCGTCAGCACGACCTTTTCGTCGCCATCGTTTATATCTCGAAGGCGACAAGCTGTGTATGCGAATACATTACTGTACCAATTAACTGTCTTGAAGGAAACGGGTCGATATGACGCTTTCAAGTTGAACTGGCACCCTTCGTACTCCGACAAGCCGAATGTGTGGCCTGTACCAAATCATTTATTTTGGGACTCTGATGTTGCCAAGTGGATAGAAGGGGCTTGCTATTTCCTAAGCTGGAAATACAATGCCGAGATTGATGCGGCTGTCAAAGAGCTGGTCGAAATGATCAGATCTGCTCAGCAGGAGGATGGATATCTGAATATCCATTTTACGGTCGTTGATCCCAAGGGGCGATTCACCAATCTGAGGGATCTTCACGAGTTGTAACGTTTCCCAACGCCTTCCCAACCTGGGGTAGAAAATAACTAATGGCGAGCCAAGATACAATGCGGGACATTTGATCGAAGCTGCGCTCGCGCACCAAGATTACTACGGAAACGACTTGTTGCTACAACCAATCCTCGAATACGTCGACTTATTGTACAAGACCTTTGGCCCGGGCCCAGATCAGAAGCATGGCTATCCCGGTCATCCAGAGATTGAGCTTGCTCTCCTCCGTCTTTTTGACAAGACGAAAGATCCTCGACATCGAGCGTTGGCGCAGTATTTTATCGAGGAGCGTGGAAACCCGCACGGACAAGACGGTCGTCATTATTACGACGTGGAAGCAGAACTCCGGGGAGAGGGCGAGCACGAACGCCCCGCCTATTGGACAGAAGAAAGAAGTTTCTGGTGAGATGACCTGCCCTTTTTTTTTTTTTCACAAAACCGCAAGTTGCTGAAATCAAGATCAGGTATCAACAAGCCCATAAGCCGATTATCGAACAAGAAACAATCGAGGGGCACAGTGTGCGAGCAATGTATCTTCTGACAGCCGTAGCTGACCTTGTCCGGATTGACAATACGGGTAACACGGGTGCCCTACGGAATGCGCTGGCCCGCCTATGGACCAACATGGTGGACAAGAAAATGTATCTAACGGGAGGAATTGGCGCGATGAAACAATGGGAAGGGTTCGGAATCGACTATTTTCTGCCGTCTGGTACCGATGAGGGTGGATGCTATGCTGAGACGTGTGCCGGAATTGGCGTCATGATGCTTGCCGAGCGAATGCTTCAAGTAGGTAAATTGGCCAACATCTTGCCACGCAAATACTGACCGGGACTAGCTGGATTTGGATGCGAAGTTTGCAGATGTGATGGAACTATGCTTCTACAATGCTGTGCTGACTGGTATGTCAGTGAATGGAAAGCAGTTTACTTATGTTAACCAGCTAGCATCTACGGACACGGATCTGTCGAAACGCGCGGAGTGGTTTACATGTGCTTGCTGCCCTCCAAATATGGCCCGGCTTCTAGGCTACATCGGAGGTTACTTGTGGTCTCAGAAAGCTGACGAAAAGAGTAAATCGGTTGAAGTTGCCGTGCACATGTACTCTTCGGCAATCATCAAGATTCCCACTGGCGATACTACCGTGGAACTAGAGCAAAAGTCCAATTGGCCGTGGGATGGTAAAATCAACTTTGCTATCCGAAATGCTTCAGAGGTGGCGACTACTATCAAACTAAGGATCCCAGGTTGGGCGACAGACTGGAAGGTAAGCTGACCCCAGGCCAACATTGGTCAAGTATTTAACGAGAAAATATAGCTTTCGCCAAGCACGCCTGAATCTGTACTTGAGAAAGGATATCTGACCCTTTCTCCGGATTGGCTCAAGAGACACAATACGTTTGAACTTGATATTCCCCTCAAGCCACGGTTCATTACACCTCATCCATACACGAACCAAGACATCGTAGCGCTTGCCAGAGGCCCACTCATATATTGTCTCGAAGACTTTGATAACTCATGGGTAGAAGACCATTTCAAGAGCCTTGTCTTGGATCCTGCTGGGAATATCTCTGAGGAAGTGGCGTCTGACCCTGAACTTGGAGAGCCATGCGTTACTTTGACTGCACATAATTCGGCATTCCTTAGAGTAGAGGAGTCTCTTGGTCCCCTCGTTCCCCTCGGCAAAGCGACTGTGAAGGAAAGGCCAGCTGTTCAACAACTAAAGTTTATTCCGTACTGCCTTCGTGACAACCGCGGGGGGAAGGGCCATATGAGAGTAGGTATCCGCAGAAAACATTGAAGTTTTGAATCACGCGAACGGTTCGGGACACCTCTGGAAGTAGTCGGGTACCATAGAATGATAGGTAGTATCGAACAGACCTAGCTATCTAGTCTATTTACCATATCTCGCAATCTTCAATTAAGATACTAAGTGAATTTTAACCAAAGTTGTCTATTTTATAGACCTTAGCTACATAGATAGAAATTAGAGGCATAGACATGTGGACAATCTCCTGTACCAGATAAGTGATTATCCATGCAGCGTGTCTTCTTTATTGGCATTTGGTTTAAATCCACAGAATCTCGTAACCGCTCCAATAATACTAACGGAATGCTGAATTGAGATAATGAGTTTGGCATCGTAAGATGCAGGACCCGGAAGCTTGGAGCTTCTCCGCACTTTTGTCGTCAACCGACCTCCATTACCATAGCTCCGGTGGGGGTGGAGTTGCATCTGTACTATCACAACTAATGCCGGCTTCATTACTTTTGCCGTGCGCCATAGTTAGACCCAGTAGTCGTCCCAACCAAACCGCGAGTGCTGGGCTGCGTCCGTATTGGAGCGCTTCTATCTCAATTCTTAAGAGGACTTGAACGCGCCGTGCAGACACTTCCCCGGAGCCGGAGAAGTTGTAAGAAACCGTATCCACCGCCCCCCCTTCTCCCGTTAGCAAGCTTTGCTTACCCCAGATCCAAGCCCCTCAGCATCGATTAGCTCAAGGATCGTTACAATGATTTTTTATCCATTGCCTATTCAGGAGGCTACCGGCAGAATAACCCAAGCAGATGCGTCAGAAGAGCGATCTGGCGAGCAAGCTCTGCTAGCCGTATAAATTCTAACCATGCGAGTACCTTCAACTGCTTTCTTCTTCCACCTAGAAAGTATTGTGCTCAATCGAATTCACTGTTGCTCTATAAAATGCACCTAGCTGCTTTTCTATTCTCGGTGTTCATCACTGAAACCCTCGCGACAACTGCAGCGGTGGTGAACTTTGCCAATAATACTGGAGCTCCAGAGCACCTCGCTTCAGGAACTTTATACGGTCTCCCTGAAAACGGGAACCAGATTCCAGTAAGTTGAGCTCGGTTTATCGTTATGAAGAGGCTGTTTGTCAACTCCGGAATAGGATGAGTTTTTCAGAGACATTGGTTGGCGATATGAACGAGCCGGTGGAGCTCAACTGCCTGCTCCCGCACTCGGATGGATCTGGGGCTTGACCAACTATAAGGTATGAGCATATGCATGGTAAAAGTAACGAAATGGCTATTATATTAACCCCAAGGTTGGGTAGAATCGGTTCAAGTCAGCACTATCTAATTACCAAACCACCCTCAAACATGGAGGCCAGTTTGTGTTTCTCATCCATGACCTTTGGGGAGCAGATGGAACACAAAACTCATCAGCACCGTATCCTGGAGATGACGGAGATTGGACAAGCTGGGATTCCTATCTCGCTACTCTCTTCTCCGATATGACAGCCAATGGCATGACCAAGGATATAATTGTTGACATTTGGAATGAGCCAGATGGCGCTGGATTCTGGGCGCGTACACAAGAACAGTACTTGGAGATGTGGGGACGCACGTATTACAAATTCCGGTGAGTCAATGGAAAACATATCTGAGACCGATTTGATGCAACTTGAAAGTGCTAATATAATTCTCTCCCGTGGCAGTGCTGAATTTGGAACCAAAGTGCTCCTATCTGGCCCTGCAAGTGCTGGCGAACCCCTTAATAATAGTTGGTTTGCGAATTGGTGCTCTTACATTTCCCGCAACGGTAGCATTCCAGACCAATATGCATGGCACATGGAAGGCGGAGGCGGCGATTTGCTGTCTGCCCACGCTGGTTTGCTTGGTTATCTTGAAGAATACAACCTCCCTACTCGCACTATCAATATTAATGAGTATGGAGTCTTCAAAGAACAGGTTCCCTCTGGATCCGCCTGGTGGATTGCTCAGCTTGAAAGAATCAATGCTTTCGGCCTGCGAGGTAACTGGCTCAGCGGTTATCAACTTCATGATTTCATGGCCAGTCTCATTGGCAAGCCTGACTCCCTGAGCAATTACAGCGCAACCTCCACGAGCTATTTCCCTGTTGGCGACTATCAGGTTTACAAATATTATAACCTCAACATGACTGGAAGTCGGTATGGGACCACGCCGTCTTCAGATCTTGCACTGGATGTCTATGCTACAGCTAACCGGGGCCTCGCACGCGTCCTTGTGGGTGTACGTGTCAAGACTGGGACCTGGGAATTAACTCTAGATAATCTGACCTCCCTTGGCCTTGCAGCCAGCGGCAGTTTGGATATTCACACTTATGGATTTCCTGCAGTTGAGCAGTACCAGCAGTGGGCCGAAGTTGATAGCCCAATCGACCTGGGATGGTATTCCCACCCGTACTCTGATGGATCCGTGACGTTTCCTGTTAACCAGGTTACTACGGATACTGCCTTTGCTTTTGAATTTGCTTACTAACTCTTTGGCTGATATATTTGCGTCCGGTGTAGGTGTTGGAATTGACTAAGTGTCAAGGAAATCTGATGGATCTGAACGCTTGTACTAAAGCTATTATTACTATAGAAACCCGGTTCATCACACTTACTTGGTAGTTTATATAGCTAAAAATAGATTGCGTTAAGCGCGTTAGTAAAGATATAAATCCAAATCCTTCCGACAGCCGAAACTTACGCAAGTGGCTGGCGTGCCGATTTAGCCGTCCAGCCACGATACTGAATGATTGCGCAACTGCATCCAAGTCGCGCATATTTAGACTGCTTGAATGTTCTTTCAATCTAGTATCTTGCTAGAGCTTCTGGTCCAAATTCCACAGTTACTCCTTGTTACACCATGGTGCCTTCCGAAGACGCGATAGCCAAGTTCATCTCCTGCGTTCCAGATGCCGACGAGGGCAAGGCGTGGGTCTTTTTAGAGGTAACTGCTCACATTTCGAGGTCAGCAAATCACAGCTGCTAATTCCGTGGCAAGGGCGCGGCGAGCATAGACGAAGCGGTGGAGGAATACCTCGATAACCCGGGGAAATATTCACAACCCGAAACCAGGTCTCTCAAACAAGCCAATGTCGTCCCTGGCTCAGTCGACGAAGCGCCTCCGGCGTACCATGCGCCATCACATAGTTTGTCCAACAACGGCGGAGGACACACCGTCCATCAATATCTACGGACACACACGAACAAAGTGATTGAGGCAGCGAGGATACGTGCCAGAGATGAGGTTTGCGTGTGCTCCTCCCTAACCTTCTGAACTCCAGTCTCATGAAGTCACAGCAAGAAATGCAAAATATTCTCCAGAAGGTGCAACTAGCACACCGCATATTCAATAGTGACATCGAGCCAGAGCATGATGTGGACGGCTTCCTCTGTGGGTGTGACATTCACCAATACATGGGTCTAAAGGTACGACGACTTGGCGTGCAGAAAATGTGGTCAGAAGCCGTCATGTACCCGGGTAAGAGACGCCAGATGCTCTCAGGGGCCCTCGACTGCTCATCGGCTCGACTGACAGATTTGTAGGTGAAAAGTCATATCATGACTGCTACCAAACAACGTTTGGTTACTATTCCAAGAATCCGTATAAAATGCGCGTCACCTCGCCGTATGGCAACTTTAGTTCGAGCTATATAGGTATGGGTATAGGTATGGCGCGTCCCATAGCCAGATATTACAGTCTTTCAGTTCATCAGACTATTAGCTTGAATGCACAGCTCAACGGGGAGGCCCAGTCTGCCATCGATGCAAGGGAGCCAAGGATGAATATTTGGGACCTTGAGAATCCTGATATTTCACGGTCAATCTTAGCCAGCGAAGCTTCTTCAACATCAACAAAAAAGGGGGATGAAGGACTAGCCTACGACAAGTCCGAGAAAAGGGGAGAACAAAGCTCAGCGAGTGCAACGGCCAATAGCAACGGCGAAGCATCTTCATCTAGCAAACCATCAAGATTCGTAACGCTAAAGAAGGCCTTTTCAATCAAGTCTGCCGAAGAGAAAGCAGCCATTAAGCTAGAAGCGGCGCTGGGCCAATGCAGACAATTACGTGACGAGATTATACAGGAGGAAAATAGCAGATGGCCAGACGCCGAGTGGCGACAGATCGTGGCCGCCTACCAAAACAACGTTGGGATGGCTAATACAATCGCCCAAACCCGTCAATTCAAACCCATTCAATATCTTCATATGCTGCAGGCAGGCTACTTTGAGCCCATTCCTGTGGCGTGGGCGAACCAGATATCCAACCCACTCAAGTTCACGGTTGACGCAAGTGCCGGGTGGAGAGGCATTACACCAGCCTGGAGGGGCTACGACGATACAGCAGAAGAGAGACTATACTGGGTATTGAATCACAGAGCCGGGGCCAGCCAGAGGCTAAAGCCCGACATGATCTCCGCACTCGACATGGCCCGACGAAGGATGGCATCTGCCGTAGAGCCACCCCCAGCGTATTTTGCGGCAGACGACACTTGCCACCTACAGCATACTTCTGAAGGCTATTCTAAACAAGTTATGCCTCCGCCATTTCGACCCTATGATGGTCCAGAGACTGCGTCAGACAATAGCGTGATATTGGTAGACGTATCTGGCTCGATGGACTTTGAGCCAATGCGGCCACTATACGACGAGTATCTCATAACAGGATACACTCGATCTACTCAACCCAAAAATAGAGGTAACGTATTCCATCTCGTTCAACAAGCTGGCAATTGCTAACCATGTTCATTCTGTTTCAGATACTGCCAAAGCCATCATCCGCCGATTCACAGACGCCCTTGCCAACCACGATCACAACTTTCAGGGTTACCAGCTAACCACATTTGCCAACCATGCAGAATATATTGGCATTCTAAACCACCAAAATTTCGAAAAGGTTTGGGGAACAGTCAGATTCGGAGGCGGCACACGCGTCATGACGGGGTGGCAAAAGGTGAAAGAGCTCCATTTTCAACAACACTCAGCATCAGCGACCTACCACCCGGTATACGGCTGGCAAGCGGGCCCGGAGACGCCCATTCTAAGGGTCCTCTTGCTGCTAGATGGAGAGGCCCAAGACATGGACGAGTTTGAACTTGATTTGCTGGGTCTCTCATGGGTTCACGTCACCATATTCTTGGTCGGAGTGGACGGCTGCCCTCACCACCATAGGCACGCAAATGAGTTGCAAAGAATAAGCGAAGTCAACCCACACGTGTCTTTTGTTGATGCACAAGGGAATACGCCAGAAAGGTTTGTGACTCATGAGCTGCTGAAGAGGCACTTGGGTTACGATTTGTCCATGCAGGAGTTTGAGAGGATGGAACACCCGCCCGCTTATACAGCATAATTTTAAAGCCATTATTCATATGAGTCAAAGATCTATAACATAAGAAGCATTACGTGTCAAACGCAGGATCTGAAATATCATTAAGCATTAGAAATCAAGCCAGAATCGCACACTTCACCCCAGAATACGAACCCCGCCAAAACCGCCATCTATGGCAACTTTTCCCTGCAAGAATAACTAATCTGTCCTACGTCGGCACTCTAAACAACGAACATGAAATCACACGATCAATCTCGCCGGCCATTCCGTCGGATATTGAACAAAGGACCTCGCAGATGCCTTTCACCCGGCCCTATCGGGAACCCCCTCCAGCACCACTAGCCATGCAGCCGGGACGATCTGCAAGTGTGGGGAGCCAGTCAAAACAGCCGGACGAACTCCAAGCTAAAGGGTCGGTGATACCCAGATGCAATGTCGCATCGAATACGCAGAACGGATTGCCGGTTTGTAAAAGTGAGGGGTAGCTTCATGCATGCGAATGTCGGTCCATCTTTGCATAGTCCGGGGTTGGCTATAAAAGGCAACTTGACAAATTAAAATCCGCCGACGCCGTGAAGTTGGCATTCTTCTTCGTGATGTGACCAGAGCCCATAGCTCTCACGATATCAAATAACAGCAATCATGGTTTCATCTAAGAAACTCCTCTTAGAACTCGCTTGCCTGCTGCCAATCGCCCATGGCGCTGCAATTGACCAGCGATCTTCCCCCATCGTCGACCTAGGATACGCCAAATACCGTGGCGTCAGGCTCGATGCCGGAGTAGATCAATTCCTAGGCATGAGATTCGCCCAAGCTCCCCTCGGCAACCTCAGATTCCGCGCACCCCAAGATCCAACTCCCGAGAAGTCTGTCCAAGATGCCTCCAAGGTCTGTCAAACCACCTCACTCTCACAAACATCACATCAATTATCTTAAACTAACCCTCAAAAACAGTTCGGCCCAATCTGCGTAGCCGTCGGCCAAACAGCAGACGCAAACAACGCCGAAGACTGCCTCTTCGTCAACGTCTTCAAACCCTCCAGCGCAACTCTCAACTCCAACCTCCCCGTCTGGGTGTACATCCAGGGCGGCGGCTACGCCCAAAACTCAAACTCCAACTACAACGGCACCGAAGTCATCAAGCAGTCCGGCGACGGCCTCGTCTTCGTCAACTTCAACTACCGTGTAGGCGCTCTCGGCTTCCTCGCCAGTGAACATGTGAGGAAGGATGGAGATCTCAACGCAGGCCTGCTCGACCAGAGAAAGCTCCTCCACTGGGTACAGAAGAATATCAAAAAGGTATCTAGACCTTTCACCTTCAACAATATTCAGACAAACTAACAAACCAAGTTCGGCGGCAACCCAAAACACGTCGTCATCCAAGGCGCCTCCGCCGGCGCCGGCTCCGTAACGCACCACCTCACAGCCTACGCCGCCAAAAAGGACACCCAGCTCTTCGTCGGCGCAATCCCCGAGTCTCCCTTCTGGCCAACCCTCCGCGCCGTCGCAGACATGGAGTTCCAGTACCACCAGCTCCTCGCCAACGCAAACTGCTCCTCCCTCAACTGTCTCCGCGATCTAGACACCCAAGCCCTCTTAGACGCCGCCCCCAACGCGCCCTTCATCGGAGCAGCGAGCGACAATCCTCTACCCTTGTGGTATTGGCTCCCCGTCATCGACGGAGATCTCATCACAGACCACCTCTACAATCACTTCGAGCGCGGCAACTTCATCCGCGTCCCAGTCCTCGTCGGCGACGACACCAACGAAGGCACATACTTCGCCTTCAACGCCACAAACCCCTCCCAAGTCTCGACATTCCTCAAAAACAACTACCCCTACCTCCAAGACTCCCAACTAAAAAGCATCATCCGCGCATACCCCCTCGAACCCCCCCTCCCCAAACACGCAGCATACTTCCCCTCCGCAGAAGCCGCCTACGGAGAATCCACATTCACCTGTCCCGGAAACACCGTCGCCGCCTCTGTAGCCAGATTCTTCAACCCTCGCCGCGTCTGGAACTATCACTACAACGTCCTGGACCCGGACAACGTCGCCAACGGCCTCGGCGTCCCTCACACGTTCGAAACGAGCGCAGTGTTTGGACCGGGATACTCAGACTCAGCAGCGGCGTCCTACTACACGACCAACGCTGCCATCGTCCCCGTCACCATGCACTACTTCTTGAGCTTTGTGACAAAGTTGAATCCAAACACGGCAAAGTATCATTCAGCTCCAAACTGGGATCCTTGGGGCCAAGGCACGGGGCAACGCATCAGACTGCAGACCAACAATACTGCCATGGAGCCTGTGCCATTTGATCAGATTGCGAGGTGTAATCTTTGGAATAGTCTGCAAAGCTACACGCAGATGTAAATAGAAAATTACAAAGATCAAGGTTAATGGCAAAGCATACATGGCTGAAGAACTAAGAAAAATATTAAAGAAGCATCCGTAGTTTCTCTTGAGCGTGTACCGACATGAACCATCACGCAAAAGGCAGCGGGCGGAAAACAAGTGTGAATAATTTTATTCATATAAGTCATCATCATCTTTCTAGGACTATAGGGGGTGAAAGTTCGCGGAAATGGACCCCATACAAATATTGGGGGGGGGGTTCGATTCTTAGGTGGTTGTAGACTTTTGGGCATATAATAAATATCGTATGCACGGCCGATCCCTGACACTATTTCATCTTCATCAATGTATACACCCATTCTTTCATGTCGTATTTGATGTTCGCCGGTCAATGATTAATACTCAGACACTGTTGTTATTACCGGTTTCGATCTTGTCATTCACCATCTGGCTCTCCCTCATCGATACGACAATCGATGTCAGCTGGTCAATCTTCTGCTGCAGTTCCATAAGCTGAGCCTCAACTGGCGAGGGCGCATCGACATCGTCCTCCTCGCGATTTCGGCTAGACGGGCGCAATTTCATCGCAGATCTAAGCGTTGCAATTGGGGGGCGGCCAGCAGCAGATGAGGGTCTACCAGCCTCCGACCTACGGCGTCTCCCCTTAGGCTCCTTTGGGCCCTTGAAGCCGCGGAACTCGTCATCGTCATCGCCCTTGTACTTGAGATACTCGTAGAGTTTGATGACGCCCACAATGGGCGCGTGGGTCACCTTGAGAAGCCAGATCCTACCTGCGCGGTATTTGTGGGACCTCGGGAAAATGTATCGCCATGGACGGAACAGAACCAAGGAAACAAGGTTGAAAGGGGGGTAAAAGTGTGTCAAGCGGTTGCTGGTTGAGGCCTCCAGCACGTACACACTGTACACGTAGAGGTACTCCTCCTTGGCGTGGGTGATGACGCGAGAAAAGCTGTTGGAGAGCATACCGGTGAGCGAGCCCATGAGAAGGAACGATGACAACGTGATGAAGATGATCATCAAGGGAGGTCCAAAGATGGGATCAATCTGGTCCATGATCTCGAATCCCACATAGCTCGAACCATAAAATATCTTGGTCAAGATGCCCGTCATCTTGCCAAAGCTAAAGATGTCTCTGCCCACGAGGGAAAAGGTGGTCAGGAAGCCAAGGTAAACAACAATGACAAGCACCATGAACTTGATAAAGTCCTTGCCCATCTCCTTAAGGCAGGGAATAAGCGTACCCCAGTAGGGGCTCAGACTTAGGATGGAGCAAATACGGGGGATCATGAAGAGAGCCTCCAAGGCCAGCACATCAAATGCCAGGTCATTTAGGCGCAAATCTTGACGCATGATACCGATAATTCCTTGGTCGCGATTAGCATTCGGTGTTTCTTCTGTGAGCAAGAGAGACGACACTCACTTAATACAGCAAAGATGGTGCCAATGAGGATCATAATCATGTCAAACAAATTCCAGATGTCCGTTGCGTAAAAGATGGCTCCGGCATCAATCCATTCACTCAATTCATCGTAAAAGAAGGCAGCCAACCAGAAGAACAAGGCGATTTCGGGGCCAGTCAGGCGGCTTTCGTCCCGCACAATGAGGACAGAGTAATACAAGCACATGAAGACAACAAAGAACAAGACTTCCCAGCATTTGAGATATTTGGGTACACGGAGTCGGGAATAGGGATCCGACGTGAATGGGTTATAGAAATGGGGGTGCTTGGTCGAATTGATCGACATGGAATCCCAAAAAACAATATCGCCATTCCATATGCCCACGATGATCTTCTGCACGACGTGCTGGCTAAGAAATCTCTTGGCGTCGGCAATAGCAGCAATCTCAAGAGCATTTAGACCTTCAAAAGCGGCGGTTGGGTCATCATCATCATCACCTCCGTCATTCTCGTCATCCATGCTAAGATTAGTCAAGCGGGAAAGAGACGACAGAAGCTGTATCTTCTTGGACGAACTTCCCGCAGGGAGATGAGCATCTGAGCCGTCAAAAGAAGCCAGCACGCGAGGAATCAAGGGAGTGCCCTCGCCAGCTTCGGGATCCGATCCGATGAGGCGATCAGGCTCCTGCTGCTGTTGCTGTTGCTGTTGGGCCTTTACCTTCTTATGGTCAGGGATCTCGTAGAGGCAAAAGGTCACAGCCTCGCGCTCCGAGTGGTGGGTCAGGAATCTCCAGGCTACAATCTCACAGGCATTAGAGCGAGCTTCGCCGACGCCCTGGTTGTCACGATCCGAAGCATAGTGCCATTTGAGCGCCCTAGCAGTGGGTGATAAGTCAAGCAAGCACAAGAGGGCCGGAATTGGGCGTCAAGAGAACCTACAAAAGAGCATTGACGATGGCCGGGTTGACGCAGGTATCGGCCAGATGGTCAACCAAGAGGCGCAGCGATGTGCCGGCCGACGTGGTGCGCAGCTGCTCAAAGCTGCTGGGCAGCTCGATGGCCTCGGTGATGTACTGGCCCAGCTTCTTGACGACGAGGCGGAATGAGTCGTCCGGGCCGATGTAAGGGGGCTCGATGTAATCAAAGCGGGCGGAGAAGGGACTGCCCTCGCGGACAGGCGGCGGTTTCTTGAGCTTGACGCGGATGGGCATCTTTGCTGTGCTGTGCTGTGCTGTGCTGAGGCGAGTGGCAATCTCCAAAATCTCGCCAAAAAGAACAAAATAGGACAAAGAAGACGATGATGATGATGCCAAGAGAGGTGATGAGAGCAGAGAGAGCCCCAAAAACAAGGAAAAGAAGCTCAAGAGGGGAGCAAGAGCCACACGAGGTTGAGACGTGATAATGGATGGAGCTGTCGAGATGGATGGGGAAGCTACAATCAATTGATCTTAGCGACGTCAATCTAGCGCGGCGTGGCCTGTGCGTGGCGCAGGTGACTGTCGATTGCAGCGGCGTTGTGGTACGAAGAGAGTACTTTGCTCTACGCGGTGCTGCTGGTCAACAAACAGAGCATCACTGCGCTATTTTGCTGCCTGTACAACCCCAACTGTGCCTTCCCTTCCAAGCTGCTTGAGGTATCTCACAAGTACTCTCATGCAGCACCTGCTGCTAGAGCCGCTATTACGGGTCGCTGGTCCCCTAAAACATGAGGTCAAGTGCCGCATCGCCCACTCGCACATGCCAATGAGAAGAGCTGCAGCCGCCATGCTACCGGACATCCATTGGTGCCGTTTCAGCCAACAACCCCTGTAGCACCTTCTTTTTGATTTTATCGTATTTGGTTTTATTTTCTGGGAATTGATGGTGCTGGAAATCGAAAAGCGAATCAATTGTCAGATCTAGCTCTCGAATTGGGGTTGATGCAGCAACTCCACCACTCTATAGCTATACGTCATCTTGGAGACTCACATCGATCTCACTACAGTGCATACAAGATGGGAATCGTAATTGCCTTAGTCCGTAATAGTACCCAAGTTGCAGCAGGGAGGATAAAAAGCAGCCTTTGGACGTTGCTGGTGGATCAAAGCTGATTTTGTGGTCTCGGCTCGGAGAGGCAGTGTTCCAGACACTTGACAGCATCTCGAGATACGGCACCTCCAGATTACTCTGAGACCGGAGTCCGGGTACCGGAGACATTACAAAAACCTCAATTACCTTGCCTCTGTCTGGTCGCCACCACGCTTCGCTTCTCCCAGTGCCTTTGCACCTGTTTCACGCTCATGGTTGCCACGACGCAGTGTTTTATTTTGGCATAGACTCTCTATCGTTTCATGCTATAATAAACCTCAAGCTGGGTTCACAGCGCTGCTCCCTCACAATCTCTAGCACTAAACAGCATTGATACGCGTAATTGCCCATGAGGCGGTGCCATGATTCAACGCCCGCTCAACTCTGTAATAAATACCCGCGCTACCCAGCGTGTAATATCGCAAACGCCCAAAAATCAATGCATCCATTGATCTCTCTTAATTGAGCGTTGCCCCCAGCTACTGAGCTTGGCCTAGCTAGTCCGGGCCGTTGCTACATGCAATTAGGGCCACCAATCGGTAGCCGCGAATTCAGGGGGGCTTGACTCAGGCGAACAAACAAAAGAAAAACACCACGGGTTCATGTGTCGTTGAGTTGTATGATGGCGCATGGGCCTTGAGAGTCTGTGTCACTTTGATTCCGCACAATTCAAATTTGACGCTCTTTAGACCTCCAGTAGCGACGCAAGGGGACGGACCTGAAGCAAGTTGCCGCTGAAACAAGCAATGCAGCCGCCTCAAAGACTGAGAAGCTCCGCTCCCATAATAGACAATGTAATTCGCAGTGTATTCATACAGCACTATTTCATTCACAACTCCCTCACCTCACTTCGCCTCATCTCACTCAACTCACATGCTCGCCCTCTGTTTGTTTACTTTACCGCAAATAAGCTCTCAATGCCTATTTATACCATCAACCCACCCTCCACGCAAGATTCAATCGTCCCGCTGCACCCTCCATTGGCCGCATTGCTCGACTAATGTATGCCAGTTGGGCCTTGCAGGGGTCAATACGAACAAGGCACACTACCCGAGCAAAAAGCACGAGTAGCGCCAGTGCGACCTTGACTTCCATGTTCACAAATCTGCAATCTGCCAAACACCTTTCATCTGCAGCTTCTCTTCCCTCTTGCACGTCATTTTCCCCAGTTCCCTGAGGCAGCTCTGGTTTGTTGCTTTGTTTCCTTTGTCCGTCAAACTCTCTCCTATTTTGCGCCTAGAGTTAGTTATAGACAAACAACCACCAACAAGATGATCGTGGCCCCTCCGCCGCGATCCTCCACTCTCACAGCCCTCGCCGTGTCCTCGACCCTCCTCCAGATCGCATCGAGCCATGCGCTGCCCCGAGAAACAAAAACAGTCGCCATGCGCGAGCTCAACGTGGCGCCGTGGCCCATCGCCCCAACGCCAGCGCCTTTTCTCAGATCAATGCCGGAGCGTCATCTGCTGCAGCAACGGGACTTCAACACCGTCTGTGGCTTTATAGGGGGCGACCCAAACTTCCCAGCCACGTGCCTCGCCGGATCGCACTGCGCCGTCGACGTCGAGAACAAGGCCATCGGATGCTGCGCGGACGGCGCGCCCTGCACCGAGGGCATCTTCACCGGCTGCGTCGACGTCAACAGCCCGCCGCAGACGGAACTCAACCCTTACGTCTTCACCTGCACCGGCGCCGACGTGTGTTATCAGAACCATTTCGACGGGGGGTTCTTCCAGTTTGGGTGCGGCGCCTTTTCGCATCTGGCGACGACGGTGGCCACCACGGCGGTTAGTCGCTCGCCGCTGGACTTTAGCCACGTCTCTTTCCAGCTGACGGCAACGCCCACGCTTCTCTCCGAGCCGACGACGATTGGATCGCGGACCGGGACCGAGTCTACTTCCAAGACCTCCAGTCGTGCGACCAAGACCAAGAGCACATCCGACACCTCGGAGACGGACACGGCCACCTCAAGCGACTCAGCCTCAACCGGAACCTCGACGTCCACCTCCACCTCAACCCCTGATCCCGCCGCGCCGACTTCCAGCGGCAGTTCAAAGGCCGGACCCATAGCCGGAGGCGTGGTCGGTGGTCTCGCCGGTCTTGCTCTCCTTGCCGGCCTCATCTTCTACTTCCTCCGCAAAAGGAGAACAGCCACGCCAACCCAGTACATCACGTAAGAAATAACATGCGCCATTGCGTTTCACAAAAATACCAAGACACTAACCATAAACAGGCCGTCCACTGAAAAATACGACAACTTTGACCCCCGTACATATCCTCCCAACACCGCTCTCCTGACGGAAGAAAGGGGCATTCACGGCGACGAAGCTGAAATGACCCCGATTACCCCAAGACCAAGCCAACCCGCCCCGCAGCTCGGCGAGCTTGGTCTGGCTGTGCCTCTCGATCCTGGATACGGCAGGCCGTCGGACGAGATTCCTCTGACGGAGCCTGCTCCAAAGCCAAGCTTCGTTCCGCCGCCGCTGGATCCCGAACCCGAAGATGACAGGCCGTATAACCCACGGAGAAGAGGCGATGGCGACGGCGCCTCTTTCTGGTCCCAGACAAGATCCGAGTCTCGGTCTCGAGGCCGGCCGTGGGTTTGAGGAATTCGACTCTGAAATGATACCCCCCCCTAAAAAAGAGAAAATGAAAATCCATTTGTATATGCTGTCATAGCGGCTGCCACCTTTGTTATACCGTTTTTGTAATGTTTGAATCCGAAGACCGCCCTCGAAATACCTTCTAGAAATACCTCTCTACACAAAACGACGTTCCCTTCTCTCTACAAGAAGAAAAGGGAATTGACACTCATAAACCTCCACATATCATACTCATACTTCATCTCTGCTTGTCTTTCGCAAATTAATCACGTTTGGCTTGGAAAACTGCTGGCTTTGGCATGTTCTCTCTTTTTTATTCCTTTTTTGCGCGTACGTACATTATGGTCGATTAGATACGGCTAGGGGAAAGGGATTACGACGTTGACCGGCAGGAATCCATGAACGTTAGCATAATATATTATGGACATGCTGCCAACATCAAATGCATATTTTTCCATCATCAGAGTAGGAGGGTTTGAGAGAAGAATTAAAACAGCATATATTTTACAAGATATTTACCTGTTTGATGTATATCATGCCGTCACACCTTGTCCGCCAACGGACCAGATCTTTATTGACGATTCATCAAAGATTCTGCTATGATGATTGTATCCGTCAAGAGTCGAATCGGCTCCTGCAGAAGCAGTATCCAAGTCTTGTTCTCGCGGATACCCCCAGCCCCCCGAACATGTTGCCGCAACAGAGCCGCTAGAGTGTACAATCGTGCTTCCTATCGGGGATTCATGGGCTTTCCACGTCCAGCTAGGATCAATGGCATCGTTCTGCATGCCAACTCCCTCCCATACCGCCACCGTGCCATACTGGGTGCCAGCCCAGACCTCAAAGCCGGTTTCTGCAGGAAAGACGTCAAAGTGCAGCCGCTGCTGCGTGGTCGACCTGCGTCCCTTGAGCACGGCCAACAGCTGTCCGGTTCCCCGGATATCGTACACCAGTAGCCCGTCAGCCTGACGCTCGTTGACGACAAGGTACCGCCCGCAGGGGCTCCACGCCGTCTGCACGACGCCCTGGCCTCCCAGGCCGATACGAAACGCCTTCTGGTCGGCATCCGCGATCGACCAGTTCGCAACAACTCTATCAGAACGGTGGAGATCGTACGTGCCCATCCAGCGGGTCCAGGTGCCGGCCGCAAGGATGGATCCGTGGCCATTGGCGTCTGCAGGAGGCGATGACGCCAAGGCGGCCACGGTGCCTTTCATGCCGACGCCGCTACCCTTGGCGATGTGGCGCCGGGATGGAATCGTGGGAACGGTGACCGTTGGGCCATCCGAGCAGTGGCCAGACACGTCAAAGAGATCGATGCGGTTCGCTGAGCCGCAGACGAAGTGAGTGCCAGGGTATTCCCAGAGCAGAGACGCAGGGGTGATGTACTGCTCGGACTCGTGCCGGATAAGCTTATAGGTGTAGAGGGGGCGGCTGGCGACAGCAGCAGCAGCAGCAGCAGCAGCAGCACCCGTCGTATCCTCTGGCTGCTGAGGAAAGGCGTGGTAGAGATGGAGGGGATGATCTCGACAGCCAACCAGAAACATTTGCGAGGCCGGATTGGCCAGGGAGAAGTAGGGCGCGGCGGCGAGGGTTTGGGTGGGCTCTGGGAGCTTGATGCTGGCCTGGCAGCCCAATTTGCGCGCTTCTCCTGCAGGCTGCAGGAGGTCTGCAGGAAGGACAAAGGATGAGACGGTCTGGTCGGATGATAGGGCGAGAATGACGGTGCCGTCGGCTGTCCATTGCGCAGACGAGTAGAAGCGTCGGTTCAGCGTATTGAGGCCGGTATCAGTGCCTTTGCCGCTGTTCTCGCTGTCTTTGAGGTTTCCGTCTCCCTCGCCAGGTAAAGTTCTCTCGTCCGGCCTGCTCACGGCGAGACACTCAGCAAGCAGGCGAATGGCGGGCGCCTCTTGTTGCCCGCCATGAGCGAGAGGCGGTGCTTCAGGTTGGGCTTGGGCCTGGTCCATGGTCATGGTATTTGCACTGGCATCGGCACTGGCACTGGCATTGCTGCCCCGGTAGACAAGGCTCGAGCCGGTCCACATTCACCGCTGCATGATCGATGGGCTCCGTGCTAGAAGATGGTGGCGATGAGTGTCCAATCCAATCAGCCGGATTGCGCCGTAATCAATGAGTTGTTCAAGTTTGACGACTCGAGGTGCTGAAAATGCAAGGGAGGGAAAAAGATGGGCGGACGCTAAAGGCGGAAGCCCTGAAAAATCAAGGTTACTAAGGTACCTAGCGCGTACTCTGTACTTGGACGCGTGCCTTAGTACCAACGTGAAGGTACCTTGGGGAGATCTAAATGGGCTGCCCTACCCGACCGGACGACGTCATTCCAGCACCTTGAGGGTCCTTGGTCGAGTACGGAGTACGGAGTGCGTACAAGGCAGTACTTTGCGATTGATGCCTCCAAGAGGTTATAGGTGCTGACAGCCCTGACAAGGATTGACCTCAATATTGGATCTTATGTACTATTGACCCTATGTACGTATGTAACAAAAGGTCTGGAGCTCATCACTCGCACTGAATTGGGATTCCATGACAATTATTAACATTCAATGGAACATTCAAGCCCTCTCCTTAGTGCAAAGTGGTGGTGTTAGCCCCCTGTGGCCCTCGATACGGGGTACATTAGCTTCTCGGGGCTTTCAAAGGCAGCAGCTGCTCCCAGCACCAACATGTAGGGTGACACTGCAGCCGTGATGGGATCAGGTGGCTGAACTGCTTGATCCGTGCCGATTAATTAGCTGCCTGCGAGCACTGGACCTCGAATAGATTAGGTGATATAGCTTCTCTTCCGACTGCGGGCTCTGCACAAGAGTCAACATGTCCTATGCTTAATTGGCCTAATCCCTTTGAGATCCCTCCCGTACCGCAACTCCGCCCGCACGCATTGACTCATTCTGTCCATGTCAGTCATAATCATTGCTGAGTCTCCCCCTTACATGTATCGTGTACCTGGTGGTGCTCCCTAACGAGTACCAAGACCTGGGCTGCCCGTATTCTCTTCCCCCCACCCCCCAGAAATGGGTAGCAGGCACCGAATGATATCCCCGACCAGCCAAAAGCTTCCTAGCACTCGGGGCTGCTGCTAAAGGGATTGAAGCGCTGAGTGTGGGCGGATGAGCTCCGTACCCCGTACTCGCTAGCAAGTACAGGTACTGCGGCGCTAGGCCTCAGCAGCACCTGTCAGCCCGTTAGCGGTAGCCGTTAGCAGTACTGGGTACCTCGACGGGGGCACATGGACCGCTAGCAGCACAAGCACAAGCACAAGCACAAGCACAAGCTCACCATCTCCCATCCGGCCGGTGACATTGAACCTAATCCCATCCATCCATCCCAATCCATTCGCCTTACCTTTTCGCTGCCTTGTCTCACTTCTGCCACGCTCACTTTGCCCTAACCTGACCCTGAGAAGCTCCCAGCGAAATCGTGACCCCGGCTGCCAGCTTCAATCAATCAAATATCAATCAACCGCCTCCCGCCCTTCTCTCGCCCGACCATGAATCCCGCATAGCCCGCCTTGCAGCCATCTCCTCGCCCCTCGCGGCTTCAGCCCGACCAAAGCACCAGCCAACAAAGAAATCCGACATCGCAGCAGCATCAAGCCTCGCCTCATCTCTCCCTTCTCAAGTCGTTTCTACCTGTCCCAACTCAACGCGACTCCACAAAGACCAGCCGTCGACCCCATCGACCAACTCCCTCTACGACCGAGTCATCGTCTCCATCTCCATCTCCATCTCCATCTCCATCTCCATCTCCGTCTCGACTCCTCCATCGATGCCAAACACGATGGAGACCTCTCCCTTGACAATGGCCGTGGCCTCCACTTGCGACGCCCTCAAGACGCCCTCCTACATGGAGCTGATAGTTTCCATGTGAGTCGCAAATCTCGTCATCTCCAATCTCGTATCTCGTCTTGGTTCTAACCAGCACATTGCAGCGTCATTCTTATCGGTCTCTTGATCTCGTACCTGCCACAGCACTATCGCATCATCTCTCGAGGCACCTCCGAAGGCATCTCCCCCTACTTTATTCTTCTCGGCACAACCTCTGCCACCGCTGGCTTTGCCAACATCCTGACTGTGGCACCCTCCCGCAGAGCCATTGGCTGCTGCAAGGAGCTGGAAACATTTGAGTGTGCCGCCGGACTGCTTGGTGTCGCCCAGCTCGGAACGCAATGGCTATGCTTCACTGCCATGTATGTTGACAGCCCCCTGTCCCCTGTCTATCCCTGATGACCTCCGCTAACTCCCCGATCCCTGCAGCCTTGTGCTCTTCCTCATCTTCTTCCGCTATCGCGAGGCCAATGTCCCTCAGGAGGAGCTTGGTGGAGAGAGCCCCAGATGGCAAACGGCCGTCGCCGTTGGTGGCCTCTGCATCCTTCACGGCCTGGTTGTCATTGCCTTGACTGGTGTTTTCGCCATCGCCATGCCTGACCAGCTCAACCTGTGGGCTAATTTCCTCGGCGTCATGGCTGCCGTTCTGGCTGCCATTCAGTATATTCCCCAGATTTGGATGACCTACCACCTTAAGCACGTCGGTAGCTTGAGCATCCCCATGATGTGCATCCAGACACCGGGTGGTCTCTTATTTGCCGCCAGTCTCTTCATGAGACTTGGCATGGAGGGCTGGAGCACATGGGCTATTTACCTGTTGACGGCCGCCATGCAGGGCAGCGTGCTGGCCATGGGAATCTACTACGAAGTTGCGAGACGCAGCGAAGAATATGCGCACAGCTACACCAGCAGTGCGCCACAATCTCCCATTGAGCATCACGCTACGCCACAGCGCCCATACGCTCCTCGCACCTACTCCGAGGGCTGGGAGCGTGGCCTGCCGGGCCCCTTTACGGGTCACCCCGAGCGATACGCCGAAACCGAGGAGGATCTGGACGATATCGAGGAACGAGAGGAGCGAGCTATTGCCAGAGAGAACCAGCCACTTCTCCGACCTGGCGGCATTGGCAACCCGCACAAGAACTATCACTCGACCTCGCGCCACTGATTTAATGGTGCTCCGTTGACAGGACACAAGACCGCCTTGAAAAGAGGCGGTATCTTTTAACTAACTACCGTTGCTGCTGTTTGCATTTGAGCTATAACTTGTACCATTGCAGAGATAGAGCATCTCAGTGCGAGTAAAGGGATATTGATGCATTGCGTGATTTAGGGAGGACCCCCCCTTTTTTTTCCTTTTTTTATTAAAAAGAGCTTTAGTTTTTTTTTTTTTTCCTTTTGATTCGGATATGATGTAAGATTATATATAGTAGTCGTCTACGGAGTAGTCTACTTTGCTTATTACCTGAGCTATGAGGAAATTGAGGCCGTTTATTTGGGCCGACGTTATGCATTGCGACGCTGACTGTTAAGCGAAATCACACAAGTGCTTTTTTCAACCTAAATCATGCGCTCACATGTCTCCATAGGTAAGAGACTTCTAGTTTTGTAAGGCTCACTTTGCATATTTTATGTATGTGACTGTCATATGTTTGATCTAAAAGCCTCCATCTCCTCGTCTGGGAGGTGAACGATTGTTCTTCATCAACTCTAAAGAAAGAAAAAAGGATATATATAATCCACCATCATAAGCACGTAAAATCCGTTAGATCATTAAAACGGAGAGTAAAAACAGCAATACTTTATAAACATCCCCCTTCTAAAAATTCATCTCCCGCACATTGCTCTTCTTATCTTGCCCCTTACCTCCAGTATGTCTCTCCTCATCATAACTGCCCTGACTGCCACTGTCATCCGCAGGCTGCATATCATCATCAAGATCCCCGCCAACTTCCATCCACCGGTCGCTCGTAGCGGGGATGGGCGAAATCTTGCACAGGATCCAGTACATGCCGAGGGAGACGATGAAGCCGCAGAAGAAGTTGAGGTTGTAGATATAAGTAGCGCCAATGGGCACTTTGGTGCCGACCGCGCCGGCAAAACCAACGACGTTGATCAAAATGCCCGAGATGTAAGCTGCATATGCGCGCCAATGGATTCCCCAGGTGTAAAAGTACGGTCCGGTGCTGCGGCTGTCGTATAGCTCCTTGACATCCAAGTATCCCTTTCGCACGAGGTAGTAGTCGGAGACGATGACACCGGCGATGGAGCTGAGGAAGACGCTGTAGGCAGACAGGTAGGTCGTAAACTGGTTGGAGCTGCTGAGCAGATTGTACGGGCACATTGCTAGACCAACAATGGCACAAATGTACGATCCGCGGCGGATGTTGATATATCGAGGGAGAAGTGCCGTCATATCTGTTCCTGCAGAGACTGAGTTGGCTGCAATGTTGGTACCCAGCTGAGCTAGAGCGAAAGCTAAAGAGATGATGAAGACGCCAAATCTCTGGCCAGAGCCGCCATCGTCGATGAACCGACCAAGAAGATCCAGGGGACTCCAGATTGGCTGGTCATAGATGATAGTGGACGACGACGAGACGATGATTCCGATGAAGGAGGTAATGGCAAAGCCCAGCGGAATGGTGAAAAGCTGCGACCACAAGGCATCCTTGGGCTTGCGCGCAAATCGAGTAAAGTCGCTGTCGTTGACAACTAGCGTAGCAAAGTTGGCAATGGAAGACATGACTCCATTGACGAATTGCCATCCGAGTTCGCTGCCGTGAATGGTAGCAGGCTGTCTAATGATGGGGCCAACACCACCAGCTCGGACGCAGGCCCAGATGAGGAACGCAATTCCAGCAACAGGCACAAAGTAGGCCTTGACGGTAAACAGGTGACGGACCTTGTGTACCGGGAACCACAGAGCTGGCAGAGAACACACCCAAAATATGACAAACGAGACGTACTCGGGAGTGTTGGTGGCGCTGGTGCCAAAGCTCCCCGGCATCTTAGTGGCATCCCAGGATTTCCAGATGGAGCGGATCATGAGATAGACGCAAGTGCCACCGATGTAAGATTGAACGCCATACCAAATACATGCTGGCCTGTGTTAGCGGTTGTATTGTGTAATTGGCGAAGAAGCCGAAGAAGCCTGGAGGATGCCAATGTCTCGGCGTTCCACATCCGTTTCACTTACCCATAGCAGCACGATTAAAAACCGGCCATAGACTGCCCCAGATGCCAAAAGACGATCGGCCAATGACGGGGAAACCAATATGGTATGTGGCTCCGATGCGTCCAGTGGTGACAATGAAGCAGGCCGAAATAGAGTAGCCTAGCCAGACGCAAATCCACGCCTGCCACCAGGAGAGACCAGCGATGATCATGGAAGAAGAAATCATCCACGTGTTGATGTTGAATGAGTCGGCGATCCAAAAGGCAACAAAATTCCAAGGGCCCCATTGTCGGCGCTCTTTCTCCACGGGCTTCAGGTCATAATTGACTAGCTAGGAGGAGAGTCAGCACCGCGTCTCGTCTCGCTCGGTCTCATCCCATCACGTCTGATGTAAGTCTCGGTTCGGCTGTGATGCTCAGAACAAGGGTGGCGCGACATCACGACGTATGAAGAGAGGGGAATCAGGTATGAGATGAGGACGAGGAAGGAGAAGAAAACAAGGACCGCACCATCAGCTGCGTAGTCGTCAGGCCAGGCTCGGCCTCAACGGCCAGCTTGTCAGCCAGATTTCTGAACCTCTGTCGCAACGCCATTGTTGATGGTCGGCAAGCAATGAGCCTCTCAAGCAGGTAAAAGATTCAATTGCAGTCGAGAAGAGGGCATGAAGCGTGTTTTGGACCTTTTCGATGCAAAACTCAGTTAATAACCAAAAATCGATCGACCATGTACAACACGCAATGGAATGATCGACGCACAGATGACGTGGAGAGCCAGAATTATATTTTCTCGGGATGGAGGGTGGCAGACGTCGTTTGTGGGGGTTTGGCGAGGCGATGATCCACTGGCCACTCTCTTTTCCTCTGATGGACACGCGAGTTGGGAGCCTGATGCCACTTTGTGCGATGTGAGGCTTTGTAAAGTACTCGTACTCCCACAAGGATGTTCTAGGTCGTGTGCCTTGGGGATCGGCGCAGAGTCGTCAGAGGCTTGAACTCAGCGGCAGCGGCGCAGAGGCGGGAGAGTCGAGAGGCTTTATTTGATTTCCTCTTCCGGCGAGCCACCAGCTAGACGAGCAAACAAGATACAGAGCAGATGCGATAAAAGAAAAAAAAGCGGAGTTGGAGGGCGTTGAAAAAGAGCTGATAGTCGATCCATGCTGACTGACTGACTCCAGGTTGGCCCTAACGACACGATTTCTCCCTATCGGCGTAGAATGCTAGACCTGTGGCAAGGCAAAGCAGGGACGGTGTCTTTGACCCTCAGCCCATCTCAGGCCAGGGCAAGGCCCGTCGGCTGCCTAGCAAACGCCCATCTCGTGGTCCCCGAAGACGATGATACCCTGCGATTGGTGGTGATGGGTTCGACGATAAGCTAAACCCATGGTCTGAGTGAGATAGCAGTAGCAGCGGGACAGGGGTCGGCTAGTCAGAGTGTGGAGGAGGATCCGCCATCCCGCAAAAAAAAGAAGAAGAGGAGGAGAATTCGATTACCCCATCTTATCGAGTCAACGGGAAACTGGGTGGGCTTTGGCGCGATAACTGCCGAATGGGTCGTTATCTGCTATCTCGGGACAGCCAGATACGCGGGAGATAAGTCGAGATAATACTCGTAATAGTCGTGCTGCAGATAGCCAGACGGGCTATTTTGTGGATTTATACGTGTATGTTCAACAATAGCGCGGGAGGCTAACATGTTAGTTTCAGATTGCAAGACAAAGCCGTGATTGTTCGTTGATACATGTGCATACTAGGTAGTAATAAGCCGGACGGGAATGGGATGGGGCTGCAGTTTTGTGGAGGAGGGGAATTGCCGCACAAACCACAGCACCTTGGGATGTTCATGTGATTTGATGCAAGGGAGAATCAGCCAGCCACCACATGCGAGATCCGGCCAGAGGATTTAATGTTACTTTTGCTTTTACTAATACGGACCCTGCAGCATGTGGTTGTCGGCAGAATTCCGAGGGAATTCTAGAATGCTGAGAGGCGCAAGAATGACGAATTGGCTTTGCTATTTCTTTGCAATTGATTATTACTGTACCACGCTATCCAATTGATGTAGCAGAGCAGTGGCGTGGTGTTGCAGCTGAAGCCGTCATTATTGTGTCGTCAACTTCATTTATTGCCATTTGATGCTTATGAATAGATGCGATGAAAAGCTTTTCAATTTCGTCATTGAATGGTCTAGCAGCAGCTTCGAAATGTTGTAGCCTCCCTGTGAATCTAGCTATTTCAATTCTGATGCCCATATTCATATTCCATCTTTCAAGTACACATGCATGTGGCAAATAGTGCTGCTAAAATACTATTGACAATTGGTTATGAGTATTCTTTATTTAATCAAACGCAGCGTCCATTACCTTACATCGTCTAAAGCTTCGAGAAAATAGCATATTCATCTTATTCAGCCGGTCTGTATTAAATCCTATAAAGTTTCGCTTGCTTGTTATTCAAGGTGATACTAAAGCAAATTCTCTGTTACACCACAAAGCAATCCACTGCAGGGGAGTAGCTGAATATCAAGAGTGGAATTGGTCAGTAATTGTCTTCAACTCTTGAGATAAACTACAAATTTGATGCATCGTAGACTCCTCTTTACTACATTCTCTTCATCTCTTGATATTCTCTTGATATTAATTCCTGGACCCAAATGCTCATGCATGTTGGCTTACCCTGCAGCAAAATTTAAAGTGGTTCGTTATCGGCTTATCGCATATCCCCCCGCCGGCCAACCAGCGACGCGTTGCCAGTCACTAGCCCGCTTTTTTTGTTTTCAATCCCCCACCATCTCCCCTCCTAACTACAATTTTTGGTGCAAGCATCGCTTCTCTCCCAGGAACCGCGTCTGGGAATCGAATAACGGGAAAAAGAGACGAGAGAAAAGGAAAAGGAAGAACAAGCAAAAAAGTCCTTTTCCACCTCTGTGATTCCGCCGTCACCCATCATGGAGGACCAGCTGGCGCAGCTCCTGGCCAACACGCAGCTCCCCGAACAAGCACCCCGCCAAGCTGCCGAAATCGAGATCAGACGGGCTGAGTCGAATCCCGCGTTTCCCATTTCCCTTGCTCGCATCGGTGCGCATTCGTCCATCGACACGAGCATCCGTCAGTCTGCCCTCAGCACTCTGCGCCTGTTTATCGAGAAGCATTGGGCCGTGGAGGAGCTTGATGATGAGCCCCATGTTCCCATCTCGGACGAGGCCAGAGAGCTTCTGAAGCAGACGCTGCTCGAGGTTGCCCTGAGCCCCGAGGACGACCGAAAGGTCAAGATTGCAGCCAGGTAGGACTACACAACAGTCTCGCGTCTCACATTGAACGACCCTCGATGGCATCGTGACATTCCCTTACCGAGGATAGGAGGACGATGCGTGCGGGCTTAAACAACAAACACTTTTACTGATGCCCTCTCTTCACTCCAGTTATGCTGTTGGCAAGATTGCCATTCAAGACTTCCCCGACCAATGGCCTGCACTTCTTCCCACCATTCTCAACGTCATCCCCACGGGCAACGATTCTCAGCTCCACGGAGCTTTGAGGGTGCTTAGCGACCTGGTCGACGAAAGCCTCAGCGAGGACCAGTTCTTCTCCATGGCCCAGGACATTGCCAAAGCCCTCACCGAAGTTGCGCTCAACGAGAACCGAAAGCCGATGCTGCGCGCCCTTGCCATCTCCGTCTTCCGAGGATGCTTCGACTTGATGTACATGGTCAAGGATGAAAACAAGGACGTCAAGGTCTTTGCCGAAGAGCTGCTGCAACGATGGAACCCCTTTTTCATTGCTGTGCTCAAGGGCCGTCTGCCTGAAGGCGACTCTAGCTCCGGTGCTCAGCCCGAGGCCTGGAACAGCATCATTGCTCTCAAGCTGCAAGTCGTCAAGACTCTACTCCGCATTCGCCGAGTCTTTCCCAACCTTCTCCTTCCTCAGAGCACCACCTTCTTCACTGCCGTGTGGGAAGAGCTTAGCATCATGCAGGGTGCTTACGAGCAGCTTTACATCATCGATGAGGTGCAGTCTCGATTGGAGGACTCCGACAACCTCCCATATACCCTCGATCTTCTCATCCTAGAGGAGCTTGACTTCCTTAACCAGTGCTTCCGCGCACCCCCTGTCCAGGCCGAACTTGACAGCCACCTCCAGGCCCACACCTCTGGCCATGAAGTCCCCTGGATGATGGATCTTATGAAGATGCTCGTTGGGTACTCTCGGGTCACTCGCGAGGAGCAAGAACTCTGGGACTTTGACTGCTCCTTGTACTTGGCGGAGGAGACTTCGGTCACTGCTAATTACACTGCCCGTACTGCCGCTGGTGACCTGCTCATCAAGCTAGGCGAGTGGTTCAATGAGAAGACGGTCGACGGCTTGTTTGGACATACAAAGAGCCTCTTCCCTGGCGAGGGCCCTTCCGCCTGGAGGAGTCAAGAGGCCGCGCTCTACCTCTTCGTCATGCTTGTTAGCGACTTCCAAGATTTGAACAAGCCCATCCCCGACGTCGTTGCAAGCGCTTATTTGGAGCTTGTCGACTTTTCCATCTCCCAAGCTAAGCAGCCGCTGTTGCGCGCTCGAGGTTATCTGGTGGGTGGCATCATTGGCCGCTCACACCAGACCCCACCCAACCTCGTCGATGCCATTGTCCATTCCATCACAAATGAAGAGTCTGAGGTTGTGCAGGTTGCGTGTATCAAGGCCATTGAAGGCCTTGTCAGCTCAGGACGTGTTGCCCATGACCGCCAGACACCCATCATCGCCTCCATCCAGTCTTACATGAACAGCAAAGACCCCGAGGAAATGGAAGAGGCTGACGAACTCCTCGTTACCCTGACCGAGGCTCTTAGAGCCGCCATCGGAATGGACAGCCAAATCGTCATTACCAGTGAGATTCCGTCGGTGGATCTTCTGTTCTTGCTGGCCAAGCTTGGAGCTAGCAACTTCCAGGTTACGATGCTTGTGACAGAGGCATTTGAAGACATTGTCACCAGTCTCTCGGATGCCTCTTCATATGGCGCTCTGTGCCAGCGTATCTTGCCAACCTTGACCGGCGCCTTTGACGTGGCCAACCTCACAGAGGACAACCCTCTTGTTACGGTGAGTTCACAACAACCTCCTTCAACACGGGTTGAGATCACTTACTGACAATGGCTTGAATTAGGTTGCAACTGAGTTGCTCGTCGTTTTGACAGAGCATGGCTCTGAGCCCCTCCCGGAGGGCTTCGTAGCTGCTACACTCCCCAAGCTTAACCGCCTGCTCATGGAGTCTGGAGAGGGCGACGTTTTGCGACCTGGATCCGAGGCAGTCAAGTGGATTCTGGTTCATGACCACCAGCAGGTCTTTAACTGGCACGACTCCAACGGCCGGTCCGGTTTGGAAGTCTGCCTGCACATCATTGACCGACTCCTGGGCCCTTCCATCGAGGACAATGCCGCCTCCGAGGTGGGAGGACTCGCTGCCGAACTTGTCGAGAAGGCTGGACAAGAGCGCCTGGGACCATTCCTACCGCAGCTCCTGCAGGCTGTTGCTAACCGACTTGCTACTGCTCAAGCCGCCGCTTTCATCCAATCTCTTATCCTCGTTTTTGCCCGACTGTCTCTGGGCGGTGCGCAGGATGTTGTAGAATTCCTGAGCCAGATCCAGATCAATGGCGAGAGTGGACTTCAGGTTGTCCTGGCCAAGTGGCTGGAAAACTCTGTTAGCTTTGCTGGATACGACGAGATTAGACAAAAGTCGGTTTTAAAAATCTTGGAGCGAGCCCCCCTGGTTTGGGCAGGACAGATTTGCTAACGTGTTTGTAGTGTGATTGCTTTGTCGAAGCTCTACTCGCTCAACGACCCCCGAGTAGCACAAACGTCAGTCAAGGGCGATTTGATCGTCGGCGCCGATGACGGGATGATCAAGACCCGATCTCGCGCCAAGAAGAGTATGTCCCGCGGTGCCTTCACCATTTCCAGTACAGACGTCATGCTAGACCGACTGTATCACCAATACTTCAAAGAAGATATCAAGACTAATACACCAACCCAACGAATAGACCCCGACAAGTACACCATTATCCCTGCCACACTCAAGATTGTCAAGGTCTTGATTGAGGAGCTCCTCTCTGCTTCTGGTGCCCGTGCTGCCGCTAGTGCCGCGTCTGCTGCCGTTGCCAGCGCAGAATTCGACGATGAAGACAACGACGACGAGGGATGGGAAGATGACGACGATACCCTTGACCTCTCACTGGGCGCAACCAAGGCAGAGCTGATGGCGTTTGGCATGGACTCGAGCTCACGACAGCGCGACGACGAGACGCAGCAGTATCTGACCGAGTTCTTCATCCGCTGCGGCCGAGAGAACGTAGCTAACTTCCAGGAATGGTACAACCTGTTGTCGGACGACGAGAAGGCCAAGCTCAACGAGGTGGCTGCTGCTTCGGGCTAGAATGACAGGGGAGCGCCATATTAGACAGCTGAACCTTGCTTGGAGAAAAAATCCCCCATCCTTTTCTTCATTTTTTATTATCTAAACGAAGTGAACAAGGGGAACTGTCTTGGATGGAAAACCAAATCACTTTATGACAGCGGAGAGAGACTGCAACTGAAAATAACAAGAAATCAAAGTAAAACAGAGACAAAAAAAAAAAGCAGGCAAAGATCACGATTGATACGAAAAACGTTACGATGGTAGAGGCAGTAGTGATAGATACCTTGATAGTATAGAAAGAAATAAGACATTGTGCAAAAGAAGAAAGCGTCTTGTATCAAGCAACAGCGTTTGTCTGATTTAATCCCACCAGAGCGAATTGTTTTGTGATGGCCGTATTTATTTCACTCTTCACGTATTTTTCAGAAGATAAGACGTATATTGCATTGCCTTGCATACTTTTCACATGAAACTGCCAATTATAAAGCTTTGATACGACAATCTCATCATTCATAAGATACATTTTCCAACGAGTGATAACTACCTTCCTTACTGTAGCTGCGCTGCCCATCGCTTCTTACACCACACAAACTATGTAATAGGTGTCGTAACAAGTACAATGAACAAATACTACTCATTGCCCGCCGCTCAATTTACTCCCCCATCGTACGCTGTCTCAAATAATATCTCCCGGACCAAAGCCAAAGCCTCCGTTGTTGCCGCCCCTGCCGCCTCCTCTCCCGGGAAATGGAGGCTGCTGCCCTTGAGGGTACATTGGCCCGTCGCTGGGATCGACCGGATCGTACCTAGCTCCTGGAGGCCTTTGCGAATTGTATCCTTGGCCATACGCTTGACCTCCATAGCCACCCTGTCCTGTAAACAGCGGATCGCCAAAGGTGGGATGCATGCCTGAAAAGCCGCCAGGTCGAGGCGGACCTCCGCCCACAAAGGACCCCCTGAGCGGATCGTGGGGGCCAAGTCCTTGGGGATTGAGATCATCATGTCCTATGTTGATGGGAGGCATTCGCAACCCCCCCATGTTCCGCGGTGGAGCGTTGATTTCGTGCTCATCCTCAAAACCAGGAGGGGGAAAATCACCAGGTATGGGTCGCCGAGGGGCGCCAGCATTGGGCAGTAAACCGGGATGCGGATAGGGGTGTGGTGGCTGTTGTGGTCGAAATGGCTCTGATGCCTGTGGAAGAATCGCAGCAGGAGGGTCAAATCGTCTGGGTTGTTCGAAGCCGGGAGGGCGCTGTTGACTGCTCTCTTGAATGTGTCGTTCAATTGTACCTGGGATCTTCTGTTCCACGCCTTCCTCCGTCTCGAAATAGCCCTCCTTCTGAAGCCTTGGGATCAACTTTTGCACCAGATTGACCCTCAGATCCCGAATTATCCTCTCGACGACTTCGGGCGAGTCAAATAGATCCTTCAGCGTCCTCACAAGATTGCTTCGGTTCTCCTGTCCCTGGCGATCGAGGGGAATGCGAAAGGGCAGTTTGCTAGCGTAGACAACATTTCGAGTCTCATACTCGACCCGGTAGATCTTTTCGTCGCCGACAGCGAGAGCCCGGATCTCGACCTTTGCGCCCATGCGGTCGACGCGCAAGACAAATGTCATAGCCGACTGCTTGTGCCTATATACAAAAGATAGAGCGCCGAATCCATTATTCCACTGAGGGGGGAGACGAGGCGCTAAAGTCTGGCATTCCTCTGTGAGATATCGTTAGTTATTGAGCCTTGTTTATGGACAGGGTAATGAGGGGCGGCAAGCATACCCAGCAACTTGTCTTCGTTAAAGCCGTACAGCCGAAAGTCGAGAGAGACAAAGTATGCGTGTGCGAGCAGCGCTACGACTTCGTAGGAACTTGCGATGTCGGACGATTCGTCGTTTGGCTGGTGCGTGGGCAGAGCATCCGCCATGGCCTGGAGCACCGAGTCTGTGCTGATCGGCGTCTGCCGTGGTTCCGCCATGATGAGATGCTTGGAGATGTGATTTTAGAGATGTGTTTCAACAATGCGCAGTGGATAGAGGAGATGAAGATGTAAAGTTGATGCGACTGGGATAAAGGTCGTGAGAGTGGTGATAATATGGTACAGAGTGTTGATACGTTATTGGATGGATGTTGAAGTTAAGTTGCACGTTGGAGGCGTCATTGCCACTGCTGCCTTTAAGGCCGGGGAAGCTCAGCCCTACGGCAGCCTCTAGCTCCAGTGAGCTCCAGCGAGCTTCAGTGGATCACAGTACCCATCAAGTAGTGATTACTTGGTACAGCAAGCTACAGTGCGTGCTTGTGTATTTGAATGATTAGTACTGAATACTTCCCAGAACTTAGAAAAACAGCAGCTACTAAATTCCCTAAGTACAGGTACTGTATGACGAAATGGAGGCCCATCATCAACACCCATCAACCATCCATTTCCTCCATATTAATCACATGACACTCCAACAACTCCAACTCACCTCCATACAACCCCCCAAACCACCAAAAACCAACCATCACCACCCAAATGTCAGCCTCACAACCCCCTCCCCAAAACTCTTCATCCTCCTCCCTCCCCCCTCACACCGCAAATCCCCTCCTCACATCATTCACATCCTTCCTCACCATCGCCATCCACTCCCTCCTCTACCACCGCACCCTCTACCCTTCAACATCCTTCCTCGCAACCCGCGCATACAACCTCCCCGTCCACCAATCCCGTCACCCAGGTCTCTGCACCTGGATCTCCGACGCCGTCGCCGCTATCGCTGCGCAATTGCGTGTTGGCTCTGTCCGCCGCATCGTCCTCGCTATTCACTCTCCTCCAGGATCCTCTCCGCCCCCCATTGTGCGCGAGAGATGGGTGTTTGACGTGCATCGTTTCCCAGCATGGGGTAGTAGCGCTGAAACAGACGCGCCGACTTCTCACCAGGGGCCGCAAAAGCAGGAAAATCTCGATGATCCCATGCCGGAAGATGCGGATGACGGTGCTGCTTCCGAGAAGCTCAACTGGGCCGACATCCACGAAGCCCTGCGAGCAACCTTGCAAAGACTCGCCTACGCAGCCCAAGCCGCGCCCAAACTCCCTCCAGGATGCACATTCACACTCGCTCTCGAACTGCGAGACGAAGCTGAAGCTCCCATAGGTGTAAGTCAGAAACTCGACAAAAGAAACGAGAGCTGCCCAGCTAACACTCATTCTTCAGTATCCCCAACCATGGATCCCTTCTGAAGGGCCTTTGCAGCCTCCCACCGCGGAGAAACCGGATCAAGGTGAATCGTTGAAAGGGGTAGCAACGAAACCCGTGAGATCTGTGAGAGCGGATCCCCTTTTCTTTGAGTGTTGGCTTGAACAAGGTCCTGAGGATGCAGAGGGTGTGAGTTCCAGTAGTGGTATTGTGACGAATACATCATCAGAAAAAATATCACAATGAAAATGAGAACATAAAAGAAGAGACATCAATAGAAACGGGAAAAAGAAATAGAGTAAAAATTAATGTAACGCGTCTGCTTCGTCATAACATTCTTCATCTTGCTATGATCATTCCGTATCTCTCTTTCTCTACCCTTTCACGTCAAAAAAATTAAAAAATAGAGAAAAATAGAAACAACAAAAACAGCCCCATTCTAAAACACATAATCCCACCCGGGGCCATGAAGAAAAAAACAAGAAAGATTGGATCCCCCTCCCAAATTTCATAAAAGACAGAAGAACCTCCCTCGCCCAAGACTCCCCTATTTCGCATGCTTTGAACCCTCCCAACCCCCCTTTAAATTCCAGAGAGAGTCCCATCCTTGTTTTCTGCGGAATAAGTAGTATACAGCAGTTTTTCTCTTATTTTTTGTGCCATCATCGCCCTGCGTCTATTAAAAAAAAGGAAGATTTTTGGAAGAAACGTTAGAAAGAGAAAAATAAAAAACGGGCCCGACATTACCACATGCCATCATCATAAAAGCCAAAAAAAAAAAAAAGCATCAAATCAAAATCCTCTCCAAAATAAGAGGAAAGAAAAGAAAAAGCAGGAATAGAATCTCCTCATTATCGCCGTATCAAGCATCATTAGGGAGCATAGCATAGCCCACCCATTATTCTGTCGTCCCCTTCAGCGCTGCCCGCAGGCTAATCATTTCGCGCTTCAGTCGCGCATTCTCCTTTTTCATCTTGGCAAGTTCTTCTCCTTGCGTTTTGAGCTTGACAATCAGCTCTTCTTTATCTTCTTTGCCCTTGCCCTTGAGCGCCTTGACAATCTTTCCGAGCTCGGTATTGAACCGCTCGTATAGCAGCTCGTTTTCTGCCACGGCCTCTTTGTGTAGTTGGTCGATGGACCGCATCTTGGACTCGGTTGTCTTGAGAGTGATTTCCACGTCTCGCTGGAGCTCATCCTGTCTATCACGCAGCTCCTGCATTACACCGGGCATCCTGTCTTCGAGCGAGGCTACCGATGAAGCCAACAGCTGAATGCTGGCTGCTTCAGAATCAGTCAAGCTATCATTGTTCACTCGAGCCATTTCCTCGCCAATCTTGAACAGCTCCGACTGCAGCATGGCATCTGCTTCTCCCACAGCAGTCTTCTCCGTCTGCAGCCGCTCTCGCAGCTTTTGCGGAGATTGCAGCCGGAGCTTCTGTGCGGGGGTTCGCGTCGGGCTGATAGTCACTCGCACCGGGGTCTCACCAGACGAGCTTCCGGGCCGGATGGGCTTCGGCGGCAACAATGTGGGAATGTTTGACGTCGACAGCGTTTTGGTGTGCGTTGGCTTCGGCCTCCTGTAAGGGGGCGGATCCTGTCTGGTCGGCGAATTTCCACGCATTGCCTGTTCCAGCTTGGCTTGAATCTCCTTGATTGGCGAGCCTGCTCTGATCCGGACACTGCCATAAATGTCCACCGAGCCCATGTTTTCCTTTTGCCGAGGGGATTTGAGCAGTGACGAGTCGGGGCTCAGGAGGGGAGTCTTCACAGGGATCACATTGGGACTGCCATTGACCTTTTCCGAAGTGTTTTGCAGGACTTGCAGCGCATCTTCCCTTTCCTCCGCCTCCCTCTCTTCTTGAATACTCTCAGTCTCCATCAGCGACGGAAGATCCGATAGAGAGCTTCTCCTCTTGGCATGTCTCCTCGGTGACCCGGGAGTTGGCGGCTCGGAGACGGGCTCCCCAATCGTGTCGAGAGGGTACTCTTGGCGATGCGCGCTGGGCGGTCTGTTCAGCTCCTCGAAGGCACTAGCTACGTGGACCCTGTCTCCGGATCCCGGCCTGCCCAGTGTAAATCTCTTGGAAATGTTGTTGTCGTCTATCGACCGTTGACGTAGAGCCTGCTGCATCGTCGCCCTAGACATGCTCTGGCTCTCGCCTGACGCCGAATTCCGGTGTTTGCCGAGACTTCTCCAGACAGAGTTGCGCTCCTCCTTGGAGTTTGAGTTTTGCCGGAGCAGCATGTCCAGCCCGAATTTGCGGCGCAGAGACGATGTGTTGGAGGTCACGGATCCCTGGTGAGACTTGTTGCCGCTGCCGAGGCCAGGGCCGCCGTTGGCGCGTGCCTGGAACGACTCAATCAGAGCCAAGTCGGCCAAACTAAAGCCAGCATACGTGGGCTCGCCAAATATCCTATCGCAATCGTCCACCAGTCGATCCAGAAGGTTGATGTAATTCGCCGCCGTGCCATCGGTAACTAGCATCTCCGAAAACGCCAAGGTCAGCGCACCGCGGTCGCTATCGTTGCTACAGCCGTCCAAGAGATCCGCCAGCAGCTTGATGAGTGCCGTAAACGCCCTTCGGTTTTGCGGAGCCAGTTCTTTGAACAAGAAGTTGACAAAGTCGGCAAACTCGCCGGGGACTCTTTTGTTGGCTCGCTCCTGTAGAGTGTCGAGCATCTTGATCGTCGTCACAGGCCCAATCTGTTCAGCCCAGGCAATGTGGAGAAAATTCTCAAAAGCTGTAAAGACAACCTCGGTTCCGACGTCGTTGGCCACCTCCACCTCTGACGGATTTTCAATGAGTCGATTGTACAAGTCGTTGACCAGCAGTTCATCGGCCATGGAGCGGTGCATCAATGTCCTGCCGTGAATAGAGCCCTTTCGGTATTGAAGAGCCGTTGTGAAGGCCTCAAAAGTCTGCTCTAACCGAACGAGTGGGTTTTCTGGCATGACCTCTTCCAATGGCCGGCGCGAATTGTCCCTGCCCCTGATGGAACCATACACGGAGTGGTGGCTGTCAGCTCGTTGGATGGAAGGTTGGTGTTGGTGCTTGATTTCGGAAAGAGTCGTCTCGGAGGCATTGTTGGAACCGCCACTCCATAAGCTGGTGAATAGCTTGACAGGGGACGCTGCTAGGAAAGAGCGTGTCTTTTCTGCACGATTAAACAGACATAGCGTCCTTAGCGTTTTGGAATTGTAGGAGACCATGGGGGCCGTGAGATTTCGGTTAGACACGTTGAACTGGGCGCTCAAGAGCTGCATTACTAGACGGGGTTAGCATTGGGTAAAGAGACGGGGAAAAAAGGAAAACTCACTTCGTCTTGACATGGTTGGAAGGAAATCTTCCAGAGCCACATCGTCTTGGTACTGCTTCCCATTGAGGCCCACGGTGAGCAGGGAAATCCTCTTCATGTTCTTGCTCGCCACATTGATGACAATCTCGATGCCATAATGGCCGACTGGAGCTCCCTTAGTTCCCTTCTCGTGGTCCACCACCACGCGGATAAAAGCGGGTTCGCGCCGGCCCTCCACGAGCTGATCGGCGCCCTCTTGGTATATCGCGGCGTGCAGACCCAAGTTGTTCTCGGGCATCCGGACTGAGCGCAAAGTCCAGCGAGGGTCCTCCCTCTCCGTTTCGGAAAACCGCGCCTCGATCCTTGCCTTGACGACATCTTCGCTCCACTTTGCGGCTTTGCCCTCAAAGGCTTCCTGCAGCAAAAAGCACCGCGACGTGATGGCCTTGGGGACCTTGTGCTCGCCGGGGTGCATGCCCTTCATCTCTGCGCTCGATGTCATCCAGACGAGGTGACCGTCGGCCGATTCTGTAAAGCGAACATCGGCAAGGTGATGCCATCCGGTAAAGATGAATTCGTACACGCCCGGGCCACCGGCAGCGTTCGTCATGGAGATGAGCAGCTCCGCCGCCGAAGGCTTGTCGATCTCACGTAGCAAATCTCGGCCCGTCATGTTATTGTCGCCCGATTTCCTCAGCATGACGATGTAATCGGAGAACAAGAGGAAGATGCCCGCGTCGTCGGAGTCAACGGTAGCCTGGTACGGTGGTGAGAGCTCCAAAAAGTCGGCGGCTAAGATGAGGCGGCCCTGGGGCTCGAGGTCAGCAGGCCACGCCTCAACCATGTTTCGAAGTCGGTTGGCGACATGTGGCTTGTCGGGCAGGGGATCGTCCATGGAGCAGATGTTGGTGATGATGTCTCGTGCCTTGAGCATGGGCTGCAGTGCCGGGTGTGTGATGGGCAGCGACGCGATAATCTGGTCAATTAGAAGGCTGTAACGCGGCAGCCTCTGGACGGGCTCAATGAGGAGTGAGCGAATGGTCTGCTCGCCCGCCTGGCTCACGCGCTGTCGGAAACTCGATTGCTGGTCTAGGAAGGAATTCAGCAGCGTCGGGAAGTGCTGACTAGCCTTGATGTAGTCTTGGTAGCACTGGGTAAACTTGGGGAACCATTCGAGGAACAGCTTGGCCATGGCCAAGGCACCAAGCGGATCCTTGACTCGGGTGGGATTATTGGGGGCCTTTGTTGACGAGAGTGTCATGGTAGGTATTTCCATATCCTTGACGGCGTCCTCTTCCGTCTCGTCCATGATCTTGCGCAGCTCCTCGACAAAGGCCGAGTTGACCTGGAGAATGCCGTCTGATGACTTGGGGAACAGCTTCTCTAGCTCCTCCTCGGACGGACTCAAACTCTCGGCGGGCCGGGCTTTTGACTTGTTCCTAAAGTCGTTGGCCACCGTCTTGACCAGCTCCTGCACCTTGAGAACATAGCGCTCCTCGGTGTCGACGAGCTCGCCCATCTTCATGCGCAGCTCAATCTTTTGGTCCTTGGTGAAGGTCTTGTTGCGGTTCAGCGGCGTGGGCTTGGAGGGCGCGCGCCGCAGCTTGCTGGTGGGCAGGAAGACGGGCTCGCCAAACAGCTTGACCAGCGGTGTGTACATTCCGTATTGGCGCAGCGTCGGGTCGATAATGTCGTCTTCATCGTCGGGCATTTCCTCAAACTCTGATGGCTGGGGCGGTACTATGGACCCCGGCGGCAGGAGCAGGTCAATGTCGACGTTGCTTATATGTTGCGTCTGCAGGGCCTCGTCCAGCGTGGCAACGACATCGACGGTGTTTTCGCTCTTGACCATCTCCTTTACCAGGTCGGCGGCGTGCTGCTCGCTGAAGAGGGCCGGGGCGCTGCCGGGGCGCTTCCCCTTGGGCGGGTAAACGGCCTTGAGATGGTTCTTTACATTTTCAGGCAGCTCCTTGAAGTAGCGGAACAGGCCAAATGCTAGGCCACGGTAGACCTCGTCGCCCTGGAACTCACGCGGCAGGTGGTTGACGACGCTGTAGAAGGGCGAGCTGGGGGATATCGTGATGCGCGGGAAGGACTGGAAGCCGGCCGGGGTGAAGACGTGGACCTGGACGCGGGAGCTGTTGAGAGTGTAGTTGGCCGTGGTCGAGGGCCCGTGGAAGATGAGGACGGGCAGCTGGCCCAGCAGAGGGTCGGGGGCGTGGTAGAGAGCAATGTGCTCGGGCGAGAGCGCCAGCTCGTCCGTAACCCGCACCATGGTGTCGTGTGTGGTCAAAGGGCGGCGCTCATAGCCCGACGGGGACTGGGTGGCGATGTATGGATAGGTAGTAGAGATGAGATGGTTCGGGGGTGTTTGTGTCTTGTCTTGTCTTGTTGTTTCGTTTCCGTGTGTTTTGGTTTGTGTCGGTGTCTCGTCACCAGCTTAGGCTACCCGTGGCGTGTCGTTTCTCGTGAGATTCGTGTTTTGTTTCGCCTCGACAAGGTCACGGCTTGCTCGCTTCGGGATCGCTTTGTTTCGTCTGGTCTGGGACAAGCAGTAGAAAATTGAGAGATGTGGGATGGAGAATGCGGGATGAAGATCTGTGTCCAGAAACAACGGCCCAGAAAGAGTCAAGGCTGGGAGGGGTGACATGGGCGGCCAGGGGTGGGCCCAGGCTATTTGTTTAGGTCCCGTCACCGAGTAAACATGCTAAAGCCGTTGGTGGCTTGATTCCGGCGGTTGGAAACCCGATGTCGAAAAATTAATTTGGATCAAATGCGAATTCAAAATTGCTAGTAGATAGCAGCGGCGGTTAGCTATCCACAGGCTCGGTATCGGGGATCTGCAAAATGGCTGGCGCCTCTTTTTGGTTGCCCTGGAAGCGGTCGATTTGAGTTTTGGAGAATTGAGTTTTGGGGGGAGTGTATGGAATAATACTGTAAGAGCAAAAAGACAAAACAACATGGATAAAATAAAATAAAACAGCAAAAAGTAAAAGACAACATGAAAAGACAAAAAAAGAAGTTCCAGAAGCGAGCTGCTCCGTGCCCCTAGCAGATACGCAATAGGTGCTTAAACGAGAAAATAAGATGAATGTGGGCAACCGCCGGAATCTTGCGAAATCATCGACTTACCAAGGGGCCTTGCCTTGTCCAGCCCGGCGTTAAGAATCAATGGATCACATCAATGATGACCTGTACCTGTACCTAGTGCAGCTGGCGGCTAATAGCAGCAGTCACAAGCATCCATTTGTACTCGTACTATTTACTGCAGCCAAGAGCCGAGAACATAATCGTAAGAGAAACAGTCAGCAGACAGACGTGGTGAGAAAAGGTGAGATAGACAGAAAACATGAAGGATCAATCAATCCCTGGCCCGCTCGAAAATAGACACCTCTCTCGGAACATTTCACAGGGCATGTCCTGCAAAAACTCGCAAGCTGAAAGATTGCCGTCCCACGTCCCTGAACCTCCCCCCAGGGCTCTGTCTTGGAGATTGAACCCCCCCAGCAACCGCCCCCGCTGTTTTATAATGAGACAGGCCCTGTGAAACGGAGCAGCTCCCCCTAAGACCCCGCTGGAACGCCGTGCTAGTGAGATTTGAGGGGAGCTATCGAAGCTGGAGCTCAGCTTGGAAACCTAGACTGGCGCGTATTAGTTTGCTGTGCGAATACTCGAGTACCTTGCGAGTACCGCTGTCTCCAGGAACCCCGCCAGTTGGCGACCCAGGCGCTGCGATTCTTTAGCGCAAAGGACGGGTGTACAACGAGGTACAGTAACTGCTCATGACGTCGTGTCATTGGCTACAACCAACGCCGTACCTTGGGCAACAGCTTTTTTCTCATTCATCACCAACTTCATTTCAGCCTCATCTCAATCCTCATCCATTGTATACAACAACTCGCCCTCTATCTTACTCTCTCACTCACTCACTTCATTAATTCAATCACTCAATTAATTACATACAACACTCACATACAACTGCGTCATCCATCTCACCCACAATCCCAAACAAATTCAACCACCGGCCCACGGAAATTTTAAAACCCCCTTCGCACCTCATTCTATTACGCCCCCGCTCCCCATCTCACTTCAACCCCCAACCCCTACCTCTCTCGTAATCAATCATATCGGCGATATTCATAATCAATCACCATCAACGCGCTCCACAGCCTGTTACAGAACGAACATGTCCAGCTCCTCCCAGGCCACCCAGAAAATCCCCCTCCACCACCGCCCAGACGACACCGGCTACCGCCTCATCGAGCTTCCCCCCGAACTGGAAAGCCTTCTCGAATCGGAAAATGCTCCCGTGTTCGTCATCCCATTAACCCCCATATCATCATTTTCTCCCTTCTTCCACCTTTCTCTCTCTCTTTAGCCCGTGTACATACATACTCATCAATCTCTCTCTCTTCTCCAGCCTCACCCTAGAATCCTCCGAAACATCAGCCCTCCTCAAGACCCCCGACAGGACATACTCCCTCCGCCAGAAAAACACATCAAACTCCGTCATCCTCCTCTCCCCCACAGCCGACCAAGGCATGGCCGCCATCTCCACCATCCGCGAGACCGTCGAGCTGGAGCTGGCGCCCCAAACTCCCGTCGCCTCGGGTGGTCCGCTCAAGAACACGGGCAGCAGGGGCAAGTGGCATGAAATGTTTGGTAAAGGACGATAGGTAAATTCACTAAACCCACTAAATGCAATCGCCCAATTTATTCTTCAAACCTGATTTCAAATGATCTATACAAAATGCAATGGGTTTTGTAGTATTAAGTGTGATCAAAGGAAGCCGCTTATACTCAACCATCACTACAGCCTTCGATAGTCTTTTTGTTGCGCATTTCGTCGAGCCACTAGCAGCCTTAACCATTCTCAAGTACCCTCATGGATAAACCTACAGTGTTGCCATTGGTATATCAAGCAGAATTCAATCAAAGAAAAAATGACATCCCACCACTTGAGAAAGCACTGGGCATAGCCTTATATTAAACCAACGCTCGCCGCTTCTATTTGACATTCTACGCTATTATCAACATATCATCTATTCCTCGGAATTCTCTTATCTGCGGTGCTGCCGGTAACCAAACCAACCGCCTTGCCTAACCTAATGTCGTACGCGGCGTTGATCACCTCTCCCATCGCCTTGCCTAGGATTCTGTTGTCCCTGGCGTTGATCACCTCTCCCATCGCCTTGCCTAGGATTCTGTTGTCCGTGATGTTGATCACCTCTCCCATCGCCTTGCCTAGGATTCTGTTGTCCGTGATGTTGATCACCTCTCCCATCACCCCCTTGTAGATTCTGTTGTCCTTGGCGTCGTCGACCTCTCCCATCACCCCCTTGGAGATTCTATTGCCCGTGGTTATGATGCTGTCCCCAATCGCCCTCCTCCGCGATGGCAGGCGGCATACCGAGTCCATACTCAGCCGGGACCTGCTGCTGTGCTTGCAAGTTTGGGAAATTCCCCTGCGCTTGATGCTGTGGGAGTGCGTGCTGCTGTGTTCCCAGTCGGTCGAGTGACTGATACTGTCCGAGTCCCAGCTGCTGTACATCCAGTTGTGAAAGCTGCCTAAGCGTTTCGTGGTGTGAAGCAAACAACGCTTGCTCCAGTGCTTCCCATGGCGAGGGTTGCTGTACCTGTCGGAGTGTTTGCCGCAGTGCTTGCATCTGTATCTCCTCCAGTGTCTGCTGCGGCGCCTGCTCTTGCGGTGCCTGCTCTTGCGCTCGCCGTTGTTGCTGCCGTTGCTGTGCCTCTTGCTGTGCCTCTTGCTGTGCCATTAGCTGTGCCATCAGCTGTGCACTCTGTTGTTCCCGTTGATGAAACTGAGCCTGAGCCCTAACCAGCAGTTGCAGTTGTTCCTGTCGCCGTGCTTGCATCAAGGCCTGCTGCTGTCGTTGCGCTGCTCCCGCGTGCCTCTGCTGTGCTTGCTCTTGTGCCTGCATCTGCTGGAGTTGTTGTGCCTGCAGCTGTGCATGATGATGCGCGCGCATCCGCTGGAAATTTGCCTGTTCTCTCTGCTCTAGCCACTGCGGCGGCATGGTCTGCTCTTGCTGCAAGGCCAGCAATTGCTGAGCAGTGGCTTGTTGTTGACCTTGTTGTTGATGACTTTGTTGTTGTTGCTGCTGTTGAATATTGGCCTGCTGAATATTGGCCTGTCGAATATTGGCCTGCTGCTGTCGAATATGCTGTTGAACTTGCTGTTGCTGCCGTTGCTGGTGTTGAACGTTGACTTGCCGTTGCTGAGCAATAAACTGCTGTTGTTGCCCCCGGAGCCACGGCGGAATTACAGTCTGATTGATTGCACTATGGGGAAAGACGAATCGGGCTTGTTGTTGTGTCAAATCGTTGGTGGGTTGAGCTGGAATCGGGTTCGGCACCGGGTTTGGAACCGGGTTCGGAACGGCGAGGTGCGGTCGAGGTGCTCGGGGTATCTCAAGGTTCCTGGCAGCCACTTCTTCATCCGGTTCTCTTTTTTGACGCTTTTTAGGGTTTTCATCCTCATCTGACGATTCATACTCTGAGTCGTCTTGCGCTGCGTCTAGTGAATCTACCTCCGATTCATCGTCGTCGCCGTCTTGAGAGTCGTCATCCCAGTCGTCTTCAGAGCCATCTTGAGAGCCATCTTGAGAACCCTCATGACCATTCTGGGCATCGTTCTGGGCATCAACTAGCGGTGCGTCCTCTTGTATGTTCTGTAGCCCGTTCGGTGGCAACTGGCGTGGTCCAACTCGCACCAAGTTTTGTTCAAACATCCCTATTATGGGCGCACGACGCCTCTTGTTCGAAGCCGGAGGCGGAGGCGGTGCCGGTGCTCTCGGTATCTCCAGATACTGAGCGTCAATCTGTGGATGTTCGTTTACTAATCGTTCGCGCGTTTCTTTCGCGGCAGTATCAACTTCTTGAGCGTAACGATGCTCAGCGTTATCATATAGGGGGCATCCAGTCGCTTCCGCTTGTGGTTTTGGTTGATTTTCCTTGAAATGGTTATAATCGCAATTTTTAGAGCATACGTCGCATTGAATATTGCCGCAGCGTGTGCAAGACACCTTGTTGCACCCCAGAATCTTGATAAACGGCGTGCTGCCTAAATAAACATAAGGTTAGCTAGCTATCCAGGGCGGAAAGACCTATCCAGGGCAGAAAGACGAGCAGGTGCCTTACACTTGTTGCACTTTCGAATCAAGGCGGAAGACATGGCCTCTTCTATCTCATGTCGCGCTGAGAAGCCAGCCTTCTGGGTAGCTTCCTCGCACGACAGCGGCACATGTGATTCGGCCCTGCATAATCTACAGCTCACGACCAGACAGTCTGGATTCTGACAAGGGAACTCTCTATTCTCCTTCTCGGGGACACATATTGCCGCGAATGAGCAAAATGGACACTGCACAAGTCCTTCGATGTTTGCGGCTCGTAGCACGGCATCCTGTTCAATACGTTCGAGGGCAGTGACCAGGCCTTTGTCTAGGAATTTCGCGCGCTCTGTGAGTGAAAAGGGCGCCGAGCATCCTCCCCCCAAAGATAAACACGTTATCTGGTATCGAGATTGTCCAATCGTTTCCTCCGCTTGTTTGCGGGGACACTGTTTACAGAAGAGCTGAAGATAGTTAGTTTATTGCGTCTCGGCACTCTGTTTAGGCACTTACATGATGGGGCTCGCCACTGCAGCTGACCATTCTGTTCAATGGGAAGTTTGCAAAGCAACATTCGCATTCTCGCAAAAGCCCATGCTCCTTCGCATACTCAAAATTCTTTTTCTCACCTTCTTTACATCTTTGGCCATACTTTAGATATTCCTGATGGACATAATAGAGTCGAGACTCATATAATTCTTGCCGTATCGAATCATCTGGATCGCCGGGTACGTTTTTGTATGGGACGTACGATTTTAAGTCGAATATTTCTCGTACACGCTCAAAGGACGCCTTTTCTCCAGGTACTGCCATGCCCTGGAGGGCTAGATAGGCCAAGAACAGATTCTGCCTGTTCTGTATCATGGTCCTAGAAATGACGACGGGCGAATGCTGGGGAAACTCTTCTCGTAGCAATTGGTACCTAAGGGGCCAGTTAGCAGTTTGCTCAGCGACATTGACGGCTTGTCGAGTCTGGCTCACATTCTGCGTATCTTCTGTTCTGTTGCTTCCTCCCTCGTGTCGTCATCATATTTGCGCCTGATGTCCCTCATATCTTGCATCACGTCCCTCGGTTCGCAGTGTTTCCGCTCAGCATCTCTCTTTTTCCTTCGTCTTGGGTATTTAGATCCCGAATGTTCTTGCTCAACAATGTCTCCAGCTATGTCATTAGCACAATAATACCATTTTTCTGCCACCTTTTTCAAGTACTCGGGGCAAATGTCTTGGAAAATCGTCATGAGCTTCTGCAGGCAGGCATTCTTGGCTTCCTGATCCGGGGGCTTGGAATCCATGCTGCCAAACGGAAACGGATCCATTGAACTCTGGGAAGCAGCACGGATACTGTTATGCTGGAAAGTAAAAGCAGTTTCGTCTATAAAGGCTGTTTGTTAGACACTTTTGCCCACTTCCACAGGCCAGTTGTAGTTAGAGGGCAATGATTGTGTGGCCAGTGGACACGTTTTGTTTACTTGATATCTCAAAGTAGGGAGAGCACCACACTGTAGGTACCCATCAGCTATTCGCTAGAGCGTAGGGAGCTGAATGGCCGTAGATGACGGGTTTATTGATGGTTATCAATGTCATATAGCCAAGTCTCAGTGGCCAAGGTGTAGTATCAAGGAAATGGCTTTGAGATGAAAGGCCGGGCACATCTCGGAAAGATTTGGTGCAGTGTATACAATTCCTCGGAAGCACCAGTCACCAGGGCAGAGAAGAAGTAATAAATAGAATAATAAAAAGTAGGAGAATGAGAAGAAGAAGATGATGATAAATTCCCCCTGGGGCCCAGTAGTGAAGCACGATGAACAAAGGCAACAACTCACCAAGGATTAGAAAGATGTCATTAGAAGCACAAGGTGAATATGCCAACCGGTAGGGAGAAGGGTTTCGGCGAGCAACGATAGTCAATTGCGATGCCCAGAGTGTTTGCAGATTATAGAAATTAATCAAATGTGAAAGAGCGCCGTGAGGGCACTAAGCGGGATGTATGTGCTGGATATGTTCGTACTGGAGATGCATCTGTTGGCTGGCAGCGCTGGTTGAATAAGAAGTCCTTCCCCGTCAGATATACGAAAGATGGCTGCCCAACGACAAACGCATCGCTGTACAATTGTATCAAAGGCACCCGCGAGACCAACGCTCAAGGAATGTGAAGATCAATGCTGGAACCGGAGCTCCCGACGATCATACACAGAATAAGAAGCACAGCGTCGGTTGCTATTCCGACTGCTCTTATCGCACCTAGTCAAGTACAGTAGTGCCGGCAGTTGGAGTCGCTCCACTCCAATCCTAGCTGGGTGAGTTCCACCTGTATCGTATCTTGGGCATGAACGTACAGTAGACAATAGGATGAATAAAAAATATCCAGGCCGTAACGATAGTGATGGTCGCTGCCGAGTGTCGATACGGAGAGAAGGCGAAGGTGAAGCGATCCTGCAGTGACGGCCCAGGGAAAAAGAGTAAAAAGAGTGCCAGAGGTTAAGAGTCGAGGTTGGGAGCGAGGCACCTGATTCAATTTATGTGTCGGGAGATTGTTCCCTTGATAGCCCGGCGTTAAAGTCCAAGTGTAACAAATACTCGAGACGGTGGCGTGTTGTAGCCGCGGCTGCGGTAACGAGTACCTGGGCATGCGGCTGCTGGCTACTGCCATCCTATGTTCAGCTCAGGTTGCACCACATTGGAGAGCAATCTGGATGACGTCCAGGGATGTACTCGCACAGGTACCGATGCTGCAGCACTCCCTGTCTTGGATCATTTTCAGCTGGCAGGCTCCCCTTGTCAGTTCAGTTCAGTTCAGTGTGTGTACTTCCGTATTAGTTGCTGATCGACTGGCACAATGCAATCGGCAAAATTGCCAGAATCGGGGTCAGACTCTCAATAACTGCATCAATGTTGGGCCTTCTATGTACTTCGTAAGCATCAATAACCTGCTATACTACGGTACCTGTACAAGTCAGTAAACGCGAGGTTAGTTGGTACCTGGCACCATGCAGTAGCTTTGTATGGACTGACTTCATACAGCGTACCTATACTGAATGAGAATAAAATGCTCCAGACTTCTCATATACCCTCAGTAAGATATCCATGTACAATAGCAAACTCCGATTTGCCTTTTACAGCCAGAAATAGCCTTCTTCCTATTCAGGTAATCTAAGTTTGTTCATTCAAGATGTGCCACGCCACCAATAAACTGTCCGATATAAGCGGAGGATTGTCTCCGGCAAGACACCGCCATATTTCCAATTGTCGACGTAAATAGCCAGACAAGCACTCAATCATCATTCATCTCATGCAAAATATCCATCCCATGTATCATTACACTGTCCCATCTTCCTAGTCGCCATCTTCATCTTCCTCGTCTTCACTATCAATGGCTTGCTTCCTTCGTCGTGTTGCTCGTGGCTTACGAGCTCTTGGCGCCGCAGCCTCTGCTTGAGTTTCCGCGTCTGGAGCATCCGCTACCGCCTCACTCTCATCGCGACCATCTTCCATAATAAGATCTCCATCGCCGCCCTGATCATCTTCCTCGAGAGCGGGGAAAAAGCTTGATGTCTCATGCGCCCGGTGGTCTTCACCATCTTCTTCGTAACCTTCAGGCAGAAATCCTCCAGCCATTTCTTCGTCATGAACCTTGGGCGCCTCGCTGGCCTGGGCCCCTCCACGGGAGTGACTAAAGACTGAAACACTCTCGTCGATCTCGCCGTATTCTTGCCGAATCCTCTCCACGATGCGCATGCCCATAAGAAACTTGCGCCACATACCTAATGCTGCCTTGCGCCGCTTCTCGTCTTCTTTTCTCACACGCTCCACTTCGTCTTTCTCTAGCTCTACCATCACTCTATCGTGATGCTCTTTCGCGATAACGACTCCCTGAATAACGGGGACAGCCATCCGGTGGCCAAACTCAAAGTCCACCACGGCCTCTGCGTAGTCGATTCCTATTCTCTTGCAGACTTTGACGACGCCTCTAAATGGTACGTGTACTGCGCCTTTCGGGCACATGTGTTCCGCAAATAGATCGATATTCCCGTATTCGTTTTTGGGAATGATGCCGTCCTTGATGGGCGGCGGTATAATCCAATCAGTCTGGTCAAAGCTGTATAATCCCTGGAGTACCTTTTGTCCGGTCATGGCCTCTGTTTCCAGAATCTCCCTCTTCCGATTGAGGGTGGCAGCCCGGTACGGAACTCTCTTCAGGGGCTCTTCGCCAGCAATTGGAGCTCGGCCCTGCTTGTGCCAGGTTTCCGCGCTTTTGACAAGGACGACATCGGAACGGAGGTATACGTCCTCTTCGTCTACTTTGCCACCCTTTCCTTTGTTCTTGAAAACCTTGACTGGTTCGGCACCAGGTCTCAGCGCTTCCTCGCGTTTTAGGTGCCTTTCCAAGGCAAATTCCTTGGATTGCTTGTAGTACTGTAGTGTCTCTTCGCCTTCCTTGACCTCTTTCTTCTCAGCCTTGGCTGGCTTGAGGTCCGTGACGTCTTCTTGTTGGTCAACTTCAGTCAAAGGATTGTTCTTGCCTCCTCGCCTGTAGCCAGACATGGCGGACTTGAACCAATCAAGCATTTCGTAGCGCTTAACCTTACCATGGCGGTCATAGACCGGGATCTTCACAAGCGGCATTCTCGAGCCCTTGGTTCGCCCTGGAAGAACTTGTCGCTTTAGGTATCTCACCGTGACATCTTTAGCGGTTCCGTCCCTAGAATAGCCTACGACATAGGCTATGACTTGTCTAGCTCTGTCAGCTTTGGCACCGCGAGGCTCAAATGTTTCGACGAGATCCCGATTGACAGCGATTGTCCCCTTCACAATGGGGTCGACCGAAAGATATTTTTTGGTGGCTGGTGATAGAATCTCGGTCCAATAATGTGGGAACTCCAAGTCCTTGTCGAATTTTTTATCCAATGGCTTGACTGCGGTGGCAAGATTCATGTCGATAGATTCGTCATCTGTATCCTTATATTCAAGTTCCAAATCGTCTTCAGAATTTTCAGTGGTGGGAGCGGCCGATTGTGTAGTGGAACGGGCTGAACGTGACCGAGCAGGAGTACTGTTGACTCTTGCCTTCTCCTTTCCTTTCTTTTTGTCTGTCTTTTTCTCTACCTTCTTCCCAGTAGAAATCTTCTTATCAGTGGCCTTCGATGGTGTGCCTTGTTTATCTTCTTCATCTTCGGCGTCTGCGTCCTCCAGTTTGTTCCATCCAAATCCTAGTGGCTGCAAGCTAGCAACCATCCGAGCATCAATACCCAAGCCTCGAAGTAGTGCAGTAAACAGTTGAGCTCCAACATCTCTACTTCCTCTGCAGTCGGTGGCGCACTGCCGGAAATCCTCTATGCCCTCTAATCGCTCGCCAAATGCTTCGTAATCTGATTCATTGCCCTTGTATGCTTTTGTGAGCCTATCGAGGCGCTCCAGTGACATGTAACCCCATTTCCGGAGACCAGGAGCCGAGACCCGAAATCGTTGTTTCCACCAGGCGACTAGTGATTTCATAAATCGAAAGAGAGGATCGCCATGGCTCATATCAATGGCTCCCTCTTCCAGCCGTTTGGCCGTTCCACCCCAATCCCGAGACTCTTGCTTCGCGCCTCTCTTCTTTGTTGCAGTCTTCTTGAGTGGCGGCTGGGGGTCTAAGCCACTGTTTCGCCTCCAGCGATCTACCTCATCCCAGAGCCTAGGAGGAATGTGCGAAACCATGATTGCCTGAACTTCAGCATCACATATCCACGAATTCCGAACGGCATTGTGCCACAGAAGGCACATGATGTGAACACAGTGCGTCGCATTCCGGACTATCCGCTCTCGCTTTGAGGGGCCCTTTTTGTCGCCAAACTGATTCGTCAGAGATATTCGAGTGTCCCGATTCAGCGTCAGCTCAAGATCGCCGGACGGCGCCGGAGCATCTGGCTCAAACGTGAATTGCGGAGGGGCTTCTACATCCTCAAACTCAATGTCGTCGTCATCATCGTCATCCTCACCAACATCCTCTGTTTTCTGCCGCTTGGCGAGAGGAACATCTTCAAAATCGCTGTCGGACAATGAAGAGAGCGGACTGTCGCTATCACTGGCTCCGTCAAGGCCCTGCAGGAGTGAATCTGAGCCTCCAGGTGTGTGTGATGAGTCGAGATCGTCGTACAGCGTCCTCTTTCGCGCACCTGCTCTGGGACTTGCCTCACTGGCGCTTTTATCGGCCGTGCCCGTATCTTCAGGCCCAGAGGCTCTCAATCTTTTGCGTGGCACATATGGAGGCATGTCTTCCCGTACGCGAATCGGTGGTGTGAAGTCGAGTTTGCGTGAGAAGTGACATGTCGTCATTGACGCGAAAACGTACGCGGGATCACGTGCACTACTTAAGTCATTGATCATGAGCGTTTTGCAGCCACCCTAGAGCTCAGCATTGATTTGTAACGGCAACTATTTGTCAAGAAACAGACTTCCTTGATAGTAATTCACTATGAAATGATGTATCAAAATAATAGAGCTTGATGAAACTGTCCTGAGTAAATTCTGTAATTGCTCAGAAATGATATTAATTTATAATGTAATATGATGCCAAAATCAACAATGCAAGTACTCTATGAGATGCTGCTAAGCTCGCCGACTTCTTATATCCCCAATGCCTCAACCAGATTGAAGCAAGAACCTTATTCAAAACGCCCGTATTACCTCTGATGTATGGCCTCTCAATCCAATGTCTTTCGTTAAACCTCAATCAAATCCGTAGGCGCACCAACGCCCCTCAGCAACACCAAGGTATTCCCGCTCTGTATCGACGCCCCAACCTTCTCGCTGTAATCAAGAACCCTGCCTCCTTCGACATGGAACACCCGTAGCTTGTCTCTCTCATCTGAGCTCTGGTTGTTGATGTTCTGTACCTGTAGGCTCTTGGCCGCCGCGTCCAGTACACGACCAACTACCCAATCCTTGGAATAATAGAACTCTCCCTTGGGGAACTTGGCCTTTGCCGTCTCGGCCTCAGCCTCAACGTAGACGTAGATGCGCTTCTCCGGAGCCAACTTGTCGTCGCCCTTTGCGGTCTTCTTCAGGCTGTTGACGGCGACCATTCGCGCTGCAGCTGAGCTGGGCTTGGGCTTTGGCAGCGCTCTGCCAGCCTGCTCCTTCTTGGCCGTTCCCCATGCTCGAAGCCGGTCCAGCGCGGATTTCGTCCTTTGGGCAACGTCGATTTGAATAGGCCGCGCCCCGATTGGCGTCAAGTTCTTGCAGTTGTGGTCATCTTTGAAGCGGTGTTTCAAACAGTAATCCCGATTACATGTTTCGCAGTGAACGCCTGGCACTAGCGAAGTGCCGATGGTTGTCTCGCAAGATGGCGACGCGCAAGGCTTCTCTGAGATCTTATCCCGCAATGTCCTCCCTTGGCCGATGGAGGGCTTTGCCAGCTGTGCCTGTCGTTTACGTTCCGCCCAGGCTCCCGGGTTTGTGCACTTATGAGCAGACTCTGAGCGGTGATCCAGGCAGAAAGTCTTGGTACAGGACTGGCAGAAAAAGGGGAGGAAATCAAGCTGATTGCAGTATTCGTACTGGCAGTGTTTGCCGACCAGGCTGGCGTCTTCCTTGTCCTTCATGATGTAGCTCGTTTCTGGAGCGTCGGAATCCGAACCTGACGCCATCTTGGGAAACGTGAATGATATAAACAAAATAAATATGTCGCCGCAGTCTTGCTAATCCAACTCATGTGCTGTTCAGGCAGAGCAAATGTCGTCACCTTGCGAACAAAGGCAAGCAATCCGGCGCGGCTGACGGCGTCTCCAGTCGGCTGACCAAACGTGGCAAGGAAGCGTCTGGAAACCCCTATAACCGTCTGCTAAATTAGCGACCGCGCGCTGAAGCCCGTGCGCTGTGCTCGCTGTGCTCCGGGACACTAGCGAACGACGCTGTTTGTAAGTTCTAATGATGAGCCCGGATATGCAATACGGAAGGGAATTTGACAAATGATTCGCCAAGCGACAGGGAATAAGAGGAGCACGAGATGAGATGAGATGAGGCGTAAATAAGGCTGCTGCAGGGTCGAGTTCGCATCGCGGGGTCATCCGGAGGCCCCACCAATTTGTGCCATGATTTGAGCTTACATGTGTAAGATGGTCACTGAATAAAGTCAACATGAAGATAGACCATTATATACCAATATGGAAACTGATAAGCAAATGCATGAGATAGAGAGAGAGAAAAGAGTAATGGTGTATTGTATTGTGTTGTATTGTAATTTACAAAAAATCATCTAGTGTGCTCCAAAGATCCATGAGTGGAGAACACCTTGATACGCCGCAAACGCCTAATCCCATCCATATTCACAGCCAGCACATAATTCCCGGCTATTCTTCCTTAATCTTGGGGTCCTTGTTGATAAGCTTCTCTCGGCCGGTAGCCGGTAAGTCACCGACGTACGCCTTGCCTCCAAACTGCTCAAAACCCTTGTGGAATACCCACTCCACGGCGTCCTCGACCGGCTTGTCAAAGAGGCTGGGCAGGAATGGAACCACAGACAGTCCCAGTCCAATGGGGCCCCATGTTCTCAGAGTGGCGTTTTTGACATTCTTCATTGCCTTTCCAGAGTACTTGACCATGCTGTGGATGGTAAAGGCCGGCAATCCCATACTGGCGACGCTCTGGAAGATGGCTCTCTGCACCATGACGGTTCGATAGTCCTCCAATGGAGGGACCACACCTGGGGCAATGTTGCGGGTCTCCTTCTCTGGGAGGCCGGAGATTCTTTGCTGGTGAGAGTTGAGCAGAACCTGGGGATTGAGAATCCGCTGGTTCTGCCAGTAGGCACGGTATCCCTCATGCGAGACATCGCCGAGAATGTAGAGCCACGAGATTCCGTAGGCGGTGCGAACTAGGTTTGGGTGCGCAACAGGCCGGAACGATTCGCCAATATCTGAAGTATAGGCGACGTATCGATGGGCGGACAGGAGAATGGTTCGAAGTCGAGTCGCATACGCGGCATATCGCAAGTTGCTCTCTGTAGTATCGGGAGCCCTGAGATAATTGAACTTAGCATCTTCTTGCTTGTAAACGGGCGCAGGTTGCAATTACCGTCCCTCCTTTATACTGTCAAAGAAACTCTCATCCTTGTCGGCCTTGTCTATAATCTTCTGCAGTCCCCTGGGCAACTTCTCAGCCTTGGGAAGCTGGGGATCGAAGACATGTTCCTTCGGCGCCTCTTGCTGCTTCTGCTGTTGCTGCTCAGGCTTTGAGTCGGATGATTTCCCCCACCAACCCATGATGGCGCTCTAGTGAGTGAAGAGATGCAAGAATGAGAAAGGCGAAAGAAAGTCGAGGGAAACCAAATGCCCGCGTTGGTTGATACCTTATGAATTGAATGAAGGATGGAGAATTGCTAACGTCAGTACCAAATCTAGCAGCAGTAAGATCCGTAACTCACGGCTACCAGGATCTCCCCCAAAGCTAACATGGCTAAGCCGGTACAGTGACGTCGACTAGCGAAGCGGTACCTCTGGGTTGGGCATCCACTGCGCAACACGCTCGGCCGGGGAATAGCCGGATTGCCGGGGCCTTCAATTCCAGGCACAATTGCAAGTCTCCGTTTTTGCGGCAAAGTCGTTCCAACGATCCTCAACTCTCCAGCAATCCATTGATTCCCGCCCGTTCCTCCCGTCCACCCCTTCGACGCATATCCCGAGGTCAAAATGGCTGGTGTCGCTACCTACACAATTGCTGGTCGACAGATCGGCGGCCACTACGTATGTCTTGCCGGCGAAAGAAAAAGTCGCACTCTCTCTAGCTCTGGTTCCAGCTCTCTGACTTGAAAATCAACTTCACAGCTTGCCATGGGCTGGTTGGCTACCCTCTTCGGCGGTGCCTATTATGCTGCTTCCGGCCCCAAGAAGCCTGCGAATGCTGTTGCTACTCCCCCGATCAACGCTTCCAGCTCTGACGAGGCCGACTTCATCAAGTGCGTTATATATCCGCTGCGACTTGGAGGCGCAATCGGCTAACGGAGTGACAGGAAATTCCTTGAGGAGCAGGACAAGAAGCACTAAATGGCGAAACTCGAAAATGACCAGCATGGAGGGGGATAGTGTATTGTTGTCTTGTACATAATAGATGCCCAGAGAGCGAATGTGTCTCGAGATAGAAAAAACGATGCGATTTACTCTCCCCGACACGGCCAGTGCACTTGTTTGATCGCACCCACGTTTGACGGCTTGAATACGTATCCTTTGCATAGTCTGTGTTGAGATGCGGTATATTATGCTGATGGGCAAGGCGATGCTACGACTGTTAGTCTAGCGGAGTCGGGTAACGCCTCTGCCATCTCCATTGTCTTGAACTTTGATGTCTTTGAGGTGAATTTTGCGTATCTGGTTTTCTGAAATTGAGCATATTGAGTCCCTGCGGTGAGTGCACATGGACTGGGTAGGTATGCCGTTAAGGAAATGTCGTTGCAGTTCAGTGCTTTGGCTCTATGGTGCTGCTGAGTGCGAAGGCAATGCAACCATGGTATGCAATTTGTGAAATGATGATTACAACGAATTGGCAACATTTTAAAAATCTGGTGTAGTACCCCTTTCATGTACAACACTTCGTGACAATGTAATGAAGTTGATCATGCATGGCAATTTCACTGAGCTGTACATGCGAGAGCATTTATATCAATCAGGCTGCGCATGCACAAGCAGCAAATACCACTACCAAGATGAAGCAGTGGTGAATATGGTAGCTCAGTGAAAAGGTGTATTTCTCTATATTACGTACATGCCAGTTGAACATCGAGCATCGACTTAAAATTACCTAATGGATATGAAGTAAATACGATGGGCCAATTGTCAAAACATGCAAATAGACAGACACTCGAGGTTGATTGAATCAAAGCTTCGTTAGATGCGTCACAGCAATAAGCTCGAAATGTCTTGATGCAACCTATCCATCATAAGATGATAAAGAGAAATTCAATAATCGAACTCCAGGAACGGGCCCTTTTAATTTATATCCTAGCGTCCGGCCGGCCTCATGCTAGGAGCCTTGTTTGATCGACGGGCAGCCGGATATAAGCATACCAGCGCCTCTACTCGTATACAGAGCGTCCAAGCACCGTTACCTGCAATGAAAGACGCGCAAATCGCATAATCCGTCCATTGGCCATGCAGCCACTCGCCATGATCAGATGCAGGGCGACAGCAAGGCCAGCCTATCACGCATTTCGCATTCCAGCCGTCCTGCAGGCATCGTGTAGCCAATGTGCAATGTTAGGAGTCTTAGACGGGCGGCAGGCGGTCACGTGAGCGGCATCTGGGCGCCAGAAAAGCCCTGAAGCTCTGAGCAGCGCCCCGCCCTGCTTTTATGGCGCATGCACCATCTCCTAAACCGAAAGAATCCTGCATCCATCGGATACAACGATTGCAATTTGGACGAACATGGCCGCGACAGACTCGCTGGTGGACGGCAGCGACATCTCGCCGTCCGTGTCGGCGCCCAAGGAGCGGCACTCGCTGACGCTGGACCAGCGCCGCGCCCTCCGCCGCTGGGCCAACACGCAGACGATCCGGCCCTCGCACAAGGCCTGCATCGAGTGGTTCTTCAGCCAGTACGGCCAGCAGATCAGCCAGAGCACCGTCTCGCACTCGCTGTCGCCCAAGTACTCGCGCCTTGACGGCGACAACCCGCAGCTGTCGGGCTCGCGCCTGCGCTTTGGCAACTGGCCCGACGTCGAGAAGCTGGTGCTGCTGTGGTACCAGCAGGTCCAGGCCGCGGGCCGCCAGCCCACCAACGAGGAGCTGGGCGAGAAGGCCAAGAGCATCTTCAGCCAGCTGCCGCGCTACAAGGAGGAGAGCCCGCCCGAGTTCTCGCCGGGATGGATTCACCGCTTCAAGAAGCGCTACGGCCTGCTGATCCGTCGCCAGCGCCGCCACGGCGACGGCGGCATCAACCCGGCCGACGACATTGACTACCTGGCCGACTGCGTGCCGCGCTTCATGGCCATTGCCAGCGACACCAGCCCTGCCGCCATCCGCGAGCAGGTCCTGCGCGTCGTGGGCGTCGAGTCCAGCCTCAACACCTGCGCCCTGGTCCGTGACGAGATCATCCGCCGCCTGGCCAATGCTCATGCCGCTCCGCTCCCGTCTCTGACCCCCGTCGAGCCCACTCTCGCCCAGCCTCAGCCCGACCAGCAGCCGCTCTATGCCGAGGACGACCCCGAGGTGGTGCTTCAGAACGCCCTTCGACAGCTCCAGCAGGAAGAGCAGGCTGCCGAGGAGCAGGCCGCTGCTGTGCGGGAAGAGCGTGAGCGTGCTGAGAGAGCCGCTGGGCTTCAGCAGCAGCAGGCCATGGTCTCTACGCCGAGTGCTCGCGCCCCGTCGGATACTCGCTACACCACGCCGGGTCAGGACATAGCTCCTGATCTGACTCTCACGCCGATTCACTCTGAAGTCCCTATTGCTACCCACGACAGACCGCTGCGGTGTCCCTTTTGCGTCAACCAGCGAATGCTCCGCTCGATAAAGGAGGCGGTAGAACACATGTCGACGCACGTGGTGGTATAAACTCCATCACCTTCACCAAAAATCATCTCTCATTTTCTATTTTTCCCTCCTCCTTCATCAATCGGCGTTGTATCTTATCAGCCATCAAAAACTTTGCTTCGCCACATCTTTTTATGCGCTTTGTTTTTTTCCCCACAATCTGGGAGTACGAGGACGAGGGGGGAATTTCACGTCGCTTTTTTGGGATGAGGGGGTCCCCTTTACACGCTCACGGAGTTTGATAAAAAAGACAAGGGGCCTTTTGGGGAGTTTCGGTGTCTCTTTTTATTTATCATCTCTATTTTTCTTTGATATCCATATGGCATGAGGCGGTAAACTGCCGTCACTACTAAGGCTGCTGATGTACACTATATTTGTTTGAGAATCGAAGACACTCAGGTATCTATGCCGCGTGTGCATGATTCACAAACAATCCCAACTCTGAGAATGTTAAAACAAAAGGTGTATCCATGTAAACTATTATTTTCAAATCGTAGACCTCATGTAACTCGTTTTCTCTAGCAATCAAACCAAGCCGTCCAGCTATGTCTATATCAACCAATCAATCCAGTCTCCTTCAAACGCTGTATCAGTGCGTCGGCCTGTTCCTGCGCCTCCCGCTTCTGCAACAATGCCGGATCAGTACTGCCAATGTAATTCTTCCAAAACTTGAGTCCCTCAAGCCCCTCCTCGCGACACAAGGCCCCGTGCTCCTCGGCCATCAGCAGCTCCTCCTCCGCCACGCCGAGACTCCATCCAAACCTCTCCGCGGCCTCCTGCGCAGTGACACCGCGCCCAAACTCTCGCCAATCCCATGCAACGTCCCGGTCGGGCGGGAACTCGTGCAGGTCCTGCAGCCAGGCCAGGATCGACTTGATGGTGGCGTCGTCGGTGCGGTCCCGGGCCTGCACCACCATGACGCCGCTCCGGAACTTGCGCAGCCGCACGGGCAGCTTGAGGCCTTCCCACATCTGCGCCGCCTTCTCAAAGTCCATCGGGCTGACGAGCTCCACGCCGCCGCGCGCTCGGTTGAACATTGCCCATAGCTCGACTAGCGTGAGGATGCCGCCAGCCCGCTTGAGAACACCCCTTGAGTCGTCCGTGAGGAACTCTGCCAAGTTGCGAGCCAGCTCGGAGAAGTAGAGTGACTCGGAGCTTCCACCGCCGACAATATCCTTGGTCGTGATTAATCCCAGCTGATGGGCGGATTCGGCCAGTATGCTATTGTCCTTGGATGTGACATCACCACTGGCCCCGTTAACCTGCTGTGCAAATCTCTCTGCCAAGGCCACTACCTCTTTGGCTGAGGCCATCAGTGCCTCGAGGTCTTCAAATGCACTGCCAATCAGAATTTCATTATTCTTGCGCATGTTCAAGCCCAGTTGCTCGAGCCCAGCAATGCCCGCAGTCTTCGTCTTCTGCACGGGGGTGCTTGGTGAACCGCTGGCGGAGCTGTCATCCATCCCGCGGTTACTCTTTGGAGCAGGAGGTGCATCTTGCAGCAGCCATTTCCGCTGCGTCATGGCACTCTTTAGTCGTTCGTAAAAGATCTTCTCCCCGCCACCTCGGAATGATATCTTGACACTCTCTGCAAAGTCTGTGCCGCCCTGACTTGTTTTGCTGTTGCTATCCTTGACCGGACCCGGGGACTGTGTTCTAATATACTCGGAGCTAGAGATGGAAGAAGGTATGTTTTGCGATAATAACGGGGCTCCGCACATCTCGCAAGATAGAAGTGAAGGATGATTTGAGAAAGTGCACCGCGGGCAATGGAATGACACGCTAGCGTCAGGTTTTCCTTGTCCACTGCCAACACGAGTATCAAAAGTCAAAAGATCGCTTGATTGCGGAGTGATTGGTGATGAAACCTCCTGGCTCGAAAGTCCGCTCTGGCTGGCATTTGGAGTGGCTGCTGGACGGTTGCTTGCGGTGCTGATAGCCGCCTTCAGCACCTGCGATAGCGTTGGTTTGATCCCGCATGCCAAGCATGGAGGAAGAGGAGTGTGGGCATTTGCTGTCGTCGGATCAAAGTTGGAAGGGACCGGGTTTGAGAAGCTGCAAATGGTGCAGACCCAGGTTGCGGCCGTCATTGACGGAGGTCCAGACGGGGGAGTGTAGGCATTGTCCGACGGTGCGGGAGATGGCGTGCTCCCTCTTGAATTGACTCCCGTGTTGGATACAACGCGGTTATGGAGCGTTGATCGCTTTAAGGGCTTGGGAACAATGGTGATCTTGGCTGATGACTTTAGGAACCCGGCATAGAACTCATACCGATCCACTTCCTTCAGGTTCAACGCGGCTGAGTACTTCCTTGGCTCATCTTTGTCGACATAACAGATGCGATGAGATGTCAGATACACCTGGCCATTCTGCTGGTTCGGGAGCTTAAACTTCCTATGCCGCCTCATCAACATCTGGCACTCAAACAGCCCCGCTTCCAGTCCCAAGAGACTCACCCTTCGTACAAGCCGACATTGTCCTGGACAAAGAGCAGTACTTCATCCGGAAGATACGAAGGCCGCAGTGCAGTAGTCAGATCAATGTGCTTCAGGAACATTCGTCATACGGCAGTGGCAAAGAGCCAGCCTTCGATAAATTGAATCGGCCTGGGAGGGATGCGTCGAATAGCACGTGCCGAAGGAAGCGCAATGAATGAAGACTGGATGACGGAATAAAATGCGTTCTTGCTGGAGATTTAGATGATCGATAACAAACAGTCTGAATCTGGACGTCTACAGAATCTGGACAGAGGACAAGTTCTGGTTATTGGTGAGTCTATAGTGAGAATATGATGAAGCAAGGTTGCGCTACCATTGATAGAGGATAGAAGATGAGGCATGCGACTTGGTCGAGGTACGTACCTGCTGTGCAGCTCCAGGCAGCCCCACTATTGGCCGGAAGCATCCTCCGCCTCTTGCCAGCCCATATTCCTTTGAGAATAGCCGGAACTTAACCGTGATTGCCTGATCACGGGACTTTCTCTGACGCACATTTTCCCTTGTTACAGCCCAACCTCGCCTGTTGCCTCCTGATCTCGCCCAAGCATCGCGATCAAGATCTTATCAACCCGCCGCTCAAACTGTTGCCGGGCTCTCCATCTGCTCTTGATCTGTCGACACACCTCGTAAACTAACTCCAGTTCAGCACCTTCAGCCGCCTTCACCATGTCAGGCTGGCCAACCACCCAGCATCCACCAGGCGTTGTTTCTCAACACGCTCCGCCACCTGCATACGGCTATCCACCCAGTAAGTCTTTCTTTCGTCTCGCAGCGGCTTCTGGAACCTCCAAGTGTCTGACATCTTCTGCAGACCCTGCCTTTATTCCAGTCCAGGTGCGACAGGGCTTCAGTCCGTATGGTGCACCACCGCCGCCGCCATACAACCCGTACGCATCAAGTCCAGCTCAGAGCCAGGCCTCTACTCCCGGAACTACGACAAATGCATCTCCATCAGCACCTGTAGAACAACCCAAGGGAGCCAAGACCGAGTGGCCGGAATCAGTCCGACGATATGTCCAGCGGTCTTTTCATCCCGAAAACGACGACGCCTCTGTCTCTCGCGCGGAGCTTGAGGCTAAGCTGAAAGACACAATCGGCAGTGCTAAAGAGAACAACTCACTCTACACTATTGATTGGGATAACATGCCTTTGCCCCAAGCCTTGGTGAGAGCTGACCGTGAAGCACTGCTTAAGCTCCGCTATACCTCGTTGACCACGCCGATATATGCCGACGACTCTTTTAATCCCAGAAAGCGCAAGTCGAATGATTTTCCAAACAATGATGCATCCGTGCCGCCTTGGCACTCTACTAACTCAGGCCGATCCCTCGAGGATCGCATTTCGTATTCCCCCGACAAGCGGGTAGCCCTCGATGACAGTAAGTTCCAGAAAGAAGCCAACAAGCGAAAACGCCGTTTCGAAAACGAATACAAGGCGGCCAACGTAGCGTCGTCCAGCCCAACTCCGCCATCATCCGGCCCCATCGTCGGCACCTCTGAAACCCTTGAAAAGAAGTATCTCCGCCTCACTGCCCCCCCTATTCCGTCCAATGTGCGACCTGAGAGAGTTCTCCGTCAAACGTTAGATTTGTTGAAGAAGAAGTGGCGAAAGGAGAGCAACTATTCGTACATATGCGACCAGTTTAAATCTATGCGTCAAGATCTTACCGTGCAACGCATCAAGAACGAGTTTACTGTTTCCGTCTATGAAATTCATGCCCGGATTGCCTTGGAGAAGGGGGACATCGGTGAGTATAATCAGTGCCAGACCCAGTTGCGATCGTTGTATGCAATGGGCCTGAAGGGAAACCCCATTGAGTTCAAGGCGTATCGTATTCTCTATTTCATTCATACGGCCAACCGCACCGGCCTGAACGACACCCTGGCAGATCTAACAGCAGCGGAGAAGGAAGAGAAGCCCATCAAGCACGCGCTCGACGTGCGGTCGGCGCTGGCACTGGGCAACTACCACAAGTTTTTCCAGTTATACCTTGACACACCCAACATGGGTGCATATCTCCTGGATATGTTTGTCGCCAGGGAGCGCCTTGCAGCTCTGTGCAATATTTGTAAAGGGTGAGTCGTGATCAACACCCCCATTCGTCTGTTTTCACCGCTAACTATTGCTACTAGATACAAACCTGACGTCAAGCTGCGCTTCATCACTGAGGAACTCGGGTTCGAATCAGATGCTGATGCTGCTCAGTTCATTATTGATTATCAGGGGCAACATCTTCTTGAAGACCGCACAGAGTACATTGCGTTCCTGACCGGTAAAGCCAATAACCTCTTTGAGAACTCTAGAGCGTCGGCTTTCCGGAAAGTGGACATTAAAGGACAGATTTAACTTGGTTGTTGCTCCTTGTCACGTTGCTCCTGCGCCTCTTCCTCTCCGCGCCTGTTTTTTCTGCATGTGGCTCGCATTCGCCAGCGTTTTTCTGTTGCATTTCCTCTTCTCTATCTCTTTAAAGATTGCAACCTACCCCTGATACCTAACGATAGCATCTCGCCGATTGCGGCGAGGATTCAAAAAGTCTCTTGTTTCTTTGGACCTGTTTCGTTGGACCGCATCTGTTGAGAACCCGATATCGCACGACGAGTCGTTCTATTCTCCTATGCACGGTTCTATACTGAGCAACCAATATTCTGTTCCCGCTGGGGGAATGAGACAGGCTTTTGCCAGTCACCCTGATTACGGCGATGCCCTCTTCAAACGATTTTGTCTTCTAACTTGACACGCCAGATCTCTGCTTCCGTTATAAGCAGAATATCACTCGATCCATAGTAGCAACTCCAACCAGTTGGATGTTGAAAGGAATTTGGACGATATGTGATAAGATGTTTGCGCCAAACTGCTCCCTTGGCGAGAGCGGATATGGCGTTTTGGCTTCATCATCATCACGGTCGGACTACAGCTTTGGGAAATTGTGGTGTTTGGCGTTGGAAGTAGTTTTCATTCTTGCCAAGCCGGTTGGGCTAGGACATTTACATAGGCGTTTTCGGCCTCAGTTGTTACATAAATACATAGTCGGAGCAGCCTTCAATTGATCACGCTTGAATTTTACCATGACTTAGAATCTTTCAACACATGCCACTATGTTAAACCGGAGGATTGTCTATCTTAGAGGAGAACCTAGAATGACATGATAATCAATGTCAACTTGCTGTACTCTATATTGTCCTGCGTCTTGAAGAGAGAAGAGAATAGAGTTGAAACAAGGAGGACTCTGGCGCAATCGATAAGTTGCCGGTAGCGCAACTCCTTGTTCAATGGCCCGAACGACTCTTGCGTTTCACCATCGGGAGGCCTGTGATGGGTGGCGCTAAATAGAAGCATGCAGACAGGGGTGGTGGAGTAGCTGATGGCCGCTAGGGATTTTGCCAACAGCTGGGTGTAGCTGAGGTGAGTTTATGTTGAGAACAGCATTTGAAATCGAGTTGGAAAAAGAAGCATTCTATCTTTTTACAAATTCTAATTTTATCACGAGTTTGCTTTCACGCCGCTCTTCAAGGGCAGGTAATTATGACATCGAGTCGGATGGGCACGTCAGGCTTTGGAGTCTGTCTGTCTCTCTGTCTGTAGTGGCATTGACATGTGCACTAACACAAGAACTCGAGTCAATATCTGCTAAAACGGGACCATCTAGTCATGTCCAAAGTAAAGGGGGGAGCCAGCTTTCTCTCTCTTCTACTGCATGCACGGTATGTAAAACTGTAGCAGGAAAAAACAGAATGGTGTGAAGCAAGGGAAATGAAGTGATGTGAAATAAGAGGAAATGGGTGCCCAACAGAGGCCCATGGTAACACTGGTGCCGTGATTTCAGCCTCGCCGGCGCAGGCTGGCGCTGAGCACACCTGGGCCCCCAAGCACAAGGATTTGATAATTGATTTGGTGATATGACGATCGCATGTACCACCTACTCGTACATGAACTGTGCTTCTATTAATACCTAAGGTCCTAGTATTACATGTCATTGAAGATTCCACGTTGTCTTATTGTGTCTAATACGTGGAGATACTTCTAAATCTTTGGTACCAGTACGTGCAGTTCTGTGGGTACGGGCGCTTGTCATATGCATGTACCTTATTATACTGTTACCAGCTGGTCGGGAACATGGCCGTGAAGATTGTAACTCAACCAGACGTCATGCTGATGAGTGAATACGCAAGCGAGAAAAAAGCAAGATGCAGCACGGTTGTTGGATCCAATTCTCGTCAATGGAAAGGCAGCATGGAACCCTTGCTGCCATGCCCCTCCCTTGGCCGTTGCGCAGCGCCCCATTGGCACCTCTGGGCGCTCTGCTCCAGGGCTCGCGGGCCTATGGATAGCGCTTGGGCGCTGGCCGCCCCCACTGTAGCCCACCAGCGCCCCCTCTGCGGCCCCCTGTAGCCCACCTGGAGCCCCGACAGGCCACAGGTTTGCTCCCAGGCCAGGCTTACTGCAGACGACGACAAGTACCTGTACGAGGCCCTCGATTGCTCGTAATGGCCGTGGCGGCGGCTCCCAGTTTCTGTCCATATTTTTCTTCTTTTTTGCCCGGGCTGTCTCACCAGGCGCTGTTGGGTACCTGCTTGGGGGTTGCACAAGGCACCTGGGAGTGAAGCGAGGGTCTCCCATTGGTACTGTCGGGTGGTACATGGGCGTGCGTGTACCTGCGTGTACCTTGCTCGTGCAACCAGACGTCCACGAGTGTACAGTACATGCATGCATGGCATTGGTCCCTTCTCTTTTCTCTCCCTCCCACCCACAACTTGGTAAAAGGCGTTTTGTCCAGTAAAGGAATTCTTTTCCCCCATCCAGTCCGCATCTGCTCCAGCCGCTTCACCCGGCGCCATCCAACCAATTTTGTCCGTCCCCTTGATATCATTGAAATCTTTTTTTGCTTTGAGCGCCTGTAGATTCCAATCCATTGATTGATTCATCCCGCGATTGCGCCACCGTTCTGTCTACCATACCCAGGCTAAGTGACTGACTGGACTTAACTTGACTTGGATTGACATCTCATCGCCTCACATCGCATTGCACTGGTTTCGACTAGATTGCGACTTGGACAAGCAACACGACCCGCGGCTGCACGTTTCCTCGACGGCTGCCTGCATCGCCGAAATCTCAAGCCGAGCGACGAGAAAAACGTGAGTGTTGCGACCGCACGAGGCTCGACTTTCTAGAAGCACGAGGCGCAGCCGACACTACACAAACAGGCTAGGCGTGGACTGCAAGACTAGTATTAATATTGCCTGCTAGCACGCGCAACCAACTTCGTGTGCGACAGACCTGAGCTGCCCTCTGCATCGAGCCGGCTCTTCTGCTTCTTTTCCCTCTTGCGCTCACCGTCTGCTCTGCTCTACTTGTATCGATCGAACCTCGCCGGCCTCGTCATTGGCAACCGGACCCCCTCCCTGCTGTCGCTCGCAGCTTTTTGCGCACACCCTCCGCCCGCCTGTCGACATCGCGACCTCGCACGAAAACTAAACCAAACCCGACCCTCCCCCTCTCGTCGATTCTATACCCTCATCCTCTCGTACCCTCAGACCGACCAATATCGCCATACCGCCCATATCCCCGTCCGTCCGGCCAGATTTCGTTACACAAAGATGAAGGTGCGTCATTGCCAACTGCGCAAGTCATGCGCTGCCAGCTGCAAACCGCTCCCCTCCCCAAGTGCCGGACCGGCGTCACGATGCCGCCCGTATATCGATCGTGTTTGGCACGCCAGCCGCCTGCTTCCAAACTTTCCTCAGTCAATATCACCACACGCGCAGACCAGATAAACAAACAAACAAAAACAAGCTCCCTTGCGACGAAGTTTCGGACAAAGAGAGAGGAAAACAAGACTAACAGCCATGGGCTTGGTACAGGCGCTCCGTCGGTCTATCAAGGGCGACAAGGAGAAGCAACACAGCATCTCCATTACCCCCAAAGCTGCTGTCGCAATCGTTCCGCCCAAGAAGGTTCGTTGATCAGTGTGCTGCGTTTTGCCCCTTCCCGCTTCTCTCCTCCTGCTTTTGCGCATGTCTTTGTTGAGTCGGCAAGGTCGCATGACAAGACATTATCGCGCAAAAGCAGCCCCACGCTTCCCGTTTCCCTTGGTCTTTTTTCTCTCCCTTTGAGCTGCGTTTGCAATGGCATTTTTCATTACGTCTTTTTTCTGGGCCTTCCTAGTAGTTGTAACCGCGAACCGTTTGAGGGGGCCTCTTCTTATTTCGTACGCAGGTTATTCGAGCTCTCTACGACTACGAGGCCCGCTCTGCCCAGGAGCTGGGCTTCTCCAAAGGCGATTTTTTCCACGTCATCGGCCGCGAGGACGATCCGGACTGGTACGAGGCTTGCAATCCTGCGCTGCCTGATGCGCGGGGTCTCGTGCCCGTAGCCTTTTTCCAGGCGCTGGGCAAGACTGAGAGGGACAGCCAGCAGTCTGATGGTGGCCGCCCCCCGACTGCAAACAAGAACCCAGATCATGATTCTGGCTATGGCGAAGTCCACTCCCCCGGCGGCGCATCTGCGCCTCCCGCATCTCAGCGCATGTCCAAGTCTGCTGGCAAGCAAGGTGCCATGGTTTACGGCGTGGTAATGTACGACTTCAACGCAGAGAGATCCGACGAACTCGAGGCCAAGGCAGGAGAGGCCATCATCGTCATTGCCCAGTCCAACCCAGAGTGGTTTGTTGCCAAACCTATCGGTCGACTGGGCGGTCCTGGCTTGATTCCAGTGTCCTTTATTGAGCTCCGTGATATGGGCACGGGCAAGGCCATTGAGAATCCCGCAGAGGCCATCAGGAAGGCGGGCGTTCCCAAGGTCGAGGAGTGGAAAAAGATGGCCACGGCCTACAAGAACAGCAGCATCACCCTGGGCAAGTTTGAGGGCGGAGGACCATCCCAGCCGCTGGAGCAGGGCATGGAGCGTATGAGCATCCAAAATGCACCTCAGGTGAGTGTTTGTGCGATTCCTCACATATCCTGCCCCTCCTTTTTACCTTGCCTTCTCCATTGCCTAGCTTTCCCCCCCTTTCTTCACTTCTCTGTCTCTCACCTCGTTTCCATGTCTCGCTCGCCCTACTCTACACTTTTCCACAATATTCTCAATCTTACGCCTTACCTTTTTCTTTCTTTGTTTACCTCTGCTTGTTCCTCTCCCTCTTTTAGCCTCTTCTTGCTCTCTTGCCCCGTCCTTCACATATTTCTTTCATATTTCACCTCCCTCCCGTCAGTCCCCCACCGATCACACCCCCTTACGCCTACTCCCCGTCCAGCCTCGTTGCTCTCTTGCCGTCCTCTTCATCAGCCTTGCCTTTTGATCAGGCATTAATGATCCCCCAATAGCCCCCACAAGGCGCCCTCAGTGGCCCTCCTCAGCCTGCTGCCCACCCCCAGCAGCCTGAATTTGTATCGAGCGCGACGACGGAACTCTACGCCCCCATCTCTGCCCGGATACCCCGTTACTGCTTCGCAGAGGACAAGTACTGGTTTGTTATCGAGACCCAGCTCGAAGATGGGCGGCACTGGGAACTTTCCCGGTACTATGAAGACTTTTACGATTTCCAGATTGCGCTTCTCACTGAGTTCCCCGCCGAGGCGGGCAACACCGGAACCCAGAAGCGAACACTCCCTTACATGCCCGGCCCCGTGAGCTATGTGACCGATGCCATCACAGAAGGAAGGCTGCATAACCTGGATGCATATGTGAAGAACCTTCTTGGCCAGCCCCCCTACATTGCGCGTTGCACGCTTGTCAAGCAGTTCTTTGCTCCCAGGGAAGGCGATTATGAGATGGACCCTGCCACGGTCGAGGAGGAATACCGACTGTCCCAGGGCTCTCAAGGCTCATCCTCCGGGTCACATGCTAACCCTGATTCGCGACAGTCATCGCGAAACAACCTGAGCGGCAATGGATACACTGGTCTCTCAGCCACCCCGAGACAAGTCAGCAATCCGCAGTCAAGTAAGAGTTCCCCACAATCATACCTCAGGCTTTCGACAGCTCAGTACTGACCTTGCTGCCTCTAGTCATGCAAATGCCATCGCAGCCCGGCCAGCCACAAGCTGGAGCCGCCATGAAGATCAAGATGTACTACAATGGCGATCTCATTGCCATCCGGGTCCCCACAGACATTCAGTACCAGCAACTCTGTGACAAGGTCCGAGATCGACTCAAGGTATCGCCAAGCGAGCAGGTCCAGCTGTTTTACAAGGATGAGCAGACGGGAAATAAGCCCAGCCTCACGAGTGACGCCGATCTGGACGACGCCCTTAACCGCAACGAGAAGCTCATGCTTTACGTTGAAGTGGTGTAGTTGCACCATGGGAGCCCATTAACTCTTCGATGTCTATATTTTTCTACTTTTTCTTCACTGGACGACCCGGACCGCCTGCCGTGGCGTAGGTACTTTCACGACGCGATGAGCCACGGCGATCAACGTCTTGTACCGATGATACCCGCCTCTCAATCAGCTGGAATTGATTTTCTTCTTTCTTCTTATTGCCTGGAACCCGGACCTGGACTATTTCCCCTGGAAGCTTGATTCTCCTATGCAAATCCCAGTCCACTGATGGAATCCGGACAATGTAATTTCTGGACTCGCAAGGTGCCATGGTCCATCCGATGGCGCCTTTTGTTCTTCTTTAGCACAAAATATCTTCGCTTTATTTATCCGACTCCATATATGGTTCCGGATACGGGACCGTTTTTGAGGCCTGCCCTGCGTACGGCATGTTTTATGATTTGTTTCTCAGATACGATTTGGATGGCCAAGCCTCGGAAAGGGCGTTTGGGAAGGACACGGCCTCCCTTTGTTGTTTTTTTCAAAGGTCGAATCCCTGAATCAGATGATTTGTCGGGCTGAACCCCGGTTGCTTTTTTTTTATTTGTTCTTTCTGTTTGCGAGAGATGAAGAGTGGAATTATACCTTGCTTGCGTGGATGGAATTTGCTAGATGTGGGGGAGAAAGATTTGTTGATGAGAGATAAGTGAGAGATGTGGGACGAGGGACCTGCCTGAGTCTAATTGAGTGGTTTGCGTGAGAGACTGAGTGAGAGAATCGGGAGACAATGTATGTATGGATGGACAGATAAAAAATCTTTTGGGAGGAAGATTTGCTAGAACTGCAAATAATAAAAGATACAACTGAAATGACACGGAGTGAATCAACAATAGATGGTGGACGGCGGATGGCTTTTTGCCTGTGTGATTTATATTTTTAGAGCCATAGTTGTTGGCTGAGGGTGAATCGTTTATATGACAGCCCCCTATGCATATATCCTTTAGTCTACCAAAATGTTGATGCTGCTTGTACTGCTTGATACAGTCCTCCAAGGACGCAACGTTTACGTCTATTAATTCCCAGCTCGCCAGAACAAGAGAAAAGAAGAAGCCAACCCAAACCAAATGAATCATTGACGCATCGCTTTATATGCAAACAAGGCCAGAAGAAGAAGGAAAAACATCAAGAGTACAAAGCCATTATGCAGTCTTTGAAAAATAGCAAGAGTACCAAAAGCCATTATGCAATCTTTTCCATGAGATGCCGTCTCGTCTTCGTGTTCACGACGCCGCCTACGCCAAACGCCGGTATGATGCGACACATGCGCGCGGCGGTGCTGATGAGCCAGTTTGACCGCACGACTTGCCAGCGCTGACGCCAGCTACCATTTGGGCGGTTATACATGTCCAGGCCGAGCAGATGTACAGGCGTAGAGAAGAGCTGGACGGAGGCCGGGGCGATGAACTGCGCCGCCGTCAAGCCCGAAACATAGCGTCGCATCTTATCAGACAGCCGGTTGTCCATCCACGGCGCCAAGAGCGGCGGCAAGTTGAAAGAAGCAAAGATGGTCAAGCAGTCGCGCATAGTAAAGAGAACATAGCTCGGCAGCGGAACGGGTCTAGGCACGGCGCCGGGGGGCCCGAAGAGGCGCACAAAGACCTGGTCCTTGTAGACGCACAGTCCGACGTTTGCGGCGGACGAGGCGGCGAACTTGCCGGGGCCGGAGGTGACGGAGCCTGCGGGGCGGTTTGAGATTGTGGAGGCTGCGGTGTCGAGGGCGTTGGCGGTCATGTAGGTGCCGCCGTAGAGGGCGAAGACGAGGGCGCAGGGGCGGGAGAAGAAGAGGAGCTGGGGGCGGGTGAGGAGGGTTGTGAGGGAGGAGCGGATGGAGGCGGCGAGGGAGTTGCGGCCGGAGGCGTTTTCCATGATAGAGCTGTTTGTAATGCGTTAGTTCACTTGGATTCGTTTTGAGCTGAGAGATGTTTGTTGTGTGTCTATGTGATTACTTACCGGTCAATGATGGTGATGATGGGGGCGATGAGGGCGCCGGCGCATGCGGCGCTTGTCGCATCTGCGCCCAGGCGCCAGACGAGTCTGTCGGTGTTCCATTTGGATTGCGGCTGTGACTGGGACGCGGATATCATGGCAATGGGGAGGTGATGGCCATCTCTTGTGTTTGTGTTTGCGTTTGTGCCTGTGGTTGTGGTTGTGATTGCGCTTGCGATGGCGGGCATGCGCGAGGCTAGCGACTGTGACACCGAGTCGTCGGTCTTCATGGGGGAAAGAGTGATTGAGGTCGAACAGGAAGAGAATTGGTCAAGATGAGTGAATACAGAGCTGCGAGCTTTAAGATTGGCGTTATAGAGCTCGATTGGATTGGATTGTTGAGTGGGCAGATGCAGGTCAGTTCATCAATCTATCCATCGTCTGATTCTGATGTCTTGAGAAGTACGGAGTACAAGAAGAGTTGCGGTTGAAGGTTTATCCACGTCAGCTTGGATGTTGCACCGGCAAACCTTGGAAGACTCAATTGCATCAAATAATCTCAGTAAACAAAACAAAACTTCAATAAACAAACATTCAAGAAGGGCAACCAAAACACAGTCACGCAGTCGAGCGCGATGCACGGAGAAGTTAGTTATTCAGCCTGGCATCGATCCCGATATGGAAGCCGATACCGATGATAGGCGATGGCAGCCAGCGATCGAATCGCAGGCCAGGAATTAGCTGCACACTCATGATACGGGCTGTGAGTGGCCAGCTGCAATCCGGGCCCCGATCTCGGAGCATGGGGGGGTTTAAATGAGTAAGTACATCTAAGCTCCAGCGGCTTGGATCGGTGAAGTGCTAACAGCTTCGCAGGCTAGGTACATCGGTAGCTACAGTATTACTGTAGCATTTCCTGCGCAACAGGGCGACAAACGGATCACATGGAAGCTCAAGTCTGTTGTCCGTGTGTCCCAGTCGAGAGAGTCAGAGCTCCCGGAGCTTCGGCGGCTCGGTTCCGGTCCGCGAGTGTGGGTATGATTCCCCCTTCTGTTTTGTTTTAGAGAGCACTGGAGGGAGGGGCATCACGATAAGGGGCAAAGAGTGACAGGGGACTTGCTGGCGGGGGTGGGTACTAACGTGAATGACCCCATGGTACAAGACTGACACGCTCATCACATGCGTCGAGCTTCGTCATCGGCATGTATCAAGGATATCGGACATGGCAGATGCACGTAATCTCGAATTAGGTGCCTTAGCATTATCGATTAGGCTCGGAGTCACTGACCTCCAGGGCGCCTCATCTCTCTTCTCCCATGTCGGTATCAGGACTCAAGCTTACAAACTTGCAATGCTGTTAGTACCCAAGGCAGCAAGTAGCAGCCAAGAACTGAATTGAATCCATTCCCCCCTGCGTTGACTGCTGTCAAACTCTGACAGACACACCGATCTTGGGCACATGTACCGAATACTGAGCCACTCAGTGCCTATGCCGGTGCCTAACCGGTAGTGCTACCTGGTGTGGCTTGGCTGAGCGTCTAGCGCCAGGTACAAGCACGGGAAGCTTGGTGAGGTCGGGCGCCAATTGAGCCACGGCCACGCATCACCTCCAGCCCATCCCATCCCATCCATCCATCCCTTGTTGTCGACGTGGCTCGCGGGTCTGGTGGCTGCGTCATGGCGATGCTTCTGGGCAACGGCCGTTTGCTCAAAATAACGCCTCACTTCTACAGGCCTGAGGGGTGAGGTAAGCATATAGGACTGTCTATCTCTTATCCTGAGTGGCTGGTGTGTACGAGCATGGCGTCCATGGCACAGCTCAACGGGCCCTTGGCGTGGGCAGTTTCTCTCCCTTCACGTCATTTGCCTCTTCTTTTAGGCCTGTCGTCTGCAAGAGACGCTCGTGCCATCTTGCGGGCAGGGCTCCTGGACCAGGCAATAGACCCGGACCAACATGACTACAGTAGAAACGAGACAGCCGCGCCATCTGGAGCAGGGCAGAGTCAAGCAACATGGATCATGGATATGCGTATGCGGAGGGGCAATTGGGCAACCGGGGCTTATTATACTGCACTGCACATGTACTCGTCGCAACTATGCAATGCTTGATAAGCGGTCCATGATGGGATCCCCGATGCCATTTATACAGAATTGTGACATATCAGCAGTATCATCATGGCACGCCGCGGCGATGCTCGGCGCATTACGGGAGCAGCGATTCCAGACTTCTTCAGGCTTCAAGTCTTATCTTGGCCACAATCAGGGTATGCGGAGAGGGGCTCGAAACAGCCTGCGAGTGGCCTTTTGCTAAAGAGCATGCGTTGATTGAGCCCACGTCTCCCCCGTGCTCTCCGGCTATGGAACCCGTGACAACACGCAATGCAATACAGCCAGATGGAGCAAAGCCTCCTGGATTGTGAGGGATTGTGAGAAAGCGGCGTCGCGTGAGAGCCAAAACGCACAACGCCGAAACTGGGGCCTTTGTCGTGGCCATGGCTGGACCAATGTATCCGCATAAGGCTGCAATGCAGGCGGGCGGGATGGAGTCTCAATATGGCGAGCCACCAATGAGACGCCTCCAGCAATACTATCGCCATGCATACGGCTTCGCTACGTGGCCAGGGTGCTATGGGCAGAGCCCGTCTCCGCAAATTCACTCCTGATGTCTGGGTTTAGTCACCATGCTGCAGTAGCCACTGGTGAAGCCCGCATATCCCATCTATGCAGGAGAATCGCGTGCATGGCTGGCGACGACCGCGGCACAATTCAAACGGCCCACCGAGCTTGCAATTGCCCTTAGATATAATGAGTGTCCAGTCGTCTTGTCATTGCTGGAGAAGTGAGATGCAAGCCCATCTTCACACCCACGCCATCCTGACTTGATATTTTTTTTTTGTTGTCTTTTCCCTTGTTCCATTTGGCGGTGGCTCGAAGTTTACCTTCGCCTTGGCCGTCTTACGACTCATTGGGGCTTAACGACCCCAACTTCCCTTTGCAACCCTTCACCAGTCAATTCTTACTATGACTCGGCGAGGTGGAAGCTCTGATGGAACGTTTTACTTTCAGGCATGGCACGTCGCCAAGGTTGTAAGCGGGGAGTCATGGCCTCAGAATAAAGGCCTGGCCGACTTTGTCGAGCAGAATGTCGGCCCCGCGACAAAGAAATGGCTGTATATCAAGGGATGCGTGCCAACCAGGGAGAAGCCCGGACTTCTCGTTCCCTACTCTGTGAGTCACCACATCCCATTGTTCGACTAATACCATGATGGAGAGTGAAGAGGAAAAGAGAAGCAACTAACCAAGCTGGGTCTTGTAGATCTGTGTCAAGTTACGCTCTCCAAAGACTGGGCAGGACCCAAAAGAGGCGGAACAGGCTCTCCTCCACTTTCGCAATGAAGAGTTCCCCAGCCTTGCAAAGACTTACTTCAATTCGAAGCTACGCATATCGCTAGACTTCTTCAATTACTACTCCGAGGGCGCGGATTTCGACGCTCCTCTGGCCAACTTTGATTCTGTCAAGACTTCAAAGAGGTTGAGGGAGAAAGTCAAATCAGCCGTCAAGTTCGTCAAAAAGGACTTTTGGGGCGACCTTGTCCATGGATTGTACGTTTCCTAATGTAGACACGGTATCTTACATCTGATGATGATGGCGCTAACCCACATCTTGCAGGGTCGATTCTTCAAAGTCAGAGTTCAAGGCGGCTCGGTTCATCAGGAAGCGAGGCAAAGGTATGTACAAGGCTATGGGGGACCCGGAGGACGTAGAGGAGAGCGACATTGTTGACATATGCCTCGACCTTTCAGACCCTGCCTCCAACCCCAACATCCTGCCTCCCACGCCGCTGCAAAACCCGCTCCCACTACCAGTCTCGCTTCCGGACACCAGCAGCTTTGCTCGTATTGAGCAGCCCGACGTGTCTCCTTCTTCTCCTACCCGACCGAGAAAGACATCAGAGATCTCCGACATCACCGTTGGCTCTACAGATACGCGTGCTACCGATGCTAGCTCTGTGGGCTCCGTCGAAACCGCGCAATCTTCAGTCGTTGCTGAAGAATCCTCCTCTTCTGAGTTGCAGGATGCAAAGGAGGCCTCCTCCGAGTTGGCTGTAGTGGCCGAGGAAGAGGAAGCATCCACGTCTCCGGCTGTCGAAGAAGCAGAAGTCGAAGCTGCAGTCGAAGTCGAAACCGAAGTTGAAGTTGAAGTTGACGCCGAAGCTGATGCTGAAGTTGATGCTGATACCGAAGTCAACGCTGAAGCTGAGATTGAAGCTGAGGTTGAAGTCGAAGCTGATACCGAGGTAAATGCTGAGGTTGAAGTTGACGAAGTTGAGGCAGAAGTCGAGGCTGAAACCGAGGTTGAAGCTGATGCTGAAGTTGATGTTGAAGCTGAAGTCGAGACCGAAGCCGATGCTGAAGTTGAAGTTGAAACTGAAGTTGACGCCGCAGCTGATGCTGAGGTTGATGCTGAGGCCGAAATCGAAGCTGAAGTGGAAGCTGAAGTAGAGACTGATGCTGATGCTGAGGTTGAAGCCGAAACTGAAGTTGATGAAGTTGAAGCCGAGGTTGATGTTGATGTGGTCGATGCTGAAGTTGAAGTTGATGTGACGGCCGCAGATTCGTCAGAATCGTCATACCGAGAGACCGCGACTGAACCTGCCGACGCTACTAGTGCTCCTGCAACAACCATCACTCCTTCTTCCGGCGTCGTTGCCACCAGGAGAAAGATGAATTATGTCTCACCTCAAGCCGCACAGACAGCCTACTTTATGGTGCAGAATAGCGGAAACTGGCTTCGCTACCTCATGGCCAACCACGGCCAGGGTGCCCAAAAGCTGGGATCTACCTTTTTCGACTCGCCCATCATCCTCGCTACACCTCCACAGGCCTTGAGCCCGGACGGCATGACGCGTGTGTACTTCATGTCACAAGCCACGAAAGAGCAAGATGAAGTAGTTTATGACCAGAATGGACGCCCCATTCAAACTCGCAAGGGCGACAAATCAGTCAAGGAATGGGTCGTCGGAACCGCCAAGATCTCGACCCAGGCTCTCACCATGCATCTTGGCAAGCAGCTCGAGAATAGGAATGCCAGACTCCTACCAGCGCCTCCGCCCGCGGTGCGCGAGGTCGACTCGGTCGTTGGTCCCAACAACCGACTGATAGAGATGACCGATGCGCCAGGCATTCCTCAAGCTATCCTAGTCACAACGCCCCCTGTCGAGGATGTCCGGGAGGGCGATATTGTGCAGGAAGAGCACGATGACGGCTTTGTTCATATCGAGACCAACGTCCTCAACCAGCTGGTCGAGGAGGTATCTGATAATGCAGACAACGTCGATAAGAAGGGCAAGGGAGTGATGAAGGCCGAGAGGAAATCCCGTTCCAAGGGCAAGCTTCCGAGCACCAAACACAGATCCAAGACAGACAAATCAAGGATCAAGAAGACGACCAAGGTGGATCAAACGACGGATGCCGGTACAAGCGCGAGGGCACATGTCAGGTTTGATATCCCGGTTGACGCTGATAGCGTCCCGCCTCGCAAACCATCCAAGGTATATACTCCTCCTTTCAGCCGGAAATCTTGGCGAGATGTGGAGCCTCAGATTGAGCCACAGGTCATGTACGATGCCACGAGCGGATACAACTTTTTGCAAGTGGAAGACGTCCAAGTCTTTTCATTCTCGACGTCCTCCCACGACACGGTGCTGCGCACTGCTCCCGTCGCCCCCGCGGCGGTTGAGGAGGGCGAGGGCATCGGTGTCTGGTCACCTCCCGTTGTCGGCATTTTCTCTTGGATGTGGGATTATTTGGGAGGGGCGCCCAAGGTTGCTCCTGTGCATTAGTCTTTGTCTCTCAGGATAAAAAACGACGCGACAAAGGGGTGATTACTGAGGTGAGAGAGAACGGGCTCGATGTGCATCTGCGATGACATGAAGGGCATGGAAACGGGCAAACCGCCTTTGGAACAAGGGGTTTGACAATTTGGAATTATCAACGGCATTGCGATGGCGCTTGGGTCTTCTTTTTAAACACCACTTTGCACGCATCTCTTTCTTTTGTTTCTGTCCAACACATTTCTCGCTTGGGGCCAAGATTGGCATCATGCTCCCTTGCGACTCATCGTCGTCACGAACACTCGTTTATTCCCTTTGTTACAGAAAAAGAAAGAAAATACGACGGATAATGATGACGAAAGAAAGAGAAAACGATACAAAGGCAAACGAAGGATATAAAGGCAAATTGGACATGGGACTAGCATATACGAAATTACGAAACACGACATATAGGCATGGCATGGAAGGATGGGATATGGGAAAGACTTGGCCGGAAACAGATTGTAAGCCATTTATATAGATAGATTATAGCATTTGAAAAATGATTGATGTAGGCTTTAGCCTGCTTATTGGATTCACTTCTTTTATCTATACTGCATTTTGAGTTGTCTTCTAAATTGTGATCATCATTTGTTGACTTCTCTTGCCTCAAGATCAAGTATTACGAACGATAACACACTTGGCCGCAACGGAACGGGAGTGTAGATATAGTGGGTTCTTGTAAAAAAATAAGTCTATGGGGTGAAGAAGTTAATTGCAATGAATACTATCTATTTCCACATGCCAGAAAATAACTCGAATATGAACTATGCAGCGATTTCGGGTCCCAAAAGATTATCTCGTCCAGCTGTCTATATGCTTCAATGTGTGTTGTGACAGGCATCAACTGTGCTGAGGCGCAATATTACACTTGGTCTAATCCTGTTCCTTGAGAAACCAATGAATCCTGCTATGTCTGTCAACTTCCGGTGAAACTATCTAGAATACATGAAAAGGTGCAGAGCTTACTATAACATTTGCAGGAAGGTATTTGCCCCATTTCACTGCCGTCGTGCTGTTGCCAATCCAAACCTGGCCGCTCGATTCCCTCTCCACTGCCTTGACGTATTTCTCACAATACTCTTCAGTGCTCATTTTTGCGCCACCGCCGCCTAGGGCGCGTTCTCTAATAGCTTCCTCTGCGCCCTTGTAAAGAGATGTCGAAGGTAGCTGAAACCCAGTGTTTTCAGATCCAAGGTTGCTGTTGACGACTCCCGTGACAACTGTGAGTACTTTGACGCCAAATGAGGCCATCTCTAGACGTAGCGTCTCGCTCAGAATCATTACGGCTGATTTCGATGCCGCATATGCCCCTAACTGAAGTCAGAAAAAGAAGTCAACATATAATAAACCTTGCCGTTACTTACCTCCAAACGGGACATTCAAGTAACCAGCTATAGAGCCAGTATTGGCAATAGTTCCCTTCGCCTTAATAATCAAAGGAGAAAATGCTTTTATCATCGCCAAAGGGCCCCAAAGGTTAACATTAAACATCTTTCTAGCCTCCTCTTCATCAGTGTCCAGCACTGGCATCATCATTAATGCACCAGAGTTATTGCAAAGGCAATCGAGACTTCCTCCAGTCTCTTTCTTTACTGCTTCGACGGCAGCTTCGATGCTGTGTGAAGAGGTCACGTCGAGTGCAAGGAGTTGGACGTTGGGGAGGTTTGTTAAGCTTGCCATCTTTGAGATGTTGCGGGTTGTTGCAAAGACTTTTCAGCCGTGTTTAAGAAAGGGCTAAGCCTGCGCCAATTCCTCCATCGCTGTAGCCTGTGATGAGAACGGATTTCGGTGACATGTCTTAAGACGGTTTGATGTTGTAAAAAAAGAAAACTTGTTAGACAGTAAAAAGCAGAAGAGGGGAGCAGAGAAGATGGCAAATCACGAAATGAATGATCATAGTGAAAGAGTGTAATAGAGACCGCAAAGCTTCAGCAACTATCTAGAATTATATATAGTAGTTCTTATACACTCATACCAGAGGCATGTGCTTTAGAGTCGGGTCAACTCTGCGCCGCCCAACTTCAACAGATCACCAAGTTGGAGAAGAATACTGATTGGTTGCCTGAATCAGTATCAAAATGCTGACTGTAAATGACCGAAATAGGAAGTGAGGGCGAGTTATAGTTCGAAGTGTCGGCGGAATTGATTTCTCACTAACAGACAAATTATTTTCATATTAATCAAGGACTCGTATTATGCTCATTTCTTATGACTAATATATACCAACTCTTCTGGGGTTATTAAAGATTCATGTAGATTTACTCTTCGTCCTCCATCTTTTCATGTCGGCTATTTTCCACCCCCTTTTTGCTCTATAGCAAGCAGAATAGCATAGGTACATGTAGTCAGCTATCTTTGCGAACATAATTACACATCCCTGCACCTTCTAGATACTCTATATTTCCTAGTCTCAATTGGCCACTGGCATCTCTGACATGATGGCATGCTGAATTCAACCCTCCAGCTGAGCATCCTCGGGGTTGGCCTCGGAATTAATAGCCCCCCGATACTCCCCGAGCGACACCTGGAAAACTATTATAAGGGTCTATGGTCGCCTGGAAACCCCCATGGTTACTATATCTGTCCCATACTTCAAACTATGGCGCGTACTTGTGCTACGTCCGTCCGAATAGCTCAGGATGATGGTCAAACTCAATCAGAGTTAGAGTCTAGGCATTTCTTCGTTTGTTGATATGGGCAGTGAAATCCAAGCGCTTGTTGATTAGCCCTACCCTGCGCTCTTCTCGAGGGCCCATTGGCCAAGTGTAGTGCCCAAAGACGGGGTTTTCTCGCCGGCGTACATCCCAACTGTAGCAATACAGCAGACCCGGATCGTTCATATTGCCGCAATCATTGCTGCCGGTACAGTAACCATGTGGTAGAGACTTGCGGAGTTCATAACGCTTGCCGGTAACATACCAATTGTGCTGTACGCACAATATCTAAGGGTTGTCAATCCACGCTGTGAAACTCTCGGGTGAGCGTGTTGTCTCAACGTCGTCTATTGTGACGCGAGGAGGGGCGACAGATGTGATGATTACACGGGAGTTGAAACTACTGGTAACGCCAGTGTGCGCATCGTCACCGCTCGGCTCACGGACACTGGCGGCAATGTTCTTGTGTTCGACTTTGAGTGTAGAAACTTAGAATATGATATTTTGACCGTCACTCGCACTGCCAACTTGAGCCGTTCCGGTAGCAAACAACTCGGCTTCGCTCATTCTCCCCAGCATAGCATAGTCAAACTCATTTTCATCCGTCGTAATATCTCACTCCCCTGGCAGTGGATTGTTGGGACTGAAGTAGTCCACGAGCTTGACCCCTCTGAGTTCGGAATCCGATAGTGTATGTTTAGTACCGTTTTCCTTGTATCTTGCTAAGATGGAAATGACCACCGGCACCTGCATAAGACCGTTGGCAAAGAGAATGTCGGTGAGGCGATCTGGCGTGGTAGACTCGATGCTGAAGCTGACGAAACTCCAAGCCCCTGCCATTATGAAAGATTGATCTCTTGCTTAAGATTATGTGGTTTGATTATTTAAGAGATTCATGTAAAGATGGGCAATGATACGAAGAGCCTGTTATCTCTGGGGAGGCCCTCCACTTTTTATATCTTGTGCCTCAACACGGTCATGGGGCATCATGATTTGTTTCTCCTGGAGGCCCAGGCAAGAACCGGGTGCCACCGCTGCCCGAGTGATTCAAGTGATTTGAACATTCCTTGTGTGTTGTCCTCGCATACATGTGCGTGTCTCATGTCGTGGCTGAATAGTTGAGACTGATTCGGAAGCTCCCGACTTTTGCTTCACCTTGTTGCTCTGACCGACTCGTGCTCATGTCGGAAATGCAAGTAGTCGATCCCAGACGCCTTCGGAAGCCGCCTCATCGTACACCGAGGTTACACGAGCTGCACTTCAATCCAATAAAATAATAGCATTTGAGTGGTATCCTCTGCCTCCCTGCATTATAGGCCACATGGCAGGAAGATGTAAACTGCGTAATCTCGCATGCCCCTATTTCGGCTGCAAGTCTCCGATAATCGTACAGTCGAGAGTTGCCTGTTAACTACTGACTGTCAAGGCGGAGAGACAATTTTAGGCAGAGGAGACTGGAGCTAACCTATTACCCAGCCGAGTTTCTAGACGGGATAATAATATAGTTATCTGCTAATTCTCAGATGATATATATGGAGAAATAGCGGCCTATTTCTATCATCAAAGGAAGCTATCTAGAAGAGAAAAGAAGAAGAAGGAAAACAACAGAAGACATGGTCTTCTATAGCAAACGGACTACGGGGCAGTCGCGGCTTGCAACATGAGGAGGATCACGTGGATCCACACATGATTCTCAACAATATATAACCTCGAGCATGAGCCAAGGTTGATATCCGATCAAATACTTCTCCATTTTACCCATCTCCATAACAGAAGCCTCACTCAAACCAGCGCTTGGCGAAAACACTGTCTTCGAGTCACAGTTCTATTTATTCCCAAGGCTTCAATTTCGACAGTTTCATTGACAAAAGAGTTGACGCCCGTACAGGTCAATACACCTACTCCATAGAACTCTATGAGGCACCAACACAGGCCCGAAATTGCCCCCCTTCAAACTGTCTCTTTTCTACAACCCTCTCAACACTAGTAACGATGGTTTGGGCATAGGCTATATTGTGGACAGTTTGGGACGGCTATGCGAGGTTGAGAAGCAAGACAGGGATGATTTCTCTGAGAAGAACGTGGATGTCTTTCGCATGGTGCAAAAGCGCAACTACAACGCCCAGAACTAGTGCATTGAAATGGCCGAGATCGACTGGCTGCGAACGGATAATGGCGGTCCATTGGAGCAGCGAACCAGTAAAGCACTGGAATGCGACGGACTCCCTACGGCCAGAATCGCGGCGGCGGATCAGGCAGCCGTCGGGGTGGCCACTACCACGGGGGTCGTGGCGACTACACGCATCATAGCTCGCAGCCGCGATATGAATACCTGACACTGGGCAGCCATACCCTGCCCAACACGCAGTGCCGTATGGGGGCGCCCATCCTCCAGCAGATGGCTATCCAGCTTCTCGGCCGCAGTGGGCTCTAGAGCATGGCCATGCTCCTACACACCATGCCCACCCTCATGCTCCTGTTCCGCTCTCTGCGTCGAATGACCATCCAAACTACGCTCCTTAACCGTATCCCCCGTCTCAGTACCCCCAGCAGACTGCTTTCTACAGGGCAACTGACAACACCGGGGCCGTGAGCATACCAGAGACGGACCCGATCAGCTTGACTAAGACTGAAGGCACTGAGGGACAGGGCCTCATCAAGACGCATCGTAATACGCTGGGCCTCGTCACGAAAGTAGAGCTGATTCAAAAGAATGGCCGGCAATATAGCCAAGTCGAATACTTTACGATGGTATTGGCCGTCTAAGGGAGCAGAAAGACGCACTCGGTCGGCTGACCAAGTTCGAATGCGATGGTTTCGACCGTGTCACCAGAACCACCTGGCCTGACTCTCGCGAGGTCACAACCTTGTATTCGGCTCAAACCGCCTCGGCGTGGCCCGAGTCAGTCTCTATCGATGGCCTGGTCGTTGGTGAACAGTCACGGACTGGGTCGAGTCAAACGCAAAAATGTTGGCGAGCGAACCACCACCCAAACCTACCTAGGCAATGCGTCAGAGCCTAGTCAAGTTACGACACATAAAGGAGATCAGTCCAGCTTTGCATATGAGCCGGCATTGGGCTACGCACTCACCGGCGTGACCGGTGACGATGCTACTGATGCCTACGAGTACGACCCAAAGAGCGACATCGCCCGTGTGCTCAAGAGCGCATACAGCACCCAGGACCTGAAGCATTTCCCATCCAGATTCTTGGAGAATGAAAATATCAGGCTTAATGAAGGCGGGGCATTCTCCACTGCATATAAGCATTCCATGGCTAGCAAGTTGCAGGCCTACACAGACGTCAACGGGCCGCGCCATGTGGTGGAGTATGACTCCTTCGGGCGTATGAGGCAATTCAGCCAGGGGAAGCTGGAGGTTTCTTTCTTCTACGATGAAGTAAATCGCTTATCAGAAAGCCAAGTACATGATGAGGGGGGGCAGCAGCAGCATAACTACGCGTCTAGCCTACGACGATTTTGGCCGGGAGACGGAACGTATCGTCCTCCAGGCCACAAGGGCTTTATATCGATTAACACAGTCCTATGGGAGGACTAGTTTAGTAGAGACACGCCATCTTGAGGATGACAAAGGAAAGTTATTACGAGACGAGACCTTTGAATATGACGAAAATAATCGTCCGGTCAATTACACGTGCCAGGGGAATTTGTCACCTACTGATGAGCACGGGCGGCAGCTCAAAAGCCAGCGCTTCACTTTTGATGCCTACGATAATCTCGTAGAGGCTGTGACAGGCTTTCAGGATGGCAGCCAAAACACTGCTAGTTATTCGTTCAGCAGCCGAGATCCAACTCAGCTGACCGCGGTGACTAACTCCAATCCCGAGCTGCGACCGCGAATCGAACTTGAGTACAATGCCAATGGCTGCCTGACCCGGGACGAACAAGGCCGCTCTCTGGAGTATAACAGTAGAAGTCCTTTGATGGTAGTACGCGATATGGGCGGTGACATCATAAGCCAGTACCACTACGATACCGCCGGACGGCTCGTCTGCCAGTCTGTTCCTGGACAGGCCGATCACCATCTGTTTTACCGAGATAAAAAGCTCATTGCTTCTCGGACGGGAGACCGGAAACTTAGCTATTTATGTGACGGCGAAGGGTACCTGGGTCAATTTATCCAAGACGGCGATGGTTCTACTCAGACCCAGCTGGGGTCATCCAACGGCTACGGCTCTGTGCTTGCCTGGATCGATGGACAACAGCCAGACCGGGTTCACCACCAGCAGTATACACCCTATGGCTCCGGCAATATTGGGACCTCCATCGGCTTCAATGGGCAGTGGCGAGACCCTGTTACTGGGTGGTACCACCTTGGCAACGGCTACCGCGTCTATAACCCGGTACTGATGCGTTTCCACCCGCCAGACTCGTGGAGTCCGTTCACCTCGGGCGAGATCAACCCTTGCGCCTACTGCTTGGGTGACCCGGTCACCTGCGTCGATCCTAGCGGCCACTGGAGGTTTCTCAAGAAAATAGGCGCCTGGTTCAAGAGGAGCTGGAAGATGGTGGTCGGCGCAATCATCGCCGTTACAGCAAGCATCGTGGTGGGAGTCATGACGGCCGGCCTCTCTGTAGCGGCCCAGATAGGGGCGAGCACTGCAGCCGGGGCTGTGGTCGAAGCTGGCTGGGGTGTTGCGAGCAACGCAATCGACGGCAATCCTATCACCTTTGGCTCGGTCTTTAAAGATGCCTTGGTTGGTGGTCTCGCCGGGGTCTTTACCGAGTCTGGTGTGCGTGCCATGACCGGGGGTTCAAGGCCTTCAAATCGGCCACCAAGGGAGCTTTCCAGGGGCTCGCTTTCTCCAATACAGCCGTCGCTCTCGTCATGGCATTGGCGACAGGATCATGGCCGTTGTTCGAGTCGCTCGTACCGAGTCCCGAGGAGATAGCTTTTGTCCGGTCCGGCAACTCGGGTCTGGGCGATATAGGGTCTTCGACGGCGAGAGACACAATCCGGCCCGCGCTCAAGAACAGCGACAGCAACGACCACAGCGGCTTCCCGATGGCGGAACCCGGTTCTACTTCGTTCCTGAGCTCCGGCGGGGGAGAGGCGGTCGCGGATGTGCTGAACTTGGAGCTCAGATGCGTATTCCTCTCGGCGCGTTCGTCGCAGTACAAGCGGCAGGACGCGGGCAACAGTTGCCTTGATATCCTTGAATAGATGAGGAGCACCATTCAGAATCTTAGACTGGACATACGGGGGCTGGGGCCTGCAGATTTGAAAATAATACGCAAGTAGTTAGTTGACAAGTCAACTTGTCGATTTTTTCTAATCGTTTAGACCAACTGCCACTATACTATATAATTACCAATCTAACAATGGGAGAGTTGGTAACAATAACAAAGCTAAAGCCTTCTATCCATGCCTCTTCTGTAATACTAACTGCACGTATTCAGTCGAAGCTGTCATAAACAGTTTTGTTTTGAGCTCCCGGCCAGTGACAGAGACATGTAAATATTTGGCGGTGACCCATTTGCTAATTTACTGCTCTGTATGAAGAATTCACTACTGAACTCCATTTCACATACAACATAGCTGATGTTATCTGTCACATCAGTTTTGGAACTTTGAACCATGAATCAGGCGACTGAATCCCAATCTGAGTAACCAACAGGAGTTCTAATGTAACCCTATCTTTCCAATTCCTTACAAACTCCTCGGTAAACGACATTATAATCTTTTTCATACATGTACCATACTAATCTAAAATCCCATACTAATCTTAATATCCACAGTGAAAATATTGATATTTCACCATGGGGTTAGTCAATAGCCAGGGGCCAATGTCTTTGAGACAGTAGCAGAGTTGTAGACTAAAATTCGCCTTTTTGTGCGAGACATACCTCTCAGCGTGCAAACATTATTCTACCAGATCTATTGTTACATTAGTATCAACAGATTACTCATACGCAGCATTCCCGAACCCTTTTTAGATAATCAATTGGGGATTATATGACATATTCCCGAGGAACATGAATGCAATCAACCTATCTACGGATAGCTGGGTGAAGGGACCGTAAACCGAGGGTTTCGTAAGACCATGGTGACAAATACAGCTAATGACCAAATATAAACGAATGTTTCTGTATATAAGCAGTATCCGCCGCTTTCAATTCCCCTCAATCTGCATCGACAGAGATTCTATCACCTCACCATAGAATAACATTTTTCCAAAACTATCTTTAATCTGAAGAACGTGGTCCGACACCATTTTTCAATATGACTTCTACAGAGCACACTGACGTTTTAGTATGCGGTGCTGGTCCCGTTGGGCTACTAACTGCCCTGGGACTCTCGCAACAGGGCATTGACACTTTTCTCATAGGTTTGTCATTTTCTAATACAATATTATATGTATTTCACGAACAGAAGAAATATGGATATAATATGTGGTCCAAAAGCTAAGACTTCGATGACAGAAAAGAGAGAGCGCGCAACGCAACAAATGTTTGGCCGTGCTGCAGCTTTATTTCCTCGATCTGTGGAATTACTAGAACAGATTCATGTTGCCCAAGACGTATTACAGACTGCCTTTATTGCCCGGCAAGGGGTTACCTTCAAAGATGGTAAACGCATAACGAATAGAGGCTGGCACGTAGTGTTGCCTACTGTAGCCAGCAGTTTTCATAACTACGCAGTCAACATTCGTCAAAAGCACATTGAAGATATCCTCGCACACAAATACAACTCTGATTATGAGAAGTCAGTTCATTTTGGCTGGGCAATTACGGACTATGCAATTGACAAGTCACTCGACGACGGCTACAATATCACGGCCACAATTACCCATATTTCCCTGGGAAATCGAACAGTGCGGTGGTACGGCAATCAATTCTTCCTATTGTGTTCAATCATCCAGACTGCTGAATAACTTTTGATTAGTAAATACCTCGTTGGAGCCGATGGTGCTCAATCCAGCGTCCGCCAGTTGGCTGGCGTTGCAATGGAAGGTGATGAAACCACGTACAAGTGGATTCGCATCGATGGCAAGGTAAAAACTGACATGCCAGATCATAATGCCGGCTATGCTGCCATTGAGAGTAATACCCACGGTACCGTCTTGTGGATCAAATTAGATGGCGACGCACATCGGGTTGGTTTTGCTATCCCACCCCATCTCCAGGAGAAATACCCAGAGGGACCAAATGAAGCGGAAGTTATCAAAGAAGCTATTGGTGCGGTCCTTGCGTTCAAACTCGAGTTTGAACGCGTTGACTGGTGGACCTATTACAGGTAAGCACTATCTAATAGGGTAACTGTATCGCTAACATCGATGTTACACTCTCAGCATCAAACAGAAGGTTGCTTCGACGATGCAGAAGGACAATTATGTTCTTCTTGGCGGTGATGCCGCCCACACACATTCCTCAGGCTTAGCACAAGGCCTTAATACTGGTATCCATGACGCTACCAACCTTGTGTGGAAATTAGCTGGAACCCTGAAAGGCTGGTATAAAGATGATGTACTCTCTACATACGCGTCCGAGCGGCGTGAGATAGCCAAGAGGTTAATTGCCCTGGATAAACTGGTTGCTGCGACTATATCGGGCGACATTCCAGTGGCTTATACCCAGAGCGAAACCAACCCAGATGAGGTATTGAAGAAATTGATTCTGCAGAATGCTGGATTTACAACCGCTCTAGGGATTGAATATCAGAAGTCTGTCATCAACAAAGACACCAATATAGGAAATATTGTGGCAGGCACTCGAGCTGAAGACTCCCTGATTTACCAACCAGGCCCATTGGTGCCTATTCGCCTGCATTACCTTCTCAATGAAGAGAGCCAAGGTCGTTGGAGCGTCTTGATATTCGTGGGCCATGCCTCTCGGAATGGTGGTAAAATCGCGGCTCTACGCACAAGATTAGCTTCTGATATGGGCTACTTAGCTGGAGCTCCATTCTTGAACATGTTGACTATAGTTGCCGGCTCGATACCGGGCGCTTGGGACGCCTTCGATGGGCCTGCTGTGGGCAAACTATACCTTGATAAAGATTTCACAGCCCACGATCGTTACGGTATCACATATGAAAATGGAGGAATTGTTGTTGTGAGACCAGATGGAATATTGGCATACAGCTCTCCACTTGATGGATTGGACGATAGCAAGGAGTTCTTCACGGGATTTTGTAACTCGATTTAAGGAAAATCTTCCAACCAGATAAATTACTGGCCGAGAAAGGGGACGTTATATAGGAAAAAGCTCATTCGCTACTACTCACCAGATGTCTCCTACGTCTCGTTAAAATAATTATAACCTCGCCCTCACCGGTTCCTGATACAGTTCCTCCGACTTCTCCGCCCCTTGTTTCATCATCTCGGCCGCAATGTTTCGTAAATCAGGTTTCCTCAGCTTCCCGCTCGCCGTCTTGGGCCACGCCTGAAAAGCAGGATGTGAGCCCAGCCAAATGACGTATCGTGGCCGCTTGAAGTACGCCAGCGTCTCAGAGACCCATGCGCGGAGCTCGTCGTCTGAAGGCCTGTCCGTGTCTGTTCCCGTAGGCTCGACAAAGGCACAGATTTGCTCGCCGTATTTGGCATCGGGGACCCCGATGACAGAGGCCTGTGCAATAGAAGGGTGAGCGACAAGACGTTCTTCTATCTCCAGAGGCGAAATGTTTTCGCCGCCGCGGATAATCATGTCCTTGATGCGGCCTGTGATGACGAAGAAGCCGTCGGGGTCAAAGTAACCCTCGTCGCCCGTGTGAAACCATTCTAGGCCATCTTCAGGAGAGATTCTATGAGCCTCTGCGGTGCGCTCAGGATTTCCATAGTACCCTGCTTGGATGCCATTGCCACGGAGGGCGATTTCGCCTCGTTGGCCTCGAGGAACTGTCTTGCCGGTAGAAGGGTCGGCTATTCGGGCAGAGAAGCCTGGGAACAGGCGGCCAGAGGTGACCGTTCGCTGAGCAATGGTATCAGAATCACGGGTCATTGTGACAATGGACGAGGCTTCAGTAAGGCCCCAATTGGTGTGCGTTTGGGTGATGCCAAAGGCGGACCAGACTTTGCGCATCAGCGGTTCAGGGACGGCAGATCCAGACAGAATGGCGAAGCGGAGGCTAGAGAGATCAAACTCCTTGAAGCGAGGATGAGCCATTTCGGCGACGAACATAGTTGTAACGCCGTACAGACCGGTGCAGCTGTACTTGGCGATGCATGACAGTGTGGCCTCGACGTTAAAGATGCTGGCGGGCAGTATCAGCGATGCTCCAAAAGCAGTTGCAGTGGCAAGGCCAATGATGAGACCGAAGCTGTGGAATAATGGCACCGGCAGGCAGATGCGGTCTGAGGCTTTGAGATACATGGTGCTGCCTATGTAGCGACCAGCATTGTAGATGCCGCTGTGAGTCAAGGCGGAGGCTTTGGGGAGGCCTGTTGATCCACTGGTGAATTGTAGATTCATGACATCTCTGGCATGAATTTTGGCTTCCATCGCAAGCAGATTAACCGCACTATTGCGGCCGCGAACAAGCACGTCTTCGTAGTTATGGTAGTCGTTGTACCCTAGCTTGACGAGAGCAGGCTCTTTATCGGCATTTACTATGATGATGTTACGTAGAGATGGAATGCCACTTCTCAGATTCGGGATCCAATGGCGGTAATCATAGCGGTCGAACCGCGGGACCATGACGAGTGTAGAAACGCCGCATGATGACAGGACGGAGTGAAGCTCCTGCTCGCTGTAGGCATAATTGGCCAGCGTGACGGGCGCGCCAATCTTGGTGCAGGCGAAAAAAGTCTCGATATATTCAATCTCGTTGCCCATGAGGATAGCGATGCGGTCACCTTGCTTAGCGCCCAAGGCAACGAATCCACGAGCGAGATCATCGGATCGAGCATCAGCCTCGGCATAGGTTAACGATTTCTGCTGGTGATCTGAGGCAACGAGCAGAGCGGATGGCCGAACTTTGGCTTGCTCGCGGAGGAGACAGCCGAATGTTTTGTGTATGGGGACGGGTTGAGCTGGACCGTGGAGGATGGAGAGGTCGGTGTTGCTGGTGGAGGACATGGCTTGAGATTCTCTGCTGTCTGCCATAGCTTGAGTGTGGCTACAGAGAGAACTGGGCAAGGAGTCGGGAAGAATCTGAGTATGAGAGAAGAGAGAAGGACTTCATGCGATACAAACAGAGAGAAGAGCTATGATTTGAGAGGAGAGAGGAGGGGGAAGTGTCTTAGAGCTGGTATTGGCCTTGGTCCGCTTCCGGGCCCGGAGGTGGGGCCGATCCGGGGTCCGGAGGCGGGGGTGAGGAGAAGCCTCGTCTTTTCATAGGCGAAGGAGATGGACTTCCTACACGTCGTCTATTGTGTCGGTGTGTTTGCATATCACGCTCAGACGTTTTTTCTCGTAAAGAGTGAACTTGCTCGCGAATCGAGGCTTGGTTGCATCGTTTCGAGGTGATTGTCGGATCGGTGCGAGAGGCGACAGGCGATAGACGACTGGGTGGTGTGGGGATAGGCGGCAACACACTAAGGAATTGGCCGAATTTGCGGAGGGATAGTCCGCAAGGATGGTTGATGGAATTGGTTGGAGATTAATGGCTTTATTTGAAGTACCCGATGGTGCAGTCATTGAAAGTTGAGAGAAGAATGGCGCGTAACGCGAAGAGACATGTGGACTTATTCGGGTCCTTCTGAAGTAGATCTAACACACATCCGACAAGTCGGCGCAAACGAATCAAACATCAATATGAATGTCCAAGATAAGATTGTTGTTGTTACAGGAGGGTAGGTTTCAATTGCATAAGATTCCTGTTGTACGTTCTGCTCTGCTAAACCAACACAATGACAGCCTGTCCGGCCTCGGTGCGGCAACAGTCAAGCTCATGAGTAGCCTCGGCGCTTCAATAGCCGTCTTCGATTTGCAGCTGCCAGCCGGTAGTTCAGATTCGCAGAAACACCGATATTTCAAGCTTGATGTGTCCAAGACGGAGCAAGTAGCCACAGCTGTGAAGGGAGTGGCAGCATGGAGCAAAGAGACAAACAAGCCCATTGCCGCGGTGGTTTGCTGTGCTGGGTTTCTCGGTCCAGCAAAGGTGAGATCTCATTTACTGCCCCTTACATAGATGCATTTGTTATTTTCAGCCGACTAATCAAGTACACAGATTCTCTCTAAAAACAACAGTCCTCTGGCACTTGAAACCTTTAAAAAGGTGGTTGACATCAGCCTCACCGGCACCGTCGACATCATCCGCCAAATCCTGCCTCACATGTCAACTCAACCCGCCGACGAAAACGGCTCGCGGGGCGTCATCATCACCGTCTCTTCAGCCGCCGCCTTTGACGGTCAAGAAGGTCAAGTCTCATACAGCGCGGCTAAGGGAGCCATCGCGTCCATGACGCTACCGCTAGCAAGAGATCTCTCGCGATGGGGGATAAGAGCAGTTTGCATCGCGCCGGGCATGTTTGATACGGGCATGGTTGAGGGAATGCCGGAGAAGGCAAGGGAAAGTTTGAAGAAGACGCTGGAGTTTCCGGCGAGAGCGGGCAGGCCGGAGGAGTTTGCGGGGATGGTCAAGAGTGTTGTTGAGAATGCCATGTTGAATGGGACGGTGATACGGCTGGACGGGGCGGCGAGGATGCCGAGTCGATTATAATCTTTAGTATAGAGATATCTACTATGATAAACCCGTTTATTATTGTTCTCGTCAATATTTCAATTCTATTTTTGCTTTTGTGTTAGATGTGATGATTGATGGAGTTGTAAATACGGTTGTATCGACATTACTACAGTCACATTATCATCTCGTGGCTACACATATTATACAAGTAAAGTTACTCATTCGAACAACGTAGCCAACACAAGTTTTGTTTAGGTGCCGTATAGCTCGTCTCGTATTTGAATGTCTGACTACCGCATTGCTTAAAATAGAGCGAGAACAAGCCATGTTGGATGGGCGGGTCTCGGCTGTCGTCTATCGCCAAAGAAACATGGATGATACCAGCAATGTCTTCAATTATGAATCAGGTGCCCTAAACTATAGCGCGTAGCAATTCTGTGGACTACATACATGTAGCCATCTGATTAATTCTGGGCGAACTTGGAGCGAAATTAGAGCGACCAAATTATCCGAGGTACATCGCAGCAGCCGTAACGAAATCGGAATATTCAGCTCTGTTTTAATCGTGATAAGACATGCCGCTTCTCAAATTACAATAAAAATAAACCATCTACACAAGCATCACAGGAAACGACAGTTCCTTCTCTTCAAAAATCATCGAATAATAATATATCACAATGCCTGGCTCACCGTCCTCCTTTGTTGTCGGGGTTGGCATGACGCCGTTCCTCTCCCCTAAAAAGTCCGCCAGTCTCGCGGCCAACCCACAGTCAGACTATCTTGATCTCGCTGTCGAAGCTGGAGTCAAAGCCTTGCTAGATGCTGGCCTTACCTTTGACAAAGTAGACCAAGGCATAGGATGTTATGTCTTTGGCGACTCAACATGTGCCCAGCGCGTCTTCTACAGCTTGGGAATGACGAGTATTCCCATCCTCAATGTTCACAACTATTGCAGCTCTGGGAGCACTGGTCTCTGGCTAGCAAATCAGGCCATTCGTTCCGGTGACGCAGACTGTGTCATGGTTGTTGGATTCGACAAGATGTATCCGGGAGTGCTTCCTCAGACACACAAGGACCGCACGAATCCCCTGTCGCGCGTTCTTGACCTATCCAAGACACAGATACCCGAAGCGGACCGTAATAAGAAATCGCCGGGCTGGAGTCCACAGCTCTACGCCAATGCTCAAGCAGAGTACCTTGACAGATATGGGGGGCCTGGTGGCGCTGAGAGGCGCGACTTTGCACGCATTACGGCTATTAATCGAGAGCACGGCACTCGAAACCCTTACTCTCAGCTGTCGAAAGCTGTTTCAGCTGATGATGTATTGTCCAGTCCAGTGATTTCTGGAGACATTACACGTCTTCAGTGCTGCCCCTCGTCGGTAAGTGACGAAGAGCCAAGTTTCCACGCTGTCGTTTTGACTGACGACATATTGCTTAGACGGGTGCTGCAGCCGCGGTTATTGTATCTGAATCCTTCTTGGCTGCTCATCCCTATCTTCGAAGCACAGCTATCCAGATCGCTGGCCAGTCCCTAGCCACGGATTCCTCCAAATTCTTCGAGTCGAAAAGCGCAGTTGAGCTTATCGGCTCTGACATGACGCGAATTGCATCAAAGCGTGCTTATGAACAGGCAGGCATCACACCCAAGGACGTCTCCGTGATCGAGCTGCATGACTGCTTCACCACCAACGAAATGTGTGCTTTAGAAGGTTTGGGGCTGGCCGAAGAAGGCAAAGCATGGAAGCTTGTTCGAGACGGCCTCATCACATATAATCCAAAGGGGAAAGAGAAAGGCTGGATTGTGAATCCGAGCGGAGGGCTCATCTCCAAGGGACATCCGTTGGGTGCCACAGGCTTGGCACAATGTGCAGAGCTAGGTAAGTTATTTTAAGAACTTGATCATCTCATCTCGAAGCACATCATCGCTGACAAGATCATGTAATTGTCAATAGTCTGGCATCTCCGTGGATGGGCAAAGCGTCGCTCAGTCGCATCGACACGGTATTGCCTCCAGCATAATATGGGCATGGGCGGCGCGACAGTGGTGACGATATACAAGAGGATAGATGGGGAGACCGCACCGAAGATTGAGGATACGAAGCCAGAGGAAGATGGACGCAGCCGCTTGGGTTACAATCCTGCAGAAGAAGCGCGATCAATAAGCCGTGAAGACTGGGCGAGTGTGATTGCACAGGGAGAAGCAAGTTCGGCATGGGCAGCGGCTGAATTGCCGTGGAATTTGAACCCGGGAGCTTATAGTACCAGAGCCAAGCTGTAAAGATAGAGCAGAGGCAGAGGGTTGTTCTTATATTGAATAGAAGATGAAACCATTGGTTGTGTGGTCATTAATGCGTGTATGTATAACACAAGATGTAAAGTAGTAATTGAATGAGGGATGTCGAGATACAGGTATGTTGCTTCAAGGTTCCATGCCAGTGCACCTGCAAAAGCTTGCCCGCCCGGGCTGCAAGACCGTACGACCGCGCTATAATGGTGGACGTTATAGTGGCCTTTAGCTGCTGTTAGCGGCCCACTCCCCTATAACGCTGTCTCCTCCCCCGCATTTCGCAGCCTGGGGCATTACAGACTGGAGCTCTTTCCCGGCTCAGACAGTTACATCCATGATTCTCTCTCATCCCCAGTCTACCACTCGTAACTCACCATCATCGTCATAATATGTCCACTCGTACCGGAATTGTCAGGCGTCAAAGCATTGCCCTTGGCCGCTCTGGGCCCCGGTCCAAAAACGGATGCGCAACCTGCCGCCTCCGAAGAGTTCGCTGCGATGAGAAACGACCAACTTGCAGCCACTGCGATAGACTCAAGCTTGAGTGCACGTATCAGCCTCCTCGGCCTCGACGCAGTCAAAGAAGATTGCCTTCCCCTGACGAAAGTTCGGTGAGCTCTCGACAGGACGCAGACGCTGATGACGAATCCCGGAGATTCAGCGTGGTCGACGAGAGTAGCGAGGGGGCCTCAATGCCGTTGTCCTCTTTCTCAGCTGCAACTCCATCACGCCCAAGTAATGACCTGCGACATATGCAATCCATTCTCTCTTCTGACATCAACGATCAATTCGATGTTTCATCTGAAAATCCAAATTCAGGTGGCCTCCCAATGGCATCCTATATAACTCCAACAACTGCCTCAGCGCTGGATATCGGCTCTACCTCCATACCTTCAGGAGACCATTCAGGGGAACTCTCTCAATCGCCTTGGAGTCCCAGCTGGATTGATAGACTACCTCTCCCTGACTCGGCATTTTCATTCACTTCGTTGGGATTCACCAGCGCTCTCAGCCCCAATTTCTTCAACTCTGATCAAACATCGGCCCGGCGTGGAGGTGCTCTCTCTGAAGTGGACAGCAGCACAATTATTACAGCCTCAAACGTGGACGGTAGTCCAGGCATACACACCCTTATACAGGGCAACTCTGACGAACAACCTGCCAACGTGGACGGGCAGGAAGAGAGTGGGCAAGTGAGCAAACCGGGATACAAACCGGCCTTTGCTTTTTCACCACCACTTCTATCAGACGCTCAGGAAGAGCTGCTTCTTAAAACATTTGAGTGCGCAATTCAGCCCCCTGCCTCTCTTGCAAGCATCCACCCTTTGGGATGGCCAAAGATCAAGCGTTACGTGCTTCACATGGCCAATGGCAAGCATACCTCGATAGAATACGGAGCTGTCATGCATGCCCTTGCAGCTCTCAGTGCCATGCTCTTCGAGCCTAGCCGACCAGCTGCTTTAGCTGCCTTGGGAAGCCGTGTATCAACCTGCCGCGATGACTTTGGCCTTTTGTCTTTAAGGTTGCATGATGTTGCTTGTGTCGCACTCAAATTGAGCCTTTCGCATGCGGGCTGGGAAGAGCGAAGCAGCCGAGCTCTTCTCGTGGCCATTTTCTTGCTGGCTTGGTTTGAGACGGCCTACGATGGCAACGATCAGGTTCGGCCCAGTTTCCCAGAGGATATCGCCGAACAAGTCATTGTCAATGGTCGATGCTGGGATGCCGGTTCTGCAAGCCTTTTCCAGTGGCTGGACTCGTTTGACGCCAAGATGTCTCATATGGGTGGTCGTCATCTTCTGTCTGAGCCAGCTTTGGAAATCATCAGGAAGCCACGCCCTGGAGTTGCCGATTCAGCAGGCATGGAAGTTGCAGATGGTGATGCCCTCAGCGATATTGACGGGATATCTACTGCTGCTACCGCTGCCCTAGTGATGAACAGGAAGGGTGAAAATGTCAATATGAAAGCTCGCAATGGTGGCTCAAGACTTGCTACGCTATTGGCAGAGCCGCCAACAATTCCCAAGAATGTGGTTTGTATGGGGGTTTTCAACATCCTACTCCAGCCAGCCTTTGAATTTCACATGGCGTCTCAAGCATACTCACGGCGCGTTGGCTGCCACGATCGCCACCACCGCCCACGCGGAACCCCTGAAGATGAGCTGGAAGTGATGAAGGCATGCATGGGCTTTGAAGAAGAATTGGAAGAGCTATGGCGACGTCGGCCCAGCATCCTAGACCTCGATGCCTCACAGCTACGCCTTTTTGTGAGCGATAACATTGCCCGCAGGCTAGAGCAGCTATTCAGCGTCTACATCGCGACCTTTTGGGCTCATTTTATATACATCCACCGTGTGGCATACTGGACTTTGCAACACACGCCTATCGCTCTCAAGGCTTTGACGCAGACAGGTAACATGATGCGTCGCAGCGTCGGTCAGCCTATACACCAGCACGCTTTTGACGCGAGCATCCCACGCACAACCTCTACGGCTATCCATCCTGGCTTGATGTGGGTGTGCTTTTTGTTTGGCTGCGAGGTGTCTGATCCTGTGCAACAAGAATGGGCCGTGTTGCAGCTGAGAGCTCTAGGTCGGCTCAGCGGCACAACTCAACGACAGGGAACTGCGCTTGACAGCACCGAGGGAGACGGATTGCCTATTGGAGGATTAGACCAAAAGGGGGCGCAGACGGCTTTTAAGGTGGCACGCCTTCTCGAAGTCATTATTGAGCGCCAGACTAAGCTGGGCGCTCGTGTGGATGGAAAGTACTTGAGCCAGGAGATCTTTGGCTGCCATTTCTACATCATTTAAATAATACAGGGTACACCCATGCCATTATACGCTCCAAAGTAGCTGCAGGTGACACAGTGAGACATGTCCAACTCAACAATTCTCATCGGAGGCGAAGGGGTTCGTTCTTACCGAGACCCCGAAGAGACTTTTCGAAAGAATCTCTTGACGATAGGCTTACTCCAGAGCCACGCGACTGGCTGGTCAAAGCACGAGTCTTTCCCGCGCCATCTCCGCAACAGAAACTATCTACCGGATCCCGACCAGCGCTATTACAACGCCATCCCCACTAACTCCATTGTCACGCTGCTCCCATTCGTCCTCGCCTATCGTCTACCGGCTAATCTCGATGCCAGTGGCATTTCCCCATGGGGAGAGAATGTCCTAAGCAAGGGCGGGGAGAGGAAACACGGCAAGGGCCTGCATGTCTTACTTCTTCCGACTCTCGTGGAATGGTGGTGTGAATCAAGACTCTATCCCAGCGACTCTTGAGCCTGGCTTTGGTATTAACGTAAGCTTTGTCTTACGCTTTTGGTCGTTATTCCGTTTATATATGTCGTCTGATTCTCCCTGCGTTTGGTTGGCAGACGTCTCCCGAGCCTACAATTCGAAAGGCGTTGTTGGTTTGCATCCACCATCACCACTTTTCATTAATTATACCCAAGTTCTCATCATCTTGAGTCATTAGCCATGACAGTCATGGATGACGAAAAGCTTCCAAAGACCATCGAGGATGGGACCAGCTCCCATCTCGAGCGTACGCAGGAAATTGATCCAGCCATTGAGAAGAGGCAAGTCGTTATCTCCACGAAGACATGATGATCGACAATGAGAGACTAACACAAGGCGGCTGTTGATGTTTTTAGGATCGTGCGTAAGATAGACTTGAGGCTGATGCCTTTTACCGTCTGGATCTATCTCCTATGCTACATGGACAGGTCCAATATTGGTATGCAACTCTTTTCTTTCGTCGCCAAAATCTTACTCTCGACTAATAAGCCATCAACTTAGGCAATGCCAAGATCTTGAATGCCGATGCGGGCCACGACTTGCTAGATTCAACGCATATGACGACCAAAGAGTACACCATTGCCCTCATGGTCTTCTTAGTGGCATATTCCATCTTTGAAGCACCAAGCAATCTCGCAGCCAAGGCTTTACAGCCCAATTAGTAAGATCGATACCTACATCATGTTCTCGAAACCCATCATTGATCTCTCTGCTAACCACTGTACGTGCCATGAAGTTGGCTGGGCTTCTTGGTCATTGGCTTCGGAGCCTTCTGCACAGCCATTGCCGGGGCGAACAGCTTCGCCAGCACATCGGCCCTACGATTCTTCCTCGGTGCCTTCGAGGCGGGCATTTTCCCTGGCATGGTGTTTTTCATGAGTTTTTGGTACAAGGCGGAGGAGCGAGCAACTCGGATTGCATTGTTTCTATGCAGCGCTACTTTAGCTGGCGCATTTGGCGGGTAGGTTTTCGCAAATTCATATCTTGTGCGGTCGATATGAACAAGAGAAAAGATTGTGGCTGACTTTTCCCATTCTCATAGGGCTATTGCGTTTGGCGTTGGACATATGGACGGCAGGTTGGGCCTAGAGGGTTGGCGATGGCTGTTCATCGTTGAGGGCGTTCCATCCAGTGAGTTATCCAATCTTCTGCTTCTGAAGCCGGTTATGTCAAGTCCTCTCTAACTTGATTATCACACGTAGTTGTCCTAGGAATCTTGACCTTTTTGTTCATGCCAAGCTATCCTGAAAACGCCGGCTGGCTTACTGAAGAAGAAAAGGCCATCCAAGTGGCACGCCTCGGCGTCAATTCAGCTCACGGGTATGCAAAATCTTACCAGGCAAATCAACAGAGAAAAGACTAACTTTACATAGAGAGGCAAAACTCAACTGGGAAGATGCAAAGGCTACTCTCAAGGACGTTAGACTATACGTGCATTACATCACGTACATGTGCATCGGCGTTGGCGTCTCATCGCTCTCTCTTTTTGCCCCTACCATTGTTTCGGGTCTTGGCTACAAAAATCTCCAGGCTCAGCTTTTTACGATTCCTCCTTACGCTGTTGCTTACGTCGTCACCCTTGTCTTGGCCATGATATCCGACCATAAGAAGACGAGAGGTCTCGTGGCTGGTGGATGTTTTCTCTTTGGCACCATTGCCTTTATCATTCAAGGTGAGTGCATAGTCTCTCTAGGTCATATCCTAAAGGCAGAACCGGATACTCACACATTCTTTTACAGCCTGTTTACCTGGCAAGCTATATGCCGCCCGTTATGCAATGCTTTGCATCAGCACCGCTGGCGTCTTTGCTGGTCTTCCCCCGCTGTGCGCCTGGATCTCAGACAATGTGCGAACTACCACGGCGGGATCTCTAGCCACGGGGCTCAACATTGCTTTTACAGGGCCAGGCCAAATCATAGGCGTCTGGATCTATCGCGCGCAGGATGCACCATTCTATCGCCTGGGCCATGGAATCAATGCTGGGTTCCTTGCCGTGGGGACGGTGCTGAGCTTTTCTTTGTGGTGGCACTACACGCGGCTGAATAAGAAGCTGGTTGGCACCAATGAACCCAGATGGATTGCGTAGAAGCTTGAGACGTCGATGAATGGATGAGTGATTTGTTCCTTGGTTGAAGCGAGATGTAGTTCTTTTGATGGTGTTCTGTGCACCCAAATTGTAAATAGAGTTTATGCCCTGGCGCCGATTGTGGTCGATACATCAAGGTTCCTTCATTTATACATGGAATAGTGATTCATTTTGGCCGAATAGACGGGAGTTTTGACATGTATTCAGAGTGCACCTAAGCAGGCGTAGTAAGGCTACATGTAAGTTAACCCCCATGTCAACCGTGGTCCAAGAGCTCGAGACCACCCATAAGACCGAAGTATACAAGATGAAACAAATATGTGGTAGTTTGTAATAGAATGCGAGCACTTCCTGATTGGATGTTATTACATGTAGCTAGAACCTTGATGCCGTGCACACTGGCCCTACGGTTGTCAGAATAACTACATGTACATGTACCTACAACCCACACCTCGGTAGGATTCGAAGAAGTGATCCGGGAAGTCGATTACACTTAGAGCCTGCCATTATGGCGTGAAAAGTATGAGAAGGAATACCTACCTACTAGGCATCGGAATAATCGTGGCTATCGACATATGATCTAACGCTTTTGTATATGGCGACTTGTTGACCCAGAGAGACCCTCTCTGGAAGAATACCAATAGAGACGCTCTATCCTGAGAGCGCGAAGTACTAAACCTTGGCATCATTGTGTACAATCTAGGAGAGAAATAGGTACTAGGTACTTATCCAATGAACTCCTGCGCGGTGTACGTGTGCTCGCCCTACCGGCTTCGAAAGAAGAAAGGTGAAAGAGGCTCGACAAGTCATGGTAAGTAGCACCGGATTAGTCTAGTAGATTAGACGAAGTGGAAATGACAATTGACCGCATATTCGCCAAACATTAGATTATGAGAGAGGCACTTGGCCTGAGTAGTAGCATTTATGCATACGTGAAGCCTTTACCCTCAGATCTCACCAGGTTTAAATTCAAGTTGAAGGCAAGGCACCTGATGATGGGAAATGGACACTGACTTCTCAACTTCTATGCGTTCTCCTCCATGGTGAATGGTCTTCTAATAATTGTGCAGCAGCTGTTTACTTGCATCAACCCGTTGAAGAATACGAACTCGTGGTATTGTCTGGTCTAGACTTAATGCTCGCTCTTACTATAAATTAGTCCTGGAATCTAGATTCTATATCTACTGCCCCATGACCTTAGCTACTCTTGCATCATTTGCCTACTCGCGCAATAAGCTACTCAAGGGTCTTGCGACCAGAGAAGAGTCGCAACTTTCCTGCCTGCTGTTGTCGCTTTCCATCTTGAAGTATTCTCGGTAACTTTTTGTCAGGAACGTTGTAGATGAAAAGGACTATATATTCTACGACTGCTCTGCCAACCACTTCTTTTCCTCTTCCAATTCCTCATCTTTCATCCATCCACCGCTTGAGGTACCGGTCTCGCCATCTCATTCTCGTTCATCCCTCATATTGTGTCAGAGTTTCTTTGTCCCTCGCGTAGTCTGGTCATCCTCTTTCCAACTACCCTTCCACAATTTGGCGCCCTAGTCATTCGCAGCCTCTCTCCATGGGTACTAGCCATTCAGGCTACGTATTCGAAGGCCTTTGATGGATGTCCTCCTTCAATTGAACTTTCAGGTGAGGACCCCCTATGATGACTGATTACGACTTTTTCCGAGCTCCGGCGATGAGGAGAGTAGCTTTCTGAGGGGAGGACCGCTCAGCCTTTGGCTGAATTTTTTTTTTTTTTTTTGTTTCTAGGAAGTGTTCTCGGCCTCAGACCTATTCAGGTGGTTTCATCATCGGCCACGGACAATTCAGACAATGGAACCGTCAACGCTGTACACTTGTGCAGCATCGCTAGTTTTGGTGTGCGTGGAAATGAGAGGGTGCTAAGAGCTGCTGTTTTGCTTTGCTTTGTTTTTTGTGTTTCGTCCGTGTATCCTTTTTTTTCTTTTGGCTTTGGTTTTGGCTTTTCTTCTAGACGTGGCATTTTTGGAGAAGTGGTGAATATTCTGGCTCTTTTCTCCGAGAATTTGATGTATACTACCAGTGAACTGAACAATGTGAACTCTGACATGACTCTGAAGTAACCTTGCCTTGCTGGTCTTGAATGCTGGGTAAATGCAGAGAATTCGCGTATTTGACGGCAACCAGATGTAGCCAATTGCTTCGGTGTGGTAGGTTGTACTTACATCGTGGCTGATTTGGCTCTGGACGGTGCTTAAACAGAACCGCGGGTTTCTCTTCTATTGAGGCGAGGGTGTCTCATAGCAATACGTCTTGTTCGCCCAGACAGAATGAAACAAGTCGGGAGAATTGTTGACGAGGGGACGTTTCGGGCGGAAGCGAGATACTTATACACAAAAGATGTGGATGCCATGTCCCAAGTGGATATGCCGTATCAAACCTTTCCATGATTTGATGGAAAGTTTTTCACCGTGTAAGAAATTTACCTGTAGATTGGATCAAAATACCGACCATGGCTTGAAACCCAAAGCTTTTCCTCAATTTCTAGCCCTCACATTAGCTGAAGTTAATCAGGATTCCTGGAAAGTATGGGTACCGCCTTGAAAAAACTTTGGGCTGGGAGAATCTTCCCGATAGCAGTCAAAACTCAGCCTAACAATTTCGCCGCAATGGATTGAGTGCAGTCACCCAGCCTCCGCTGCTTAAGAATCTGGTCGAGTCAAACTATGTGCGCACATTCTCATGCTCGCCGAGAGAACCCACACAAAAGCTTAGATATCGGATATTGGATAAAGACGAACTGAAAAGAAGTCCAAGAGCCCTGCGCTTTTGTTTGCACGGACATTGCAAAGAGAATCGAAGCTACATTTAGGCAATCCTGCTCTACGCACTAGAATACTGACTGAATAGAAGGTTATGCTCCGGCGCTGTTTATGGTCGATATATCAAAGTTGATCAATTAATGCATGAAAGAATACGTTTAGAATTTTAGATAAACATGCATGTAGCGTCAAATCTTTATGCAGAGTGCGCAGAAGTAAATGCAGTAAAGTTGAGCGCCAACCTAATCGTGACAAGGGTGTAAGTGAGATATCTTCAAACTTGCAAAACACCACGCAAACGTCCGCGAGATATGAGCCTGAAAAGAAATAATTAAGCATGAAAATCAGCTTCACTTCATCCGAGCAGCTCATCATTGCACTCGCCATCTTTGCAAATCTCCCCCAACTGCCGTTATCGCCACACCATGCATCCAATCCAATAGTGCGAACCACTAAGAGTAGCTGATCGACTCCTTGACAGGCTCACTGGCCAATCAATCGAATCCAGGTCACCAGACGTCATCTCAGCCCAGGCAGACAAAACCCCCCAATTCGCCTTGCATATCCTGTAAGATGCCTGTTACTATACTGCTGCATAGCATAGCCACAGGCCGCCCGTATCAGCCTCACTTGCTCCTTGTACAACTCAACTGTGCTTCTTGTTGAACTACTCGTTCTCTTCTTTTTCATTCTCTTTCTGCTAATCATCAAGCAGAATTGTTTTTCGCAAATCATCCTCTTCCATGCGCTCGCCTCGTTATTGCGCCGCCGTTGTTCATACGTGCTCCGCTCCATGCTTTCTGTGGGAGCGTGACAGTTTCGGATAGCTACCTGGCACAGCTGCGGAGTTTGCCCATGGATCCTTTCTCATCATTAAACTTGGCGAGATCAACGATTCAGTTGATCGATTGGAGTTCGAAATTGTTATCGGGAGCATATGAGATATACCATTCTCCGGATGGCCTCACTGAAGACGATGCTGAGCTGGGCGAGAGGACGGCGATTCTTCGTAGACTGGCTTTTGGTTTAGCGAATAGATCGTCGGGTCATGTCGCTGATGGCAAATGCGAGTCACTTCCGAGCCAGCCTGTCGCTGCGCCGGATATTGGCGGTGATTCTCTTGAACAAGAGAATAAGAACGCACCCCGAGAAGATGAGCCCAACGACGTGATGATCCAGCTCCTTCACCACGAGGACAACGACAAGGCAATGGGAACCGGCAACAAACTAGAAGTCGACCAAGCATACAGAAAACTCCAAAAGCTGACTTCCGAAATGAAGACCAGCGCAAAGGCCTTCGCCGCCGAAGACGTTCCACGCAGCGAGCAAGAGCAAAACCTCCAGCGCGTGGCCAAGGGATGCGACGACATCGCGAAGCGGCTCGAGACCACTCTGAAACAGCTACGCGTTGATCCCAAGAACGCAAAGTTTCGCAAGATTTCTAGCTTTCGTCAGGCTTTTGTCAAGTTATGCAGTCAAAGGAAGATTGATGGGATGGAGAAGTCTTTGGACAAGTATCGGACGGACTTGATTCTTCAACTCTCTGTGATTATGAGGTAAGGTTTCCTTTGTAACGCTGTAATTCTTCTCTAATCCCTATGTAGCGATCAGCAGTCAAGCGTCGTCAGAGAACTTCGCACCTTGAGAGATGCTAGCAGTCGTCTTGGAGCTTATGAAGAGCACCTCGACAACATCTCAAAGTCATTCCGACTGATTCAAACCCAAGCAACTGAAGACGCCGAGCAACGTCGACAGGATCCAGCAGCCTACAGGACATATAACGACGATGAAGAAACTGAAGGGAAGAAATTCAGCCTTTTCTCATTGCACAAATCTTACGGAGCTTCCGACAAAGGCGGACCCTCGCAGAGCCAGAATAACCTTGCTGTCGACGACGAAATTCCCCAAGCATTCCAATATCTGGCAGAAACGCTCCGGTCTTTAGTCACAACAGCTACCGATGTCGCCGTTGCACAACGAGTTCTAAGCGGCCTTCACTACAAAACAATGACTATGCGCATAGAAAGCGTCGTCGAAGCATACACCGACACGTACGAATGGATCTTCAAGCCACGCTGGGCCAAGAATGCAAAGGGCATCAAAGTCCACTTTGCAGAATGGCTCGCCGAAAAGGACGGCATCTTTTGGGTCTCTGGGAAACCAGGATCTGGCAAGTCAACGCTCATGAAGTTTCTCTGCGACCATCATCGCACGGCCGAAGCGCTCGCCAACTGGGCGCGGCCCCTGAATCCAGTCATGTCGACGCACTTCTTCTGGAGCTCGGGAACGACGATGCAAAAATCCCAAGAGGGTCTGCTCCGATCGCTGCTCTACGACGTCTTCAAGAAATCGCCCAAGATTATGAAAATGGTCTGCCCGCAGCGCTGGGAAGCGTCAAGGAGAGGAGAAGGCGATCTGGAGCCTTGGACGCTATCGGAGCTGCGCAGAACTTTGACTGCTCTTGCGACGTGCCATGGGCTTGGCTACAAGTTTTGCTTTTTCATTGACGGACTCGATGAGTATGAAGGCGATCATTCCGAGATCATTGCCATGTTGCGGTCCCTGGCTATTTCGCCGCATATCAAGCTTTGTGTGTCTAGCAGACCGTGGAACGTCTTTGAGGATGAATACGGCAAAAGTATCGACAGAAAGCTGTATCTCCAGGACTTGACGAGCCGAGATATACGTCACTATGTTCAGAGAAAGCTGGAAGAACATCCCAACTGGCAAGTTCTCCCGTCAGAAGAGCCTCTTTACAAGACTCTCCTAGAAGAAGTCACCACAAAAGCCCAAGGGGTGTTTCTCTGGGTATATCTCGTCATCCGCTCTCTATATGAAGGCCTTACAAATGGCGACTCGCTGCCTGCTCTAGAGCGAAGAACTCGCGACCTACCAGCAGACCTCGAGTCCTTCTTCAAACATATGCTCGACTCCGTAGAGCCATTCTACCACACACAAATGGTCAGAACATTCCAAGTAGCCATGGGCTCGACATCTCCTCTACCACTCATGATCTACTCATTCCTCGACGAAGACTTTGAGAACCAAAACTTTGCGCTCCAAATCCCTGTCAAGCAAATGCCCATGGTGGAAGTCGTCCGTCGCCAAGATCAACTGCGCAGGCGGCTTAACGGGCGATGCAAGGGCCTCTTAGAAGTCTGCCGAAACAGCAACGAAGGTCCGTACATGGGCCACCGCGTCGATTTCCTGCATCGGACTGTGCGAGACTTTCTGCGGACAAAGGAGATGAGCGACTTTCTCGCGGAAAAAGCAGGGAATCACGGCGGGCCCAACACGCTCGTGTTCAAGAGCTTCGTGCCCCTCATCAAGTCCATCCCCTGGGAGGAGGTTGACGTATCTGAGGGAGGCTTGCTATCAAGGATGCTGGGCGATGCAGTGCACTATGCCTACAAGGCAGAGCTGGAATCAGGAGAGCCTCAGATCGAGCTGCTCGACGATCTGCATCGCACGCTGAAATTTTATGCAACAACTACCGGCAAACCGATCCCGTGGTACCAGGACTGTTATACACCATCCGACTATGACACCGGCTATGCTCCGTGCCAGACATTCCTCGAGTTTGCGATCCAGAACGGCCTGTGTCTGTATGTCCGGGACCAGCTTCGCCGCGAATATCAACCACTCGAGGCTCAGCAGCCCTTACTTCACTGTGCCATTGCTCACTTGCCAGGCTATACCATCCAGGAGCCAGATTTAACCCCCATGATTCGTGTCCTCCTTGAAGAGAGGGATTCATGCCACGTAGAGCTGCTGAAACAAGATGCATGGGCGTCCTACATCATGGCATTCGTGCAGATACTGGACCAAGAAAAATCACCGAAAATCACCCAAATGATAGAGCACAGACGAGACATGATCCAACTTCTACTCGCCGTTGGAGCGGACGCCAACGCACAATGGAAAGACTCCGTCCACGTATGGCATCTTCTCCTCGTCGCAATAACTCACTCGCCTCTTCCATCTTGTCCTGCAATCATTCAAATTACCAAATCTTTCCTCAGTGCCGGCGCGAGTCTGTCAAGTCCCTTTTGGAGCGCTTCGGACGCCTTCACCGAGATTTTATTGGAGCGTTGCAGCAATAGCGAGACCACGAGTGATACTGCTTACTTGGACTTTCTGGTTCAGATTTACTGTCTCTTGATTTCGAAAGGCATGGAATTGAAGCCATCTGAAAGGCTTCTTATTCATCAAAGGCTGCCCGGGAGATTATCCGAGTCGATATCAGCGGCCATAGACCAGCAAAAGCTAGAGAAGAAGGTCAAGAGCCATGCCGCGGCAAAAGGGTCGCAGAGTTGGACGTGGACGTCTTGGCTCGGCGCGTTATGGTAACAAGACAGACATTTCACAAAAATAATAAAAACATCTAAAGAAATAATGATGGATTCAAGATACCTCGTTTAAAAAAATGCAAAAAGAAATGCCCACTATCAGAGTCGAACTGATCACCTTGTCATGTCAAGTATTTACTAGTGACACGCTATACCGCTTAGCCAAGCGGGCAAAGAGCTTTCGATGTCTGAGCTTGCTACTAATCTGTCTTATAAATCTCTCTTCGCTACAACACTTACCAACTCTGCGTTTGTAGTACATCTGTCTGGAGTAGTCACCATCGTGGATTTCGCATGCACCAGTTGTTTGACATGTTCCTCATGGAAACCGGGTAACTGTCTATCGTTCACTCTGAACAGCGCGCTCGCTTGACCGCCCGATGCCGAACTGATGTTGGGTCCAAACATTACTCGCAAGAACCAAATGTGTACCCAGTTTGCGTCCTTGCTCTCGCTCATCGTGGTGTTTTTGCTAATCCTGTTCGATGAGATGGTGTTTGTGGTGAAATTTGTCGTGGTGTTTGCAGTAGGACTGATTGATGTGCATGTAAGTCTAGTAAGATTCGATTTCGTCCTGTGGCATATTCGCAAATGTTGCTGGGTACCTTCAATGTTTTCTGGCATGAGTTGCTGGAGTTTACACACACTGTACATCCTAATTTACTGCATCGTATGCCTTCAAAACCTTCTTTCGAAACCTTTCTTGGGCACTTTGATCTCTTGAAGCAAACAAAGACAGCCTTGCTCCTTCGGGTGTCTTGTAGCGGCTGATGATATTTGATGTAAGCGCTGTTCAGGATAGTTGTTCTCGTACACGTGAGATCTCATCACGCGTACCTTCGATAAGGTCATTATCATCTTTTAAGCTACCACAAGCTCTGGTTATCATCATGAATCGGATAAACAGGCTCAGGTTGAAGCCATGTCCGACTGGTGGTGGGAGCATGTCTGGAGCGGCGAGCGAATAAGAACGCTACAGATGGATGCAATGTCGAGTGGCTTGGTGGATATAGGTGTTGCGCAAACAAAGCACCACTAGGGGGTGGTGAGGTCGAAAATTGGAGGGCCGACAGTACATGTCGTCAAGTCGCTTCCAGAATTGTGTTGATTCTGCTTTGACGATGTGACACTCATCGAACACGAACAGCGATGGTACTATCGGCAGACAAAAGTAATGAGTGAGCCGACATTCAGTCAACTAGAGAGGTATATACATGTACTTACCAGAGTTCGGATGACCTGTACTATGCTTGTCCCTTGGCTGATGACGGTTGATGATATGGCGAAGACAAATCTGCTCTGGCCTGCCGCTCGGGCGTCGTTGAGGTTGCCTTCAAACTTGACGCCTCAGACTGTCGTAGTGCAGCAGTTTCACAGCTTTGGTAGAGGTGAAATTGTTTACTGTCTCCTCGGCAATAGGGTTTGGCATCCTGCTGGGTATGGAGCCGATGCCTACCATCAGATTCGAAGAAGGGTACATGTACTGCTTGTGGTCAGCGATGGCGTCTAAGTCAGGCTTGGAGAATGAATGGCTCCCCAACTTGCTGTACACAGGCAAGGAGTTTGGTGAAAGCAGTTGTGTACCGTGAGTAAGTGTTTGTACGTGTTCCAGCAGAGTTGCATTTTGACACACGGCTTCGTGGGAACGAGATGAATAGGGTATGTAGATCCAATAAGAGGAAAAGTTGGTGTACAGTTGTGAGATTTGCCTGTTCAGTGGCGATTGAGATCTGTCTTTGCCAGTTCAGAGGCGATTTTTTCCTATGAGTTTAAATCACGCTTTGATGCTTACCTGCTTCCATTCGAGACGAAACATGTAAGTGTGGTGCCGTCTGTACACATCCCCTGAGTTGCTCTCTCGGGATCCATCTCCCAACGTGTGTTATATGTAATGTGCTGTATGATACCGAGAGAGCAAGTAGTATTCAGAGAGTGGGGGGGAACAACATGGCGAGTAGTATAAAGAGGAGATGGACAAGGAAAGATTTAGAAAGAGGAAAGGGGAGGGGAACCGTGTGTCATTAAATAAAGGACAGCTATCTGGCATCTAGCTCATGTTGACGTGTATGTTAATGCAGGTATCAGTGTTTACGGGAGCTTTCACACCGCTCTTCCATAGTGTTGTCATTCACTTGAGTCTATTGCTCTTTATTTCATCAAGGAAGTCAGTATGTATGAGACTCTTGCTTCTCGGGGATACCTACATTTGGTTGACTCATAGCGGCAACACGCATGTAAGTGCACTTATCCGCGTCCTGGCGGTGAGGATGCGTGCCGATAGTCATAGGGAGTGAATTTTACTATATTGCTTTTCCAAGTGAATATCTGATGCCTGTTTGTTCACTTCATTTCTTGTGCAATAATTCACCCATATGAGAAGGAGGTTATCTAGTAGTACTGGAATCATCTTGGAGCCCATGTTAATGTATGGGACCAGGACACTCTACCCCACCACATCCAAGCCTTATGATGAATATTTGATATTATGCAAGATTAAATACGCGCTCTGAAATCAATATTGTCTACACCACATGTATTCAACTCATAGGACAGACTGTTGTTGCTGTAATCTGTTGATAAACTTAATATTTCGTCTTGTTGTAGGGTAAGAGAATCACGTGATTAGTCATAGAGTTTCTGCAGCAACCTTGTTTCGCATTATTTACATGCCATCAATACCCCACGACAAGGAACCGTTTTTGCACCGGCATTGATTTTCGACGACCAGCAAATCCACGGCGCAAAATGGCCTACAATCCCCGAATGAGCATAATCCCGGCCTCGCAGCAACAATCGCGGTCGAGGAAAAAGGAGGAAGAGGCCGACGCGTTTATGCGGCTGCCGGACCGCGAGATTGTGGGATGCATCACCGATATTGGCATCAACTTCACCATTGCCGATCTACAGAAGCCCAATCCCGCACATGTCCAGCAAATCTTTGAGTGGTTCGCCGAACTGCTTCTAAATGCGACACGGGAGACGGTCGAGCCGGCGATGCGCGCCGCAGCAGAGGATATTTGCGGCGAGTTTGCCGATGTCATTTCGCCGGACACGCGCAATCTGATGGGCTTCTATGTGTCGCTGAGACGGCTGCTCATAGAATGTGGCATCCATGACTTTAGCTTCAACGACCTGTATAAGCCGACGTACGAACGCCTGGTCAAAATCTTCAGCTACCTGATCAACTTTGTCCGGTTTCGAGAATCCCAGACGAGCGTCATTGACGAGCACTATAACAAAGCTGAATCGACAAAGACGAGGATAGAGACTCTGTACCAACAAAACCAGGACAACGAAACTCGGCTAGAGGACATGAAAAACAATCGACAGGCTATGGAGGCCCAGGTGCGGGAGAAGACGATGCGAAACGAGGAGCTAAAAAGGCGGCTGCTAGAGCTCCGGCGAAACCAAGAAAAGGTTGCGGCACGATTGGAAGAGGCGAAACAGAAGAAAGGAGACTTCACAACCTTACTGGAGCAAAGGACACAAGAGAAGATTACGCTGAAGCAAGAGAGCGCCAAGCTGCGGCCGTATGTGCTTCAGAGCCCGCTGGCTCTCCAACAGAACCTGACGGAGCTCCGGGACATTTTAAACAACGATAAAACGCGCATCGATGCGCTGGACCGACGTGCTCGAGCGCTTCAAACATCGGCAGACTCATTTGCTGTCGTAGGATCAGATGTGGCATCCTGCATCAAAATCTTGGAAGAGATTGCGATGGAGATGGCGAGAGAGGACGAAGAGATGGCCAAGAACACCAAGCAGCGCGAGGCACTATCAGAAAGAGGAAACAATGCCCGCGAGGTGGAGAGAGCAGAGCAGATGCTCAAGCGACAGCTGGCCAAATGGACGGAGCGGACGGAGAAGCTGCGAGAGCAGAGCAACCAAAAGGCGCAAGATGCCAATGAGAAGATGCACGAGCTGCGGGCAACGCACAAGAGGCTGACGGAGGAGCTCACGGATAAGGGCAAGGAGATGGAAATCCGACGAGTGAGGATAGAGCAAACGGAGAAGAAGGTATGCATGCAGCCTCTATTTGTGCCACCATCTGGGATGATACTAACGACAGACAGATGCTTGATCTGAAAGAAAACATTGAGAACGAAGTTCATTCAGCGTATGATGAGTATCTCAAAATGGAGGCTCACATCAAGCTATACATTACCGAGATGGAGCAGACAATCGGCTAAACTGTTGAGCTAGAGAAGGTCTACATTTGCGTTACTGGGTTTGCTGGGCTATATATGTCGGAATGTGGCAATGGTATTAAAAAGGTTCACGGGCGTATATAATAACGGAGATACCACGGATTGGCGTTGAGGTTGGGAGGCTTGTCATGGAATCTTGTTTCAATGTGGAATGAATGATGATGACTATGGATTTGAATGGGAAAGGAGCGTTATTTGAATTACCTTTTCCTTTTAAGCTTCAAAGAAAATGTCTATATTTATGCTGAAATTTCAATTCTCATCTTGCTCAAACTCGAACCAGCGGCTGAGCACTGCCCTAACAGGAACCGTCCGTCCACTCCAAGTCCCATCATCCCTGACGGCAGTGCCACTCAAGACGGGCACCTTTTCATCCAGAAAATCATCCAAAAGTTGATGACCCCTTGCCCCCCTAGGTTCAGCGACAGCAGCCCTGAATGAATTCCTCGCTGCCGCCTCGACGAGATACGCAGCCGTTGTGCCGATGCCTTGGGCAGACCACTCGGTGCCCTCACGGTGAAGCTCTAAAAACCCGTAGGCGAGCAGCAGAGGAGTCTCTGTTTTGCATCTTGGGTCAGAATCGTCCAAGTTTGATAGTGTTGGAGGCGGGATTTTGGATTCTGAGGCGGAAAAGGTGCCGAGGTATGCGCGGAGATGAGTGGTGCTTGGGACGAATAAGAGGCGGATGTGGCGAGAGATGGCGGTTTGAAGGAGAGTTTTGCGTTGGAGAGGGTGGAGGCTGGAGGATGGGTTGTCTGGTGGTTCTGTTTGTGGTTTATCTTCTTTGATGTTTTCAGATACTGCTGCTGCGGTGGCTGTTGCTGATGGGTCTCGCTGCAAGGAGAGCTGCAGGGCAACGTCCTCGACGAGGCCTTCGATGAATGTCTGTTTGGGCCATCCGATGAGGATTGTTGTTGGGTATCTGTGATGAGAGATTATGTATTGGAGGAGTTCGGATGGAGTGGATGGTGAGAGGACAATGGGATGAGGAGATGGCGGCATGGCTGGTGTTTTTGTTTGCTGTGAGTTGTCATGTAAGTGATTTCACATGGATGGCGTCTGTGCGAAGGTGGGATGTTTTTGGTGTTTGCTTTAGCTCTGCCGCTCTGGTTTATGGCGATAGCGCGAGCACTTGGAGGGAATGAGTGATGATAGTATAATGATTAATAAATTTTATCTTCAATGAATATTTTTTTTTACATAAAATCAATAACTCATAAAATACTCATTCGGCATTTCAATTCAAGAGACAATGGCGTATATCTTCCATGTCTATTCTTTCAATACCTGGAAAATGCCCGTTTTAGTGAGCTGCCACACTAAACCCCACCTGGCCAGGGAGCTGCCTCACCACCAAAGCCGCACGTCATCTCTTTCTATGCCCCAAATCCTCAATCTTCCTCTCCCAACCCCCACGCGACCAGCCACGAGCCTCATTCCGGCTTCAACAACCGCTGCCAAGGGTCATTTCGCCTCGCGCAACCTTGGCCAGAGACAATGGAGTCAATATCAAGAATCTCTGGCCTCTTGGAGGCTGGTGAGCATCTGCCAAAGCCCCGCGTCCGCATCATTTTGACTTGGTGAAGCTGACCAGCTCTGTTCGATTCTCAGCAAGGGAACTCACCCTCGATGCCGCCCAGGCCACGCGAGGCGTCCGCACGAGCTCCAAGTTGCTGGACAGGAACCAGATGCGAAAGCTTCTTGACAGCCGCAACGAGAGGGAGGTGCTGGAGGGACTGCGGCGTGTCATAGCGGTGCGTTGTGCCTTTGTCGTGCGCCCATCCAGATCGATTCTAACAAGCTACTGTCCCTATAGATGATGTACCGTAACCACAAAACATTACCTTTCTTTTCATCCGTCGTCAAAAACGTCGCCTCGCCCAACTTCGAAATCAAGAAGCTCGTCTACATCTACCTCATCCACCATGCCGAGCAGGAGCCCGACCTTGCCCTGCTTTCCATCAACACGATCCAAAAGTCGCTCTCCGATACGAACCCTCAGGTCCGAGCTCTCGCACTGAAAACCATGTCTGGTATCCGCGTGCCAGTCATCAGCCAGATTGTGTCGCTTGCCATCAAGAAAGGCGTGGCCGACATGAGTCCTCTAGTGCGCAAAGCCGCCGCTCTTTCAATCCCCAAATGCTACCGGTTGGACCCCAGCCAGTCTCCTCAGCTTCTAGAATATCTAGCAACGCTGCTAGGTGATAAGCAGTATTACGTTGCTGGTGCTGCTGTGTCAGCCTTTTTGGAGATTTGCCCCGAACGGATCGATATGATACACAAGCATTACCGTGGCTTGGTCAAGAAGATTGTCGACATGGATGAATGGAGCCAACTGGCTACGCTCAAGCTCATGACATACTATGCACGAAAGTGCTTCCCTCGACGGGCTCAACCGGCTGTTACATCCGAAACCCCCCAAACGCAGACCCAAAACAACAACATTGATGATTTTTACGGGGAGTCAAGCTCCTCCAAGCCCACCACCTACTCAACTTCGGTAGACTCTGATTTGACCCTGCTGCTGAATGGCATCAGACCTCTTCTGCAGAGCCGAAACTCGGGTGTTGTTGTTGCCGTTACAAGGTGTTACATAGACGTTGGCACTCCAGAATACGTAAAGCACGCTATAGGTCCATTGGTCGCCCTCCTGAGAGGGGCTCAGGACATACAGCAAATCGCTTTATACAACATTGTTTCCGTTTGTCTTGTGCGCCCACTTGACTTTGTCAAGTATGCAAGCCACTTTTTGGTCAGATCGACAGATAGCGCACCGATTTGGGAGCTGAAGCTTGAAGTGCTGGCACTCATCTTCCCACACAGCCCCGTCCATGTCAAGAGTCTGATCCTGAAGGAGCTGGAGCACTTTTCGCAAGGATCCAACAAGGCTCTTGTACGCGAAGCAGTCCGAGCCATTGGCCGCTGCGCACAGGCGGATGCAGCCACAGCGCCTAGGTGTTTGAAGCTGCTCCTAAGCCAGATCACCAGCTTAGACGGAACCTTGGCTGCAGAGTCGCTGACGGTCATTCGGCACCTCATCCAGCAGGATGCAGAGGCGCATGCGGGGACGGTAGTGCGCCTAGCAAAGAACCTTGACTCAGCAACTGATCCTCAGGCGAGAGCGACCATTATCTGGTTGGTTGGCGAGTTTTCTGGCCTTAACGGGGAAGACAACATCGCGCCGGACGTTTTTCGCATTCTCCTCAAGGACTTTGCGAGCGAATCGGAGGCTGCAAAGCGCCAGATATTGCTTCTTGGCGCAAAAGTTTATCTTCACCATCTGAATCGTCAGAGCGAAGCAGAAAAGAATAGAGTGGGGGAGGAAGACCCTCCAATGGAGGTAGAGAAGCACCCCATCGAAAGATTATGGGACTATGTCCTGCTCCTTGTGAGATATGATGTCTCGTTTGACCTGCGAGACCGAGCCCGCATGTATCGTGCCGTGCTTTCTGTACCGCAGCTTGCTACGCTGATGCTCCTTGCGCCGAAGCCCGCTCCCCAAGCGCCCAGTCCATCCGAGTCGAGAAAGGGGTTCTTGTTGGGCTCTTCGACTCTTGTCTTGGCTGGAGGTGGCGGTCTGCACGGCCTCAGGGGATACGAGACGCTGCCTGATTGGGTCGAGCCCGGCAAGGAGCCCGATCCACGGTTACGCGAAGCAGAAAAGGATGTTACGACAGCACGCTATGACAGCGAGAGATCTACGGTATCGGCGGCTGACAAACTTGACGAAATTGTTAGATCGGCACCAGTTAGCAAGTCGAACGGTGCTGGGGAGAGTCTGAGGACGAAGACGTTGGATGACTGGCTGGCTGAAGAGGAGGAGGAGGAGGAGGAAGAGGAAGAGGAAGAGAGTGAAGAGGAAGAAAGCGAAGAAGAGGAGTCCGAGGAAGAGGAAGATGATGAGGAAGAAGAGGAAGAAGACAGTGATGATGATGGAGAGACAGATAGACTAGTCAAGTCATGATGACATGAATGACATGCATATATGAATATTAGAGAACTCCATATTGAGAGGAGATTATTTACTATCCCTAAATGTTTGAATTCGTGTTCCATTTAAGTATAAAGAGAGAAAGAATGCTTCTACCATAGGCGGGGAATCTATATGATATGTTTTTAGGTAACACGACGATGGATTTCTCGCGTTGAATCTTCTTCAATGGAAGGAATCCTTCTGTTGTCTGTCTTCATAAAACCAAAAGTGAAAAAAAGGAAGATAAAAACGCCAAATCTAAACCAAGATGCAACAAACAATTTTAAAGACCTTTTTCACCACATCCATCCAAAGCAAATAACCAGCCGGGCCTTCAGCATACGTAAGAAGGGAAAAAGATCACAAAATTACCAACCCAAGGGGCCAGTGAGGTTGCAAAAAAAGCCCAGACGCAAAAAAGGGGCAAAAAAACCCCCAGGCCCAGGAGTCGAACCTGGATCTTCCACCTCTTATCGAGCTCGGGTCCGCATATTAGACTTTCGCGCAATAGGCATTCCCGGGTGTCACCAGCTATGCTACCGTTGCACCAGCCTGAGTTTCTTCTCTTTCGTTGTATAGGTATAGTCATAGTTTACTTATATAGATAGGTAGGTAGTGGTCATTGGTCTGTGTGTTGTAATTTTTTTTTCGTTTCAACTTAGGCGTTGTCGACCTTGATGCCCTCGCTGGACTTGATGCCCTCACTGGATGAGCCGGGCTGCTCCAGCTTAATCTCTTCGGTGGGCTGGGCGGCCTTTTGGACGTCGCGGCGCATTTGGGGGAAGTAGATTCCGGGGTGGTAGAAGGTGAGCAGAAACGTTGCGACGAGGATGAGGGAGCTGTCGAGGACGAGGAAGCTGGGCTGGTCTTGCATGATTTTGTTGCCCCAACCGCCGGCCATCTCAGCGATACTATCAAGTAGTTTTGTTAGTATTATGATTTTATATGTGAACAAAAAGGGGGGGTATGACATACCGGTAGATGCATCGGATGAGAATGACGAGGAAAGCACCAGACATGGCATAGCGGAACTTCTTAAAGTTGGCGTCGTGCCAGAGCTTCCAGCCATCGGTGCCCTGAGCCTCAGGACGAGCCATGTACTTCCTCACGCGAACATAGTAGTCGGTGCTAAGGAAGCCAAAGACGATGAGCACGACGACCTGCAGCGCAACACCGGCGATGATGGCGCGGTTGCCGCTCTCCTGAAGCTTGCGGTTGGTCTTGCCTCCGGCAGCGGCGATGCCGCCTCCGATGGCCTGGACGATGAGGCAGCTCAGGTCGGCGGGGAGGAAGATGATGGGGTACCAGCGCGGGGTGATGCGGGAGACGGCGGGGTTGAGGTTGATGGCGATGTGCTTGAGGGTGAGGTAGATGGAGACGCAGATGAAGGTGGGCGCGAGGATGATGGCGCAGATCTGGAGCTCGAAGGCGCCGTTGTTCCAGGGGTTGGAGTGAAGCTGGATGCGACCAATGTAGCCTGCGTGAGATGTGTAAGTGAGATGTCTTCATATGATATTTTAAGAGAAAATTTATAGAAGATGTGAATGAAGAAGAAAAGAAAAGGGAGTTTGTTGGAGGTGTATGAAGATGTGACATGTTTCGATAATACATACCAAGCATTTCCAGCAAGAGGCCGATGGAGAGGCCGATGGCATACGTATATGTCTTCTTCCATATTCCCAAACCGATAGAAGCCACCGTCAAGATACCAAAAACGATGGCGAAAAAGATGCCAGATCCAAGGTTAGGATAGTAGCCCAGCACCGTAGCCTCGACCGGGCAAGCGGGCGAAATCTCCAGACACTCTCGCGCCATGGTGTACGACTTCGATTGTGCCGCCTCTTTGTCTTCTTTCACTCTTATCAAGCCTCGTCTGAGATGGGTGTTTTTGATTAGTAACCCTTATATTTTTCCCTTCTGTTTTCTTCCCCTTATAATAATTGGGCTATGTGTCGTCGGGTTTCGGAATCCGGAAGCGTCGGTCCCTTTGGCGGTTTTACTCTTCTGAACCGTAGAGGATCTGACAATGTTGACAAAAAGGCCGAGAGATTGATAAAAACAACCCGGGGATCCTCCAACAGCAAGGTTGAAAGGGAAAAAAGAAAAAAGAAGGGGAAACAGGCTGGGGGAGCCAATATTTACGGATTATGCAAACTCACGCATTCTAAACATGGAGTTTGAGCAAAACCCGAAATCCCAACCAAGCGAACCCCATCCACTAAGGTCCAATCCTTGGCATCCATCCATCCTTCGTCCCCTTGTTCTAACATTCCGTCGTCAGCCTGGCGCTAGAAAAACAGCGGGAAAATGAAAAAGGCAAGAAAAGGTGTCGAGCAACGCCGTACAATTCGCCCGTTTGGTTTGTCCCACCCCCCCTTGCTCGCGGGGATCCTCTTTTTCGTATCGATGTTCGTTTCTTTTCCCAGGCCCCCAGCCCACATGGCAGCGTTGCCTCATCCGAGCAAGGCGGCTGGACAACCTTATTCAGATAAAATATCGCTATGTGGTTTGCTGGTTCCTCTTCCACCCCTGGCCTGGCTGCAGTATCGTATCGTATCTTGTACACGTACTCCGAACAGGCACTGAGATAGATAGCGATCAGATTAGGTAGCTCATCCCTCCATCCCAACTCCGAGCCTGCAGATTAGTATCATATCGTAATCCCGCGAGACGTGAAGCATAAACGAAGCTAATCTCCTCAAAAGGATGACTCAAAAAACGCCCGCCCGTGTGACTTTCACGTTCCTGTCAGCATCTTGTCTTCCATCCGTCTCGATGCCTAAAATCCCACCTCGTTAACAGACAAATAAGAATCCCCAGCGCCAAACTCTCTCACTCGAAAAAGCAGCCACCCGCCGAGGCGAACAAAGACGCCACCCCGTCCCGTCTCAACGAATCCACAGCCCGCAAAAAAAGGCCAAGAAGGAAGCAAAGAATGAAATACGCGTGTTTCAAACGAATCGAGGTCGTAAAGCCGCGTTAGCGCTCCCAAGCCCGCAGGAGTTCGGGTTCGGCGTAATTCAATAGTCCACCTATGGCAGCTTGAGGCGTGTGACTAAGCCAGCAGAAGCGAGCGGCTCAGCCAGCTTCCGAGACGAGACTTCACTTATACGCGTATATGAGGCTGATCCTTTGGAATACGATACGAATGTCAAAGGACGCAATGTCCGGCTTAATAATGGGTCGGTTTGCTGTTAGGCGTCCACGTTGATACTGTACGAGTATGTAGGGCGGTTTCAAGTTGAGCATTTGATTTAGGCACTCAGGTCTATGGCGTCAATATTACGCTTCTAACCACTTTTTTGGTGAATATCAAATATGGAGTAAAACTCCCTTCTTACAGTAAATTGCATCTGCACATCACATGCTGGTGAGATGTGCAATTGCTTTTCACGCAGCCCTACAGCTGACATCTCCGACCGGGCCATCTATCCGGCCGAAAAGATGAATCAATTGAATCAGATGTGGATTCATAAATGACAAATTATCCTTATCATCAACGCTTTGTATTTACCCGATCTGTCATCTGTCCGTTGGTAGACAATGCAGGGCAAGTAGTACTCCATTCCAGTCCAGGCCAATATCAACAGCAGGGTTATCAAGATTCTCAGCTCCCTTGAACCAAAAAGAGTAAATCTATTTCATTTATTATTCTTCTACTCCTCCTTCCCTCCAAGATATCTATACACGACCGAAAAGTCGCGGTCTTTGCAATCCTCCCGCTGCGCCGCCTTGTCATACATGTCAAACGCCAACGTCCCCAACTCCGTCTTCGCCTGCGCCGACTCGGCCGCAACCAGAGCCAACCGAAGATCCTTTCTCATGAGCGATATGCCAAATCCTCCACGGTAATCACGGCTGGCAGGTGCCGTCTCGATGACGCCCTTTACGGGGTTGTTGATCTCGCTCGGCCAGCATCTGCCCGTGCTCACATTCAGCACGTTGGCAAGCGTCTTGGGATCCAGGCCACATCGGATGCCCAGGTTCATGGCCTCGGCTGTCGCAATGTTGTTGAGGGCTAGGAGGTAATTGTTGGCGAGCTTTGCAGATAGGCCGGCGCCTTGGTCGCCGCAGTGCAGCACCTTGCGGCCCATCAGGAACAGCGTGGGCTCGACGCGAGGGAGGATGCTGGCATCGGCGCCAAGCATAAACGTCAGTGTGCCTGCTGTGGCGCCGACAACACCGCCTGACATGGGCGCATCGACAAAGGTGCCCTGTCCGGCGTCTGATACGGATTTGGCGACTTGCCGTGATGTTGTCGGGTCGATTGTTGAGCAGTCGATGAAGATGCGATCCTTCTTTGGAAGTGAGTCTGTGAGGATGGACTCGTAGACGCCGCGAACGTGCTGTGGCTCTGGCAGGCAGGTGACGACGGTATCCTATTTGTCAACCATATCAGCATATGTTCACCCATCCAAACTTATACACGAAATGAACGAAAAGGTGAAACATCGGGTAAGTAACAGTAGAGAGTAAGAACGCTATTTCACAGGATTTGGCGTTTCAATTGTAACAATCAAGGGAATCATGAAAGCTGTGCACCCTTCCAACCTAAGCTCAATCCCGATCATAGCCGGGGCAGCAAAGATGATCCCTTCGGCATCAACGACAAAGCACGTAGCAATGGACATCATCAGCAGTCATTAACAAAACTTACAGCCGTCTTAGACGCGTCATGCGCGCTCGCCGCAATCTCAACAGCAGCCCCCGATGACGCAGCCTTCATCTCTGCCGAAAGACCCTCCACGGCCGTAGGGTTGACGTCGAAGATGGAGACCTTGTCTGTAGGCTTCAGCTTGGACTGAAGGTTCTTGGCCATTTGGTAGCCCTGTCAAAACCATTGTTAGATATAATCGTCTCGTGTGAAATGAAATGAGGCTTAAAAAATGCTGGGAAGCATGAATCTCACCATCTGGCCAAGACCGATGAAGGCATAGTTGTCGAGCCTCCGTGATGTACTCGCAAACCCCCTCCTCTGCACTAAGCTCCCCAGACGTGTAGCCGCGACTCTCATATTGGGCAATTGGAAGCAATCAATCTTCTGCCGATACCTACACAAAAAACGGAATACAAAAGGGCGAAAGAAGAAAAAGAATGAGAAAGAGAGGCTGCTATGCAGGGTAAAGGTAAAGCTCAATGGCCGAGGAGATCCGACCTAGGACGTGTGGGGGTGGATACATTCCCCCGCGAAAGCCGCACATTGCCGGTGCCAGCCATTTCTGGGGGAATTGGCTACCGGGGTGTTACTTGGGCTGATGGGTGGTGCGGCCGCTTACTCGGATGTCGACGGTAAGTATTGAGGCGACACCGGAGGAGAGAGCTTATTACACTTGGTCGAACAAGAGGCGTAATAAGAAGCACTTGGATGCGATTAGACAGAGGACAGGAGGCCATGGCACGGCATTTTAATTGATAGGTATCTTTACACGAATTTATAAATGTAATTGTTTATTATTAACCTTGCAGATTACATTTTCGATAAGCATCAAAGGCTATAAATAAATAGGCCGATTTGGAGATCATCATGGGACATTGCGATTCCATTTGAATACGTTAGGGTTGAGCTGGGTACTCGACGTGGAACTTACAGAAAGATATCCTTCCTCTGATAACCCATCGACTCATAAATAACACAGGCAGCTACCGAGATTCCCTCAGCCATCATAAATGAACGACATGGCCATTACCTGCTAAACTTCGTATCAGCGCACTGCAGACCTCATCTCAAAGCAGCCAGAGTAACGCAGGCCTCGGTCACATACGGGCACCACCCATACCTGATGTGAGATTTTCATTACGTTTTAATTCTGTATTACACTGCCCATCAGCTCAGATTGTCCCATCTCCCTCCCCTCCCTCCATAACTCCAGGTATTCCCCCCCTCCACTCCACCATACATGTGAACCACAGCACTTCATGGACAAGACTCTGACAAACAAAAAGCCAAAATCATCCAACACTCGTCTCCGAGACAGACCATGGCGAAAAAGCCATCAATGTTTCTTTCTTTCCCTTCTTCTTCCTCCTTCTTGAAAAAAGATTATCATCCCCGCCACAAAACCTCATCGCGTAAACCAGCCACATCGCGTAATGGACTCTGGTAAACCCGTCGAGTTTGCAACAGGGATGGTGTTTAAAAAAATAGGTCCTATGTCCAATGAAAGAGGGAAAATCTCGCACACGCAGAAAAGAGAAAAGAGAGAGAAGAGAGAGAGAAGAAAAAAATAAGGGCGAGAAATATGTTTCGGTTTTGGGAGGGTAAAACGTCGCCTCCCTGAGTTGTAAAGAGAAAAGATAATCACAGATTAAAAATGACAGAAAGACAAAGGGGAAGGATAATAAAAGCAAAAACCGCGCCATCCCAATCCTCATTCAGCCGCCATAAAAGATCAGTTACTTTCCCTTCAAGGTCAGATTTTACGCAACATAACACACGACACATACGGCTGCAGGCCTCTTTGTATCATTTATAGGAAGTTTGCAAGCCACGGCACAAGTGCTCTGCGAAACGGTTAGTATATGCAACTGCAAAATAGGGGCATGGGGAGAGGAGGGAAACAAAGCAACGTACCCAACTGCAACTGTCGCGCCAATGCCAAACAATGCCCTCTTCTGTATCCTGCCCTTGCGGACTTCGACTTCGGTCTTGATCTTCTTTGAGCGCGGCGCCTCTTCAGTCTTGTCTCCTTCGGCAGCCTCGTCATCCTCTTCGCCGGTGTCGGTGGCCTTTCGCTTGTTCTTTGGCGTGCTCTTTGGGGTGGGCTTGTTCTGAGCCCCTTCCTCCTCTTCAGCGGCTTCCTCCTCTGCCTTCTCGGCCTCTTCCTTGTCCTTCTCAACCATAGCCTTGGCGGTAGCCATCATCTCCGCAATCTGCTCAGGACTCGGGGGCTGGCCCGCCGTGAATGGGAGGGCATCTGTCTTGCTGCTAACCTCAGCCTTGGCAATGGCGGGCTCAAAGTCGGTTGACTTCAAAGCGGACTCCTCCGCCTCTTCCGCGACCTCGCTCGGGGCCGGTGTGGTCTCGACAGCCTCGGCCTTGGATCTGGTGTTGCGCTTTCGACGAGGTGACGCAGTTGTGCGTCTGGTGGCACTGGTCTTGGTTGGGCTGGCCGAACGACGGCCGCGAGTTCGGGTCGTCGGAGTAGTGGCCGGGCTCAATTGCGTGGGCGCCTTGAGACGATCGAACTTGGGCGGCGCAGTGATGGTCTTGGGCGAGGCATCAGCCGGCTGGGTGGTGGAGATCTTTGCGGAATCCAGCAGGGCCTGGATCCAGATGCTAATGTTGTACTCTTCGGCGAGGGCCAGGGCGGCTTCCGGGGGGATCCAGATGTTGCCAGCCGTCTCTTCGGGGCTTGTGGTGGGCTGAGCCTTGATGAACTTACGCTCTGCCTCCTCCTCCGCGGCAGCCGCGTAGGGAAAGGTGGCCTTGAACATGCCCGTTGCCGAGATGTAGCCATCAAAGCTGCGGCGCATCAAAAAGTAGCTGTTGGGGCTGGACTTGAAAATGCCAGACACGATGCCCTTGGGCAGGGGCGCGCGCAGATGTGCGTAGTCGAAGAAGCCCAAGGCACCGGCCTCGGCCTCATCGCTGCCCACCATCTTGGGCGTCAGCTTGGTCTGGCCGAGACGGCGGCGCGACACGAGTTCCGAGTCTGCAGCATTCCGCGTCAGTGGTGATTCGGGCGCATTGGCGACAGTGCAGAGCGCAAAAAGGTAACCAAGTCGCTTAAAAAGAATCAATGATGAAGAAGCAATTTACTTACACGGAGGGACATCGTCGATGAGCAGCGGATTCCGCTTCGCCGGCAGCGATCTTCCTGCAGCGGGGGCCATTGTGTGATTTCCTCTTTGGGGCGTGCAAGGAAACAGATAAGGCTTATGTGTCGCAGCGCAAAGCGTGTCGATAGAGCCAGGCGAGACCGAAAAGCAACTCCTTACAGGCGACTAGAGGCGGCGCAAGACAATTAGGCGCGCGGAAACGGACGGTTTGGGTCGCAGAGGCGGCGAGTCTTTGTGGTTCGCGCACGAACGAGCTTCGCATGCAAAAACAACGAATTTCTGGCGATGGGCGGCGCGTCGGGCTTAAACAAGGCCAATGCACCGCGGAAAAAAGCGGACAGGATGATGCGGTCTCGACCGGGAAGCGCCTGGGCGACGGGCCTTGACGAGAAACGCAGCAGACGAGGCCTGGGAGGGAGATTGTGCTTGTGCTTCGGCGGGCTAGCAAATGAAAAAGGGTGAAGAGAAAGATTCACTCGCGATGGTGGGCGAAGAGTCGCGCAAATTGCTGGGAGCGCCTGATGTGGCCTGGTCTTTGCGGAGGCATATGTACATGGTACCACTTTTTTGCTAGCCGGGTACTTTGCGCTTGCTTCTGCGCTTTTGGCTTTTGGGGGGAACTGAGGAACTGAAGGACCCCCCCAAGCCCCCCGAAGGAGTAGGGCCCTGTAGGGGTCTGGTTCCGTGGTCCCTCTTTGAGAACACGGTAGCGTCGACTTCGAGCGCCCAACAGACGCAGCCGTTGCCGCTAAAAGGGTCCCAGCCAGCTGCCGAATTCAATTGATCCCTGTTCAAGTGCTAATGGGAAACTGGCCTTGGCTGTATGTGGTCAATTGGCGGCTCAACTGCAGTGTAGCATTCTGCCGGCATTGTACAGTAGAGTACGGAGTACATGCAGCTTGGTACCAACGTAAGGTCAGGTGTTTCCTCAACTGCAAGTACCAGAATCCCCGATTTCTTAGCACCCAGAAGTACTCGTACCCTGCACTTGGCCCTCAACTCAATGGACGGAGGCTTTAACCTCTGACAGCCGGGCCCTAGCGCTCAGCAATAGCTCCGGCTTGCCGCCACATTACCTCCATGGTTACCGATAAATACGGAGCACCGTAAAAAACAACAAAACAAAACAACACCAAAGAAAAAATCTGCTGCTAACACAGGCCGTTACTGCGGTACCCCTAATTTCACCGGCGCAATAGCGTACCCTTGGTGTACCGCGCTAGTGCTTGGCAATAAATCACTTGACAACCCAGCAGAATCCCGTCGATAGACTACAGGGTTCCATCCAATGCTGCTTGGAGGTCTGCTCCGTATTAGTCTCTAGTGCCCTCCGTTCTATTTTACCCCTTTGCACACTCAGCAACGAGGCCCGACCCCTGACCGGACCGGATTACCAGGACCATGTCGTTGATCCAATCATGCATCGCCATAGCCCCGACCCCCACCAGCAACCCGCTGCCCCTCCATGGCTCTGCTATCCCGCCTTCTGACCACTTGACCGACTTGGCTGCTATGTTTTCCAAATCTCTCCTTTCGATCCATCAGCAGTGTGAATAGCATCATCTGGGCCTTCTTCCCTTTGTCTGCTCTTTTCCCGGCCGGTTTTCGACCCCCCGAACGTTATAATGGCTTCTCACGATGATGATACCATGCCCGAGGAGACTCAGGGCTACAAGCTCTCTCAGCCTAAGCAGAGCTTGGCCGAGTACAACCAGATGGGTATGTAGCTGTTGGTTAAAGCTTTCCCTAGGGCAGCACGGACAGAGATGTGTGCAAGTAGAGCTTTGGATTGGTTGCGTTGTATATGTTGGTCGTGTAAGCCGACTGAAACAGATCCGTCAACACGGATATACTTGATAAGCTTGGGCCTCCTTTCCGACCAACATCTGTTGTTGGGTCTTTGTGTATGGACGAGAGCTCGTTCTAAAGCTTCCATCTAGAGTCTTTGCTTGACATCTGGCCCGTCCACATTCCTTTCTTTCACGTGCTGTCACGCTACTGCAGTTGTCGTCCCGTCGTCACCCAACTGACACTTGTACCCCAGATGCCGGCGACGAGTCCCTCCAGCGATACAAGCAGTCCCTTGGCCTCGGCGGTGGCAAGGACCTCTCCGATCCCTCTGACCCCCGAGTCTGCATCATCCATGCACTCACCATGGACTCGCCCGGCCGGCCTCCCGTTAGAATCGAGCTCGCCAAAGCTGGAAGCGAGAATGCGCTCAAGGACAAACCTTTCATGATCAAGGAGGGCGTCAAGTTCACCATGAGCGCCGAGTTCAAGGTCCAGCACGAGATTCTAAGCGGTCTGCACTATGTTCAGGTCATTAAGAGAAAGGGAATTAAGGTGTCCAAGGACTCAGAAATGATTGTTAGTAGAACATACCGGCTGTCACATTGGGCCGCTGCAAGATCAAAGCACTAATGACCTATAGGGAAGTTATGCGCCCAACACTGAGAACCAGCCCACCTACATCAAGAAGTGTAAGTATTCCGCCGTCACGTGAAATGTGAAGATGAGCATTTTGACTTACAACTCCCACAGTCCATGAGGAGGAGGCTCCATCTGGAATGCTCCTTCGTGGCAAGTACGACGCCATCTCCAGCTTCGTCGACGACGATAAGAAGAAGCACCTCGAGTTCGAGTGGAAATTCGAAATCGTCAAGGATTGGCCAGAGACCAACTAAATAAGCGTTGGAAGCGGACTCCCTTTTTTTGTTCATTCGTTTAATCATGCCCCTCCTACCTCCCCCATCTCACGACATAAGATATCTGATTATTAAAAACACATTACCTTCCACGTGCAGGATGCGAAGCCGCGGTTTCCTAATGCACACAAACATTGGATAGCACACACAACTATTGGATAGCATACACAAACATTGGATAGCATACATTTTGAGCAAGCAAAGCAAGCAGCATCTCGACATGAGACGGGCGGATGTTGTAACAATTGCCTTTATGTTTTAGCATAGCCCGCAATTCTATATCATGACAAAGCTCTGTACGACTGGTTGCACTGTACATTGATTGATACATGTTCATGATGACGTCCATACGATCCAACTCTGGCACGTCTTTCTCGTTCTGTTATAAGAAGTAATCGGGGAGCGAATTTCCGTCCGCCGTCTTCTCCATCCCCTGCTGCATATCCTTGTGCTGGTCATTCTCCGGTGCCGCTGCGAACACGTTGAAGAACCTCTCGCCCTGCGTATTGACCTCGAGCACACTAGCCATGTTGCCGCATCTGTAACAATAATTCGGCGCACTCCATACGGTACTTAGGCGGTCGTCGTAGAGCACTTGGAAGCCCTCCTGACAGAGCTGGTGGGCCCGGAGGATATGTGACATGTTGTTGACCGCCAAGAACTTTTTGACGACTTGCGCACCAAACGTATAGCCCGCACCGCGGGGTGAAAGCGAGAATTCGTCTCGGTCGGGATCTGGATCGGACCATACGAGATCGGCCATGGGCCCTTCGTGGGGGATTTCTCTGAAGCGATCTATGATTTTGATTTGGTCGATGGAGTGTATAGAGGGCGAGAGACCTGTCGCATTAATGTTGAGCACTTGGATTTATGGTCATGGTGGGGTTGTCAGCTTTGAACCAGGGACCTACCTCCGTGGACGCAGAAAATCTGGTTGTCGATGACGACACTTAGGGTCAAGAAATCGAACATGTCTGTAAAGTAGTGCCACACGTTGGCGTTGCCATATTTGCGCGAGCACTCGGTGTAGAATCCGTACGACTGCGTAACGCCGCGCGACTCGTGGTTACCGCGGATTAGGTGCACGCGTTCGGGGTATCGGAGCTTTAAGCAAACGAGTAGCGATATCGTCTCGACGCTGAACATGCCACGATCAACGTAGTCGCCTGCAGATATTTCAAGACTCTGTCAACACCACAAATTCCACGAGCGAGGCGGCATGCAACAGTATGCGCATGCAGATACACAGGCACTAAAATATGCCCATATATAGATGTATAAATCTGGAGGAGACGGACCTAGGAACAGGTAGTTGGTATCGGGGCAGTAGCCCCCGATTCTGAATATCTCGATGAGGTCGTAGAACTGGCCGTGGATGTCGCCGACAACGGTGATTGGGGCCTTGACGTGGACGACGTTGCTCTCGCGCATGAGGAGCTCCTTTGTCTTGGCACATACTGCCTCGATGACGGACTCGGCCAGGAGTTCCTTTTTGTAGAGGCGCGAGATGCACTCGTCTAGATCGACGGAGGCTGGATGCCATGGTATTGTTAGGCTTGCTGTTATGACCACAGAGAAGAGAGGCTGCACAAGGGACATGCGACAGGAAGACAGCAGCCAAACTCACATGGTAACGACGGCATAGCGTTCCCTCACGAAGCATAGATGCCTCTCTCGGCTGGGATATTTTATGACGAAGCGGGCGGTTACACGGGCTGCACCCTTGACGATATCATCCAGGTAAGAGTCTGCAGGCGATGGTGTTTGGAGGGGCCGTGGCTGGATGCACCAACATGGTCGAGGCCCGACGCCTATTTCTCACTTGCAACAGCCCGGATCTGGACGGCACTCCAGACCAGCAGATGAAGCAGCTCGATGGTGATGGTGATGTGAATGTGGCCACAAGCAAGAAGCTTGGTTCGCAGCATGCAGGTTTCTGGGGATCCGCTAGCTGCAATTAGCTTTTCTGCTGAGAAATTATCGACGCTGTGATCCAGCCCATCCACATCCAATACGTACCAGACATGTACCTCAGGTGCGCTGTTCGGAGCACTTGGACCCGGGAGGGTGGACTGCTAGTGTACATCCGTCCAGTGCACTACCAGGCACTACAGTACCGACACTGGCGCTTCTTCCGCTGCCAGCGCGCTAATCCGTGCAGCAGCTGCAGGTTCCGTAAATCGGGAGATACTTGATGCTGCTAAGAGATCTCTCTCAAGTTCGAAGTACCTCCCCGGGCAGGTATCAGTGGGCAGCCGCCGAGTGTGAAATCAAATCTCCAAAGACCCGACATCATACCTGAGACAACGCATCACACCTACTAAGTGCCATGTAAGGGGTGATGGGTAATACCATACCTACTAGGTACCATTCAGCAGCAGTTTACTTGCTCTATTACGGGTATATATTTCTTATCAGCATTTCCCCGCCAAGCACCTCTTCATGTTTCTCGCCTAATCTAAGACGATTCATCGCCGGCTGCCTGTTTCGTCGCACTGTCGATTTGTGAGATGCGAGTCGATGGATCTCGAGTAACGCAGAAACAAAAGCCACAAGCTCCTAGCCGATACCCTGGCGACGAGATTCCGGAGTTTTGACCGCTACTAGGTTTATCAGCTGTCTACTAGGTACGCAAGTGCTTGCACATGTCAATAGATCTGCTATCGAAGCAAATGGCGTCGATAACAATTAACCAATCCACGCAGCAGCCAAGCCCTTACTTCAAAGCTGAATCCCCTCATGGGTGCATGAATCTACCGAGTTGCCAGGGCACATCTGCACTATAGTTTTCAGCCACTTTTGTGTAGGTTCACCGCCACAGAAGGCACTCAGCCCAAAGGGTTTCAACTCGACTCGGCAACGCTTGTTTACTCTTCTTCCTCCTTCGCCAAACATCAACACCTTCAATATATACCCTCTCATACACAGCTTTGCTGCCCTTCTCACAAGCTCCTGCGAGACTTGAATATCCGACTCTGATCAAACCAAAGCTCTTCTCTCTCCGTCCATTTCCAGCTCTCCCGATATCACTGCGGCTAAAACTCGGGGCTGCCCAGCTGAGACAGTTGCCATCTTGGTGGCCTGTGCGCAGCCTCACGTGGCGGCTGATTCAACGCGACTTGCACTCATCCGTTTGCCAGTCAACCAAATCGCTGGCTCAGCTTCTCTGACCAGGGCTCGTCATTTCTGAACTCTCTCTGCTTTTCTTTTCTCCAGGATCCCCGGACTGCTCATCTGGTGGATGAGACATTGCTTCATCCATCTCGAAACGGCCTGGGGAGGGGGTTCAGTTTGTAAAGGGGGTTATCGCTTCTAGGCCGTCTTATCCCAGCAAGGTATGCCTCACTTGCGCCTTGTGTGATGTGGCGATTCTGATGTGGTTGATGTTCAAGGTGACGGGGACTTTTTTTTCCCTCTTTTCTTTTTTCGAGGGCACTTGACGGGGAAAAGTGAGAACGCCCATTTCCTTGTTTCAAATCATCGCCCAGTCACCAACCATCAACTCCCTCAACCATCGTCGGCGCCGTCGTCAACTCTCTTCCTCACAGCCCGATCCATTCCTTGTCTTGAAACTTGTCGTTCTTCATCGTCACAGAGATGGCTGAGTCTGCGCATGCTCACACGGGCCCCTCTGACGACTCGCCGTGCTACAACTGCGGCGCCAAAGGCCACTGGGTTGTTGCTTGTCCAGAGCCGACAAGAAAGACTCCTGCGTAAGCCTCTGCCCTTTCTCTTGCTCAACTTCGCTTGCCTAGCCGTGATGTTGCCCATTTTCTTTTGTCTCTTCTGATGTATTTCTAACTCGTATTCAACTCTGTAGTGGCCTTGCCAACGCTTGGAGGAACGCTCCAAATGCTCCGAATGCTGGCCATGGTAATCATCGGCAGCATCATGGAGGAAATCCAAAAAGGATGAACAAGGGGCCCATCATCACCAAATATGCACCACCACCTCCTCCTCCTCCGCCGCCGCCGCCTCACCCTTCGTCTCTGAGCCATGGCACAGCTCCTTATCCGCCACTGCCGCCTGGACCTCCATATCCTCAGCAGAACCCTCAATTCCAGGGCCCTTATGCTCATTACCAGCCTGCTGCGCACTACCCAACTGGATATGGTCCAACCTATCCATCGCAGCAATATCATCAGCCGCCTTATGGTGCAGCCCCTGCAGCCCCAGCGGGTTACGCAGCTCATCCTCCTGGGCCGCCAGCACCACAGCCACCAGCACCGTATCCTGCGGCGTATGCTTCATACCCGCCTGCTGGGCCATCCAGCGCGCCTGGTTACCCGCCCCAGACGACTTACACTCAGTCTTATTCGCAGCCACCATACGGACTGCCCCCAGTTCCTTACCCTGCTCAGAGCGGGCCTGCACACTTTCCTCCTCCGCCCAAGCCGCCGCATGTTTCTCGTTCTCATTCTGGTTTAAACCAGCCCGCTCCCGTTCATCATTCTCTTCCGCCGAAGCCCCCAAGAAGCGTCCATACGCAGCAAGAGCCTCACCGAGATCATAGGAACAGACGGAAACATGATCGTCAAAACAAAAACCGTGATAATAGACGCCGGGATCAAGGGTCCCGTCATCGCTCTTCGCAACAGAAGATGCAGAATAAGGCTAACCGTTCTAACCGTGGTAATCGTTCTAATCGCTCTAGCTCAGCTATTAGATCTTCCCAGAAAGCGTCGGCCTCGACTACCGCGGAAATCGCCAAAACTGGCCCACTATCATCAATAGAGGACCTTGAAAAGAACGCAAAATTCGGACCTGATGCCTCAAAAGAGGACTTCCCTGAAGACTCGGCTGCGACCGAGATACCGGTATCAGACAATGCGCAGTCGTATCAACACGAGGATGACATGCTCCCCCAGCTGGCTTCTGGTGAGCTTGACGAGGATTCCGAAACTGCAGATTCTGAGGTATGTAGACCTGCTCTTTAATAATGGCTCTGAATATCTTGCGTTGCCGCCAGACTAGATTGCTAAGTAACGTATCTTCATAGTCTGGAGAGTCTACGGATAATAATGAAAGTGAACCTCCTCGGGCGGTCCTATCCAATGATGAGGCAGAATCAGCACGGGATGATGAACGAGGACTTTCTCAGAACACTCATCATCATCGAAAAGACGAAGCCTCATCTCCCAGTATGGCTATTGACACGCCTCATCTTAATGGAAAGCATAAGCGCAGAGATGACGAGTCAGAGGACGAACGTCAACCAAAGAAGTCAAAAGCTGCAGCGTCGCTTGCACATGATCCAAACGACGCTGAAGATGACAACCAGGCACAAGCGCAATACGATACCGGATCAGCAGTCCAAGGCAACGACGCACCAATTGTGGAAGAAGAGGATGAACCTGTCCTGCCCCCACTGGAGCCTGAATCTCGGTCACGGTCAAAGGAGCGCCATCGAGGCCCACAATCTAGGAATTCGTCGGTCTCTAGCCGATCATCCGACTTGAACTCACTGGAAGCCGAGCTTCTGGGGCGACCTGCTAAGCAGAGGTCCCCCGACGACATTGGTGTCCACCAACGGCAGGATCGCGTGACTTTGCCTAAGATGCAACGCCGCCGCCAACGAAATGCGGATTCTGCATACAGGCAAGAAGAATAGATTTCCTTGTTGGATTAACCTGAGTGGCTAACACGCGTCTAGTCGCCGCTGGTGATTTTCCTTGGTGTCATTTTCCTTCCCTCAAACTTCGATTCGCTGCTTATATTCAGGCTCCTTTCCAGCCTTCTGAGCCTCACGCCGTCTCCCTGAACCTGGCCCCTTCAACGCTGCTGTCATGGAGGCCAGTTGGCGTGTTTGTGCACCTTGATTATTTTTCTCTTTTTTCTTTTCGCATTTCTCTTGAGATGATACGGTTTTTTATTCTCTTTGTTATTTCAGGTCCGCATGGCAATGTGGAATTTGCGTCAAAGTTACTGCGACAGGTATATCGCTGGCAGTCATTTCTTTTAGTCTCACGACTACTAGGGGCCCTTATGCATGGCTGGCGTTTTGTTAGAATTCACGAGGTATGCGTGAATAGTTTTCAAATGATTTTTCCTGATATTTGCTTTGCCCAGACAAAACGGGTCTTGGATGCTTAGCCATAGACCCAACTCATCCCCTTGAACCCTACGAGAAGTACAGCACTTGTCTGAACAATATTTATGGCTCACCAGATTTCCTTTGCTTGATGGTATACTATGACCTGTGCTCTTCGTTTTCAATGCGTGAGACTGTTATTTCTTGTCCAATCCAGCTTCATGTGGCTATTTTTGAAGATGAGAGAGTATCAGGCTCACCGCAGGCGCGCGTCTGGAATGGCATATTTCGACCGTGTCTTATGAGATACTATACACAAGCTCGCCTATACCACAAGTTCGCCTGTCTCACAACACCACGAGCTTTACCTCTTTATTATTCACGTTTTCTTTCCTCTACTCCTTCTCCATCTGTATTCACCATTATGGCTGTGTTAAGATTGTACGCTGCGTAACCGCCATCACAGTAGGTATCACAATTTGCTATTCAAAACTCCCACTCGGTAAGGACGGGTAGCCGGCTTCTGGACTTGGGACGGGCTCGAGTGTACTCTCTGGTTGACCACATATTATCGTAACTTACATAGTAAATAGAAGCTAATGCAATCCGGAG